CATACGTGCATACATCTCCGCATTGGAAGACGAATTGCCCCAAACTCGTGAGAGGCCATCCCCAGGATCGACATCAACGTCTGTCCCCAAACCAAGTACCAGGTACCTGAACAAAGTAGCCTGCATGAGACCCCAGACGCTTGCAATCGACAGACGGCCCCTGATTGGCCCAGAGCGGCGGCTTGGCTCGGTCAATTCGGGAACTGGCTCCACAGTGACGTCGGCATGGCTCTACCCCAGGCGGTATCTGAACCTCTTGAACCTATAACAGCGCCCAGTGAAGCGAAGTCTGGGGCCCCTGCATAGAGCGCTCAGGCTCCAGCGATTTGAGCCGGCGATGCTGCAAGTAGGGACTTGTCAACATGTATGTACGAGTACTTGATGTGATTGACTCTGTCTCCCTCGAAGTCGGTGTGTACAAGTCGAGGTTTTGTTCACGGCGGTGTTGAGGCATCTCGTGATCACTGCATGTGTACTTCACCGGTCACATTTGTTGCCGTTAAAAACAGACGTAAGGTGCCCATTCTACCAACGGTAATATTGAATATAAGCATCAACCAGTATATCAACTCTCTTCATCCCCCAAAAAGGCAGTTCCGGTATCTGGCCACCATCTCCAGCCTCTCCCTGTGGAGTCCCGTCTCGATATCAACACAACACATTGAACACAGTCCAATCTATCTGCCCCAATTCCCTCAACTCCAACCGCCAGCGCAACCTCACCCGCGAGCTTCAGTGGTCCAGTGGCACCTCACAGCGGCCTTAGCGGGCTCTCTAGCGGGCTCCTTAGTGGACTCCCCTAGTGGGCTTGGTGGGTTCCTGTGGGCTACCCCGCAAGCGTCTTGGTCTTCCCCAGCGCGGTGAACCGAGTTGGCTCACCTTCAGATAAGCCGCTGATGCTGCTCATTCCTCCTACTTACTTGTCCTCCTCGGCCTCGTTTCTCTCTCTCTCTCTTTCTCTTCACTCTGTTTTCCCACTTCTCATCACATTCTCCATTCCCCCCCCCCTTTCGCTCTTCTACTCTCCGCCTCCCACGGAATTGCTCTTCTCGTCGCCATCACACACAGCATCTCAGTCGTCGACTTCACCACAGTGTCGTCAACCCGGATCATCGTGAAAACGCCATTTGATCCAGCTGTCCTTCCCCGCACGACCCGGTTCTGCCCGAGTTCCATGTCACATGCAATTGCTGCTCCTGGGGTGATTCAGCTTGACGTTTGTCTGGTATGACCTCTGGCTCCCCCATGTTATCACATACCATCATTGTGGCGTTGTCAATTGAAAATGAGTGTTGACCGTTGATTTGTTGCTAGACTCGGTAGTGCATCTCGCCCAGCCATTGGCTCGACATTTCCCACCAAAATGCTTCCGACCTCGCAACTTGCCTCGCCTCGTGCAAGGCTTCTCCTGGCACGCACTGCTCTCAACTCTAGCCCGCTGGCCTCTGCGCAGTCCCAGGCCAGTCAGCAGTGCCGACCATTCTGTGGTTTCGACCTGGGACGTCGACGCAACCGCATCTCTGCCTTGAAATATATCGTCTCCCTCAACCGACGACTCTCGTGGGAGAATCCCAAGTCGGGAAGCTTCAAAGCCACTTCTGGGAAATACACCGATCCAAAGGACGTCAAGTCATGGTCGGACGACTTGTCCGGGGCTCGACCTGGCCGCAACATCGAGGACGTCGAGCGAGACGCCATCAACCGTCTCTTCCACAACACGGACGACGGTGTATGGACCCCATTGCAAAACATCAAAAACTACTTGCACTCGACCCACCGATCCAACAAGGTCACTGCTGAGAGCGTTCTGCGAGCCACCACGGGCGACAGCCTCAACTTCATTGATCCCATCACCAACCGCAAGGTGTCCCGCGCAGAACGTGGCAAATACTCGGCAACCCAGTTTGACGATCCCAACGCGCCCCGAAAGCTAACCCCGGAGGAGGAGTCGAAGCAATACACAGACCTCGGCGACTACAAGCCCGCCAAGTGGAATGAGCCAGATGGGCTGCCTCATCTGACTCCTGAGGAACGTTCCAAGATCTACGAGGACTTGCCAGAGTATTCAAAAATGAAGATTGACAACCCGAACGCGCCCCGAAAACTGACGCCCGAGGAAGAGTCCAAGAACTACGACGACTTGGACAAGTACAAGCCCGTGACGTGGAACGAGCCCGACGGACTTCCGCAGCTCACTCCCGAGGAGCAGTCCAAAATCTACGACGATCTTGACAAGTACGGCCCCGTCAGGTGGCACGAGCCGGATGGCCTGCAGGAGAGGTCTCAGGAAGAAAAGTCCAAGGATTACAAGGACTTGCACAAATATGGCCCCGCAACCTACGACGAGCCTGACGGTCTTCGACGCCTGACCCCGGAGGAAAAGTCCAAGGATTATACAGACCTACATGCCTACGGCGGCCCTTTTACTTGCAGGGAATCCGTCCTCAAGGACTACGAGGCCCTTCAAAACGATCCCACGCCCAAGGCAGAGCCCATCCCCGCCAAAGTCGAAGTACGAGGCAACACCACGCCCAAGTACGAAGACCTGGACAAGTACGGACCCGTCCGCTGGCATGAGCCAGATGGCCTTCGTCCATTGACCCCCGAAGAGCTCTCCAAGGATTACGAAGACCTCCACCTGTATGCGCAATATCCCAACGGTGGCCCCAAGGCTCCTCGAGTGCATCCCGAGGAGGCATCCAAAGCGTACCAAGACTTGCCCCAGTACTCTGCATTCCCCAATAACGGGCCAGCGGTGGAGAGAATTCACCCCGAAGAAGCCTCCAAGCAGTACGAGGACCTTCCCGCCTATGCCATCAATGGCTATGAAGAGCCGGAGAAGACGCGCCACATCCACCCCGAGGAGCTGACCAAAAACTACACCGACTTGGGCAAGTATGAGCCGCAGACCTTTGACTCCCCCGACAAGCCTTATCCTATTCACCCCGAGGAGGCGTCCAAGGCCTACAAGGATCTCCATGGTTACAAGGCGGCCCCTCGAGATGTGGAGAGCGAGGTAAAGTTTCATGATGTTGTCGCTGCCAGCCTTGAGTCGTACGACGCAAAGGAGAGGCTGCAGGCGGACATGGCAGCCTTGGCCGGCAGGCGTAGCGGAAGCAGCATCGAGGAAGCTGAGAACTCCCTCGAGTCACTAACAGCGGATGATATCCGAAGCCAGGTGCTGTGGAGGGCGAACATGGGCGAAGAGATGGCTGCTGAAAAGGAGGAACCAGAGATGGAAATGAGTTCTATGGATGAAAGTTTTCCCCGTGAGTTGTCGAAGTCCGAATCCGAGCCGATCGAACGCATCACCAGCGAGCTGGCCCAAATGCGCGCCGAGAAGGACCCGTACTCTAACGATCCAAAGGGACTAGAAACAAGCTACTCTGAGGAATGTGGTGCCGAAACGGTGGAGGCTGTAGCCAAGCACTTCGAGCCCACCGCGACGATGACGACGGTAACAGATGAGCCTGTCACGTACAAGATCCTCGCCTACGACACGTCTACCAAATCTGTTAGCGTTGCCGAGACCACATCCGATGACCATGACGTTTCCTCTCCCCCCAAACTGACGGACGTGCTGCTTCGGCTGTCACACGCGTCCAAGTTTCTCCCTTACTTTAAGCCCCTGCAGGAACACGGCTACGACATTGTGTCGGGCGGAGGCGATGTGCTCATTTTCCGCAAGAACCGCCCTGCCTCGCCCAATGCCAGCGACCTCCCTCTGGAGCTTCCCAGCAACCCGGCTCGCATCAACCCCGTCGACATGATGGGACAGTCTGTGACGGGCAACTTTGCCAGCCCCACTGGATTCGTTAACTACGACAGCATTGAGGATGGCCACATGAAGCCGGCACCGCCCCTTCGCAGCAGCAAGCAGACGCAGAGAGACGAGGCCGAGCGCAACGGATCGGTTGCTCCAAAGAAGAAGAGGAGCTTTGGCAAGAAGGTGGTGATGGGCACCGTCTGGGTGGGCGGAGCGGCGTATGCGGTTGGAGCTCTGGCGGAGCACCTCTCTGCTGCTGGCAAATGAAAGCTGTTGATTCGGTGGTTTCTTCTCTTCTCTTCTTTTTCCTTTTTTTCCCCCTTTTCCTTGTGTTTTTTCCTTTTTTCTTTTTCTTTTTTCGGCATTGGCAGCATAAGGATATGACGCTCCCACGACGACATGTGCATGGGCCCTGGAGTAGGAGTTTTTGCTTCCCTTTGCTCCTTTTTTCTCTTTTCTGTCTTTTTCTTTTTTCTTTATTTCCTTTTTTGTTGTCTTCTTTACCATGGGATCAAGTCTGAAATACCCCCATCGATCGCGAATGCGGCTGGGAGCGACATGTCGCGAATCATGATTGCATTGAGAAGGACTCTTCTTTTTTTCTTATGAGCTGTGTACGTTAGGTAGCAGTTTTCCGGATCAGGTCGGCTTGAATTGAAATCTCCCAGTTGAACGTCAAATCTTGGAATGTATTGTGAAGTCATGAATTTTGTCGGTTGGTGTTGCGGTATTAGGAGCTGATTCCTCTTCGCCGCTATTACAATCACTACTTTCTTCCCGTATCTGAACATGCATTAAAATGTACAATCAAACCTTCATCGTAGTGTAGAATTGATGCAAAATATGATCAAATAATACTTGACCAATTAATAACCATTCAATACGGAGCTATTGTAGGCAGTCTGTCAATTTCCCACGATGCTTGACTTGGCATCACACCTCCAGCTCTCAAATCCACCAGCTGAGCTCAACCTTGACGCAAAAGTGCGTACTTGATGCTGTTTTTTCTTGTTCTTTTCCGCTCCGTTGCCGTGCAATGCAATGTAATGCCCAAACTCAAAAATGTCCCAATATCCCAAAATATTCCCAATAGCCCTTTTGTGATTCATCAAATCATTGATGAAGAAAGAAAAGAAGAAGAAGACGTCGCATGTAGTTGACGAATTCCTCCCTTCATCCCAATCTACACTCTCCGTAATGTTTAAGAAAAAGAAGACAGAGAGAGAAAGGGCATCTATCGCTCCGTAAAGCCCTGGTGTCCCGACCGCACGCCGTCAATGCCGCTCATCTGCAGCGCGTGCTTCTGGTCCTGGGAGCTCCAGCTGAGGCGGCGGTCGAGCGAGCTGGGCTTCCATGAGGAGGAGTGCTTGATGGCGGACTGGCATGCGGGGGAGGCGTCTTGGGGGTGAGGAGAGGATTGCTCCTGGAGCTGTGATGATTGTTGGGCTGTGTAGAGAGTTAGCATTTGATGTTTGAGAGGTCCGAGGATGGGAGATGCCGACTTTTGGTTGGGGATGTTGGTGGTGAAGAGTCCATTTTTGGTGTTGTTTTCGTTTGTCTCTGAGGCGATTGTTGTTTTGTTTTGTCTTGTTTTGTTTGTTTTTGAAGAGATGCCGTTGAGTATAAATAGGTACCTAGGTATACGTTGTAGTCGCGTAAAGTCTACATGTAAGCAATCATCAAGATCAGCATCAAATCAATCACATCACCTCACATCAACCCTCCACAGGACATGACATACTAGATCGTAGATTGTACGTAGGTTCAAATCAAGGTCCTTGTCCAAAGACAAAAACAAAACAAGATTCAAAAACCCCAACGCCAATCACCGGGAATTTATATCCCCAATGCAACCCCCTCAAAATCGAGCTTTCCCAAGATCCCCGATGCCGTCAGCTTCGCCACCCGGGAAAAAAAAAAGGGCGGGGTCGGCCTATCGAAAACGCCTAAACCTAGAAACCTCGTTATCGTATGATGCCGTGATGTGCGGTGGTGTTACATGTTGTGTTTGCATTCCGATGCTCTTGTCCTGAAACATGTTAGTCGATACTTGGATCCGTGATGGACGAGGCCATGTCGAGACAAGTATCGACATAATTCGGGTCAACATCACGGAATTGCAGGGAACACGGGCCTCGGATCAGGGGAGCCTCTTTTTGGGGGGTTTGTTTGGGGGCCTCTTCCGCCCTTTTATGCGTGATGTGATGGCTCGGCTATGGCTAGTTATATGTACAAGGCAGGGCAACAATTTCAGGTGCAGGTGCAGGTGCAGGTGCAGTGTCAATCAATCGCCTCCGTAGTCTCCAGTCTCTCTGTCTTGATCTCCGTCCTTCTCTCCCTCTCCGTGTGTGTATCCGTTTCGGTCTCTCTTCTCTCTCTCTCTCTCTTCTCATTCATTGCGCAAACCACTACTATCGGGGGTAAACAGCATAAAGACAAAAATTCCAACAAAGGTACCAGATAAAACTCCTCCAGACGTGGATGACGATGCATTGGCGTTACGAGCAGAATGAAAACCAAATCTCAAACTCCTCATAGGCCCATTTCCTCTTTCACCCAGATGCCGAATATCCCACCGAATTTGACGCCTCCGCAGGTCGAGGAGCGACCCAAAGGGGCGTGTAAAAAAAGATAAAAAAGTAAAAAGGAACCAAGTAAAAAAAAAAAAAAAAGTAAAAAAAAAAAAAAAAGAAAAAAAAGACCAGGGCAACAACAAAAAAGACACTTCATTTTCCTCTCTCATCCGTCGTGACCAAATATTGTCAGGGGGACCAAAATAAATCCAGACTCAAAAGATAAATCCATCTTACATGTCTCGTCCAACACAATAAACAGGAGGGCCCCAGCTGGTGTGAATAATTACACCGGGGGTGCCTCGAGAAAAGGGGGTATTGACCTTTTTATATGCGAACCCATAACAATCAATCAATCAGTCAATCAATCGTTCCTCCGTGTTTCTCCCATATGTTTTTCCTCTTTTTCTTTTTATTCCTTTCCGTTTCTTTTCAACCCGCTATCCGATTTCCGTTCCAACGTCGTAATGTAATGGCTTGATTGCCCGGCTTTCAAGGCGTCTTGGGGCGCTTCCAGTAGTATTGCTACACAAAAAGCATGTTAATCATCACGTCTACTAAAAAAAAAAAAAAGGAGCTAAAATAACGCGGAAACAAAAATCACAAATACCGACCTTGTGCTGCTTTCGACACGCCCGCAAGCTGGGCTTCCGGAGTCCATCCACGACCGCCGCCCTCCGCTGCATATCCGTGTCGTCCTCGGGGACGTAATAGTACTCGCTCTCCAGAGCCTTGCCGGCAGCGTCCTTGCCCTGGCGCTTGATGATGCCAATGCAGGGGGTGGTCTCGATGAGGAGCCTCAGGTCGTCCCTGGAAACGCCCTTGATCTGCTCGGCGGGCAGGTTGTGCATGATGGTGGAAAGCGGCGTGGAAGACAGCCGGGAGTAGGCGAGCTGGTTGACGACGTGGTTGGAGATGGCGGCATCGGCCTCGGTGGGAATCCTGGTCGGCTCCTCCTCTTCGTCATCGTCCTCTTCTTCGTCCTTGGCCTCGTCCTCGACCTCGACCTTTGGCTGGGGCAGTCTCTCCTCCGAGGGGCTTCGCTCATCACGAGACGTCCTCTTGGACTTGGACTTTCGCGGGCTGGCCTCGACATCGTCAGAGTCGTGGCTCGGCTTGCCCGGCACAATCGTCTCCTCAGAGCCCTTCTTCAAGGGTCGCTTGGCAGTCTGCACGCGGGGGGATTTCGTCGTGATGGACGCGAGGCGGCCCGAGATGTTGGCGCCGTAGGGACCAAACGAGTGGATGATGGGGTCGTTCTCCTCATCCGGGTTGCTCTCGTCTTCCTCGTCGGAATCCGCCTCGCTGGTGAAGCTGGCCGTGGCCTCGGTCCGCATGCTGACGGTGACATCCGGGTCCTCGTCCCGCTCGTCCGAATCCGGCTGGTAGTCGTCGTCGTCGTCCTCATAGATCTGGATGCCGCCGTCTTCGTCTGCTGCTACCACAGAGCGTCGGCGAGGGGCCGGGGTGGGACTATCGGGCGACTGAATACGCGTGGCCCTCCGCAGAGGGGACACCTGCATCATCAGGTTCGCGTTCTTGGCCTGGGACCGCGGCGGCGAGTCCTCCCAGCTGGCATCGGACAAGAGGCCGTTGGAGTCGGCACCCGAGGAGCTCCGCTTGGGCCATTGGATCAAAACACGGGCGTCGTGGACATCCACCATGATTTCGGTGCCCTCGGTCTCGCTGGTGAAGCTGTCGCCCTTGAGCAGCTCCCACGAGCGGCCCTGGCAGTGCAGCTTCAGGCCGTTCCAGCCATTGCAGGTAATCTCGATCTTGTTGGCCTCGAGAGGCGTGGCGGCCTGCACATACCGCGCCTTGACGTGCACACGCGATATCAGGCGGTTGGCCGAGAGCTGGAAGTGGGAAGAATTAGACGAACGACCCATCAACACCATCTCGCCGCTCTCGCTGAGCTCAATTGACGGCACGGCCGAGAGAGGCGTCCGTTCGACGAGCCCAACGCTCAACTTGTCCCGGAGAGGCGAGCTGGACAGGATGCCGGTGCTGGAAGTTGGCACCGGCGTGGGATACCGCAGATGGGCGCCCGTGCCGCCGACATTCTGGCGTTTGGAGGGCCGAGGCAGTCCGGGCGAAGACGAGGGCTCGAACGGCGGCAGCAGAGAAGGAGCCGGGCGTTTGAGGGGGGATCCCAGCGAGGAGACGGAGGTTGTCGTTGTTGACGATGCTGTTGTTGACGTTGTTGATGCTGGAGCGGGGAGCGCAGGTTCGGCTGCCGGCTTTCGCGTCGAGTCCATGGTACGGTAACGGTACGGTCCAGGCGAGGTGAATGAAGCTTCACGCGATCATTCCCCAGCACCAGAAGCAGCGATTCCCTGGTGTTGGCGTGCTCGTGCTCCTCCACCGTGGATCCTTGGGCCAGATCGCGTCGAACGGGCGGTTGTTTTTCTTTCTCTACACGCTGCACTGCACCTCTCGTGCCCTCCCCACTTACAAGCCTAGGTTGGAGATTTGCTAGCTAGCAGTACACAATGGGCGGGATGATGAAAGTTATGTTGGTTTCTTTTTTTTTTTCTGTTTTTTTCCTGTTTTTGTTTTCTTTTTTTATAATCCTTGGTCGACCGAAAGGGGGAGTGTCGAAAGGGAAAGGATTGGAAAAGCGTCGGGGGGGGAGAAAGGAAAAAAGAGTGACTGCAATGGTACTTTGCACAGACCGACGAGGGTTTCCAGTGTTGGGAAGGGGTGAGGAAGAGACCAGGGCTGGGACGAGGCGGTATTTAAACCGAGCGGAGCACGATTTGAAAAAAAGGCCCAGAAACGAGAAACACGAACGCGCGCGACTGGAGACGCATCGCGTTGGCGTTGGCGTTGGCGTTGGGAGAGCTGGCGCTGGGAGATGCTGCGCAGGTGCCCCCGAGGTACCTGGGCCAAGCGCTGGGGGAACAGGGCAGGGCGGCAGCTTCCAGCGGGCAGAGGGTGCTGGAGGGGGGACGCTGGAGGGCTGCTGTGGGCTTGCTGTGGGCGGACGCTGTGGCAACGGGCGCTGGACTGGGGGGGGGTTGATTCGATGCGAGGCGCTGGGCTACAGGGAGCTTCGGGTGCTGCCATGGCGACCTGGACGTTATGGGCGGCATGGACATGGGCTGTACCGCCGCGGCGAGTACTCGTACGAGTACAAGTACGAGTACATGAGCTGAGATTGATCCATTATGGCACGCATGGGATGGGTTTGAAGCCTGTGCTTTTTTGTGTTTGTCTTTTTCATGGATCAGGAATCCCCTCCATTGACAAGGCCGTTTTGCATGGGTGTGTGTCCATGTCCTTTGGCGAGCGTTTTTGGGGCGGATTTTGTGGAATTCGGCTGCTGCAAGTCTCTCGCTACGAAGGGCTCCATGTTTGTGCTCGTACATGCACATGTTCGGCTTTGCATGGATTTTTTGTGTCGTGTCTGGCATTAGCAGGCCCGGCTGCTGTATGTACACGTATCGCATCGTACCGTATTGTGTATTTGATTGATTGCTATTGGATTGGATTGGATGAATTGAGTCCATCATATCACATACATACATATCATGTGCAGTTCTGGCCTCTACTGCTGCATATCGGAGTCTTTTGATAATTGATCCATCCAACGACGCTCGCTCCCTTTGATCAACCACGCCAATCCTTCATGTTCCCCTTCATTACTAGGTACCTTATTCCTTTCTTACATACATTAGTATACATACCAAGTACCTTGTATGCATGGCATTGAATCAGCCGCTCCCCATTGGGCAGTTGGTTGCACGTTACTACTCGTACATATTCCATACTATCGGCTGGACACGTTAGAGTACATTACATTTGCCTTGTGTGCCCACATCCCTGCATGTCCGATATCCCCATCATTACGCACACATTTTGACGCTTGCTCGTCCAGAATCGAACATTAAATTACATTAGCACAAGACCAGCAGCCAATCGAGAGCTGTCCGGCGGTAATTTCACCAAATTGAATGCAAAAAAGACGCTGCGCTTTTCCAACCTCCTCCAGTCCTAGTCACGTCTCCACCTTTTGCAACCTAGATCGCGTTCCTCGCAACGCAAGCAAGCCGTTGAAATTCTCCTTGAAACTGAGCTGAACTCTCTCTCTCTCTCTGTGTGTGTGTGACTTTCTCTGGCATTTTCTCGTTTGTCTTCTATTCTCTTCTTTTTACCCGCACGAGGAACAAGAGAGGGACAAAATAGGGATCCCGGTGAGGAGAGAGAGAGCATGCAGGCGGCATCCCTGTCAGGCTTGATTCCCGTTGTAGGCAAAAGTCAGAAGTAGCAGCTCCGTCCATCTGCAGGCCGTCCGAGTACGACTTGACGTGGGAACCTGCTGATGTGTGCTACAAATACCTAGCCTGCATTCTCATCTCTTTTTTATTTGTGCCCTTATACAAATACTCGTAGTAGCATTACTGGCCAGTAGTAAATACATGGAGCTTATTATGCTGGTAATTGTAAACTCCGAATAGCTCCCAAAGCTCTTTCGTGTGGCAGCCTCAACTAGAACTATCCTATCCTATCCCACGCGACCATGTCGTCCGACTTCCCTGCAGCAAATTGTCCACGTCAAGCTGCCTCTGCGCACTCCTACATGCTCCCTACATGAGACCTTTTCCCCGGCCTTTGCGCAATTCACGCTCACGCTCACCACCCCCGCCGCAGATGCTGTGCCGAAACACACACACAAAAGGCTACCGGCATGTCACATTTGATATCATGGCGCAGTCTTACTCGTCGGACTGCGGCGAGTGGCCTTGGTACCTATTGAATCCCCCGGTCTGGCATCCCGAGAAATCAGGCAGAAATGCATCGTCGCCAGCACATGATGGCCTCGCATGGGTGAGTACATGCGCCGGCTCATGCAATTGCAGTTACAGGTTAGCTGCACGGCTTGGTCGCGAGGATGTAGACTTGCAGACGCGATGCGGTGCGATGCGTGCAGTAACGTAGCCTGTGCTGGTACAGAGTACTCTAAAGTCCAATGTGAATTTTATATGAAAATCAAGTACAGTCTACCAAACAAGCAGAACCCCAACCTCAGTTCCAGCCAATTGCAGAGCCCTTTTGCAGTCCATCCATCTCCAACTCTCACACAAAAAGAGCACCTCAGCAAATCAAAGCGACTTCTCGTCTTCCCCAAAGTGGAGCCCCCTCTGGATCTTCCGCTCCGGCCGCCGTCCGTCTTCCGGTGCCAAGACCGGCAACCGGGACTTGCATATTCCGAACGCCGCACTAGCCTCGCCGGCAAAATCTCGCTTATAGCAATTTTCTGATTTTTTTTTTTTTTTGCTTCGAAGCGCTCAAGCAATTTTGAGTGGTGAGAAATTGTAGCCTTTTTTCTTCTTTTCACTTTTTGTTGTAGCCACCCCCTCCATCATTACATCGTCAATTCAAGTCTTTTTTTGTTGTTTATAGACTCAGAAAGACCAATTAAGATGGCTCCTTCAAAAGAAGTCGCCGCTGCTGGCGCAAAGGCCGTGGTTTCCATTGATCCCGCCCAGGTTCGTAATCCATCTCTCGCCGTAGCAAACGGATATCAAAATCTTCCAAACCGCCAGAAGCTAACCACACAATCCAATCCCAAACAGACCCTCAAAGCTTCAAAAGCTCTCCTCGCACACATCAAAAAGGCCTCCAAGGAACAGGCCGAGGCCTCGTCCAAGCGCAACATCCTCGAGGACGACGTCGACGCCGAAAAGACCGTCTGGCTCACGCTCACCACCAAGCGACACATGGCCGACAAGGCTCGCCTGCAGCCCGGCAAGATCCCGCTGCCGCACAGCCTCAACGCCTCGGCCGAGACCTCCGTCTGCCTCATCACCGCCGACCCCCAGCGCGCCTACAAGAACATTGTCGCCTCGGACGAGTTCCCCGCCGAGCTGCGCAACAAGGTGACCCGCGTCATCGACGTCACCAAGCTCAAGGCAAAGTACGGCCAGTACGAGGCCCAGCGCAAGCTCTTCGCCGAGCACGACGTCTTCCTCGGCGACGACCGCATCATCAACCGCCTGCCCCAGATCCTCGGCAAGACCTTTTACAAGTCCACCCTCAAGCGCCCCGTCCCCGTCGTCCTCAAGCCAAAGGCCCGCAAGGTCGACGGCAAGAAGACCAAGCCCCAGAAGAAGGAGGGCGAGGTCAACGCCGGCTCTGCCGCTGACATCGCCAAGGAGATTGAAAAGGCCCTGTCTTCGGCCCTCGTCAGCCTCTCCCCCACCACAAACACCGCCGTCCGCGTGGGCTTCTCCGACTGGACCCCCGAGCAGCTGGCCGCCAACGTCGAGGCCGTCGCCGCCGCCATCGTCGACAAGTGGGTGCCCCAGCAGTGGCGCAACGTCAAGAGCATCTACATCAAGGGCCCCGAGACCGCCGCCCTGCCCATCTGGCTGACCGACGAGCTCTGGCTGGACGACAAGGACGTCATTGCCGATGCCGAGGGCGAGGCCAAGGCTCTCAAGGCTGCTGAAAAGGCCAACATTGGCAAGAAGCGCAAGACTACCGACGACAATGCCGAGCAGAAGGCCGATGCTCCCGCGGCCAAGAAGGCCAAGAAGGCCGCCAAGGAGAGCAAGCCCAAGGCGGAGAGCAACGACGACAAGCTGGACAAGCAAATCTCAGATCGTAAGTTGAGGCTGAGAAGCGCAAAGGCCACAGCTAAGAAGGCGGCGGAAGAGTGAAAAGAAGAAGAAGAGATTCAAAAGTCAACAAAATGAGAGAGAAGGGGAAGGGGAAAGGGGTTCAAAATTTTCGGCATAACAAGTTCCTTTTACATCATTATCTGTGTGTATGCGCATAATAGGATGATTAGATATCTGGCACCGGCGTTGCGGCGTATCATTCGATGGAAACGAGAGAGAGAGAGAAGAAAAGATGTGAATAGAGAATGGGATTGTTCATATTGGACGGGGCGCCATATTCCCGCTACCTATTAAAAGTCGCACCCAGTTGTATCTGCTCAAGTGCTGTACATGAAAAAAAAACATTTCCCATACGTTCAAATTCAAGTTACGCCGAAATACATTCCGTGCCCGTAGCAAAGCGCCGTGGCATCTCCCGTCGCTCATAAATACGGCCAGACCCGGACAAGGTAGAGATGGATAAATCGCACGAGGAGATAAACAAGGCAGAGGAGGGCCAGCAGAGAGAAGACAAGCAGCGTATAGCCCACGAAGAGAAGGATGATGATGTATATGACAATCGTCCAGTGACACATGATTACTTCAGCAAAGATGGCAAACATGCCCAAGGTGAGGATTGACTAGAGCTCTCCCTGGGACACATCTTCGGCGGTTTTCTCGGGGGGGAACGACCTATTCACAGGCCCCAAGAAGTCCGACATGACCTCCTTCAAGACGTCAAGAGTGATCTGCATGTGGTCGCCCGTGATGGAACGGAATCGAAGGCCGCCCTTGCTGTCCAGCTGGCGAAGGCCAAGCCAGTCCTCCTTGTACTGAGTCTGCTTTCGTAGGGGAATGGTTTCGTTGCCGTTGACCTCGGTGAACCAGGAAGTCTGCTTGGGAACGACGGTGGTGTCGTCCTCAAACATGTACATGACGAAATTTGAGAGGCCTGCGATGTTCTTCTTGTACTGTTCGTTCTTTTGCGGTCGCTCGTTGTTGATGTCGGCCAAGAAATTCGAGTGTTCAAGATAGGTATCGTAGTCGTTTGAGTCGCGGTAGTATTGCGCCGGCACCAGGCGGCTCTGGACGAAATTGCTCCAGGTATTGAACCTCAACAAGGCCATGGCGCCTTTACACAGGTAGTCTACGTTTCCGCACGTCTTGAACTCGGAGATGCCGTTGTGCTGGCTGCCAAAAGTGATCAGGTTGCGGACCGGGGGCTTGTTGCATCGCTCGACATATCCGCGAAGGAACTGCCCTCCCTGGGAGAAGCCGATGGCGTCGATGGCCGGGGCGGTGGACAGAATTGGATGCTCGGCGAGGACATCGCACACGGTCTGTAGCTGCTCGGTGACGTTTCCGAAGAAGGTGGCGGAGCGGTCGGAATTTGGGTCGGTGCTGAGTCCGATGGCGTATGTGAAAGTGCCCGGGTGAATCTGGTCTGCTAGTTCTCCAACTTCCGTGATGCCCTCGGAGTTGAAGGTGTCGCCCAGACCGTGCCAGATGACGAGCGGCAGTGGTGTGTCATCGTCTGCGTCGTCTGCGGTGTGGAGGGAGAATTTCCAGCCGAGGGTGCGGCCGGCAAGCAAAGCTGTCGCGAGGAGGGACGTAGTGGCGCGCATAGTGAGAGAAGGACTGGAGAATAGATGAAACGAATATTTGGATGATGATCTCGAAACCTCTGGATGAGTGCTCTGTGGGTGTAAATGAGGGAGGATGGAAGGTTGAAGATGAAACAGACGAGGTTGGAAAAAGCTGGTGATGATGCGGCAGGGCGGGCAGGGATTAAGCTGTCAGCGCGCGCGTTATCGTTATCGCCGGGCAGAAAACCAATCCGGGGCAGTAAAGCCTGTGGGCGGTGGTGGAATAGCGTTCAAGGCTGCGTATGTCTGTCCACTAAAGTTTGGGCTCACAAACTCCAATCAGCGGCATCAACTTGGGCGCCTTGGGGGCGAGATGTCGGTTTACCCTACAGCCGGGCAGGTTAAATCAATCAATACATGTGATTTAACGTATTGAGAGACAATAAGAAATCACTGATAGAAGAAGAGTCTTAGGAACAGGTGTTTTTATGTTATTTATTATTATAGTATTTCCGTATCAAAGGCAGCTCTCGATAACCGAGCAAATGGCCCAGTACAGGTATCTTTTCATGTGTGTCCGACCATCATTCCCCAATATGACTGAAGTAACAAAGTAGTATATGCGCGCGTCTAATAGCCATCAATCTCTGCCATGGTTGAGTAGCTTATGGCCGCTATAGAAACAACATCACATAGCTGTACTTTCGTACGGGGACATGCCGCAGTCGTGCTTAGTTGGGTGGAGTGAGTTGAGGTGCTGCTGGAGCATCGCCCGCAGGAGCAGAGCCGCCCGAAAAGTTTGGTCGGAAAAGATTGAATGGAAGACCCATGGCCACAGAAGCAGAGGCAAGAGCGGCGAAAAAGAGGGTTGAAGGCTGCATGGTTGCTTGAGTTGTGTTGGCTGGTTATACGAAAGACTGAGCTTGAAGATTTGCTGATACAAGGAAGGGTATCGGTGCGATCCAGCGCAAGGTGATTTATACGTAAATGCAACGACGATGAAAGGAAAATTCAAGTCGATGTACCGTGAGAGCTAGCTCACTAGAAGTGAATGAAACAGAGCAGTGCAAATGAACGGTTGTTGAACAAGATGGAACAACTTGACAAACATCGAGGCGGATGGGGCGCTCCTTTAAGCTGTTCCGGCAGCAGCGGTTCAGGGGGGAGATCAAGAAACTTGTCCTTGAAACATTTACTTGTCACCAAATTACTTTATCCTAGATGGGAGCCGAGTTTCATGCAGTCTGTCTCCAAGCTGAGCCGTTAGGCCAGGACATGAGACTCGAAACCGGCGACTTGCTACGCCATGGGTTTCAGCCGTACGCAAGGGGGGTCAAAGGCACGACGAGGCACGTTTGTTTAGCGGCGCGCTTAATCATTGTCGGATAGTCGCTGGTCCCAGTGAGAAACGGGATCCAATGCATTCAAGCGCTTTGTAGAAGCACCATCATCATCTTAATTGCATTCCAAGGGCGCTGGTCTTGGGCGTTGTAACACGACTGGACAATGCGCTTCTTTGTACATACATGGCCACCATCCGCTTACAGAAAATCGATTGGCTGTGGGTGATTGGGAGCTTCAAAGCCACAAGCATCCACATCCATTGATTTACAGCCATAGGTACCTTTGTCTCTGGGAGTGACTGGTAGCATTGAATCATCCCAATTACTGGTCAACGCATGGTATCATCTATTGCCATCTCCTAGTTGGAGAGTTACATGTACTTGCTGTTGTACTGGACGCTGATGGGATTAGTAGCGATAAGAGCCGATATTAGCAGAGTGAGAATGATGGCAGCAGATATTACAAGAACTGAAAGATTACTATAAAACAAAAAGCCGTCTCTCCTGTACATCTTTATGACACAATTAATCGTGTCCTTTCCTTTTCTTCATTCTTCGCCCTTTCTTTTCCCTTTAATATCAGCCTTGCGCACTGCGTCATCACGCGGACTCGATCCGCGCTCCAGCGGCATGGCTGCGCGCCGCAAAAAGTTGAGTGGGCCTCTCTTTGGTTACTACTAGCTAGCACATCACGGCATATTTCCATCTTTGACTCCTCCATCTCGACCTCGACGACTCTCACATGCGACGATTCGATCCTGCAATGGCGGCGTGTTAGTAATGCTGCAGACGGCAATCGCAGAGCGCCGTCAATAGTGCCTGCTTAGGCTCCTGGGCAGGGAAATCGGGCGCAAAAAGGCACCTCAGCAATTAACCTCTCCACGAAAGCTACACCTCCGCCAGTCGATCCTACTCGAATCCCCCCAAAGACTGTGGCCGCCTCTCTCTCCCCCTCTCCCTCTCTCCATCTTCAAACCTCTCAATCATAAAACATGTCTCCCACAGACCTCGAGGCGCCGCCAACGGCTTCGAATGGCGACGCAGCTCCCCGAATCGGGCCTCATCCGGGCTACATCTCCAGCTCGAATCAATACGCATCGGAGCTCAAGATACGGCGCATGCTCAAGGAGAATGGCTGCGACCCCGCGCGAGAGGATAACTACCGCTTGCAGGGCGTCCAACTCATAGACACCGTCCGGCAGCATCTGAACCTGTGCGTTGTACTGCCCGACTATCGCTGGCCATGGACGGAACAGAACTAACCTCTGCTGCAAAAAGCCAGGCCGGTGCGGACATTCGACACGGCGTGCACCTATTTCCACAAGTTTCGGCTCAACTTCCGCGATGCCGAATACAACTACCAAGACGCGGCCCTGGCATCGTTGTTTGTCGCGTGCAAAGTTGAGGATACGATTAAGAAGTCCAAGGACATACTCGCGGCAGCCTACAACGTCAAGAATCCTGAGAAGCCCGCCGCTTCAGACGACAAGGTGCGTGAGGCCTGTGTCCTTTCAGACTAAACTAACATAATTATGCAGATTTTTGAGTCACCCGGTAAAATCATCATTGGACTAGAGCGACTGATTCTCGAAACGATCGGCTTCGACTTTCGCACTCGTTACCCCCAAAAGCTCCTGGTCAAGGTCGTGCGCAGCATCCTCGGCCCTGACCAAGGGAAAGAATTCTTCAACATCGCCTACGCCATGAGCATCGACATGTACAAGACGTTTGTTCCCATCAAACGCACCACCTTCTCCATGGTCATGGCTCTCGTGGAACTCACAGCTCGCATGACGGGCAATCACTTGGACAAAGTGAAGGACTTTGCCGCGCAACGACGGCAGTACCATCGCCCGGCTGTGCTCGAGACCATGCTAGATATCCTGGACCTATATGTCCAATACCACAAGTCGACCAAAGTCGGCACGCAGTTTGACCTGAACCGATTCATGGACATCAAAATCGCCCTTAACACGGAGCTCGAAAAAGAATTCATCTCTCGACACATGTACTACTGCAGCCGTTGCGAGAATGAGGAACCCAGCCCCCTCACCCCTGGCTCGATCACTTCGCCGACAGCAACATCATCATCGTTGCCTGGCGACTTGTCCATGCGACGAACGGCGCGCGGCCAGGACGGCACCATGCGATTCGTTTTCGACCCCGAGGCGGCTCGAGAGGAACAAGACACGGTGGCCCAGTACTACAATGAAGAGTATGAAGAATACGAGGTCGAAGTGGAAGAGCCGATACCAGTGCCGAGAAACGAGCATCCGGAGGGAGGCGGGCGTGGGGGATATCGTGGTGGACACAGTCATGGGCCTCGAGATAGGGGTGACCACAGGCGAGGAGGGCCGTATGGAGGAGGATACAGAGGGGGGGACAGGCACTATCGCGGGAGGAGATTTCATTGATTTCATTGAATACCGATGACGTGCGAGTAAGCTGTGAGGCATCATGTCGTTGGCTTGGTTAGTTGCCTTTGTTAGTCACCTTGTTGGACGTCATGTCGAATCACATGTATTGCGTATGTCAAAGGAAGCAAGAACAAAGAGAAAAGATGGCCAAACAGATGGCCAAAGTCGGATCACATGCACTGCGTATGTAGACAAAGAAAAGCAAGAACAAAGGGTCAAGATGATTGAACAGACAGCCAAACGTCGCAATGGTCAACAAAGCGCACAAGATGGATATAAGAACTCTGAAAACATGAATATCGTGGGGTGGTTGCCTCCGCTTTCCTCATCCCCAGGGGAGATCCATATCTGAGCTTGATAGAGCTATAACCTGCGGTTCAATATTATTATCAACCAGCTTCAGTTTAACAACTCCCATCCGTACGACAAACCATGTCGGACCACTCGCGCTCGTCGGAGACCTCCAGCGTACAAGAGGAAGAGTTCCAAGGTCCAAGGTGGCGAGAGGATATCGAGTCAGTAATTCTTGACATGTCCTCTGAGCCAGGGAAGAAGCTAATGGAACCAGCATCGTTGTAATTCATGGCGATGAAGATGGAAAAAAGTGTTCGCCGGATCTGGAAAATGCTAAACCGCTGCAAGACTCCCTGTTTGACCGAATCGGCGAGATTCGAGAAAAAATAATTTTTGAGTACGATGTTGGGGCAACGTTCGGGGCTGGCAAAACCGCTGGCTTTGATGAAGCGGCCGTGAACTTGCTTGAGACCATCTGCAAAAGCGACAACAAGAATGAAAATGCAAATGGAGCCGGTGGAAGCAGAAACAATAGTCTTGTTCCCTTGGTAATGATTGCTCATGGTTTGGGTGGCCGCATTGTGCAAAGAGCCTTATGCATGGCTAGGCGGAGCTTGAAGTATCGATCGATTGAACTTCGAACCGAATTGCTGGTATGACAATATGCAAACATTAAAAAGTACATATTGAACGAGGTTGCTGATACTGTACAGATGTTTGTTGGCACACCACAAGTCTCGTCAAAATACGACGAGTTGATGGGTGATCTACTTTGGAGTGACGTGAGACGGGAATTTCTGTCTTTTGCATTGCGCTATCGTATTATATCCATCAACCAAGACCTCGAGATCGGTTCGTCGAGGGACATCTTCTTCTTGGATTGTCCGACGGAAAAGCGCCTGACTCGCAACACGCAATACATGGATCTGGGTCAATTTTCCCTGGAAGACGAAGACCTCATGGTATTGACTAGGGAGACTGAAAGTCTCCTGAAGCCAAGCCATTTTGACGATTATTACGACGAATACCTTGCTGTTTTGCAATTTATGAATAAGAAGAGGTCTTTAAAGATATATCAAGATGAGCCCACGGCGCAATCCCGATCTTTCAAGTGGATGGAACAAGAGCGTCCGAAGATTGAAAGATGGCTGTCGGAATCGGCTTCCAGGATCCTTCTCGTGAGCGGCGATGAGGGCTTAGGCATGCGTCCGGAATCTCAACACCTGATGGAGGAGGCAGAAGAACGGTACAAGGAGAGTGCTATGAGTACCGTTTCCGCTTCATTCACCTTTGACTCCTTTGACGATCGTTTCAATACCCTGGAGGCATTGTTTACATCGCTTGTCCTGCAACTTTTACTGGCCGATCCAACTCTATTCAGTCTCCTCGCCGATGTCGAAGCGGGCTCTGTTGCAGATATGCTATCGGACGACACCAATGAACCAATGGTATCTCGACTCTGGCGCTTGATGAAGACTTTGCTGTTATACCGCAGGAGATGCGCTATCGTTTGCGGTATCAACGCAATTCAAGACTGCAAGTCAGATTATACGGCATTTTTGGAAGATCTCAAGAACCTTTGCAGTATATCGGAAGCAAACTTTAAAATTGTCATTACGAGTGTCTATGACGGAACTACACTTAAGATCCCTCTTAGCATTGCCCTAGATCAGGAGGAGGCCATGAAGCTGCAGAGAGATGAAGTCATGAAGTCTGTATCTATATTTATCAGCACTAGACATGATTTGAAAGAGCTTGAACGCTACATTGCGAGCACGATATTCGAGACGATAGGCACAAACTTCTGGCAGGCCAACTTGCACCTCAAGTACCTGGAAATGAGTATGACGCATACTACGCCAAAGTCTATCAGAGACACGATGACATCGCTGGGCGCCGGACCAGCCCAGTCGATTATAAGCCGTTTTCTCCACAGGCTCATAGATCATGGCAAAGATCGGAGTCTAAGAATGCTTGCATGGATTACCTACGGGTTTCGACCGCTTGAGCTTCCGGAGTTGGCCACCGCAATGGCCCTGGATTTCGTGGACCCAGTCTCTTCTGCTCAGAAACCAGTCTCTCTGGACTGCGACCCGATAGATGACTGGTATTCTCGTGATATATCAGTGGACATTCAGCTCACTCTGAGGAACATCTTGGAAATTCGCGGTACGGCAGTGAGCATCGCGAACCTACACCTGAGGAAAGCCGTCATAGAAGAAGTAAGAAAAAGAGCAAACCGATCAGATCTATCATACAAAATGGAAGGAGAAAAATTCGAGGCGGCTGGGCTGTCCAGAAACATTGACCACCTTACAATTGCTCAGATATGTCTCGGCTATCTCTCAGTAGAACGCATGGAAAGAGTCTACGAACTTTTGGATGGGCAGCATCTGCTACATTCAGGTCCTTACCAAGATAACTTCTGCATCTACGCTGCACAGTACTGGCCGGCTCATTATAGATCTATCGAGGGTCCTGCTGCTGAGGTTATTACCGCAATAATGGAACGGCTTCAATGCCCTCCCTGGCTCGCAGCATGGAGGAAACTGAATGATCATTTGGGGTATCTTGAGCATAAGATTCCCGAAATCCCAGATTTTCAGGCACCAATCTCTTTCTATTGTGCTAGTCTGGGATTGAGAGCTGCCCTTGAAGTAGCATTGGAAAAGGAAGTTCAGATGATTGATGACGAGAGCAAAGATATAATCTTGATGGCAGCAACAAGATCAGGCGACCTGAAGACTGTAAAGTATTTGCTTGCAAGATTTGATTATCAACATGATTCTATTTCCGAAGCCATCGCAGGCCTGCTCATGAGTGGAAACCAAGCTGTGATAACAGAACTCTTGAAGAGATTCCAGTGGGAGCAAGAGTCACCTGCTATTACCTCTCTGTTAGAACAAGCTGCTTATATGAATGGGCCTCCACTGCTAATGCAGACTGCTGCCGACCAACTTAAACAGCACCAGAGTGGTTCAACGGCTCACTTACAGCCGGCTTTGCATGCCGCGGTCAAAGTGGGCAACAAAGCCGCGGCAGAAATCATACTCGATTTAAAATTCTTAGCAACCAAGGCCACTAGAACAGCTACGGATGAAGAAAGCCAAACACGAGACCCCGCAAGCAACTTATTACACTTGGCCGTTGCAAACGGAAACGTCAACTTGCTATCGATGCTCGCCTCGGAAAACTTACCAATCGATATGGTGGATGAGAAAAACAGGACTTCACTTCATCTTGCTTCTATGCTGAGCTATCAAAGCATGGTCCGTCACTTGATCTTGCGGAAAATAGATGTCAATGCAAAGGATGCTCTCGGTCGTACGGCTTTACATTACGCGGCTCTTATGGGTCACCTTGAAATTGTAAAAGAGCTACTTTTACAAGAAGACATTGCGATTGATGAAATGGACGCTGCGGGAGATACTCCATTACTGTTGGCCACCAAAATGCAACAAGGGGAGGTGGTAGAAGAGCTATTGGAGAAAAAGGCATCCCACAAGAAGTATAATAAGTTCGGGGATACGGCTCTTCATATCGCCGTCCGGAATGCGGACAAATCTATTGTTCAATTGTTAACCGCAGAAGAGGATGTGGACCTAGAGGCGAAGACAGTGGATTCTTTGACACCCCTTCTCTTAGCTGCTGAATGCGGTCACTTGGATATATTCAAGCACCTTCTCAATTCAGGGGCCGGAAAGCACGCTGAGAACGCTGCTGGATTAACACCTCTGCATCTGGCAGCGAAGAATGGTCATGTGGCTCTCGCAGAGTTTCTGATCCAGATCGGGGCGGAAATCGATTGCTTGGGTAATGCGACGTCTCCGCCATTCCATCTCGCAGCCGAAGCGGGCCATGTCGCCTTTGTGAAGATGCTTCTTCAGCACAATGCAAACATCCAGAGAAGAAATAGATTGGGTCAGACTCCAATCATGATTGCTTGCGAAGCTGGCAACGTGGAAACCGTGAGATGTCTCGTAAACAATGGAGCGGGACCGGAGGAGGCATTAAGTGTTGCTGCCGCGCAGGGCTATCGACAAATAGTCGAGATTCTTCTTAAAGCTCTTGAATCTGATGATGAGTTGAAATGGAAGCGGGATTTCTTGAACAAGGCACTGCGTGAAGCCATTGAAAAGAATCATCTGTCTATTGCTAAGCGAATTTTCGAGACGGGAGTTGACATTGAAAGCAAAGATTTTCTTGGAAACTCTCTTCTTGATCAAGCTATGCGTTCAGGATCAGTTGATATGGTTCGCCTTGTGCTTGAACGTGGTGCGGATGTCAATCACATTAGCATATATGGGCACAGTGCTCTTCATTTGGCTATCAAATACCAACTTGACGAGTGCGTCAAGTTGCTTGTTGGAGCTGGAGCCGATGTGAACGTCTCAAAACACTGGGTTATGCCTCCTCTGCATTTCGCAGCAAGTTATGGCACCCTTGCATCTTTCACAATGCTTCTAGACGCAACAGAGGACATTGAATTTCGCTCAAAAGTCAACAACACTACTTGCATGTATGCGGCGTGCAATGTAGGCAGGAATACGAGAATTCTGGGAAGCGAGGATACTGTGGAGAGAATCAAACTACTTGAGGCGAAGGGCGCGAATATCAAAGCTCTCGGTGGAAAATGGGGTTCTCCCTTACACGCTGCTATAGCAATGCGCTCCAGATACACGGATGCTCAATCCTTAGATGTGATGGAGTATTTACTTTTGCGAGGGGCTTCGGTAACCGACAAAGATGAACAGGGCAGAAGTGCCGTTCATATTGCCGCCTCCACCAAGGGTAGCCTGGACAGCTTCATCAAAATACTTGGCCGAGACCCGAATGGCCTGACACGACAAGATACACAGGGCAGAACTGTCTGGCACCATGCAACAGCTGCAGGGAACCTGCGTGTTCTGAAATACATCTCACGGCTCATTTGCTCCGACGATTGTGAAAATGAAGAATCATCTCAGATACCCAAGGATCCACGCATCAAAGACGCCATCTCACAAGGCGATAAACATGGTTGGACCCCACTCATGTGGTCTGGCAAACAGCAAAAACACCAAATTGTCTCCTTTCTTGTTCATCATGGAGCTGATGCCAAACACATCTCTCGGTTAGATTGGAACGCGGATCACGTTGCATTGTATCATGGTCAAAGGAACGTGAAAAGGCGACTGAACAAGATGAAATCGAAGGCGGACCGGACGGCGAAAGCGGAGGAGAGACTGAGGGAGTTACAGAGGCACAATCCGGGCGCGGAGGCAGATGAAGAAGAAGAAGATGATGATAGCGAGCTAACCTCTGATTCTGATGCCTATGACGGCTCGAAGAAGCCCATACGCCCTGTTGAGGGGGCGGGCACAGTACTCATTGACGGTAAACCCGTAGGCGAAGCCACTCGAAGACGGCTGCTTTGCGGCGGGTGTGCGACGGTATGTACCCGGATCTTTGCATCTTCCTACTACCAGGCCAGGCCTAATCTAACCACTTTGCTTTCTAGGTGATATATGGACCATATTGGATGTGTGAGGATCCAGAGCTCCATTTCTGTTTCAAGTGTTCTTGGACACGACATGAAACACATCCCGGACAGACGTTTAAATTAAATGACGAAGACTGCAAAGAAGGGGAGATGCCGCCTGCTCCTGGTACAGATTCGGCGCAAGTGGACTGCGCTGTGCCGTTGCCAGTCACCGATGATGTAGATAAACCTTACATGGACTTGATGTTTAGCTCTTGATCACTATGTATGGCCTCTTTGCGCTGTATGTTACTTTATGCTGTGTTGCCTGGAACCAAGGCTGAGGGGCAAGAATGGATGGAGAGCAAACAGCATGATGAAATAAAGATGATGATGAATGTTGGAGGAACACGAAGTATGTCCAAGTCTGGATGGAATCTACTTGAGAACTATATAGGAGACGATGTTGCTTTTCAGAAATTAGTCACTGCCTTCATTCTTAGATCTGACAAAGCCAAAACAACCAGGCGCCTCTACTTATGTACTCTGGATGGATACATAACATACATGTCTTCAGAAGACTGTGTGTACTGAGCTAATTAATGTTGATGGCCGCAATGATAACCTCAGACATCTAAACTTGGGAGTTCCTTTGTATCCATCCCCAGTACTTGACTTTTATCCATAAGAGACGCACACAAAAAACAAGAAGAAACATTACCACACACAGTAGTAGCAATAATAGTTGAGACGAAAAGGGAAAAAGAAACCGAAAAGAAACCAAAAAAGAACCGCCTACATCTCAATCGAATGACTTTGTATAGGAAGAGCCCGATGCGGGGGTCGAACCCGCAACCTTGAGATTGCATCAGAACGTGTGCTCATAAGAGTCTCACGCTCTACCGATTGAGCTAACCGGGCAAGTGCAGAGCCATCGGCGCCCGGATATCACCCGAGTGCCATTGGCCAATCACGAATCACCGATTGAGCCCTAGGCGGCTTGTTGAAACGGGATGAGTTATTTCGCTTTATAGACTACACAGATACCTCAATAGCGTGTAAGTAATTCGTGACCAAGGCGTGTTATAAAGGAGATTGAACAGTTTGTTCAGCATGTTGGGTTCAAGACGGAAGTTCCTGAAGATAGATGGATGAGCATTAGGGTGCAGTATTCATGCTCCCTGTAGAGGGTGATGGCGATGATGGCGAGGGTTTGTACAACAGCAACTACATGTACCTCATCAATCAATCAAACTGTCTATAGTACCTAGTACCTACTATACTCAGGTATCTACTTGACTCCTTCTTGAATCCGAGTGAATGTCTTGTCTCACCTTGTGAACCACGTGTGTCTACACGTGATGCCACGCACCAAGCCGAACCACCCCCAATGGATCTCATTCTCCGTTTGTTGTTGATGTCGTCGCCCTTCCCTTCCCTTCCTTCTTCTTCTTCTTCTCCCTTCACAACTCAATCGCTCAACTGGACGATATACGTGTCAAATCACCTCAAATAATCCATGTTCTAGAGAGTGCAACATGGCCAACTCGACACCTTCTGCCAGCGATTACAAGGGCATTGTAGGGCCCCTTCGCCATCGCTGCTCTCACTGCCAAACTGCTGGCCCAAAGCTTCTTCGATGCAATGGATGTCTCGCCGTCCGCTACTGCAGCCGCGAGCACCAGGCCGCTCACTGGCCGAAGCACAAGTCTGATTGTTCCAAGATCAAGAAAGCTCGCGCCAAGGTTGCCGAAGAGGACCTTGCCATCCGCAACGCCACGGAGAACTTTATGACTCCTGCCAACGCCTTTGAAACGCACGTTGGCCACTTCTGGGGCATGATGAACACGCGAGACTACATGCGGGCGCGGATGGCGCTGGCCTTGAAGCTTGTTCACCAGGGGACGCTGGGCAGCGTCACCGAGGCCTACGAGCACATGCGCGACATGCTGCGATTGAACCGCAGCGACAACATGGGATTGCGAGACATGGTCCCGGCTCTGATGCTGTGATTGGATCTCGACCAAGAGTGCTATGATTTCGTCAAGTGGTGGGCCACCTGTGATCCAGACGGCCAATACGACTGGGGCGACACGACCTTGCCGCACCTCAATCTTCACGGTGCCGACGTCTTTGAGGAGCCAAAGCTTCTCATCGTCGAGTATTCGGATTTAAACCCACTTGTAGCTCTTATGCTGTTGAATCTGAAGCTGCTCGTCGACATTCATAACCTACAGATCACTCGCAAGATCCTTTCCCGCACCCGTCTTCCTATTGAGCTACGGGATAAGATAGAGCTGGCTGTTATTCGGAGTCCCCTCTCCACAAAGCTCCAGAAAGAAGCGCCCGAATCTCTTCTTCAAACCGAGTCCACTCTGATCAAACATATCCGCCTGCTTGGCGCTACCCTGGTCGAGACCAACGGCCAATTCATGTTCAATCTCTTTGATCCCGATGAAGCACTCTGCAGCAGGCCAGAGGCATATTCACGTGGGTCTTGGGAAGAAACGGCATTCTCAATCCAACATTCGTACGCTGCATGGTGGGAGACGGAGGGCGTCTTGGCCCTGCTGAAGGATGCGCGCATGTGCGCAGCGCGGGACTCGGAGGATGAGATTGAGGATATCATGAACGCCCGGACGTTCAAATCAAGCTCGGGACCGGATCGTACAGCCGAGGAGCTGCTGGAGGACGTGAGCGTGAATCGAATCTGGGGATACCTGGATTATGCAGCCGAGAACGCCTGCTACTTGGGCCCCTGGTCTGAGCGGCCTTCTGAGCAATATACAAAGGCGAGCAAGGAAAGTTGGGCGAGAGCCGAGGAGGAAGATGACGAGGAATGGAGCGATGATGAAGAGTAGATGGCCTTCTTGAATGGCTATTGGTAGCTGTGTGTACGGAAAGTGAGACAAGGGTGTGATTCCATCAATGAATAGGTATCTTGTTCATCATACACCTACACGCAAATCGACGTATACTTGCTAAAGTTCCATTTTATACAGCTTCTATGTAGTCAATCCCGTACATGCTAGTATACCAGCACCAACTAGACGAAGATTTAGTTTGGGTACTAGAAGGGCTCCATCGTTCCGAGTACTTACGAATGCCTCCATCGACAACGGGAATGAATTCGATAGTTTGTGATGATGAATTGATGTCGTCTGTCAATCGATCAATCCAACTCTGGACTTCGTCCAAGTACTTTGGGAAATGCGTGATACCTGCAACACCACAGCATTAGCGATGTGTCTCTGGCAGAAGGAATGTAACTTACATCCGCCCGTATAACCGACAAGCAATGGCTCTTCTTCAGCTGCTACCTCTGCATTTGGCGATTGACCTTTTGCCGACGGAGCTGTGTTATGGCTCGAAAGTAACTCAGGATCGAGCAACTTGTCGGACTTTAGAGCTCTGATGCAAAGTAGCATGGCAATGATGGCGCTGCCTGTTAGCATCGTTGCGCGCTTTCTCACTCTGATTGAGATTTCGCGCAAGACATTTGCACTTTCATAGTCCCATTTCCACTTGCTGTCTGATGTAGAGGGTAATTCCGTCTCACACATCGCGACAATCGGGTCTTTTTCGTTACGACTGCCAGATGTAATGGTATCGCCAAGGGTTCCAATAAATGCTGTCGTTAGAGAATTTCGTTGTCGAAGCCGCAGTGGTAGGTCGGGCTCAGAGATATGCCATTGGCTTGTGAAGAAGTCAACCGCCATTAGGCGAGCAAGCTCGCCGAGATATCTCCCAGCAGCTAGAAAAACCCGTTAGCTATAGTTACTTCTCGATAACCGGGAATATGTACTCATGTAATCATATGGCTGTTGGCCAGGTATAGGAAGGTCTTTGTCAAGTAGCAAATCCCACTGTGTTATATAAGACTGTAGTGGCCCTGATGCTCCCTTCATCTCCCACTCAGTGTTGATGATGAACTCGGTAGAACTTGAAGAAAGCTCCCCCAGATCCATATGACGGGGGAGTTTAAAGCTCCCAAAGCTGCTCAACGGCATGGTTACAGTAGCGTTGGTGCCTGTCGCGCAGATAAAACTCTACACTCTGGTGTTAGCAACAAAAGAAATGTCAAGGGAGGTGACTCACCATAGGTACTGGTCTACCGCACGAGCTTTGGGCGTTGTAGTTTGCGGTGATGAACGTTGCGACTGCATCGTTGACAATGGCGGCAATCTTTAAATCTGGCAACTTAGTTTCTAGCTCATCACCCAGTTTAACTCTGTAAGTCTCATAGCCTTGGATAAGAAGATGCCCCAGATCCATATCCGTAGCAAGAGTGAACCCTTTGGACAGTGCCATTATTTTAGCTTCCTGTAATGACTCTTGGCTGTGTTCAGGATTAGTATTAGCACTATAACAGTTGTATATCTGCAATAGCAGGGGCTTTTCTTACATCATGGGGAAGGAAAACGTGATGCCGACAGGCAGAAACTTTTCGTCATAGCCATCCGGAAAACTCCTTTTATTGCGAATTACATCGACGATGCAACTTCCAATCCAGTTGAAGATCTTTTGCGGATGTTCCTTTTTCAGGTCCTCATCAATATACCAAGACTTTTCGAAAGATTTGTGAAGCCGGCTCCTATTTGAATCATCCTTGGCACTCTCATCTATGCCATCATGATCCTTGGCCTGATTCATGTCGAGAAATTCAATGATGCCTACTCGAAGATTCGTCCCTCCAATGTCGACAGCTAGGCATTTCCCTGTCTGATGTCCCGTCGACATGTTCTGCTTCAAAAGCGGCGTTGGAATGAACTGATCTGATGAAGTTATTGCTAGGCTCCGATAGATAAGCCACAAGTCTCTAGCTAGCGACCAAGGTTCCGAAGCACCGGGAGGCTCGATAGGAAATTGGTCTAAGAATGACTCCAGCGACGTGCTTTCGGATCCCATCTTGAAGTTGGTTGCGCTCTTTGTTGGCTGGTCAATTTGAGGTGGGCGTGAGTAATTGATCAAGTAAATCAGCCACTCTTAATAGCAGTCACTTCTATGGCAAGGCGTTAGTGTATCCTGAAATCGTCCTCGGAACTTGAATAGATATATCAAGTAGCTTAATAACCGTCAAATGTTTCACTGCGGTCGTCTTGGTGAGGAGGGGAAGCAGCTCAATTGGCGGCTGAATGCACCTTAGACCCTCCAGCTATGACAAGCTACTAACACACGCTCTAAGGAGACACTGCCTTAGCCGCTCTTCGCTGTCTTGGCAACGGGCGATGGCTCAACAATTAGTTTCTTCAACTAGATTGTGGAACACGAGTAAGCAATTAGCATCAACAGTCAATAGTATCAAAGGCCCCATCTCACCCGCTATTCCCCAGCTGTAACATTCCATCTGAACGCCTCTCCCGTCAAAGAGAACCTAGCCCAGACATTCGAGGCACAGAGAGCGGGCCGGCCCAATGTAAAGGGCGCTTACAAAGTCCGCGATTCCCCGCTTACATACGGAGTAGTCTGCTGAACAATGGACTTCCATGCTTAATGAGGCTGCCTGACTCGTGACCGCTCTCAATAAGCTACATGCACGGGTAGTCAAGACAGGCCATGCTGACTTACATGTAACTTTCGGAATGAAGCAGTTCGGAACGGAACAGCTTTCTCACTCTGTCAAGTAGATAGCTCCGTATGCCGACAAGGGCCAGGGTTGTACTGGATTAATGGCTCCTAACGGAAAAATTGCCTACTTGGGATTCGGGTGTACCGAGTATAAACGTAAATAGACTCATACATGGCTTGAGCTGTTCTGTAGAGGTCGGAGTAGACGAGTTACTGACAGTCAAGGCGCCAGACAGCTTGGTAGTGTCAAGGAGTCGAGTGTAGATTCTACCTTGAGACTCTGCGCTTGGTAAGTGGCCACATTTTCAAGAGAGCTTGAGGGCCTTGAAATGCCGAACAAGGTTATTACCATTGGGGTGGGCACGATGGTGGATGTAAAAGAAGTTATTATTGCTTATGGCTTACCTGAAGCTCGCGCCGTGGGAATATGTATCGAATACGGGGTCAATCATATGTGGACTATGAGCACCCTGCAGCTTCACGAATGATTTATAATAATGGTGGATAACTATGTAATAAAGGATTGAAAGATGAAGACAGTATCACATTTCAAGCTTATAGAACGCTGAAGATATATTTACGAGTTACTGCGACCTATATTAGATTACTTAAACCATTAGATCATGGATTTCTTCTTCTCATCCTCATTATCTAAAGATTTTGTTCCTGGTAGCTGAAATTACGATGAACTATTATAAAATAACAGGAACCTATTGTTGGGTCTGTTAACGAGGGAAATGAAATGCCAAACTTCTCACCGATCATGGCCCTAAGACTTCAGTAGTAATCTGTTTCTCAGGCCACAGGAGGACCTGGTAGTTACAGAATACTTGACCACTTAGCTCTTGGAATTCCCCGTAAACGCCAAAGGACGCCTCACCCCCCAAGTAGTCGATGGAGAGAACCTCCAAGCACCCTGATGCTTCCTTTCAAAGTAATAGTGCACAAGAAGCCTCACCACTCCGGGAACTTCGGGCCAGTCGCCCGCCCCTTCAAACTCTCCATCAGAACTTCCAAAGACGATGGGAAAAATGATGGACTAACAAGTCAGCTTACTTCTCATAGGTAGCCACGAGGGAAAACATGCTCACCTTGTCGCCTTTCCGCATCTCCAGATCGAACACGTTCCATGCGTCTCTCAAAGCTTTCCCGTCATATGCTGTTAGATCCAGAAGTGTCTGGATCTCTTCTGTCAAATGCTGAATCAAAATCTTACCGAAACCGTCGATTAGAGCTCTCAATTCCTTGCCGTCGTAGCTTTCAGGTTTGCATTTGTTCAACCATGTCTCAAACTCTGCCAGTCCAGACTCGAAAGCGTGATGCTGAGCCACGTTACGCTCCATCAGGCCCTTTTCGCCTGTGATTTTTTCTATTTGAGGGAAGAACAACGCTTCTTCACCCTGGTGATGCTCACGAATCCATTGGCACCAGAATTGTGCGTATTTCAGCAAGTCGGTGATGTCGATGGAGGCAGAGACGTAGATGCATTGCTGATAGACGCTGTTGAGAGCTCGAATCATGCCATTGTGCGCAAATGCCATTTCACGAGCGACATATACGGATCCATGAGCTTTGGAGAGGTTCACACCGCGGCCAGGTATAGAGATGAGGGTGAAAGGCTCATCAGCCCAGGGTGCAGCCATCGCGGGAGAGGTAAGGAGAGAAACTCTGGTTAAAAAACGTCTCGAGACACTGGAATAATTATCAACGTATGAGAGTTGGAATTAGATTACAAGACTTGAGAAGTAAGGCGATATCATGTCAAATTAAATGGAATTACACCGTCTTATATAGCAATCGTAGTGAGGCGGTCCGTCTGGGGCTGACTGCGCCGTAAGAATCTTTGAAGCTTGCAAAGCGCCGTGATTGGACTAGGATGCGCTGGGACAAGGCTAATTAAGGAATCAATATTCGTATCCGCGGGTGAGCTTGTTCAGCTGCATCTCCGTTCCACAGCGTTGCTTGCATGACTCTCTTTGGGGCCACAACTATAGGGTGCAACAATAGATCTATTATCACCATTTTGTTCCCTCAAATGCTAGCAATGGATAAGATGTCTTAAAGTGAAAACGTAAGGAACCTAAATGCAATTATACAAGGATAGTGCGCTATAGTGTAGTAGTGGAAATACTATACTAGAGCACAAAGATCAATATCGAATCTTTCTGTTAAGAAGCTGAGGTTGACAACGTGCTGTCATGTATTATGGAGTACTTGACCCGCAACTCCCTGCCCACAGCCCTATTGTGGTAATCCATGGGAATTAAACTGGCGGCTAGCCAATGAACATAGTTGTATGTTTAATAATCGGCGTAAGCTGCTATGAAAAGGGGCGTTTCGGACATAAGGGCTGTGCCTGGTCGGGTTTTCTGCCTAGGATCCTGTCAACATAAAATAGTCTATGGATACAACATACTCCGTAATGGATAGTGTAATTAAATTCAGATGTATAGGGGACCCATGTATAATGTGGTCTCTTGATGGTATTACATGACTCTAACCACTGACTCAAGTTTCGCATTTAGATGTCTAATGTTCTGGCGAGAAGATTGCGGTGGGAAGCTCTTACATAAAGTGTACATGTATATAGACTAGGATGTACGCACTATTTCTGCGCTGTGGTATCCTATAAGCTTGTATCACAGCGAGTGATGTAGTAGAAAATACGGAGAGATATAGGTATAGTAGAAGATACAGATAGATGAAGTTATAGCAGTAGATACTGGATGGATATATCTAGAGTAGCAGACCCTAGTATATGCACCCTTCTCGCTGAGCCAGTAGGTATTCCCATAATAGCAGTGACCGCTGCCAGGATATCCCACAGGTTGACTGGTTTATCGTCTCCTAACAATAGGGTAGGCGTCGGTATAGGCACTCTTGGTATTTATGATGCTCAAATTGAAGTACTCAAACGTTGTATAAGAAGGGCAAAAGCCAAATTCTTAGCGTGGCATCACATTATTTGCATTGAAGGAGTGATATTCAATATCGATACCATCAGAAACGTCAGATCTCTTAGCACTTGGTGGCAAGTGACGGAGTTTAATTTTTTTGGACATCTTTTGGCTGTCGGTCAGCTACACTTGACTGCCTGACATACATACCTACATGCAGTATGCATTGAAACTGTGTTAGTATCTGCTCAGAAACGCCCACATCCCAATCTTACATACGGTAACTGTTCATCGCGATTACTGCACCCATACAATTCTGAGACTTGTGAGGCCATGAACAATTAGGCATCAATTGATCCATCTCAGCGTGCGGCCGCAGCTACGCCTAACCCCCCAATCTCCGTCAAATCTCACGTGGTTTCGAAGGCCACCTGAAAACAACTGAAAAGTGTATGTACCTCGTATTCCGTCGACTGCAGGGCGAGAGTGTCTCATCCCTCCTACATAAAAGTGTCATGTTACCACCGCCTCACCGCATCTAGGCCTACTCATTAGCTTCCAAATCCAGGATTACAATATGTGCCGATGTACGCAAAAGCATGAAACAAAGTCTTGTCTCCTCTATACAAGTCTCAAAAACCACTTTAGAACATCCACAATAATGGCTTTGTTAATACGAAACGTTCAAACTGGCGGCGATACTGCTCCAGAGCTCCCAAATCTACAAGTTTCCCTTTGGACTGGGAATGATCGGCGCATCTCTCAATCAGTCACTAGCCGCACGTAGTACAAGTCAACGAAGGATGGCCCTTATACCAAAACAGCGGTCTCTCTTTTCTTTTTGCAGTAGTGCTTCTAATGATAATGAAGACTGTGGCAGTGCCAACAGAGGAGAGGATTTAGTGAGACATGTGGTTACAGCGGAGATCCCTTGAGAAAGCATGGCTTATAAAAGGCTCATTATCCCCTCGCTGTTCCATCGTCTAACCCATCTTCATCTCAGGTCTCTGTCTTCGTTTCTATTCCTCTTGATATTGCAGATCTTAAACCTCCTTTCTATATATATCCCTCCCTAAAATTACTTACAAACAATTGTCACGATGCAGCTCACCAGCCTCTTCACCACTGCTACCCTCGTCGTGGCTTCCACTGCCACTTATGGTATGTAAAGCAATCTTTACAATTTGATCCACAAGAACATTGATCTTGACTAGATATGCAGTTTCCTTTGACGCTGGCTATGATAACCCTTCTCGTTCTTTGAACGACGTGGCTTGCTCCGACGGAGTCAATGGCCTCATCACAAAATATCATTGGCAAACCCAGGGCGAAGTCTCAAACTTCCCCTACATTGGCGGGGTCCAAGGCATTGAATGGAACTCCACGCAGTGCGGAACCTGCCATAGACTGCAGTACGGAGATCGTAGTATCCACATCCTGGCTGTTGACGCCGCCTATAACGGTGGCTATAACATTGCCTTGAAGGCCTTGAACACTCTCACCGATGGCCATGCTCTTGAGTGGGGACATGTCAATGCTGTGGCTACGCAAGTTTCTGTAAAGGAGTGTGGCCTTTATACTGCGTACTGAGGTTTTAGAAATTCAGAAGTCTTTGGAAACACAATTGCTAGTGTTTACTATTCAAGGTGACTCATATAAGAAGTTGGAAACTTCATAGCCGGATAGTTGTATCCATTTACCAAGTAGCTATTGAATGACTGTTGGGACATGAGAAAGATAAACCTAAGATCTGTCTTGACTACCTTGGCTCTTCTTGGTACATAAATCTCTCTGCAGACTGATTGTTTAGAAATTTGGACGAACAATTCGACCGCAGAAGCTAGTTATCAGGACAGAGTGAGGCTCAGGAAGAACAAACTTCTGTTTTTCCCAAAACTGTGACTTCACTGTCAACATATGAGCATGTTATAAAACGTTATATAGTTACAAGAATGTATAAAGAGATGTTGGAAGGATGTTACAATCACGTGATAATGTTTGCACGGATGCATTCCATATGTTGTTTGCCTTGCCATGACCTTGTTGGTTTACTCCTCACCGACTTTCCCATTCTCAAAAATGGCGATTCAATTCTGCGGGCCATGTGGCAATACTCTCGACATCTCTTCGGCTTCAATTGTTCGGTGCGATTGTTGTGGATCCATGAACAAGAGTAGGTTGATAGACCATCTTCGCACCAGATCTCGACGGAATATTAACTAATGCACTCTAGACAACTTATTCGCCGGCATTGTTACTGTTTCTTCGACTAACAATTTCCCTTCTGAGCTTCGCCAAAAACGAGAGACGACTCAGCAATTCCAGTATGTAGCGCCTGTCGATACTTGGGCTACGGCCGAGGAAACTTGCCGAAAATGTGGTGCCAAGGAAGTGCGATATACGGCCCTTCAGTTGAGAAGTGCAGACGAAGGAACTACCTTGTTCTACTACTGTCCAGGATGCTCAGAGAGGTACGTAGGATCATTCATGTGCATCCATTCTCAACTACAGGTAGGTATTGACAGAGTAACAGATGGAACGAAGGCAACTGAGCAGCATTCGCACGAGTACGCGACCCGACATTCACAGAGACCGAAGACTACATCGTGGAGGCTTGTCGGATGCGTTTCTGGAAGTACGTGAAGTCGTACTGATGTGGTGGTAGCATGGAGATGGTTAGCTATCGAGACTGTTGAAATAAGGGGCAACGACCTAGTAGTTGTACTACTTAATAATAATTAATATTAAGTTATATTTAGGATATAATTAATTAGTTAAACTAACGTTTATTTAATGGGGCCTACCCTATATGCCTATTGTTAAGACTATAAGAGGCGGGTCATAACATTCTATAGTAAGCTATAGCTACCTTATTACTTATTTATATAAAAGACTAAGTCTTTTATTATTTTCCTTCTTCTCCCTTCTTCTTCTCTTTAGCTTTATTTTGCCTAGATAGAAATAGAGTCCTATTTTATTATAATACTAACCGTAATAAGTACACCACCACTAAATGACAGAAATCTTGCCACAATGTGTATGTGCAATCTGATTTTGTCTTTTGGTGGTTTGCTAGCTCCCGGCTCTTTTGGTATCTGCTTGTTTTCCTCCTTCTTGCGCCGGTCCCGTTCACGAAGAATAATAGACATAAAATTGCTGCTGACCAGTGTGCTAGGATGCTCAGCACCTAGAACTTTTATACATAAATCAAGTACCTGCCGGTTTATCTGCGCAGCCTCCTCGTAGCGGCGTTGTGAATAAAGACTGAAAGCGAGAGCGTTCATACACGCCAGTGTGACAGGATGCTCAAACACTTGTCTTTTCATCAGTGAGTCAGATGCCTGCCGGCTTATCCGCTCAGCCTCATTATAGTAGCCCTGTACAGTGAGAGCTAAAGAGAGGGTAGACATAGTCTTAAGTGTCATAAGATGCTCAGCACCTAGCACTTTTATATGTAGATCGAGTGCCTGCCGGCCCATGTCCGCAGCTTTCTCATACTGTTGTTGTCTATAGAAAGCCTCTGAGAGTCTTTGCATGCTCTCAAGTGTGTGAGGATGCTCAGTGCCTAATATTTTTCTCCGTAGCTCAAGCACTGTCTCACTCATCTGCTCGATTTCCGCCGGCTGGTCTTCACAAGCGGCAATAGACAAACTCGTATCCATAATCTCAAGAGTACCGGGATGTTCACCACCCAGTGCTTCAATATGTAGATCAAGCGCCTTTTGGTTCATCTCTTTGGCATCCTTATATTTCCCTTGAATAAAGAGGCCGCACGCCGCCTTATGTAAAATGGACGACACAAGGATCTGGCCTAACACGTGGTCTTGAAACTTCAACGCCATTATCATGTGTGGCAAACACCTTACCCATTTATCTTTATTCCAAAATAAAGGGAAAGGGACTTCTGCATCGAAGCGCTGCATGACTGTTGTGATATTTGTCTGCAATTCCCCTTTTTCTCTCATCCAGTTTTGCATCACCAGACGGACGAGCCTGTGCATATCGTATGCATCTCCACACGCCCGTTCGTTAATGAATCCGTATGCTTTCAGCGTACCGATAGCTTCGCACGCATCAAATTCATCGTCGGTTGGCGGTAGGAGACGTTTCGGAATATCCTTTTCAGCAAGAAAAGCCACAAATTTCAAGTACCTAGCCGCAGTTGGATTATTTTGAGAGATGGCCTCGAATGAAATCAACCATGTTGTGGCAATCGGATTTTGAGCAGTCTCGTAGCGTGCTCGATCGTCAAAGTTTTTGCTTAACAGCGTAATCAAGGCCTCGTCGCTGGAACGCCAAAACTTAAGATATTGAGAAATCGATATCCCAGTCTTCATCATGTATGCAGACGCTTGTTTAATAGCAAGCGGCAAATGGGACAAAAGCTCAAGCAAGCTCTCGAGGCTCTGCGAATCACTCATTTGAAGGGGATTCAAACCATTCTGTAGCATATTGGTCGCTTCCGATCGACTCATCCCCGTAAGATGGACGACATTCTCCCTCCGGACGTCTAGCTTTTGGCTGACTTCTACATTTCGGGTTGTGAAGAGGATGGATCCTTTGAGATTAAAGGGCAGATAATCCCTCAACGATGTGACTTCGCTAGTTTCTCCGAATAGGGTTGCGTCGTCAGCGTTGTCGATAACCAGGAGCCAGCTATCAGAGATTTGGCTTAATGCTGCTTTAACAAGTAACTTGATGTCTGCCTTATCGTCTTCAATAATTTGTATGTTCAGCTTCCGGCCGATTTCATGGTAGGCATTCTCAAAAGTGGTGGTATTAATAGCTGGAACCCAGAAGACATGACAATCTCCGTACCTGGCGCGGACGCGAAAGGCAGCTTCGAGGGCGATTTGGGTCTTTCCGATGCCACCAAGTCCACTGACAACAGTCCGTTGACAGTCGTCCTTATCCGCGGTGGGAGGGATCATGCTGAGAAGTTGGTCCAGAATCGATTCACGGCCGACAAAGTCTCTGTTCCGGCCGAACGGAACGGTCCAACAAGGCGTCCTCGGCCGATCTCGGTGAGGGTCAAATGTCGGGTGGCTCCTAGTTTGAGGCGGTAGATAGGCATAGTTGTTGGTAATATTGCGAACTTGTTCTATGCTTATGTTCTGATCCCCTTGATGTATATTGCCGTAGTCTCCCAATGTAGACCCGGTCAAAGTGGCACTAGAAGGCTGCGATTGCCCCGTCTGTCGCATGGGGTACATGTATGCTCGTTGGCTTGTTGCATCATCGTAACCATCAGCCATACTGAATTTCTTTTGAATAAAGATTGAATAATGGAGTGATGTCTTGAATCGTGAGGCTATGATGGCTCGAGCCCCCTTTGAGAGGATCTTAGATAATGATATGATCTAAAGAAGTCGTGCTTAGTAGTAGTTAATCAAGGAAACTTGTCTCGTAGCTGGAATTAAGCCGTCTTTAAATAGTGAAGATAGTTGGAACATGTATAGATTTTAGCAAGAATGAATAAGAGTTAATAGGGAGAGTAGATGCATTCTCCCGACAGCCTGATGATTCGGGGCCGGTCGTTTCTGTCTCGCGACACCGAAGGTCGTCTATTGGTTGGGCGTTTACGCCTAGTTTCTTGTCCTATCTGTAGTGATCAGGTTTGCCGCCGGTACGACTGTACGACTGGGCATGATTGCTTACGAGGGGAGAGTTGTGGTTGGCGCCAATAATGGTTCCCTCTGTGATCTTCTGTGTTACCAACATCACTCGGGATTTATTGAAACAATTTCTATTATTAGGATGCAACACTTTATTCGGTGGGCAAATACGGTTTAGTTCAAAAGGCAAAAGTATGGCAGGGAGATTTGGCTGCAGAGAGTTTGGACTTAGATGAAGATCAGCGGCTCCGACGTTGCGGAAAATCCAGCAGCGACGCAAAAGTCAACGCCATCATCCACAATGGAACTGCTGTGAACTGGGTTACCAGTTATAGTGATCTGCACAAGACCAACATTGAAACGCAGGAAGATTTTGCAGCCAAATTGCTGGGTTGGGCTGGATATGTTCAAATAAACTCTGTTGCCGAGAGCGTAATTCGCGAAATTGCTTCAAGATTGCCGGCAGTTCAGAACCGCATGTCGGTAGTTAAACCAGACCTGATCATCGGCACAGCACCTTCAGGAGCCGCCGATACTGATGGTGTCTTTTGGAGGGCAGTGGCAACAGCAGCTGGTATAGGATTAACCCTAGTTCATATCGAGCGAGGGTGGCTTTACTTAGGCGAAGTTGACGCTGTTGCTTGTCAGGTAGTCAAACGAGTCGTTGACATAAACAGAGTCGCCCCTTTTGTCGATATAGTAGATGGGACTAACCTCGACAAATTGGGAAATAGTCAACGACGAGGTTGGAGGGGCCTGCTCTAGAGTCCCGTGGATTGAATGGCCCGGAGTTGTGGCAGACATAACGCAAGGGGGCCGTGGGCATCTAATGTAGGCCATGCAAGACTATCTGACCATAAAAATGGTCTATGGAGGTTCCATTGAGTGCCAAAGACTCTAACAGCTTGGATGTTGAGATGAAACATAATATCCGATACCTCCAACTCCAAAAGTACTTTTCTTTACGGGACAGGGCCTTGGGCCGTTCAAGCATAGGTTAGATAATTCTAGGCCACTGAAGTTCATACAGTCTAGAAGAAATTATAGGTTCGCCTGTAGTTCATCTAAATCGGGCCGTGCCTAAAGTACTAATATCTATCTATAGCTAGTTAAGCGACAGGCAGGGCGAAGATGAAACAGTCATATATAATCACGTAGCAATAGGCATCCGTAAAATTACCTATTAATAATCTAGGTTTGAGGAGAAACTCCGAGCGTACTCCGTACTTTATTTCAATCATTAGATTGCTACATTGGCACCTTCCCAAAGCTGCGAGCTGCTGACTTGACTATCCTCATTCAATGCAATGTAAATCTGACACGCACAAGTAGGCAGACATATAAAAGTACATGTATCAGACCGCTCTCTAAAGTTGAACCTGTTAGGCAGCAAAGAGTTATTGGCACTTACAGCCGTTCCTTGTATATTATCTAAAGGATTTCACACAACTTAATATAGTTACATTGCCAGGACCAGGGGTCGTTCTGTAGACACTTCCCGTTCTGCTTGACCTAAGCTCATGATTATTCGAGCGTGATTCTATAAAAGCTGCAGACTTCCAATCTACCACTGCCCTATTGATGGCATATATCTTCTTCATAATATAGTTATCTACGTGGTAATAGTTTAACAAAGAAAAGCATGATGACATCCACAGTAGAATTTGATCTGAATGTAATAAGCAGCGGATACCTCGGCCGAACTTTGTTTAGTGAGAGGATCTTAACGTATGTTGTTATAAAAGTGCTATGACCTTAATCACAAACACTATTGTGTTCATCCTTTAATATGTTTTGAACAATTACTTAAGGTGCCCGATGGTGACATTATAGTAGATACTATGAAATCGCCTTACATCCATGCTGTGTGGGTTCCGGGCTAATTAGTATAGCCGTCGTATTAACGCCGAAGTAAGCTAGTCAAAATAAGGCAGCAGTATTGTGATGAGTTCTTCTTAACAAAGGAAGGAAATTAGACATATCACATTGGAAACTAGAGACAGCGGGCGTCAGTGTTGTACTGGAGAATTACCCGACGTATAATGATGCTGCATTTGACTACTTTGTAAGATTGATTTAGTCATATAAATGAGATTTCCGGGAGCACCCTCACAAAGATGAAGGACATTGAGACTTTGAGATTTGGACAACTTCTTAGTTAACTGTTTAACTAAAAGTCTTATAAGCCAAATGCTCAACTTCGTCCGCAAGAGGCAAATGTTGCCAAACTTGTAGTTTTCGTTAATATATTGAGTTATAGTTTGAAACCACCAAGTTTTGGGAATGAAACACAGAATCAGGTATGTATGTAGCGTTATACAAGGACTCTCGGCTGATCGGCAGTTCGGCAGATAGAAATAGGCAACTCAAACAACTGCGTAATGAAATCCCTACATTGGTATACTCTCAGGACCCAATCTGGCAGCTAGCTATTGCTTTTGCTCTGGAAAGGTCAGGTAAGCCGCATTAGTGGTCTTATTGAGCGCATATTCCATGATGTTCGCATGAGGCGAGTAAGCCCAAAAGTCCGAGGCTATAGCTCACTGAACTCGCAAGAAACTAACAATTGCCTCAACACAGCAAAAACCAAGTACCTACTAAGTGTATACGAGTACTGAATACGGTTTCGTATTCCACCATTGCTTGTCATGCGTATTCAATTTCCTATGCATCGAGGGTCAGCGGTCAGCGGCAGGGGTACTTACAAGAGCTCAGCCTCAGGATGCGAGTGGGCTGGAGAGCAAGAGCTATAGTATAAAGATCGCTTGAACAGACACTATTTCACGACTATCAAGACACCTTTTCTCATCGTCCAAACATCAAGAGTGCGTTTTGAATACTCCAAAGATGCGTTTGGCCGCCATCGCTCTCGCGCTGCTTGACTTGGCTCTGCAGGCTCAAGCTCAAGCAGTCTTTGCTCATGTCATTGTACGCATTGAACTCTTTTAACACGCTACTTTGCTTTACTAACTGACCCAGGTTGGAAACACATATGCATACAGTCAGGCTGATTGGGCGTCGGACATCAGGGCCGCAGCCGCCGCAGGAATCGACGGCTTTGCTTTGAATATAGGATTCCTAGATACTGTATCTGGAACGAAGCCGGTAATTCCGGCGTTGAACAATGCGTACAATGCCGCCGATGCAGCAGGCTTCAAGCTCTTCATATCCTTTGACTATTTAGCTCAGGGCCCGTGGGACGCAGCCGACGTCGTCAATGTCCTCAACCAATACAATTCGCATCCCAGCGCATATAAGTGGGCGAACACTGGCAAGCCTGTGGCCTCTACCTTTGAGGGTCCAGGCAATGCTGGGGACTGGGTCAGCATTAAGCAGCAGACAAACACTTTCTTCATCCCTGATTACTCAAGTCAAGGCCCCTCTGGAGCGGCCTCGTTCGCGGCCGTGGATGGACTCTTCTCGTAAGTGACCCTTGAGAGCGGAGAAGCGAGAAACACGCATACTAATCATGTTTCACAGCTTTGCGGCCTGGCCCAACGGCCCCAATGACATGACAATCTCGGCAGATCAACAATACGTCCAGGCGCTTAATGGTAAACCTTACATGTCAGTATTCCCACATCTAGTTGATGTCCTCTATGAGCTCACAAGTATATAGGATGCCTGTCTCGCCATGGTTTTACACGAATCTTCCAGCCTTCGACAAGAATTGGCTATGGAGAGGTGACGATTTGTGGCACCAGCGATGGCAACAGGTCTTGGAAATCAACCCTCCTTTGGTCGAAATCCTGACGTGGAACGACTACGGCGAGAGTCACTACGTGGGACCATTGCCTCCCGCGGCTATACAATCGCAATCGCTTCCCACCGGCTCTTGGTACGTAGAGAACATACCTCACAACGCATGGTTGAATGATTTGCCCTATTATATTGCGCAATACAAGAAGCAACCACTGCCCAACGAGAACCACGTTACCATTTGGTATCGCCTCAACCCTGGAACGGCTTGCTCTGCCGATGGAACCCCTTGCAACACCGTCACTCAAGGCCAGACTCAATTCGCACCGCAACAGTGTGACGTTGACGCCATCTACTTCACTGCCTTTGTGCCATCGTCTGCTACCGCTACAGTCCACGTTACCATTGGTAACAACGCGCCGGTCTCCGTTACCGCCGGTGCCCCTGGCATCTTCCATTCCAGCGTTCCGTTCAACGGCCAGACCGGCGCCGTTTCGATCTCGGTAACTGCATCGGGTGGAATCAACATTGGGCCAGTCGCATGCCCAGCCATCACAACTGCCTGCAACAATGGTAACGTGAACTGGAACGCGTGGGTCGGTGGTTCTTAAGAATCAGATAGGAATTGGGAAAGAGTCCGCCTCCCGACGTCGCTCATATATAGCAAATTGTTCTTTTGGGGAGCTCCTAACATAAGCTGTCGGAGTAGTTTAGCTTTATATCTTCTATAAGGCAATCTAAAATTATATTCAAAAACTTCTAAATGCTATGTCTTCCTAGTACTAATGTTACAGTTACTGACTGTGCAGCAGCCTCCCAAGCAGGGGAAAGTTATAGTTGGCGCCAGTAATAGTTCTCTTTGTGATCTTCTGTATTACTATAGTATCAGGATGTAACACTTTCGTCGGTGGGCGAATACGCTTTAGTTTGGCAACTAATTTTCTTTCCTCTCGAGTCTTGACCCACTGATGGATTTGGTCAACGTTTGCCCTGTTGGCGCCACGATATGATAGATCGTAACGTGCGCATAATTCACTGTTTGTTAGAAGGTCATTCTTACTATCCAGATACATGTAGTCAACACTGTCACCAAGACGTCACAATCGTGTGATTTTGACTTCAATATCCTATTGAACGTCTAAAATTCTGCCCTAGGCACCCTTCCCACAGCTTACCTAGGTATAGAAGGGGACTCCAATTGCGCCTCGTCACGTATAAAAAGACAGTCTACGAACGTCAAAGAATCAGGTATGCTATTACTCTTCCATCATTAACAAACAACAACTCAAGGCGTTGAAAAGAGCATCATATGCAAATTAGCATAGAACTTCTGCGCAACATATTGCGTTGTCATAAACGTGCTTTAACTCTAACCTTTCCAAGACCTCTCACTGCAACGCCCAGCTGCAAGATGGCTTTTGCCCAGCGTCACTTTTACACCCCCGAGACGTCTTTCACTCCCCTCTTCCGCCTTCTTGAGGACTTTGACAATTATTCTCGTCCAGGCAATGTTCAGCAGCAGGGTCGTCGCTCTGACCTGACGCACTGGCAACCTAAATCTGACATGCGCGAGACGGACTCCGCGTATGAGCTCCATGGCGAGCTACCCGGCATGAGCAAAGAGAATGTGAACGTTGAATTCACCGATCCTCAGAATATGCTCATCAGCGGTAAAATTGAGAGGACATACACTTCTGGCACGCCACCTACTGGAGCCCTGGAGGGAACCGCAATGAGAGGCAAGATCGCCGAGGGCAGCGAGGGACAGACCAAGCCATCTTCCAGCGAAGCAACCACCGAGAATGCGACTGAAGATACGGCCAAGTACTGACTCACTGAGCGTAGTATTGGCGAGTTCTCGCGCAACCTCACTTTTCCTACGCGTGTCAACCAAGAAAACGTGACGGCGAGTTTTCAAGACGGCATCCTCAACATTACTGTTCCCAAGGCTGCTAAACATGAGTCACGCCGCATTACCGTCAACTAGTTGATGTTTACTGGGAAGCGGAGGAAAAGCAATTTCGAATTATTATGCAAGTCTAACCGCATTTTTCAATTAAAAACTACAAAAAAAAACAGCAGAAGTAGTTAATGAGTTGTTGGCTTTTCGCTGAGGTTACTGTTGTAATTACTACGGTGGTGAATATAGTACCCAAAAGGTCTCTACCAAAAGATGTCTGTATAGTATTTCACTTGGAAGGATAAGTTCACATAAGATTGACGACAAGAATGAATGAGTACATATATTGAGTAATATAAGCGCCCACCCAGCTCATTAATAATATTTTTTAAGTGAATGCCAAGTATTCGGACAGCACTAGAATCTTACCATATAACTACAATAGCATTTACCAGAAAAAATGTATATATAATAGTAGTTACTAGAGAAATATAGCTATAGTAGTAGTCACTAAAGAAATGTAAATATAGTAGTAAATATTGGCGAAATATAGCCATAGTAGCAGATATCTCAAAAACAGGCGTATAAGTTACTGAGTGGGTGTTCGAAATCTTCTCGGTCTCGGGGTTTCGGTCCTCCGCCTGCAGCTTACGCTATGAGCTTAATAGTATGACAATTGGTAATGATTGCGTAGAGGCGCAGAGTCACTCGTACGAGAACAGCGTTACGCATCTTACTTCTGCACTGTAACTTTTTAAGCAGTTAGATTAAACTATATATGTATTTCTTTCCTGCTACTATCGGTTCTAAGAAGTTAAACTTAGACTTCAGTACTGTGACACACCCGAGAGTCTTGTGTGGTGGTTTCCGCCATCGCATGATGTAAAGCCACATTGACACACGAATGTAAATGCCGAAGAAAGCAGATGGCAACCCATCGAGTTCACGACGAGTGTTTGAACGGTATCGCGATAATAGCCGCCGTCAGAAAATGACCCCATCACTGGTTATGGCGTTGAGACTGGCATGTCGTTAACTCGCCGCCGCACGCCAATCAGACCACCGTACATGCAATCTTAACCACATGTCTAGATAGATGCATAGAAAGTATTGTACGCTTCGGTATTTGGTGAAGGGATGAAAAAGAATAATGAACTCAAGGACCATTGGAGTGGCCCCAATGTTGATCTATTAACTTTCACTTACTCTCGAACAATTCTCCTCGAGGCAATAACTTTGAAGATTTCATAATGTCCAAGAAAGTGGTCATAGTCGGCGGTGTTGGCGGAGGCATGTCCGCTGCCACCCGCTTGCGTCGTCTGGACGAATCAGCAACGATTACGGTATTTGAGAAAGGACCTTACGCTGGCTACGCGAACTGCGGTATACCTTATGCTCTGGGTAAGGTGATCAAAGATGATGAGTCTCTGATTTTACACACGCCAAAGTATTTCAAGGAATGCTTCAACATTGATGTTCACCTCAACACCGAAGTTGTTGAGATTGACCGCACAAACGAGCAAGTGTGCACGCGAACCGTTGGAGAGGCTGAGATTCGACGAGTCGGCTATGACAAGCTCATTCTTTCCCAAGGCGCTGAAGCTGTGAAGCCGCAGATCGTTGGAGCGGATCAGAGTCATGTGGTCACTCTGCGGACCATCTCAGATCTACAAGTTATTCGATCTATCATGGTCGAACGATGCGTAAGAGATGTTTGCATCATTGGAGGCGGATTTATTAGCCTTGAAGCGGCCGAAAATTTGGGAAAGATGAAGTTTGGAGTTTCGATTGTCGAGCAATGGACCCATGTCTTGCCGTTAATAGATGCCGATATCGCGCAGTTTCTTCACACAGAACTGAAGCGCAATGGCGTGAAGTTATACCAGAATGATACTGCAAGAAGAATCGAAACTGCTCATGTCGTCTTGGCTAGTGATGGAAGAGAGATCCCTGCCGAATTGGTCATTCTAGCTGTGGGAATAAGGGCAAGAACATCACTGGCGAAGATGGCCGGCCTGGAAGTGGGAACGCAAGGAGTCAAGGTTGAATCACATATGGAAACATCCGACGAAGACATCTACGCTGTAGGTGATATGGTTGAGACGGAGCATGTCATTCAACAACAGCCAAACGTGGTTGCTTTAGGGGGACCGGCAAATCGTAGGGTCGACTCGCCGCAGATGATATAGCCGGCAGGCCAGTGCACTATCGCGGCAACATTGGCACAATCATCTGTCAAGTATTCGATCTAACGGTCGGTTTGACTGGCCTGTCCGTCTCGGCGTTGCGTGACTTGGGACAGGAGCCGCTCTGGGTTACAGTGCATCCTCCACACCCTGCAAGGTATTATCCCAACGCTCATACAATCACGATCAAGACCGCGTTCGAAAAAGGCACAGGCCGTATTCTGGGGGTGCAAGCGGTGGGAATGGCTGGTGTGGACAAGCGCATAGGCGTGCTGGCGACGGCAATGCAAGCTAGGATGACAGTCTTTGACTTGGAACATCTCGAACTGAGCTACGCACCGCCCTATGGCTCGGCCAAAGATCCTGTGAACATGGTTGGGTTTGTTGGCTCGGATTTGCTTCGTGGGGACTATCAGATTGTATACGCCGAGGACATAAACGTCAAGAATCTACATACCTGGCAAGTCGTGGATGTTCGCTCACCCGAGGAGTTTGCGACTGACCACCTCCCGGGGGCAATCAACTTGCCAATTGCAACGCTACGCAAGCAGGAATTGGGGCTTGATCAATTCATACCGATTCTTGTGTACTGCTATGTGGGCTACCGGGGATACTTGGTCTACCGTATCCTCAGTCAGAGAGGATTCAGCGTAGTAAACCTTGATGGCGGAATGAAAACAGTAATCGAAGGGGGGACCAAGCCTTGATGATTAGTTCTTGATGTTTATAACATGGTTAAGTGACGACTTAATAATATAATCTTAGTCAAACGAATGCATAGTATGTGAGAGTGACTACAACTGCTTGAATTTTATACTTTTCAACGATGTTATAACACTAGATCTTTTGTACATTGTGAAACCTGTTACTTATCTTTCGTAGGGACACGAGAGTTGGCGGCCGCAACAAAATGCCCCCAAGTAATCAGCTCTCTGCTACAATCGTCTGGATGGATATTACACTCAATAAGTGTTGGCCCATCTTTGTGCGCTACTGCTGTCTTGAGTGCTTCGGAAATTTGCTCCGCAGTGTGAGCTTTAATACCAAGAGCACGTCCCCCTCCCTCTTCAGAATTTAATGCTTCGACTAGAAGCGCATAATTCCAATTCTGAATACGATTATACAGTCCATCGTGAATCTCTACCTCAATTGTATAGCCCCTGTTGTTGATTAAAAGAATGATGATGGGAATGCGGCATCTCACCATTTGCGAAACTTCCTGGGCAGTCATCTGGAACGCGCCATCTCCAGTCATGAGGATGGCCCTTCTCTCCGGTTTTGCCAGAGCGTAGCCAAAGGAAGCAGGTATCGTCCATCCAATATGGCCCCATTGCATCTCAATCTCAAATTCTGCTCCTGGTGGAAGACATAGTTGAATTCCATTAAACCACGAATCGCCCGTTTCGGTGAACACTGTCGTCTCAGGAGTCAAGAGCAGCTGCATCTGTCGAGCAACCTCCTTTCGAGTTAACCTCTCCTGCCCGCGAGAAGCCTGTCCGAGAGAAGGATCGGGACGAAGTCGATTATACTCCGTCATCGTGCAACTGTTCCAACTGACTGCTTCGGCTAGTCTGATCAGGAAGTCCTGCAACTGGACATGGCTAAAATACATATTTGGATTAGCCAGGGCGACGCTGTCTATATCCGCAACGAGTTGTGGAACACTTGGCAAAGCCGTCCAACCGACCGTGCTGTAGTCTGTAAATACAGTGCCGATGCAGACGAGGACATCAGCCCAATTCACTATGGTGTCAGCTGCGAGGGTGCTGACCTGGCCCCAGAAGATTCCCGCGAACTGGGCATGGTCCTCAGGAAAGGAGCCCTTTGCCGCTGGTTGAAGGACGACGGCGCATCCAATTGCTTCTACCAGCTGGAGAAGAGCCTTCTCCGCGCCCACTCTTCGCACTTTCGGCCCGACAAGAATCACAGGCTTCTGCTTGGCTCGGAGGAATTCAGAGGCGCCGGTAACAGCGGCGTCAAGGGCTGGCGCATCACTCGGCATCGGCTTGGCTACAGCACTGATAGGTCCGGGTTGTGCACATGCCTCGCCGGACAAGTTCGTTGGCACTTCGATGTAAACCGGCTTCCGCTTTAGAAGTGCCATTCGAATAGCGCGGTCGATCAACTCCGGGGCATGAGCCGCTCGTCGGATGGCCACGGCACAGCAAGTGATCCTCCTGGCCATCTCAAGCTGGTAGATAAAGTCATGCTCCCCGAGCGTATGGTGCAGTAGATGCTGATCTACATCATTCGTATTGGGTGCTCCACTGACTAGGATAACGGGAAGGTTCTCTGCATACGCGCTGCCGATGCCGTTGAAGGCTGAGAAGGCGCCTACGCTGTAAGTGACAACACAGACTCCTACGCCGCAAGCGCGTGCATAACCTTCGGCCGCCAGAGAACAATTGAGTTCGTTTGTACAACCAACCTCAGTTAGTGCTGGATGCGCCTCAAGCTTGTCGAGGAGAATGAGGTTGTAGTCGCCCGGGACGATGAAATGATGGCGAATCCCAATTTGGGCGAGCCTTTCGGCAAGATAATCTCCCACTGTGAAGAGGGCCATTTTGTTTGTGATAAACCTGGTTGAGGGCCAAATTTTACAGATTTGGGGATTGCATATATGACATTAGGTGGGTTACACGAGGCAAAGCAAGCATATAAATATCAGCGTAAAGGTTAAGTGTTTCTGGCTGTCCAAGTTGGTATAGTAGAATAAGCTGGCAGAGATTATGAAGTGATTTAGATAGTGTCATTAACTGATTAGCAAAGTAATACTTCAACATCTGTTTTGATAACATGAAACCACCCCAACTGGATTCGAGTAATTGACGTCTACGTCAAAAATAGTGGTATGATGTTTCGGTAATGTTTATATCAACCACCCCGCTATCGAAAGTGTTACACTTCCACTAACACATCTAAATTACAGCCCCTCAGAGCGGGATGGATTGAATAATCGTATGATCCTCAGCGGCGGTTGCAGTCAATTGGCATTGTATGGCAAAGTTTAAATTTACAGCTTTCCTGTTCCAAGACTTGAGGACTTGTCAATAAATGTTGCTTTTGCTGACCGTATTCAGAAAATGGTAGACAGATCAAAGTGAGCTGTGTCTTTTCATACTTCAAAAATTGGAGTTGTGTTGTTAATTGCTCAATTTAGGGTCTTTCTAGCATTCTAGTACCTGGACCGTTAAGAAACTTGTAAGCATTATATGTAGTCCCATGTTTTATGAGTATTGCTCAATTGTAGTAAATATGCATTTCAGAGCTCATACTCTGCGTAGAGTAACTGCCTAGCTTGCTCATTCATCAATCGACGCAAGCCAGAGAGTCTGGTCGGCACAGGGTCGCCAGGTTGAATCGGAACTGAATCACAGTCTTTATATGCGCTCCCACCGAATACTGTATCCTTCAGCGTACCGTCCTTTTCTCGTTCAAGTTCGTAAAACAAGTAGGGGGTCTTGGAACGGGAGTCCACAGGTTTAACCCATTCCCATGCGCGGATACTAAAACCCCAATATTCGAATTGTGAGCGACGATTGAAGCAAAATGCGGTTTGCAGGCTGCAATTACTTACCCGATTACGCTACCGAACGAGATCAATTCATTCGCACTGATTGTTTTCGCCCATCTACGGTCATTAGCCCAAAGATAGACGACTATAAGCCAGTCTCCTCTCAATGTTTGATTTTTATCATTCCGGTAGAGCGAGAAGATATCTCGCCGGAAGCATGTTATTTCGGGGGGCGCCTTATCACGCTTTGTACGGTCAAGGACTGGCCCCTTTCTTGCATGAATTTTTCGCCATGACTTTATGGATCGTTCATTGGCTTCCTGCTTCAATTGCCTGGGAAGGTCTTTGAAGTATGTGCGCACAAGCATACGCCATGGAGCTTGCCCATCCTGATACCCTTCGGGAACATGGTGAGACGAGACCAGCCACCGGAATGATCGTACATTTGGCAGTCTCTCCGGATGACGCTGAGTATTGACAAATAGGTTAGTTAGGGGGACCATCACGCGGCTCAACATGTATGTCCAACGCTGTTTCTTCATCCTCTCAGCAAGGACCTTGTTTGGGTCTTCGTCGTTGGCAGGCCATAGGCCCCATTTTGGAGACCACTCATCCCCCCGCCGAGGTCGCTCTGAGTACTCGGGGAGTAAGGGGCAAGGACAGGGGCGAAAATGCGTGCATCGAGGTTTGGTAATAAGCATGGCGCCGAGTTATGCAGATCATAATGAAGGCCAAGAGACCAACTCCGACGCAATTGCGCATTATATCATCTATTTTGCATTCATCCCTTCTATGTTTATACAACTGGTGGCATCGGCCCGTCTATAAAACTAAGTTTGGTCTTGTTGGGATGGCTGGCTTGATACTTTCAGTATTTCTTGGGGTGGCGGTATTTCAGAAGCGGATTTCCAAATCGACATGTTCTTTTACCAATGGAGGGGAGATAAGGAGGTTACTTTTCGAATACTAGAGATACTAGAGACACTGGAGATGTGAATTAATTACTTCTATATTTTGAGGAGCTTACTGAAGTTCTAAGAGTCTACGGAGGAAATGACCTTGCAAAGCTGGACCTCATATGAGGCCAATACATACATAATAACCCAGCCAAAGTGAACTGCAGGTACTGCCAACACCAGGATTCCACTTCTCAAAGTTTGCCAAAGTAATCTTGGCGTTGGTGGCGATCGCTTGACACGAATCACCAGAGACCACTATTCACTGGTAAGTATTCTCGAAGAATTAATAGAATCAGAGCACGACACTATCATGCGTGCAGGGTTGTTGTAATAACTCACCTAAATGGAACGTCTTACAGTTGGTCACCATACCAGCTTGCGTAGGTGTTGGTGTGGCTACACCATTGCCCGGAGTAGTCTTTGATGTCTTCATCGTTGTGGGAGTAGGGCCGCCAACAACATTGACGCACACATAATAGCTAACCCACAGAGACGAGCAACCAGTTCCGACGGCGGGATTCCACTTATAAAAGTTATCAAGAGAGATGCCCTTTGATGCAGCAATTGTTGCACACGAGTCTCCTGATTTCACCAGGTAGAAACTGTTGCAATTGCTGACCATGCCAGTCTGTGTAGGAGTTGGAGTCGTGATTCCATTTCCAGGCTTCGTTGTCGTTGAAGTGGGCTTGATTGTCGTCCCTCCCACAATACCCACACAGACATAGTCTCCCACAATAAGTGACGTGCAATCCGACTTCACAGCTGGATTCCATGAGTAGAAATTGGCAAGCGTTATGCCATTGCTCGAGGCAAGAGCAGGGCAAGTATCACCGGAAACAACCAAATGGAATTTGTTACAACTGCCAATCATTCCAGTTTGAATTGGGCCGGGTGTAGAGATTCCGTTACCGGGCTTAGTCGACGTCGAGGTAGGTTTGACTGTTGTTCCGCCTACAATGCCCACGCAGACATAATCTCCCACGATAAGCGATGTACAATCGCCTTTTACTGCGGGATTCCATGAGTAAAAGTTGGCAAGCGTTATGGCGTTGCTCGCGGCAATATCTGGGCAGGTATCGCCGGAAACAACTAGATGAAACTTATTACAGCTGCCAATCATGCCAGTTTGAATCGGGCCTGGGGTGGAGATTCCATTGCCAGGCTTTGAAGAAGTCGACGTGGGCTTGACTGTTGTGCCGCCGATGATTCCAATACAGACGTAATCGCCGACAAGAAGCTGTGTACAGTCGCTTTTGACTGCGGGATTCCATGCATAAAAGTTGTCCAGGCTGATACCGCTCTTTGAGGCAATGTCGGGACAGGTGTCGCCGGACACCACAAGATGGAATGAGTTGCAGTTGCTAACAATCCCCGTCTGGACTGGGCCAGGAGTCGAAACCCCATTGCCTGGCTTAGTGGTAGTTGAACCACCCTGCGAGATGACACCAACGCAGACATAGTAGTCGAGGATCAGAGATGCACATGAGGTTCCGACTGCAGGGTTCCAAGAGTAAAAGGTATCCAGGCTGATACCGTTGGCCGACGCCAAAACAGCACAAGAATCTCCTGAGACTACTTTGTGGAACTTGTTACAGTTGCTAACCATGCCAGTCTGTGTAGGTGTTGGCGTGGTAACTCCATTGCCTGTTGTAGTAGTCGAAGCCGCCTTTGAGGTGGAGGAGGGGGGTGGTGGCACTCCAAAATTCTGCTCAATACAATAAGAGTCTCCCGCTATAATTGGGCATCCGCTTGCAGCTAGAGATGGATTCTGTGAGATGCGTCAGACTGATAAACACGGAACAAGCAGAGTCGGCGACTGCTTGAAGGCTTTAACATACGTATGCATAGAGCTGATCGAGTGTGATGAATCCAAAATCAGCTATGCTTTGACAAGTGTCTGAACTCTGAGCAACATCCCAAGATGTACAGTCCTGTATGGTATCACTCGGAGCTGTTGTAGGAGGATCGACCGTGTAGGCCGCGGCTAGAAGACCAGCAGCGCATAGCACAACAGTAATTGACTGTCTCATGTTTGCCTTGCTGCCTTGGATTTGATGAAGAGGCTAATTGAGAGAATGCCTTGCCATCTAAAAGAAGACAGCTGTATCACTCGATATATCTCGTTTATTTATACCATCATCTTCATCGTTATTGAAACTTTCAGCTGCAACAATTGCATCATGACCAATATCTCACCACATTCCGCACCGAATCCCCTGTAAATATCGTATGTCATGGAAAACTCCGCGGAATTGAAAGGATCACGATCCTGAAGCTCAATAACTCCATGACGAGATGATTGTCAACATTCCATCCTCCGGTTGAATGCATGTGTATGGCACAGTAAGGTGGTGTCGAATCCTTCACTGTGATGCAGGGGTTATGCATGCAAGGCATGCAATGCTCCCACAAGACCATTCCCACTTGTGGGGTCGGATCACACAATGATGCGCCCGTTGATTCCCTTTGATGGTAAGACGAATGAATCCTCATCGCCAAGCCGGAAGGAATATCGGTTGCTCAAGGCGGACCGTCGCTGACGACGCGGACATTTGTCGATTTTAGGCAATTGGGATCTTGCTTGCACCAGATGAGGTCGGATTCCAAGGCATTTGGATAAGGCATTTGGACGTTGCCTGTTTTCTGTGTCTGGAAAACACCATTTCTGTAATGCAAAGCAAAGTTATTGAACCTGTGAACACCAGACAGAGTATCACCATCAGTCTAGATCATGGGCTTCGCTGTAGGGCTTGCCTTGCTTTTGCAGGTCGTGGGTTTCTTCAGCAGTACTCCCCTTGTTGAAGCACAAGTTCAACTCCTTAATATTACAGATGCACCTGGTCTCTCTGCTACATGCATTGCGGTTCTGAACCAGGCAGTGAACTGCACAACTACAATTGCTTCTATCGGAAATGTTCTTGATGGCTCTCCTGTCTTTGGCACACCACTGTTTTTGACAAGTTCTCAGCTCAGTGGGCTGTGCAACACTGCATGCTCAGCATCACTGACAACATGGGAAAGGCGAATAGCTGGTGCTTGTGGAGCGACGCTTTATGATGCAGCAGATGGCGGCCAGTTTGCTCTGGCATTGCTTGCGGAACAGTATGTGGAAGCTTACAGCTCAGTGTGTTTGACGAACAAGTGAGTAAATTCTCATCATGAAGATGAGGACAATAGAAGAAAAACTTACGTTGAATATCAGAGCAGGGGCTTATTGTAATCGTGTGATTGGAGATCTCATGCGCATTGATCCGGCTAACCAAAGGGCCACCGCGACACCGGGTAAGTCACAAATGTTTCGAATACGAAGAACTTATATTGACATCTGTTAGTTTCTACCGCATATTGCGATGATTGCTACCTCTCTTTATTGTCTACCCAGTTGGCAATGCCGTTGGCCTCTACTGCTGACCTGAAGAGCCTGTTTGCAACTTTGACATCTTCATGCAAAAAGACAGGATGGACGTTATCTGCGCCTCCAACAGCAACCACATTTACAGTTCCGTATGTATCTTCAGTAAAATGGCCCTTTGTTGACTCAAACTTGCGAAGACTACTAACATGGCAATACCAATAGGCCAACCCAGCCCCCGGCAGCTGCGTGCTCTGGTACTACATACACAATCTCATCAACAGATACATGCGTGGGCATTTCCATGAACAAGGGAATTAGTACCGATGATTTGCTCTCATACAATTATCTATCGTCTTTGTGCAAATACTTTCCAAAAGCTGGCACGTCTCTCTGTATTCCCGATTCTCGTGTCTGCAAGCCATACACGGTGCTGAAAGCAGACACATGTTCTTCTCTTCAGAGTCAATTCAAGATTTCATATGCGCAACTTATCGCGTGGAATCCGTCTCTGGGGTCGAAATGCTCCAATATTCAACAATACGTCGGCTATGCAATTTGCGTATCAAATCCGGGAGGAAACTATGTTAACCCCAGTCCAACTACCATAATTCCCTCTTCGACGGCGTGAGTGAAATTCTCCTTTTCATCAAAGACTACAAGAATCCTAACAAATGACTTAAGCACTTCATTATGGACATATTCTTTACCAGCCATGACTTCGTACCCCAATGCGACATATGTAGCATCCACCGCAGACGCTCCATATGCAAACGGAACCCGCATGGACTGCACAAACTACTTCACTGCGCCAATTCTTACCAATTATACTGAAAATGGAACCACGAGCTTCAGCTGCCAAGATGCTGTTTCTCAGTTTGGCATTGACATGGCAGATTTCTTGACCTGGAATCCATCTCTGAGTGCTTTGAGCCCGTGTACAATGACCAATAACACACAGTATTGCGTCCAAACATACAGACAAACGTCTAAAAACATTACTGGCTCCTGTGTACAAAAGGCGATTGCTCCTCCGGGCTACGACTGTATCGGCTTCACATCAAGACATGGCATAGACCACGATCAATTCGCACTTTGGAACCCAGAAGTAGGGAGTGACTGCGGACAGTTCAAAATTGGCACTCAATATTGCATTGATGTGCTGCATTACCGACAGCCAGGCATCACTTCGAACTGCAATAAGTTTGCCGCGGCTAATAACACCAATTGTAAGTAATTTAGTGCCGCTGATTGTGTTTTACTATTTTCAAGCTGCCGTACTGATATGCAACAGGGGTTGAGCTTCCGTGCCAAATAATTGAGACGGAATTTGGCATAAGCCACGCTCGCTTCATCGCATGGAACCCTGCTGTACAAGACAATTGTAAGTATTGACCATCCAGTAAATATTTCAGCCATGAATATTTAAAGTCTCATCATTCTGCGTCTTCTTTAGGCACTGGGCTATATCTTGGCTACGATTATTGCGTTTCCATACCCAACTATAGGCCCACCTACACGTCAACCACGCCATTTGCTACTGCGTTACCAAGCCCAGTAGCTTTGCCTGGCGTAAAGTCCAATGCGAAGGGCTCATCAAGTTCATTGCCCAACGGGAAAGCAACCGTGACTTCAGGCAGTTCCAAATCTACCAAGTCGAATAGTCTGAATCGGCAAATGACTGTTCCTACTCCCACTGGTAAGTAACGGCAATGCCACGGGGCGTCTAGATATTGGGATATCACTTTGGGGCTTTGAAAATCGCATTTCAGATGCGACTAAATAAGTTTTAGTCTATGATCTAAATTTAGGGATATTCTATAGATTTATGCAGGGTTGTCAGACATGACCCTCAAGTTTGTGAAAGGCCACGTTCATTGGCATCAATAGCTTCGACTACTGCCTTGTGACCTAGAACAGATGTAGCCAAGCCTTCCATGATCAATGCCGTGAGCGCCTTGGATACCGCCTTGCTCCACAGCCTGCAGATGCGGCAACATATACGGAATAGTCATGATCTCAGATACGGGTACACACATACATGCGCCTCAAGTCATCGTTCAAATTGATGTTGGTTCAAGCCGGCACCAAGTTGCTATAGACAACTTGTACACAGTGTCAGCATAAGGTCAAAGTCTAATGGCACAGCGGGGAGCAGGCGGTAATGCATTCCTGCCTTAATGATCCAGACTCTTTGCAAAATACTCTCTTTAGGTAAATTCAATAGCTTCTAGACGAAGATGTCTTTCATAGAGTACATCGAATGGCTCTGATACAACGCCTCCTAACCAAACCAATCCATGTTGACTTCGTAATTGAGATTGGCTTGACAACTGTCCCTCCTTTCCAAAGAAAGTCTGACAAAATCTATATGGCCAGGATCCCCTTTTCCTAGAGGGGTGGGATCGGCTGAAAGATCTTTCCAGCTAATGTTCCACTGCTCAGTAGGATCTATCGCATTAACTGCGACCAGTTGCGTTGGCCTTCCAGCGGAAGCGGATGAGTATCTTGCCTCCAACTCAGAAAATTCAGCGGCCCAAATATATTGATACTTTGCCAGTTGCTTTGGCTTGAGAGACATGACATCTAGAACCTGCAATTTAGCCTCGATTGGAGCACATGAAGAAAGAGCTGACTGGAAGTGGATTAATTATGCCCAACTTACAGACTACGCCGCCGCAATGTCTGGCCATTGCGCGGGACATGTGTTCAAAGTAGGTAAAATACACTTGATTCGTTTGCAAAAAGGCGAGCCAGCTACCGTCGATGAAGACCTCCCAGTAGTTACGATCCTTGGGGTTGTCGGGGTTTGGGTTGCTGATATCGTTTTTGCCCGAATACAAATTCTGCAAGAAGGTGAGTAAAAAAACGAGTAATGATAGGCCATTCAATGATTATTCACCCATATAGACAGCAAATTATGTTTGCATGCCCAGTTCGTAGCAAACCACGATAGACCAGGGTGATCGAGATGGCCCATTGTCTGTCGAAGATCCCATTCTGCCTTGTCTTCGTTTGCCTTAGGGACAGAGGTGTAAAATACGCATCGGTTTTGCAGCTGAGAGTCTGGTAAGAGTATCTGTTTCTCCAACCATTCCGTCGTCAAGTCGTTTATACTTGTAACTTTGCCTGCAGCCGCTTCTATACATCCCAAACAACTGGGCAATTTGAACACTGGATCTCCAGGCTGGCTGCCCGGCGTGCGTTTGACAATGTTTCTCTTGTCAAGGCTTGGTAATGGTCGAATCCCCAGGGCCGCCTGTAGTTGTTTATTGTTCCAGGAAAAATCAACTTGGTAATTTTCATAGAAGACATGTGCAGGCAAGATATCATTTGAAAACTTCTGCTCAGTGCCCTTATGGCCATTAACATTCACAGCTGGCGCTTTATTTGCAATTGCTTTTGGGTTTTGGAGGGTACGAGGAGCGACATTTTTTCCAAAAGCCAAAGAGAGAATCAGGGTGATGGCAAAGAATACTGGAAGTATTGCCAATCGACCCATGTTGAGAGAAGCAGGTCTTGCAGCAACGCCCGCTCCAAGATGGCCTAATGAAATTGAAGACAAGACACAAGGATATTGTCGAACCCTTCTGCCATGAAAAGAAGGGAATTCATGAGTATCCTAAATTCACAACTGTCTTGCCCAAGTCTACAAAGCATATCGGCTACAGCATCGGAGTTCCTCCAGCGATGGCATGGGGTCTAAAATCCAATGGATCGAAGGAATATATGCTTGTCGCTTTAGATCGAAAGATCCCGTTCGGATGTTACTCAAAGCAGACACAACTGGACAGTGCGATGCATACTGTAGAAACAAAGTTGTTGGCCCTAATTCTTTCCCTTGCAGATTCCTCGATGCATGCAACCTTACAAGTGGTGCTACTAATCTGCTGATTGGTGTAAACGGTTTCATTGGCAGCAGATCAGATCCGAATAGCCGACACCCTTGTAGCTGGACGTGGTTCGCAGGATCAACAGGTGATATAAGCTGAAAGAAGAGGTTTGTTAGAGTTAAACATAAGCACAACCAGCCTCCGGCGATCCGGCGACGACGTAATATCCCTCAGCCTGTAGTTTCATAACTCGTTGACAAAGGCAGAGCGTGACAATGTCGAAGGATTGTAGTGTTGCATTCAAGGAACTCCGATTTATGGCCGTGAAAGCTTGTTGTGGGACTTTTGAGGCTGGCTGGCCTAAGGATTTACCCGGGCTGGAGATAGCAGTATGCTGATGATCATTCCCGTAGGATGCGCAACTCCGATATGCATCCTTACAGCAGGTCGGATTTCTGCTGTGGAATTTTGGATGTTGCTGTTAAAGCTTTCCCTAGCTCTGTCATGAGACTAGACTGGGAATTTCCTGTCGTTATAGAAATCTCATGTAGGACGTGAATCTCTAGCTGTGCTGACCTCAATCAACAATGAGGACCATGGCGATGCGAGGGTATCAGGGGTTTCCCAATCTTCAAATCGTTACTTTTGTCTTTTGTTTCGTTTCAATTTGCTTCAACGGTGTTTCAGCACAGCATATTCATTCTCCAACTGTCTGGAATGAATCACTAAGTACTAGTAAGCCGCGGGACTTCTCCCTGTTCCGGAGACAGACCCGTACATGTTCCAAGACCCAAAAGTGTTCAGATGGTTCATGCTGTAATGGAGAAACGCAAGTATACAGAGGCCATATGGTTGTAGAATAAGCATGCTGACAATTGAACACTAACAGAGGCGTTGTATGTTTGACTTTATCATTGCACCACCTTCTAAAGGAACATGTTGAGTGAATTCCCAAAGTGTGGTCATTTACTTACGAATATCTGCTTCTATAGTGCGGTCTTGATGCAAAGCATTGCGATCCCAGCGTCTGCATCTCAGATTGCTCTGCCAGAGCCGAGTGTGGTTCCTGGGGTGAGACTCCGGGACAACTCTGTCCTCTGAATGTGTGTTGCGGAGAATTTGGATACTGTGGCACCACCGAGGTAATCTCATCAGACAAGTCTGGAATCAAAGATACGTATGGTTTTAATGATCACTTGCTAACGTCCGGTTCATCAGGACTTTTGCGAAAGTGGATGTCAATCCAATTGTAAACAACCTCCTGCCACTAGCCTTAGCAAAGGCGATGTAACAAATCTGGTCATTGGGTAAATGAGTTACAACTTTGACGCATTATATGAGGTGGCGTATGCTAATGATAAATCTAGTTATTACGAAGCCTGGGCTCCGTATAGACGTGGCGCCTGTGAGTATTATTTCAGGTTTCTATCTTCATCGGGGGCATCATGAGACTTACAACATGAACCAAATTATAAGGCCCCAATCGTCCTCCATCATGGATACGTACAGACTCAATTACGCACTTATATGTTGCCTTTGCATACATTGCACCTAAAACAAACGAGATATACCCTATGAACGAGACCAGTGAAGAGATATTTCTTGAAATAATGCAGTTGAAGCAGACAGCCCCAGGGTTAAAGATCTTTTTGTCACTAGGTGGCTGGACGTACTCGGATAATGAAACGTATGGCCCTGTTTTCCGCTTCAGTTGATATCTCACACGCCTGACAAACTGAACCTCTCAACACTTACAGTGACACCCAACCTGTCTGGGGCGAGCTTGCCAGCACGGCTGCAAACCGACGAAAATTCATCGGCAATTTGGTCAATTTTATGGGTAAGTTTGGAAACAATCAGAATCAGCTATTTAGTCTCCTAATAAGCCATGTTTTCGCACAGCAAACTATGGGTTTGATGGTGTGGACATAGATTGGGAATATCCCGGAGCTTCTGATCGAGGGTAAGTTTCTCAGATGATCTCCTAAGCACAGCCTAAAATCGCTCACTCAATTTCATAGAGGAAAGAAGGCAGATACTGCGAATTATGTTGCTCTTCTACAAGATATCAGGACATGGTGGACCGCACAAACCAATGGCGTAAGTCTCCTGCTGCGTGTTTGACACGAATTACAAATCTTCTCATCATGTCTTCAACGACCGAAACTGATTTCTCGTCTTTTCATATTATGATAGTGGGGTCTTTCATTCACAGCACCAACATCATACTGGTACATGCGCTGGTTCGATATCGGAAATCTCACGCAGTATGCTGATTGGGTTAATCTGATGACATACGATCTCCATGGTAGTTGGGACTCTCCCGAAGACCAGATCGGTTCATATGTCTATGCACATACCAATCTCACTGAGATTTCTGACGCGCTTGACTTACTATGGAGAAACAATGTGCCAGCCAACAAAGTCAATCTTGGTCTAGGTTTCTATGGCCGCTCATATACTCTGTCTGATCCATCATGCACCCTGCCCGGTTGCGAATTCTCAGACACAGGAGTGGCAGGGTCATGCACGGGCACCGGTGGCATTCTCTCTTATGAAGAGATCACTGCCATAGCCGATACATATAGTATCAAACCGGTTGAAGACAAGAAGGCGGCCGCTATGTATTTTGCGTTTGACGAGGACCAGTGGGTTTCGTACGACAATGTGGCCACGATCAAAGAAAAGGTGGACTACGCCAATAAAAACGGTCTTCTTGGACTGTTCATATGGGCTCTAGATCTGGACAACGACAACTACGACGCTCTTGCAGCAGTTCTTGATGCAAAAGGTGGTCTTGGTGCATTTAAAGCCCAGAATGGGGTTGGACCTGCTGGCTCAACAGACTGGCAGCCAACTCAAGCATCCTGCTTCATGAGCGAATGTAGCACCTCGTCTGCTTGTCCAGGAACTCACCGAAGCGTTGGGCATTCCGTACAATGCGACGGTAAAGATTCCTTTAGATGGGTCTGTTGCCCGCGTGACCGCGCACCCGATAGCAGCACATGCGAGTGGAAGTCTTCCGTTACTTCGTTCCTCGGACTGAGCTTGGTCGACTGCAACAACGGCTGTCTTACGGATGAGGTGCTTATTGCTGAAAGCAAGTGGTACTATGACGATGATTCTCAATCCAGCAAGAAGTGCCTCAGCGGATATGCGCAATATTGCTGTGCCACATCTGAAGATGCCCGTAGCCTCTGTGGCATGCTGGATGGGACGTGTATTTCCATAAAAGACGGCCAGCCTGATGGGGATGATCCTTGCGCTGATAGCGGCCGTGTTTATGCGACATACTCGCAGGATACATGTCCTGATGGCTCATGGCGTCCATGGTGCTGTAACAAACAGGTTGATGTATCGCAATGCGACTGGCAAGGCCCGAAGCAAGACATAGCCAGCGATGCTTGTATCCGGGCCATGTCTTGTCCAGCGAACCTGGTCAACATGGGCCACTCTAAGAATGGCGGCGGCTACGACTGCACGGAATGGAGTATAGCAACAGATCACAGTATATCGATGCCAATCGGAAGCCATGAGAGAGCGCTGTGTTGTGCAGCAGGAGATGTTGTGGTCTACAATCAGACGGCTCCGGTGCCTCTGGCGTGGCTGTTCATCGAAGACGTTCCAGATTCTGACAAGCAGAAATACGAGATGAATGTCGAGACTGAAGCTACCGGAAACCAAGATCCCAACGAAAATGGGTTTGGTTGGGTCATAATGACTGGTCCTGAGGATCAGCTTGCTTCGTTGGATAAGCGGGATGGCTCTCATTGGGAGCTCTTTGACTGCCCTGATCGGGAGACTATCGCTGAGGATGACAGAATCACTGTTCGTGCCGTCTGTTCAGATGATTCCAGCGACAGTAACTGCGATGTTATTTTCCGAGGCGGTGTCGAACGCACTGTAGTCGAGATGCCTCCAGCGTGTGGTATTGGTCGTTATGCCATGGCTGTCAGCATGGAATCAGCTGAAGATCAGACGGTGCCGAAACATGTCTATCACAAGCTCGTCAAACGCGGTGCCAACTTGAGAGCACGTCCACACGTATACAGCTTCACGTTCGACTATGATTTCTCAGTCTTACACGGAAGAGCCGATAACACTGTCCAAGTTCGCATTGACTACTCTGAAGATCCGGGATATTGGGCGGCCATTGTGGACAATGATCCTAAAAACACCAACCCGGTGAGGAAACGAGAAATAGCAAGGGAAGTTGATCGCCGCCATGGCGGGTCTTGGAAGAGATACGCTGAACATTACTTTCACACTGAAAGAATGGCTACACCGAAACACAAAAGGGATGAGTTTGAAAAGCGGTGGTGGACTCTAGACCCGGCAATTTGGCTGGAGGTTATGGATAAACTGAACGAAAAGGGATTCGAGGGAGAGATACCACTCGCATCGCATCATCTTCAGGACACATTTCCGTTTTGGCTCTTCAACGAAAGACTACAATGTTCGCTGCTCGGCATCCCTTACGATGCTTACTTTACTGTTTGGGCGGATCTACACGTCGACATTCTCACATCGGCTCAACTAACACTAATTGTACGTTGAAGGATGGTCAAAGAGCAACTAAACGGTGACACTAACTAATTATCTTCAGGGCCACCTTAATGATCTCACTAGCTGGAACCAATCGCACGTTTTGTTTCGCAACAAGGGCTCTATACAAGCAGGCTTGCATATGGAAGCCCAGGCGACCGTGCGCTTCTCAACTGGATCAGTTGAGCTGTTTGGTATGCAAAACTTTGGAGGCACGTTCACCGTGCCCGGTATAGTGACCATTGGGCCAAACTTTAGAGTGCTTGGAGTATGATATCCTCCCCTATTAGATCTCTTCCTTGAAGAAGTGAAAATGCTAAACTTGAATAGCAACTGACCGGAGTCTTTACCGCACATACGTGAGTCAGCTTACAAACACTCCAAGACAAGATTAGTAGCTGACCATTGACAATGATATAGCCAAGCTCATTACAACATGGACGTACTATCCTGGGATTATTCACAGCGCTATCCTAATCCCGATAATGACGTTTTATCTGGGCTTACTGACAACACAGAAAACCCCAAAGACCCTGGGATAGATGATGACCCCGACAAGCCGAGCAATTTCACCGCGGACGTTACTGTAAATGGTGACATTACCCTCCAAATGTAAGGCATACCAAATTGAGCTGCCAATAGGGCTATCACGACTAATTACTGGACAGAACTCCGTTGGTGGAATTTGGAGTCCGCTTCAACCCCAAGTACAAAGCCACCGACACAACAATTTCGCTGCAGCTCAACACTCATGCGACACTTTACGGAAGTGCCGGTGTTGGCACGGACACTGAAGCAAGTGTTTGTTATGGTGCTCTCGCTGGTGCTGAGCTCTTTGCTCAAGTCCAAGCTCCGTAAGTGCCCATTGCAAATTGAATGCTTATGCAGGCTTGAGCTGATAAAATCGTGTAACAGATCCATTCTGGGCGTCAATCCGAATAGGCGATGGAGTTTCTATAAGCAAAATGCAAGTTCATCGAACAAGACACTTTACAATAGACAACTATTTGCTGACACATTATCTTTAAAGGTCGACATCCTCGAACAGAAATGCTATGGGCTGAAAGATTTCTTCCCTTCTGACTGTCCAGACTGTGAATGAACTTTGGGGCGTGGGTTGCGGAGTAGATTCATAAATATGAGATCAAAAAATTATTATGTATTAAACATTCTCAATAGTCTATCGTAGTGAGAGGATATTGAGCCCGTTCGCCGTTTTCTCTGCTTCACATTCTACCATTGATGACAAAATTTGCTACTACGGTAGCATGTCCATGTAATTAATCCACCGATTCATTATCGATGTAAGTAAACAACAACTGTTGCTCATGCGAACGCAGGGTCAGGTCCCTTGGCAAGTCCGATATAAGTTTCCATCTGCATTCGCCACCATTCGACATTCTCCCGATCGCCCATGAAAGTGATGTATCCACTGGGTTGAGTATTGTTTGCCATGAACACATTGTTTGTGCCAGTCAGAGAACTTCGGACAGATGGACCTCCCGACGCCGAAAGAGTTGACTGCCATTCACTGCTCAACAAGAAAGACAAAAACAGCTTTGAACTCTCTGGGCGAGGTGTCGAGGCAAAGATCGCCGCCTGTTGAGCCCAGGTCATGAACTGGTCCGGTGAATCAGGTTGACGGACTTGAAGGAAAGACGTAGATGGTGTAAACCCGCCCAGCGCAGAAAAGGTCAAAACTCTCGAACCCTTGCCAGCCGAATGGTTGTCAATGATGGCGCCGGTGGCGGCTGCAGCACCACGCACCCACATGACATCTTGCTTCAACAGCGAGTCCAACCACTTGAAGCCATACCGTTCAATGATGAGAGAAAACAAATACAGAACACCATCGTCGTCGTTGGGATAAGTAAGAACAAGTTTGCTTTTCCAGTAAGGGTCTAGAATATCGGCATATGTCTTGGGCACCCGACTTGCGGGTACAATCGTCGAGTCGTAGTAGAACGGACCAAATTGATCTAGAGAAAACAATATTAGCATCAATCACCGGATTCGTATAATATTCAAGATACGCACTATAGTTGACAGGTAGATATGCTCCGTCAATATGTTTGATAGACAGGTTGATGTCATTGAAATTAGGCGGCTTATAATGCAAAAGGCGTTGCTGCCTATCCCATCGGGGGAAGTCGTGTACCGTTTGCAACAATGCCACGTCAATGAAGGGCTTTCCTTCTATGTAGCTCCGATCAATGCGGGAGTCGGCATATTTCGACAAATCGGCGGTAATATTAATGGCGACATCGGGAAATTTTTTGCGGAATGCAGTCAGCATTGGAGCCGCAGCCGCTTGTGCTATGGCTAGTCAGTAGCTATTCTCAGTTCTGGAGAAGGAATGCAATTGATCTTACAGCTGCCGCCAAAGTACACATTCAAGGTGCCGCGTTCATGCTTTGCACTTTGGTAAATTTGGTCCAAAGATCTCGTCTCGACTTCTGTGCCATATGCAAGAACTTGGCTCGCGGAAAAAAGGCAAGCAGCCAGCAGGGCAGATTGAATCTGCTTAAAGGAAGGCATTATGAATTATAATTAGATAGATCAAGAGATGAATATATACACCAGATGATTCAATTGCAACAGACGACACCTGCTACATGTATATGGTCATAGTATTTATATTCAACATCACTCGAGGACATTGGATTCCATACGAAGCACGAGCCACATGGCGTAGATGTGTAAGAACTTATTAAAAGCCTCCTTGACTTCAAATTTGTCATCTACACTTGTAACACGCCAGTTTGTGCCCGCAACTACCGCATAAAGTATTTATGAATATTCTATCTATAGGCAACACCGGTCGATATAGTGCCGCAATATCCGCCCGGCTCTTTATAAAAATTATCTAAGCTTATACTCCCCATAGTAGGCCACTAGCTATGTGTGTTGTTCGACTCAAAGCAGCTATAACTTGCGCATACTATCTAATTCCAAACGCTAAATCGAAGGGTACGCATGCTTTGATTACAAATGCTGGGCATTCCATCAGGGGCTTGCTGGTGCCATTGTGGGTTATCGTCACATACATACGCGTCATTTCGAACTCGGACGTAAATAGTAGCCGATTTGCGTTTATGACAGCGACCATTGGAGAAGCATATCATGAGATTGATGTCCAATTGATATCAATTGAGCTGATTGAGCCATCAAATCTGCAAGCAGAAGTATTCTGTCATAGAAGTTGGACAGTCTTCTATCGGAGAATGAGATGGCTTGCCCCTTGCATAGCGCATATCGTCAGCCAGGGCTGCCGGCTGCAACTACCGATATCTGACTAGTCGGTGCCTGGTGACAGTTCGGCAGCAATGCCTAAATACGTTTACACTCGTTCTGGAATAGACACAATAGGAAGTAGAATGTCAGCTCGCCTGACGCGTAATCTTATCAGATCATACCCTGCTCCACAAGTGTAAAAAGTGCTTGCACCTAACGTTTGAGAATCAAATGCCGAAATATGCTACTGCTCATTCGAGCAGCTTATAATCGGCTGGTTTATTCTACGCTTGTGGAAAAGCCTCAATTGATCCTATATATCTGTGCTTTTGATTCAGGAACTGGGAGCAGCCCAATTGCAAATAACCAAGTATATATGGAGGCGGTCATGTGTAAACTAATAATTCGTTGAGATCGCATAGTGGAAGTATGTGAAAAATCCTTCTAATTGCCAAGCATCCGACCTTAATCACGCAATTATGTTCTTCCACAAATAATATCCCCTTGACCTTTCTCATCCTTCTCTTTGAACACCGACTTTTCACAGCCGGACTCAGAAAGAGCTGCAACTTTCTTACTTCAATGCTCAGCATTCCGGACACAACGAGCATCGAAGGTTTCCATTATCCTAGTGTGACCCTTTTCAGCAGCCGCTTCAGCTGGTATTCTTCCATCTTGACTGGTAACACTCTCGTCAGCACCATACTTGAGAAGTAGTTTGAACACTTCCACGCGACCAGCATCGCTTGCAGCAATGAGTGGTGTTATTCCATGGATATCGGGCTTCTTGACATCAGCATGGCCGTTCGTCAATGCTATATGGATAGGCAATCATATTGTTTTGGTTTTGGTAATCATATCAGCACCGCATTAGAGAAGTAGCCGAAGCACCTCAATGTGGCCATGCCAAGCTACTGCATATACGGCAGTTTCCCCATCAGTATTCGAGGCATTAATATCAGCACATTTCTGTAACAGCAATTTTGCGAGCTCGAGGTGACCATTCGAGCACGCCGCAAACAACGGCGTTTGCCCCTTTTCATCAGTCACCATAGCATTGGTACCAAGCTCGAGCAATAGTTTGGCCACCCCAATGTAACTGTTGCAAGATGCAACAAATAGGGGCGTCTGACGTTGTTTATTAGCATCTGCGTAATCGGCGCCTTTCTCTGATAGAAGCGTTGTAACATCAATGCGGCCATTGTTATATGCTTCTTACAGCGACGTACCTTCATCATTCGTTGTTGTCTTCAAATTTGAACAGTTCTTTATGAGCAGCTCCATAATTTCGATATGACCCATAGTCGCTGCTATATGAATAGCAACGGAACCGCGAATGTTGAGCAGAGGTATCAGCCCGCTTTTTGATGAGCATTTGAAAAGACCCTTTAAACGCTGCCACATCAAGTGGCGTGTTCTTGGTTTATCAGAAGCCGTAATGTCCGTTAATTAGGAGTTGAGCCACTTGGATATGGCCACTGTAACATGCTGCAAAGAGCGGTGTTCTTTCAAGACTATCGGAAGTCTCTATACTGGAGGTTAATTGAATTATAAACTTGACAACATCAACATGTCCATTGCCACACGCAGCAGATAGTGGCGTTTGTTCAGCACAATCCTGAATTGTAATATCCGCCCCTCGCTGGATGAGCAAGCTTGCAATATCATTTCTACCTTCATAACATGACGCAAAAAGCACTGTCTGTTTGTTGGTCTTTGTAAAAGCGTTTATATCGTTTTCCTGATCAAAGAATAATTTTGCCAGATGAGTAGGGCCTTTTTTCAGCGTTCCGAGGACTGGTTGCACTGTGTGATACTTTGACAATCCGTAATAGGCACCCTTTCCGATGACACATCTTACCGCCTTGATATGACCTTTAAAGGTGGCTTTGAAAGCGGCCCCAGTGCTATTTTTTGTCCAGTTGGTGAATAGTATCCCCCTCTTCTTGGATTAGCCGTCTCATGATACTGAGATGGCCATTCATTAATGCTGCATGAAACGGATACACGCCATCATGATCGCTAATTGTGATGCGAGCGTCCTTGTCAACCAACAGCTTGACCAGCCCAGAGTGCCCATTCAAAGCAGCCGCGTGATATACAGCTGTTTAGCCCTGGCTATCTTTCAATTCGATTTTAGCTCCATACTCGAGAAGGTCGCCAATGACAGTCTCGCAACCACTCGAAGATGCAATTCCCGGAGCCGTACCGCTTCTTACTCTGTTGTTAGGCCATACCCTGCGCTCCTTGACCATGAATCGCGCCAAGTTGGCAAAGCAGGTTCTATTGCATAACACAGAGAACGAGCCGGCTTGCTTTCGGCATCCCGCCACTTGTCAATGAGTTGCATCGAAGCATTCCCTCCACATAGCCCATGAGGGATTTCTTTCGTCAAAGACCTTTTCTAGATCTAATAGATTGGTATATTTATTTGCTACAGCCTCCGCATCCTTGACTAGTAACAGTGCCTGAACGCATCTCATCCCTCATGAAATCTTTCCAAACATGCGAACAGCTCATATTCTTGATGCATAGCTAGTCTAGCATTGTTTGTTCAGTTGCTGTCATCAAGTTATCATTCACTTAGCTCATAGACTCACGTATAATATGTTCCAGAAAGAATTCTCTAGCCGTGGAGTGGATGAGGCGAATTGTCCCCTTCCCAGCCTGGGATTCCGGACTTTTTATTCGAGTCTCTAAAGGTGAACTGCATGGATCCAATATTCTGCGTTTGGTAGAATTGCTGTCCGACTGCTCGGGAAATTTGGGGAATGGAATGCCTTCACATTCACCACACGCATGTACAGCCTTGGATATCTCCCGAACTATCAGAGGGCTGAGATAACAGGCAGCTTGTCGTAGTAGCACAATTGCTTGGAATTTGTTATTCTTCAATAACCTGGTAATATTCTTTCAGCTTCGGGCATAAAACTTTGAAGAATCTTTCGGTGTGCCTTCAATGTCGTTCTGGGACTGCATTTAGTTCAGAAATTATCTCACAGCGATCTCCTGCAGCCCAGCCAAAGAAACCAGCATATGCAACGATGACCCATTTTTAAGCCGTGATATTCTTAATATGTGTCTTTTCATAGAATAGATTCTGCTGAGCGATATGAGAGGCCGCGTAGGGGGCAAATGAAGGGAAGTATCCGAGTTCGAACTGGTGTTGTGGCTTACAAAGGAATATAAAAGATATGAATATCACCTTTGTCTGCAGAAATTCAAAGATAAAGGTCAATATAAGGACCTTTTGTCTCTCTGTATTTATCACGCTTCGCTTGAATCTTGACATCTGATACTTTGTAATCGAAGAACTGTACATTTTTATCACTTGACAAAGCCTGATACATACTATGACCTTTGCATCTGTACCTTTCCCTGCCTCGTCGACCGTTCTAACAAAGTCTGCCACATATAGGCAAGACTCATCTGGAGCACAGTCAAACAATGAGTCTGCAAGTCGACGCCAGCTTACCGGTAATTGTCTCTCGTAATGGCTGAACAATGATAACTTACGAAGGCTTCGAAGCCGCCACTCTATACACCCTTTCAATGTAGAACGATAACGGGTATTGATTCGTTGAGGTGAGCTTTAACCTACTCTATGTGTCTAAAGGTTTATTAGATCAATGGAACCCACACACATACACATTAGCTTTTCCAACCTCGTGAAGCTGTTGAGCTCGGGTTTTCTGATATAAAAGAAGAATTGTTTCTCATAGTTACATAGACAAAAAGACAAGATGAGTTAGCGGTTGTGCAAGCTACATGGAGGTTTTCAATATTGTGCTGTGTCATGTGATGGCCAGCGCAGTTCAAAGATATCTACCTAAGGAGCAACAGCTGAAAGACAACCTAACAAGAGCAATGACTCAAAACCAAAAAATTTAGTTCAGCTTTAAGCAAGGGAGAAATTTAAGTAACAAGTCATAAAAAAAAGTAACAAGTATAATACAATACCGGTATAGTCTGCGCCTCTTTGTTCTTCTCCCCACATCTAGTATTTCCCTCTGCCGTGTCTTGGGCTGCTAGTCGAGCGGCTCAGTGCGCCGGCCCTCCCGACTCAAGGGAGGGGGCATGAATAGGGGCTGGTCTTAGTAAATGTCTCTGTCTTAGTAGATGAACAATGGGTGCACAGCCCTGCATGGAAATGACTATAGGAGTCTGCGCGCCTAGGACGTGGACCAAGTTTCCTCTTTAAGATCTCCCAATTACTGAATCAAACAGTTCCTAAATATGGCGTCAAAGGTATACTCCAGGTTTGCCAACTCCTTGAAATTATCAGGCCACATGCTCAAGCTTCGGACGGATCAGACTAGGGACTATCCCACCTCGACAAACCAACAGAGCAACACAAATCTTGAGACAACAGACCCCTCAACATCAGCCCAGACTATCAAAACTACTAGCCTTAGATCCCAAACACCAGGCCACTCGGAGAGTATCAAGCCGTCCCTTTGGGATCGCGCATACGACGACCTTAAGAAAACGGACGGACAGCTAGTTGAAGAATATGAAAAGCTGCTCTCTATCGAGTTGCGAACCAACACGGGTCAGAAGCTCGGTATTCTGATGACGATTCCACGTTCCACCGCTGATCAAGGCTACAGCCCTACCAATCGACCATGATGACAACTTCTATGAAACAATGACGACAACTGAGAATCGAATCAATAGTACGAACCCCAATAAGCGCCTAGAGCAACTGAAGACAATCACCGATCGCGGGCTTGGACAATTGGAAGACGGGAGGACGAAATATCGTATATTCGGTCACGACTTCATTCCACACAATAAGCTAGCGCAGGCTACTCGATTTATACAAAACATCAGAAACATCATTGATGAAGCTGTCAGACTATCACCCCATGCCTCCTTGGCGTGGGCTGGTGTCTGTGTCCTTCTGCCTCTCTTCATGAATTCCAGTATTGCAGAAGAGGCGAGTCGCGACGGTTACTTGTACGTCACCTCTCGCATTCAATTCTACCTCAAGTTGGAGCCTCTGTTATTATCATCATGCGACAAATTTCAGACCTTTGAGATAAATAAGGAGCTTGAGAACCGCCTCATAGCACTTTACCAACAAGTCATTGAGTTTCAGATGAAAACCGTGCGGCGTGTCTATCTAACACGACTTGTCAGATATACAGAGGACACTACCGGGCATGAAGATTGGAAGGACATGAAGGCAAAAATCCAACAGTCAGAAGAGATTCTTATCAATGATTCCAAGTTGGTCAACGATGTGGTCACAAGGGGAGAGCTGAAGAAGCTTAGCGAAAATGCAAAGGGGTTCTTTGCGGACATCACATCCATTCTGACTCCCTTGGTCAAGGATAGCTGCAAGGGACCAACTTTGCACTTTCGGAATGAAGGTTCAGGCACTCAATACAACACAACAGGGGGAGTCCAGCATAATGGGACAGTCAATGGTAATAATTTCTCCGGGGCAACCTTTGGAGGGCCTCTGAAATTTAATCAGGGTGAAGCCTGTCGATAAGAATGAGGCTAGATATCGCAGGTTCATATACATCTAAAAGGCACAGGTTCAAATGCCGTCCAGTATAACTCTCAGTATACGAGATCTTGGAGGAGAATGTTGAAAGGCATCCATGGTTTTCTTCCAATTTATCGTATTCAAAGTATTCAACAAGTTCTTCAAATCTTCTATGATGGTTTCCACTGTTGAGTTGTGACACTAGGCGCAACAAGACATCAAGCAAGATTTGTATAACGTCATGGAGATCAAGGCACTGAGGCCATTATCTCGGTCCGTGTTTTCTCTTCTGAATGTACGTACAAATGCCGCCATCCAGATCTACTTCACCAGCCGCGTAGTGATTCCATAGCCTTACTACACCATCATCATCCCTGGAAAACTGCGACGAAAGCCTAAATCTTGCTGAAAATCACAGCTCCATGAAAGTTTGCTCCGGCGAAATTGGTCCCACTACCTGTCGAATTGTACTGGGTACTGAATGTGGTTGCGTTGAACTGGGTACCGCTCGCACTATTCAGATATGAATGATTTCCTTCATTTCGTTTGATGGGATCTAATGATTTCATGCGCTTCAACTCGTAAATTTCATCCCACAACTCTTTCAGTGACCACTCGGCAGTTCCGTAGTACTTGGCTAAACAATATATGTTCTGCATCAAGTTCAAAATTAAATTCTCCACCAAGCGCTGGTTACCATTCGCCGTGAGGAGATCTCTGTAGGACTGTACCCTCGTTGCAAGCGATACCTGCGATATCTGGTGGAATAAATTCCTTGATACTGTCGCGTCGTTGTGGCAATCCTTGAGTAAGGTATCTGGGCTCGATTGTGCTTGGGCAGTGTCCGTGGATGGCGGGACTTCCACAGCTGCCGTATGCTGTTGAGTTTGTAAGAGTCTCAAGGCATCTCTAATCAGACCAAGCCCACGGCCTGCTTCATGAAAGGTAATTCCAAGCGTGTGATCCCCCTTGACTGTCTCGTAGTGCTCCATAGCTTCTGCCACGATAGCGTGTATTCCTGAGATAGTCACGCTGGTGTCCGCCATTCTCGTCAATATGAGGCAAAGACCACTTTACACCTGCTTTGTGTGTAGAAAGTTCCAGGTACAAAAACTCGAGGATACTGGGGGTAGTTAATTGCCTCACATACTCTGTAGGTACCTTACTTGCTTGTATTCTTTGATACCCAACTAAAGATGGATCATGCACATCGTGCTCAACAGGTCGAAAATTGGGACATATTTCCGAGGTCGTACAGAGTACACCCGTTGCAATACTATTCGTCCTCTGCCTCGCATCAAGCCTTGTAGACTCACGATGGCCCACATTCCTACGACTACAGCCGTAATTAGTCAAGCGTCTCTTTAATTGATTGATAGTACGAGTAAATATTGACGCTTTGAAGAAGATTTGATTTCATGCCCATCCAGCGATAAATAAGCAGAATTATATGGGCGATGTCATCCCTACCTTGGGTGGCATGTATATATCAGTCGAATCATAATGTCCTCTGTATCTCCTGTGTCTTTTCCGGATCCGTCTGTCGCGTCTATGTAAAAGCACATGTCCCTATATTCATCCATTTCCTGCATATTCAGACTGAGCCTTGACTTCTTTTAGAAAAACACCTGATGCTTATTTACACTTGCATATCTCCCAGGTCTAGGTAGCCGGTTCAATTTCTTAATCCGCAGGCTAGAAGCCCCCGCTTTTTTGTTTTTGCGGTCTGCACGTGTAACCTCACAAATAAAAAAGTTCCATCCAATCTTGGTGGGAGGGGGGGGGGAACACTTTCTGGATCCCTCAAAGTCCAATCTCAACGGGACACGCGTCACATCCCAAGGAACACACGCGTCGAACCGAAGCTATTCGCATCCCAGATTAGAACATCGACTGCCGTTATCATGGAGGAGCTGTTTGGGCGCCAATTCCAATCGCCTGACGAGGCCAGAGCCGCCATTGACGCCGTCGCCCAGCCCCTTGGCTACAACTTCGTCAAGCACCGCGTGAGGCCCAATAGCATCACGTTCCGCTGCAGCAAGGGACGAGTCTACAAGGCCCAGAGAGATGCGAATGTCCCTGCCGCAAAACGCCGTGAGACGAGCTCGCAGATGACAGGCTGCCCGTACCGGCTTGTCGTGGGTCGGCAGCACGTCTTGGCCCCCTGGATTATTCGCCGCACGCGTGGCGAGAAGTCGACCGAGCACAACCATCCCGATTTTCCCTCGTCGGCGCATTCACGATATCGGAACAAGGCCCTTGAAAAGAAAATGGACAAGGTCATGTCTTATTACGAGCTCGGGCTCCGGCCTCTCCAGATTCTCGGTCAACTCCAAAGTGAACACGAAGACGACCCGGAACTGCAAGGTCTAACACGTCATGACATTTACAACGCGATACGAAAGCATCGCCAACAAGAAGAGCTTGATAAATCTACGGAACAAGAATAATTCCATCTTAAACACCAAGCTTTTATTTCTTCGTCTATGATGAGAAGTATCGGCTGTAAAAATCAGCCAAGTCGCCCAACCCAGCTGGGCGCAAGTCGGATCGCGACCGATCTGAGGAATGTTGTTGCTCTCGTTCTCCAGGGTCGTTTACACAGCCAGAGACTATGAACGGGCTCCGCTTACAGCCCACAGATTCTTAAACATGCTGCTCTCCTGTTGGACCAATTCGCGAGGACGTCCAGACTCCACGATCTGCCCGCGATCCATGACAAGCACGCGGTCAAAATCCATTACGGCATCCAGTCGGTGGGATATCATTATTGTGGTGTATTCCGCAAATTCCTGTCGGATGAGAGCCTGCATCGTGCGCTCCGTATCTTTATCCACAGACGATCCCACCTCATCCAACAGCAACAGACCACCAACGTCGCCTTCCTTTTCAAAGAGACTGTTCGGGTACTCGTCTGTATGAAGGGTTTGGGAACGAGCAGCACTGCTGCGAATGCGTCGTCGAAGGATTGCTCGGGCCAAGCCAAACAACTGCCTCTGGCCATGGGAGAGCATGTTGGTAGACAGGCTGGAGTCTAACCCACCGTGGTCTACAACGACCTGCCAAAGTCCCACTGCACCAAGGACCTCTTTGCAATCGCTCTCAGTCGATAGATTGGAAGGATCGAGGTTTGTTTTGAAAGAGTGGCCATCTGGAAAGAAGACGGAGTCTTGTGGCACAGCGATTACGCGTTCTCGCAGGGAGGAGCGCTTGACTCGGCGCAACGGTATGCCATCAATGGTGATTCCATCCGCAGACCCAGCTAAGGGATCAAACAGGCGAAGCAACAGGAGAAATAGAGAGGATTTACCGCTATTGTTCCAGTTAGCAACTCAGATATGAGGAGTAAAGGATAGCAAGACAGACTAGCTTACCTTCCACTGCGTCCGCAAATAGCAATCTTCTCACCAGGCGCAGTGCTCATGTTAATATTTTTCAAGACCAAATCTGCAGGGTCTATTCCCGAGTTCTCTGACTCTGTAGGCTGAACAGGGACACTGTTTGTAGCTATATTAGCAATGCTGAACCTCAAGTAACCAAATTGCACTGCAACCCCCAACTTTAACGTACCTGTAAGAAGCTGAGACGTCCTGAATATCCACCGCTCCACGCCATGGCCATAGCAGAGGCAATTCCGCGTCCTCTTCGGGGGTACTCTCCGGCAGCACCGTGTCGTGGAAGGATTTCAACCGGCTCACAGCCCCGAGGGATATCTCCACCTGAGTATACATGACAATCAGATGTGAGATGAAGTTTCCGAGTGACATGAGGGTCACCATTGAAGCTCCGGTTAGCCCAGGACCTGTGACCGCCTTGACTTGGGTGGTTAGAACCACGACCAACGTGGCTACCGCTGTGACAACAGAGGAAAGAATAAAGGTGAGGCAGTGCTGAACCATGGCGAGGAGATATGCGGGGCGTTGAGAGTTGTCTAGGAGTGTCAAATTGAAATCAAGGCTCTCCTGTGTCCAGCCAAAGGCACGGAGAGTTGCCACGCCAGCAACTGTGTCTGTAAAGTGTGTACTAGTAATGGGTTAGCTTGGCTGATACATCTTAGACGACGCAGCTTGCTTGTACTTACTATAAGGGAGCTTTGGTTTCCAAATCCAACAAACGAAGCTGTCGAGAGGTGGGCAAGTAGAGCTTCTGGACCAACCACATCAGTGCAGCGAAGAAGGGGTAACTGGCGGCGATGTAAGGCGAGGCTGTAGCAACAACCACAGCCATTCCGATCAAAATGAATAACTCTACCGTAGCGTTGAGAAGGGACTGTGGGAGCTCCATATCTATAAGCGAAATGTCTTGGGAAAAGAGATTTATCACAACGCCAGCATCTACGTTTGTGAAAAACCGCAGAGGCGCGCCAATAACAGCCCGTAATGTCTGATGATGAAGAGTAATGCCGGACTGGGCCGTCATGAATCTGAAAACCAGGAGGCAGATCAGGCCGATGAACGTCAGGCTGAGAATGAGGAATAAAGCATAGATGCCCAGCCAGTATGCCTGAGAGTGAGCCCTGTGAGAAGAAGCCAAGTCGACAGACCAAAAGTTTAGCCAGACCTGTGGGAAGTTGTAGAAGACTGCTAATGCTACACAAGCCAGTAGGAACGATATAAGTGTAATTCGCTTCATACTCGTAGCATAGTGTTTATACACAGCTACGTCTCCGGTCTGCCTGCTGCTCTCATCTGCCGCAGTCCACATTGGTGGCGGAGGCTTCCGTGTTTTAGAACGCGTCAAGTTCTCGTCGTTCTCGCCGCTAGGAGGACTATTCGAAGAGTCCAAAGTCACATCGTCTGCGGATTTATTGGCAGATTGTATTTTCAGACTGTTCACATACCCGCCAAGAGCGTCGAGGTCATGAAAAGTCCCTTGTTCAGCAATCAGGCCCTCTGGACTAAGTGCAATAATGTGGTCTGCAGACGGCAAATGCCGTACAGAGTGCGTAGACAGAATCGCCGTTGCATTTCGGCGACGAATGAGACCACCAGGAGCGAAGACCCGTCGAAACACTTGCTCCTCAGTATCGGCATCCAGGCCACTGAGCGTATCGTCGAAGATGAATAGGCTGGAATTCGAGTATAGAGCGCGTGCCATCGATACTCTCTGTTTTTGTCCACCACTTAACGTTACGCCGCCGCTTCCTACCTTTGTAAGGTCGCCTTGCGGGAAAGTGGCAATATCTGGAAGAAGCAGGGCTGCCTCAAGGACTTCATCATATCTGGCCTGATCAAATGGGACATAACCAAGGATGTTGTCTCTCACAGTTTCGTTCGTGAGAAAAGCGGTTTGGTCGCAAAAGCCGATGCCACGGGTTTCGGGTCCTATAAGAACACGGCCGCTGTGGAACGGAGTCTCGCCCAGCAAAACTTTGAGTAGGGTTGACTTTCCACAGGCGATCGGCCCAATCACAATGGTAAGAGATCGAGCGGGAATCTCGAGGGCAATGTCGGACAAGATGGATTTATCCTCTTCCCAACCAAAGTCTCCTTTGGTAATCCGTATAAGGGTCTCGCTCTTCTCATTGGAATTCACATCCACGCCATCTAGTGAGCCGGTACTCTCACGGAAGTCCTCACGAGGGTCCCGCTCCAGGAAGGTTTGAATGCGTGAAACGCAAGAAAAGGCAGCCAGTAGCGGAGGGACGTATTGAAGCAGCTGAGATAGAGGATCCGTCAACAGGACTATAAATGACAACGCGGTGAAGATTCGAGTAGCATCAAGAGCTTTTCCTGTCACGGCAAATGTTATGAAAGGGCTAATCATTGACGGAGCGAAACCAATGATGGCCGCCATGATGATGGTCATCCGCCAACTAGAGCCAGTGCCAACTTCGGTCTCACGGAGACGCTGGAGTAATGTCTCAGCCGCGTCCGTCAAGCCGGCTATTTTGAAGGTTTTCATGTTTGTGACGATATGAGAGAGGGCGCCAACCCTTTCTTGAACCTTTTGCATCCAAAGATTTTGCCTTGGGCCGCTTAAACGACCTACGATTGAGATGCAAGCGATGCAGACGAAAACAACAATAACAGGCGCAACAAAGGCGGCGCCAAGTTCTCGGTACAAAAGCCACAATGCAATGCCACTTTCGAGGACACTGGCCCAGAATTCGTGGATAAACATGAAGCCAAATCTGGCACGCTCGATATCCGTGCTCATCAGCGTCAGCACAGCCGAGTCGCCGGTCACCGATAGTTTGGATCGCATTGTATGCTCGTAGACGACGCTTGCTAGGGCACCGCGCATCATCCAAAGAGACCGCTCACGCAGATAATAATAAAACGAGGTTGAGACGGCGATGCCCGAGTACACAAGGAATACAGCCCCGATCAAGCCATAGCCAGAATTAACCGGCCTCTCGGATGCTGGTATCTCAAGGTACGATAGCAGCGAGTTGGTGAGAAACGGCTGGCCGAATTTGAAAGCCGAAAGGGCTATTCGTGGCACAACAGGAAATAAGAAAGGTCCTGCTAGCGACTTGGCGAGGGCTTTGGCAAGTCCGTTCTTTTGGCCTCGAGTTGGGGATGTCTCTATAGCCGCTTGAAGTTTTCCTCTCAAGACACCACTAGACATGTGGTGGTCGAGATGGAATAGATCATTCAAACTCAACACCTTCCTGCGGCCAAGGACAAAGAGTTTCCAAAGCCAGCTGAAGACGGCCAATCCCCAGAATCCCGTTGTCTCTTCTGGACTGTGACTGCCTGTGCCCCATTGAATCCATCTCGTCTTTTTATATGACTCCGTTAAAAAGATGACGGCCTTTAGGGCGACGGAAGCCGTAAAGACGCCTGCAAACGCATCTTCGGAGAGAGTCACAGCCACCAGCCAAAATGACCTAGCTCGTGCGATATCGAAGAGAAGAGAAAGGGTCAAATAGCCGCTCAATAGGAAGGACGGCCGTGGAGATCGAGCATGTTCGAAGAAAGAGACGGGAAGTAGCAGTGCGTTGGCGATGACTTCTAATGAAGCAGATGATATGAAGAGAGCTGCTTGCTCGCCTCGCCAAACGATGCTCAAGACAAATGAGGTGAAACGTAGCGCGACACACACCGCAATTAGACCCTAACATATATTCTATTCAGCACTGGATGTTACTCGAGATTTTTGACTTGATTCAATTGGGACGTAGAACTGGCTACACATACAAGTTTTGTAAGTTGAAATACACGGCCTTTTGCAATGACGGGCTCCCGACTCAGCCAAACGAGACGAATAACGGCAAGTAGAATGAAAGCAGCTGCAGGAAGGATAGAAAGGAATATGGATTCAAATTTTAGAGTAAAATCGAAATCTCTACGGCGACAACCGTGAACCGATGGCCCCAAGGAAGCGTCATCTGGGCAGCCTGAGAAGTCCATTGCCCTTCAAGGGTGCGAGTGCCTCCACCGCCTTGCCAACTATCTCGAGAAGTAATATGTGTCAGACATCAGAGTTTTATATCCTGAATGAAAAGCTTTGATCGGGTACAGTAACACGTGATGGCGCATATCTCGAGCGAACGTTTAGGGTGGACATCATCTCGGTTTGCCGGTAGGAATGCTGGTTTTGCGCGGCCTAACAACTCTCATCTATCGTTGAGCAAGGACACAGCGCCAATGGGAGGAGACATACATATTAGAAGCATATACCTAGATTGAAAGGAACATCGCAACTGGAGCTATATTATCGTTGCTAGTTTAGAGGAATTATAAGCGGAGAAGACATTAGGCACTAGGATGCAAGAAGCGGCGAAATCAAGCCGATTGTGTGGTCATCATTCTAACAAAAGTTCCGGGGTTTTTGTCCATGCCTCATATGACCTGTAGGCCGGCAAGCCGCGAACTCGTACTACACGGATCTGTTCCCCAGATCGGGCTATTGAAAGACGCTGTTTCTGTGCGAGCCAGGCATCAAGGTCTGACCAACAGTTTATCTGCCTAGCTAGTAATGACGGTGAATCATTTCGTCGCAAGCAGTAAAACATCCAACGGCTGCTCCACATTGCAATAGTCACAAATAAGGAGACGCGGCCAGGAACACCGTGCGTGGCCGTGACGCATACCTCTGACGACACCTTGACAAACGTGGATGACATGTATGTTGCTGCCTACATGTGTATATGCTTCGAGAAAGAGGTTGCGATGGCAATTTTAGGCATTCTTTTGACGGGCGTAACATTTATGCTCCTCAATTCGGCGCTTCTCCTACAATCACTTCAAACCGAAAGAGAGAGTTACGCACCATTCATTATAAGCCTCTTAGAACCCTTAATAACTCACTCATTACAGCAGGCTGCAGGTTTTGGGTGATTATTAGATGCAATTGCTATGAGGCTGGCATTATCCAGCTGCTCCATAAACCCCTTCCATGGCAACTTGAAGCCATTTCTGGGTTCGTCTCTCCAAGGTGGAGATTTAGCACAAAACGGCTCACACGGGAATTTTTAGTCACAAGTCTGTAACTCCATACAAAGAATTGTAGCTGGCCACGACGAGAGTCAATAACAGGAGAACGTCCCTAGAGCAAACTTTATGGTTACAGATGTACGCATCTCATATCGTCAAGCCCCAGATGATTCGGTGGCTTTGCTAGCGGCCGTGTTGTCTCTAGATCCCGTAACAGCTCCAGGCCCGGACCCGGAGGCTAGAACTTACCCACTATTCCCGCCATGTCACGATATCATCAAACAACAACAGACTTTTTGGAGGATTTGCTTCGTTGCGCAAGACAATTGGGCGTATTTGCCCAGCTAGATCCACGATTGATCCAGGTAGATGATGTGAGCAGGCTTCACATCACGATGGCACAAGCGGAGAGTGTGGCGTGGCTGAGAAGCCTCAATTTAGGTTACAACCTCGACAACTTTCGTTGAATTTGACCTTGGCTGCGAGGTAATTGGCAGCGCTAAGAAACTTTGGAGATGGTACAACTACATGCCTACCTTGGGTAGATAAGCAGATAGATCATGTCAGTCTACTGACTGAATGCGTAATAATTCACGTACATGTACACAGATGCAGTGGCTGGCGTTTGCCCGTCTGCTAGGCGGAAGTTTGCTGGGGTGGCTTCATTGTTCATTGTAGTAGGTAATTTCTTCCGCTGGCACGTTGAACGTATAGAAGTGACTCAATTCACCCACCCCATTTTCTCCTCGCACCTGCATCTTTCCAAAAAAAAAACTTCACTTCCAGAGACGCCTTTTCCAGCCAACAATCACAACATCCCTGGCCCCAGACCAAAAGGGTGCTTCGTCTAGGGCACATCTACAATGGATTTCCTTGCGGCATGTGAAGACCTTGCTGCCAACGTTGCAGCATTTGACTTTGTTGATGGTCCCTCCGATGTCTCTGAATCCGATCAGTCAATATGGCAGGCTCTTTTTGATCTCTCCTCCGACGAAGCTGTCGAAGCCATTCGAAACTGGAGGGCCGACTTCGCTCGCCCGACGCTCTCGCAGGAAGCATGGCTCGTAGTCAAAGAAGCCAAAACCTCTGAGGGATTCAACAAGGAGTCATACGAATATAGCATATTCAAAGAACAAGAGGCTCGCAAGAAATCACGCGAATCAAGCAGTGGCTCAGTGGCCGCGAACGGGGGTGCGCAATATCTTGTCAAGCTAGAGGCGGAAGCTGCCGATACGGAAATACTCTGCCGACTACCCAAGAGACCGAATATTCTCACGGGGTTGGACGACGACGGTAACACGACCAAATTCTGCCTGCTATCCGGTGTAGACAAGTCCGAGCTCTTGAAGGGTCTGCCGAAAACACGCCAGCCAACCTTGATCCGCGTATCCATTGCACAGAAGGCTCTATCCTCAACCTCTCTCTATCCAACGCTTGGATTTGACACCACCATGCCGCAGTTTCGACCTGCCAATTCGCCTTTGCCTCCTCCGTCAGCTCGACCAGGACAAGACGAGTATCCAGTCTGGTACTTTTTTTATGGCACTCTTGCCGATGCCGGCATCCTTTCACGCATCATAGGCCTTGGCAAAAAGGACGGAGAAACCCAGGTCGAATACAAACGAGCCCGCATTCGCCGCGGTAAGCTCTCTACGTGGGGGGGGAAATATCTGGCTTTGGTAGATGCGGACCAAGATTCCACTGTGGACGGATGCGCATATCAGGTGAAGGACCAGAATCAGGAGGATTCACTCCGGGTGTACGAAACAGGCAAATATGAAGTGGTCCGGTGCACCATGGAAGTGTTGGATGGAGACGGGGGGTTTCTTCAGGGACTCACCTTCAGGCTCGCCTAGTCGTATGCTCTCGGCCACCTACCTCGCCACGCAGAGTAAATGCGGCTCTATCCTCCCTTATCTCAGTCTAGAGTTTTTCCTTGGTACGAAGCCTGTTGACAAAGTTTCTTTTTTTTCCGCGGAAATTGGGAATGTCTGTGGAGATCATAATAGCGCCTTCACACAAGGTTTTGGGACTGAGTTCGTTATACACAGCAGCAGAAAACCCAGCACAGAGTATGTATGTAGACTATCCATACAGCAAGCATATTGCCAAAAGACGTCCATTCAAACATTTCATTCGTAAATCAATATCCTACTACCTTTGACGGTACCTACCTATACACAATGCATCCTTGACATGTGTGTTCCTAGAGGTATATCCTACTACGCCTCTGCTACTCTCACAGTACCTGCAGGTCTAACCGTAGTATACTCCGCATGCCGCTTAAAGATAGGAGGTGAATTAGTATGAAACCCATTCACTCTGACATTTTTCCAGAGTCCTGTACGTTCTATCATCAATGCAGAAATCGGCCCGTTTTACTAAAATACTGAGATTAATGGTATTTTCTGCCACTATCAGAGGAGAGATCTCTCGCCCATCATGTGTGTTATCGCGGCAGATGCCCCAGATTTGTTTCCTCCAATAAGAGGAAAACAGTTCCACCAATGGTGTCGGTTTCACACTAGCCGCAGAACTTCCCCAGCTTTAAAGCCGCCCCCAAACTCTGCGATCGCGATACCGCAGCCCCTCAATTATTTTTCACATCTTCAACTCTCTCCCTGCTTCTCTTCTTCTCTCTACAACCTCATCTTTCACACCTTCACCACCGCCTTCGCCATGCCTCGAAAATTCTCAATTCCAACCTCCTCCTCCAACCTCTCCCTCTCCTCTTCGCCCACCGGCACTCCCATCACACCAACCTTCAGCTCCACGCCGTCAGGTCTCTCATTCGCAACTTCAGCACCATCAACTCCATCTCCCTTTCCACGCCTCAATCTCCCCTCTTCAATATGCGATCCCTCGATACCGTTCCCTCGCCTCATCGTCTTCGATCTCGATTACACGCTCTGGCCGTTTTGGGTCGATACACACGTCACGCCTCCGCTAAAGATCAACCCTGCGCATACCGGCGCAACAGACCGCACAGGCGAGGAATTCGAGTTTTACAGCGACGTGCCCGAGATCCTCGCCGTTCTGCCATATCTCAACCATCCCAACAAGATCAAGCTGGGCGTTGCGTCGCGCACCAGCGCCCCTGCCTTGGCCCGCGAACTGCTCAAGGGAATCCACATCCCACCTACGGCGTCGTTTGCAGAAGATGACGGCAATAACAAAAAGGCCGCGGGGAAGAAGAAGGTTTCGATCGATGTGTTTGATGGTGGACTGGAGATATACCCCGGGAGCAAAATCAAGCACTTTGAGGCCCTGCAGAAGCGGACGGGGATTCGGTTTGAGGACATGCTGTTTTTCGATGACGAGCCACGGAATCGGGAGACGGAGAGGTTGGGGCTGACGATGAAGCTGGTCCCGGATGGTGTCTCGTGGGAGGAGATTGGGAAGGGGATTGAGCTGTGGAGGAGCAGAAGGTTTCCGCAACAAAGGCATAAAGATGGGGAACAGGCATAGACGGCAATATACAGGTAGAGAGATGTTGTTTGTTTTTTCTCAGCACATAGAGCGTGGATTGGATACGACGCAAGAGTGGTTATACAAGACCCATTTAGAGCAAGACACAGCATTGAGCAATCAGGTAAAAAAAGTCATAGACGAATGATATCCATAAAACCAGACCCCATAAGCATTACTCATGCCATGTCCATATATATAAACCAAAAATATAAAAAACACAACTAAATCTCCGTAGATATTTGGTATATTCCAAGTCCAATTATATTCCCAACCCGGACAAAATACTCCAATTTCCAATTCTCATCTCTCGTTCTCATCCTCGTCCAATTTCACCCTCCTCTTCCCCCCCTCACCAATGCGAAATAAAACATGTCCCGGTACCCCTTTCCAACAATATGACTCGAAAATTGACGCGGGAGTATGAGAAAGAGAGCATTCTGTATATGCAATAAATCCAATGGCTCTAACCATTTATAGAAGAAAAAAATTAATGAAACAGGGTATGATATGCATTTTTCGCCGTTTGTTTTTTTGTATTATGTGGTTGTTTTATGCAGCGGCGGTGGCAGCAGCCATGGGAGTGACCTCGGTCGCCTTGGTATCAGCCTTTTCGTCAATCTTCAGCTTCTCGATGGCTTCGGCGGGTCCGTCGGTCTGGGTAGCATCGTCAAGGGTGTCCTCCGAGGTCTGGGTGCCCTCGGAAGCGTCGTTGATCGTCGTGGCGGCGGTGTTTGTGGTGGTGGCAGCTGAGCTCTCCGTGGCAGTCGACTCATCTGAAGACTTCTCGGCCGGGCCAAAAGTCCTGGGCAGCGTGCAGATGACTTCTCGCTTCGCCTTGCCGTTCTCCGCACCGAGACGGACACAGGCCAGTCTATCCTCGCCCGGGACGTCCTCCCAGAGCAGCGGGCCGCTGGGGAACGAGTTGTATCCCTTCTCCCATCGGATGACGCCGTCCCACGCCGGGTCGGGGATTCCCAGCTGGCCAAAGGTGTAGTCGAGCTCGCCGCCGTACTTCTTGGGGATGTTTCTGGGTTCGATGAAGGCCTCGAGGGTGGGCTTGACCTCGTGGGGCGCAAGCACAAAGATCTTGGAAACGGTGATGGGATCAAACCAGCGCTTGACCCAGCCCCAGACGGTGCTGAAGAAGATGGGCGCACCGATGATGAAGATGCGGTCCAGCGTCTCCGGGTAATGCGCCGTGGCCAGCTGCGAGGCGGCCTGCATGTGGCTTTTGAGGTTCCAGAACTGCTTGAGGCCGACACCGGAGATGTCGACAATGTTGGTGCTCATGGTGACGGGCACGTCGGCGTGGTCGCGATCCGTCAGCTGCGTGCAAAAGGGCTGGTTGAAGCGCGTCAGGTTCTCGTAGAGGGCGAAGAGACGCAGCAGGCCGGGAGGCGTCTTGCCGTCCGTCTTGGCCTGTGAAAAGGTGCTGTTGGCGCCCTGCTTCTCATAGTTGGCGATGGTTTTGGAGTCGAGGGTACGGATCTCGAAGACGTAAAGGGGGATGCCGCGGCGGTCACGGCGGCCGGTCCATTGGGGATACTGTATAATAACATGCGGTCAGTATATACGTTGTCCATGTAAATCAGATTGTCATGATATCAAAGACTCACCAATCGCCGGCTCTGCTCGTACGCATCCAGCTCAATGGTCCGGTACAGCGTGTCGATGTTGTTCGCCGCCCGCCATTCCTCGGTGTCCTTGAACTGGCCATACGCATCCTCCACGATCCACCGTCTCGCGCGCAGATACCGCAGCAGCGTCTGGTCATCGTGAGACGCCGGAGGGCCAGGCCGCCACAGGCCCTTTTCCTGCAGCAGCGCCTTGAACCGCCCCAGCGCCTCCTCCTGTTGAGAGTTCAGATGACCCAGGTGGCCGTGCGGAAACATCCCCGCCTGTTGGCTGGCGGTCGAGCCCGAAGACAGAACTCGGCCCGCGGGGGCGGAACCTTCGTAGTCGGTCGTCATGATGAGTCTTTTTGTTCGGGTTTTTCTAATTCCACCACGTCGAGAAGGCGAGCAAGGAGTCACAAGAGACAAACAATGTAACCCGACCGAAAAGGCTATATGTAGATACGCGCTGTTGGCTGCACAGACAGGAGCGAATATGGTAATCTCGGCTCCGGAAGTAAGCAAAAAGAAAAGAAAGAAAAAAACACAAAAAATAGGTAGCGTTTTGGAGTGAGGATCCTAGTTCCAGCGCCCAGGCCAAAGACAAAAGTCCGCAAGGCACAGGCGGTTAAAAGGGGGGCTGACGGAGTACAAGAAGAAAAGGCCAGCGCCTTATTAGTCCAAAGCTGGAGGATTCAGACTGCACAAGAGAGCAGTTGTCGGATGGTTAAATGCGTGTGTGTGTGGAGAATGGCCAAGAAGACAGATCCAAAGTGACGGCAACGGCACCTTCGGAGGCCGATAGGAAGCCGTGCTAGGAGAGGATCGGTCAGGGAGAAAAAAAAAAGGGGGGGGGCGGTTGGTTGGCAGCCGTGAAATTCCAAGGGCGAATACAACCTGTCTCGTGCCCAATGCTAGATGACGAGACACCGGGCGGTTGTCATGATGCGAAAAGGACGTCCGTTGCGTTGCTTACATTACAATTGGGCCCGGCTTTTACGAAGCCGGGCGGGAAGGGGTCTGGTGTTTTATTATATCATCGGGCAGCGGCGATGACAAGGACCAGGATGCAATTACTGGCGATTACTAAGAGCACTAATCCTAAAATCCAGATCCCAACATGTTGGTAAACTCCAAAATGATTCCGACTAGGCGCGAGGTTGTTGTTGTGCGGCTTCCACAGGGACCCTCTCCGTGTCCGTGGCGGCGAACCTGTGACGGCAATGACAGCCATGTGGGCTTACAGTACATGTATTTGCTGTCCTTTCCCCATCCGCCGGCGGTCCATGTGCAAATAAATACCTAGGTATACGGCTATACGTTATTGTTACTATTGTACAAGTACACATTACTATATATATCCCGGCGCGGTGGTTGCGGAAGCCTCGGAAGGAAGCAAATTTCCGGCTCGCCCGACCAGCTTATCGATCGATCACAGAACTTTGGCCCAGCAAGCCGGTTTGGCCCATGCAACTCAATCTGGGGGGGCATCAATGATCAATCAAGTTGCTGGAGATGCCGCAGCTGCCACGGCAATTCCAAACCTAAAATCCGTGTCAGACCGGAGCCACGAGGAGGCGAACAATTGTTCTGGCGATTAAGCTCTCGGACGGTCGTCCATCTGACCTCCGTCATTTCCATGTGTCCCAGATTACATGTAAACGCCATTGGTTCAAGGACTCTGGTAGCGGCAAGCCCGTCGAGCGTGGCCGAATCCCATGGACGCCAGTTGTGCTGTCAGCCGGGACAAAGAGGAGGAGAGCGTCCGCGGCTTATGGCTTGTTCGGAAGAGGCAGATGTGATGTATTGGAGAAAGCTAGAGTCACGATCATCTTGCTCAAATCCCAGCAAATCGGTCGCAGGCTCTAGGGTAGGTGGGATGAATGCCAGTGCTCTTTTTGTCAGCAAGGCGTCCTTGGCGTAATTCTTGGAGGTTGGCCGATTTGCCACAGCTCTCGCCCGCCGAGGTTTGAAGTATGACGTCTAGCTGTGTTAAAGGATTTGGTTTTGTCTATGCTATTAACCCAGTATAGGATATTTAGGGGTCTCATCAATTCGCCCTCCAGTGATGGGGAGCAGCTGATTCGCAACCGGCTGTACTCCAGCCCCAAGTTGAATTCAACGACGAGAGTATATCCGGCTTTCTGCAGTTTCTTTCCTCTCTTTCTCTATTCATCCCATCGTTAACCCTTCATGTCGCACAAAAGGAAAAACAGCCATCCAACGTGCTGGCCAAATGGGGTCGTGACAGGTCCAACATACTGTAGCCTTTGAAAATGTCTCGAATGTCATCCGTGAACCTGCTCCTGGTCTCCCGCGCTAAACAACGCCCCCCTTCGATCCCTTGGTCTAGCCCTGTCGAAAGAATCCCGTTCACTGGCTGCTCCGTACTTTGTGCAAAGTTTAACGGATGCACATAAGATGGCGCAGAAAGACTCCAACCAGGCTTCAATGTTTACTCCATGTCCTCTGCCAACCCCTTGATAGCGCAGTGCACTCAATGCCACACCCATCCCTTTGTCTCCCGGCTTGATTCCCCGTCTTTTTGTCAAATCGACCGAGCAAAGAGACCTATCTCCCCCCACTGTGATTCAACGGCATCCCGCATAGCCGTCGGTCCGATCATACACCGGGCAGATGAGAGGAAACTGGCCTATGAGTTGACAGCCAACGGAGCGTCGATCCGCCGTAGCGCTTCCGTGGGTTAACGGCACTCGGCTGCTCTGTTTCTAGCGTGGGAGAGAGAGACCAGATCGGGGCGGGTGCATCTGGAGGCCGTTGAGCGAGTGGGTTCCTTGAGTGCCAGGGCTGGATGAGGGCGTTGGTGATGTTACCATTGCTGCTGCATGTCCTCGGAGCGCTTGCAAACATGTAGTTGATTGTTTCTTTGGTGAGTCGTACGAGTGGTAGGACCAAGGCCGAGAGAAGAGCACAAAGAAGACGTGACATAGTCTGATATCCTTCATGCTCCATGTAAGCTTGCCCTCACTAGCAATGCACTGCGCCATGGGGCTCGGCCAAAGGGGCAAAATTCCATCCTCTTCATTGGCCACGCTGCCGACGAAGGAATATCTGTGAGAGGCGCCTTGGGGGCCTTTTTTTCTTCTCCTTGTTCCTTGGACAGTTCCTTGGAATGCTTAGCATCGCGTATCTGATCGGAGAATCTATTTAAACCCTCGACTTTTATCACCCGACTGGTCTTTTTATGGAGAGGCATTTGCCACATAGCCAAGACCCAAGATTGGCTACATGTACCCAGTGTTCATCCCGTGTCCAAATTCAATAGTGATAACAGCAGATACCAGAGGAGCCAGTATTAAGAACAGAACACCGGGGAAAGATGATGATGGCACATGGTATTGACTGATAGCTGTGCTAGTTATTGTAGCAGCCGCGGATCAAGAACGAACCAGGGGGGGTGCTTAGGCCTGAAGGGTAAAAAGGTTGATTTAATTCGATGGATGGCTTTAAAGAGCCAGCAGAAAGGTGGGATGGTTGCTCCCGAGTGATAGCATCATAGTCTACACGCACGGCGTACCATCGTTCGTTTATCCCAATCTCCCTGATTCTATCCCATCTTCTCTTGCCGATCCCGTGTTTGCTCTTGTGACTGCTCATTCTCTCTCCCATCATCGGTCTTTACGACTTCATGTTCCGTGTCGCTGCTGATTTGTCCCCGAGCTGCTGTGCTTGCTTGATCTAAACATTCCTCCGTAGAAGCGCCTTTGCCCCCTCCGTCCCCCTTGTCTTCCTGTCTCCCCTGGCATCCAGCTGATTACCTGACTTGGACAGAAGCCAACCCGCAAGGGATCTTAGCACCTGGGGCTAGGCATACGCCACACCCCGCGACATCATCTCGTATCGAATCTACAAAAAGCGTTCTGCTACATAAGACAGACTCCCAACGTCTGGCTGTCTGGGAAAAATCAAAACAAGAAAATTTTCTTTGAATACACGGCAAGATCTTGGGTCTCTCCATCTCCCCGCCTCTCCGGGCGTCACAGCATGCGGCGGCCAAGATGACCTCGAAAAGGCCGCAATGCTGGGAGTGTCAACGCCGCGATTCGCCGTGCGACGGCAGGATTCCGATCTGCGGCAACTGCAGCGACGCCGGCATGGTCTGTCCTGGCTACAACAACGCCAGGCCGCTCACGTGGCTGCCCACGGGCAAGGTATCGCGGCTTCAAAAGGTCAGGAGCCGGGGCGCGGCGCCGGCCAAGCGCTTCAAGCAGAAGCCGAGCCCGGCCTTGACGACGGCGCGAGCATCGTCGACGCCGGAACGGGGCGCTTCTTCTTCAGTGGCGAGCACGCCGCCGAGGGCGCGGAGGAGGAAGGGCAGCAGCGGCACTGACAGCAATATCAAGGACAGCAATGGTAAAGCCAGCAGCAGCGTCAGCGACACCAACGGTCCCAATACTAGCAGCAGCGGCAGCGATCGGAGCAGCGATGCCGGCACCATCTCGGAGGCGTCTCCGGGCGGCTCGGCCTCGAGCATCGTGGCGGCCACCAAGAAGGCAAGCATCCGCAGCGACGATGGCCGTCGTGAGGACCCAAACGGGGATGGCTTGCTCAAAGAAAAGGACGCGAAGCTTCAGCTCGTTGCCAGCAGGACGCAATCCAGCTCGGCTGGCAGTTCCAGTTCCAGGCAAATCCATGTGGCGCACATCCCGCCAGATCTGCGGCCAGAGCAGTGGGATTTCGTAGATGCCATCCAATACTGTACGTTGCCATTTCTACTATTCAACTTTGCATTTTGTTTTCAATCCCCCCCCTTTTCAGCTTACCTGGCATTGCCACTGGCCCGTATAAGCCTCGCTGTTGTCTGACATTGAGGTTTATTCCCAGATAACAACCTGCTGCTGCCAAAGATGCGAGCAAGGCAGATTGTGCAGAATCCCGCTTGGGGAGGCGAGCTGAGTGGTGAAGCTCTCCAGTCTCTCACGGACGCAAACCGCCACTGCATTCTAGCCATAGCCGTTGGGTACCGCATCATGTGCGTGTCCATCATCCACGGCTTGGATCTGGAGCCGTCGACGTCGGGCCCGGCGTCTCACCTATGGCAGGAATTCTATCGCCACATCGGCAAATCTATCCGGGCCCTCAACGATGAGATTCAACAAAGCTACCCGGGCAACGTCTTCAACATATTCTCCAGCATGGCCCACTTGATGAGCGCAGAGGTGAGACCTAGAGAGAGGGTCCTTTACTTGACGATGATGAACTGATGGCTTATGTTTGCTTATCTTTAGGTTCTCGTCTCCAATTCGTTGTCATGGCGCCTTCACGCTGATGGCTACCTTATGCTGATCAAGCATTGCGGGGGTCTACGGAAGCTGATGAAGTCTTCCACCACTCCGTTGTTGATGCAGAGCTTCGTCATGTATGTCAACCCTCCTGATATCGACAAGTTTCAAGCTGACAATGTACCTATCGGCTTCACTCAGTGGCATCACCGTCTTCAACACCACCAGCCCTAGCCACTCGCAGATGGTTGATGCCTGCAACTTTGACGTTGACGATGTCATGGCCCTATACGAAATGGGCAGCACCCCGTTGTTTTACTGTCCCGCGCCCCTGTTTAGAGAAATATTCCTCATCAACCGCCTCAGGCTAGATGCCGCAGTTTCCGACGGCTCCTCCGAGCCTAGTCTCTGTGATATACTTGAGCGAGTCGACATGTATTCCGTGTCGCTCATGAACGAATCCCTAGACGAGACGAAAGCCAACGCTCTGCTCTTCATCTCGCTGCTTTTCAAAGCCTCCGTGGCTGTTTTTTCCGCCCTAACATTACCTTGTACCTCGCAGTGTTCGCCTTCCAAGCCATGTGCAGAGCTACAAAAGCTTCACCGAGCCAATCTCTTCCATCTTCTCGACACCACGGCCGAATTCCTCCCGCTCCTCGACCATATCCTGTGGCCAGTGGTAGTGGCTGGTACAGCCGCCGCGACAGGGACCGTCGAGAACCAGATGCTGGTGGAAATGTACCTGCTGAATGGCGTGCGAGATCCCTTTACCGGAGGCTGTACCGGCGCTGCGTTGGCGACAATGAGGAAGTTTTGGGCCTCGGGGAAGACGGAGTGGGATGAGTGCTTTGACCAGCCACATGCGTGGATGATATAACGTTTATTTGCAGCATTTCAACCCCGTGTACGGCTGCCTGTATCGAGACTGGACGGGCATCTTCAATACTTGAAGCTGAAGTGCGGCTCATGATGCGCAACGATGACATCGACCTACTTTACTTGATAGAAATACGTTTCCACCTGGTTATAGCGGTGTCTGCAACTCCTCACACTAATTTCATCGTCTGTCAGCCAAAATCTCAACAACTCCAGATCGCTGGAATGAAATCCATACGTTAAATCATGTCGGTGTATAGAAATCATCCACATCCAGCTAAGAGATTTATCATGTTTTACTATACAAACAAAAAGAAGAAAAACTGGACAAAAGAAATTACTACGAAGGTATTTTCATGTGGATAATTAGAGTATTCTTCATTCTATTTAAAAACAACTTGGAAGAGGGGTGGAATATTGATTCATGTTTTGTCTTTTGTTCATTTCTTTGTTATTCATATTCGAAAGGCGCGTTTTGATGGAGGATATCCGGTCTTCGCATGTACACGTTCTGCACTTAGACAGCGTCGCATATTATATTGAGAATCGTCTAAAAGATGAAACATTCATGTCACGATACCACACTCGACACTCACAATAACCTTGAAAGAAGAATGAGATATCTTCCACGATGGTATCAAACCTGCTACTCTACTATGCCCCATAAATCATATGCCGTATTTTTCCGTATCGCAACTCATGCCATCATTAAAACAAACAACTCTGTCGTGATTCCCTCTTGGCGTTTATGTCCTCCATTTCACCGTTCTAGCTCTTCTTCTCGCCCTCATCCAAGTCTTCTCCAGACGGTCCGCTGCGCTTCAAGCCTTCCAGTTCCTTGTCGGTGTCGGCTCCCTCGCCCTGAGTCTGGTTTACTGTTCCGTCAGCGCTCTTGATGCTGCTGGCCCTGCTTATATCTGCACTGAGAGGGCTTTGTTGCCGCAGTCCAAGATCGCCTGGAGCCTTTGGAGCATCTGTCCCTTTCCAATCCGCCGCCTTAGTTTGCGGCACTGGCTCACCCTCTTTGGGCTCGACAACCACCTCGTCCGCCTTGGGTTCACCGCTATCGGCAAATCTCCACACGACCGACATGCGGTCAAAAGCTCTTATTCCCTTTCTGCTGGATCCTTTGACACCATCCATGGCGTCCCACTCGATTTCAAAGACACCGTTGCTATCAGCCTTGCCTTGCTTCTCGGGGCCATTCCCCTCGAAAAACACATTGAACCACACATACGCAACGGCCGTGACCATTGTCAAGCCCATCGACTTGTGGGTTCTATTTCGCCGCTCAACGGCAATGTTGACATCGCTGTTGGGGATGCGGATGGGCTCTTTCGGCTTGAGGATGACGGCCATGCCACCAGGCTCGGTTTCATCGAGGCTCTCCGTGCGGACTTCGGATGGGGAGGAAGCTGTTGGTGAGGTTGGTTCGGCAGTGAGCATGGCTCGGAATTTGTCGATTTTGGAGTGCGACCCAGGCGGTGATACTCGTTCTATCAGCTTGGCGCTCTTCCGCCGCAGCACCTGCTCTATGGACGATTCTGAAGGCTGCGGCGAGGGTGAGGGAGGAGGGTCGAAAGAATCCTTCTTCTTGGGCTCATCACTGGATTCTTTCTTCTTCAGCTCGTCGCTAGAATCCTTCTTCTTGGAATCATTGTTGGTTGCGTCCGCAAACTCCACCGCTTCAGGGACCTTGTCCTTTTGGATTGAGTAACCCGCCAAATCCCATATTATCTCAGACAGACCACCGCCTTCCGGCGCATCTCCTTCGACCACGACCCTTTCCTCTTTTGTGAAACTGTGCACGGTCTGAACATTCTTGCCTTCGTCTGCAAAGGCCTCGACATCCATCTTGACGCCGTTGCGAAGCCCCCATACGTGGATCTCTACGATCTCGACAGGACGATCTGTGTATATCTTGCCGCCCTTTGTCCAGCGGTCAACGTAGCCAATCCACCGCAGCTGCGAGGGAATCGACACACCAGCGCCAAATTGAGGCCTCATGCGACGCTGAGTGAAGCGTGTCAGAGCATCTTCCGCCTTCCAACCTTCCTCTGCAATGAGGTAACTGCAGCTGGCGGTGCCGCTTCTCCCTTTGCCCGCCTTGCAGTGAACCACCACGACCCTCTTCTTATTCCTCTCGGTCTTGGCTGGCTCCGAAAGAGACCTCGAAACAGCCTCTATGTTCTCTTCGTTCGGCGGATAGGAAGACTGCGACTGGGGCTTCTTGTCGTTCTCCGCATGCGCATCAGCCGCCTCCCCGCCATGAAGCCAATTCCGCATGCTTGCCATGATCAAGGGAATCAGCCTAAATGGCGGGGGATGGTGGTCGGGCCATGGGTAGTGCCATATCCGATTGTAGACAGCTTCATCTGGGTATCCCGTCCCCTCGGCGCGGAATTCCCAAATCGCCCAGTCTTGGCCGTGTTTTGAGTCGAGAAAGCCAACGAGTTGGTCGAGAGGAGTTCGGTAGGCGATCTGAGGGTACGTCTGCGAAGGACCGGATCTGGAGTATACATAATCATGGTTAGAGGCTTAGTGGAAGATGAATGACGCTTCAAGCTGGACACGATGACTCCTGTTCACTCACGTTGCAATGATAAAGTCTGTCACATAGCAAAGGTCCAGCCCGGCCTCTGGATGCCGCGCGCGCGGACCTGCAACAATCTGCCGCAGTATCGAAGCCATGGTTGTGTGATGGAAGGAAGAGGCTGAGAATGGGCAGAGCAGGCTGAGAAGAGCAGGCTGAGTAGGTAGAAGCTGGTCGGAGGCCGTAGAGACTCGGGCAGCGTTTCGGTGAGGCTCTACCCCCACAAGACGGGTGACCAAGTCCGCTGCCGATCAAAGCAGACAAAAAGTAGAAACAACCTGGAGGAAACCAACAGCTAGAGTCGTGACGTTGTAGCGATGCAAGGCTCAAAGCTTGTGTCGGGCTGCTGCATTGTTGATCAAACAAGTGGACATCCCCAGCCCGAATTCAATTGCTGACACTACCTAAGGGACCGTACAGGGAGGCCCCGCGCACATGGCGATGGTGCTAGTGGCGCTGCTTCAGTGGGTTCTGGTGCCTGTACTGGGGCCGCTAGCGAGCATCTCAGGCGACGTCATTCAGCAGTCCTGCTGCCCCACGATAGCACTCAGCTCAAGCTGTTAGTGCCACAGTAGCGCCACCAAAATGGATGACATCAAGACTGGCTAATGATTGACATCAACATCAAGATTCGTGGAAACAAAAGTGAAGCAATTCGTGATACAATTTACTATAGAGGATGTTGCTCAAACCAGAACACCACATCACAGTGCGTGATATTGACTTGCAATTGGCATCTCCAAGCCTGATTTCTTCAGCTTTTGCTCCGGGGGATCCAAACACAAACACACACGCAGTACTAGGTAGTATTTTGATAATACTCTGTAATGCCGCGAGCTTGACTCAACATCAGCTTCCACAACCGCCATAGAAAAATCCCACCGCACGCCAATTCCATGACCCGCTACTACATCATGTAGCTCATCCAGATATACCCAGGAGAAGCATTTCGCTGCACCGTTTCCCAATAATTACTACCCACGGCCGGTTGAGATTCACCGCCCGGTTGGCCGGCCCTAGTTCCGATACTCGAAAGGAAAGGCTGTAAGATACTCGACTCCAGTTGAGCCAAGGTCCAGCATTGCAAGATTGCGGAAATCAAGTTTCGTCGAGACTCAAAGTCACAAGTGGCAAGCAAGCCTTGGCCATAGTAACGCGACCAGTTACCGCAAGCGGGTTGCTGGTTCGCCCGTAAAAGGAACGAAATGATACCAGGATTACCAAATTCGAATTCCATAAACTATACAAGTTCCGCAAATAGCATGCCCAAGGCACTTCGCTCTGTCATCCGAGTTTGTCGCCGTGCACATGTAAAAAAGATGCGTTTGTTGTTTATGACGTCTTCTTGGCAGGGCCGGCGCCAACGTACTTGCTGACGTCGGTGACATCGTGGAACTTGATAGTAATGCCCTTGACAACGTCCCAGGCTTGCTTGAGCTGAGGCGGGGTTCCCTGGGCTCCGACAAAGTGATCGGCCCGGGCGTTGACGTGGGCAAAGGCTGACTGGACGTGGCTGCTCTGGGCGTAGCGAGCTCGGATGAAGACGGTATACAGGCCAAGCAGAATCCACGACCTACGCTGGAAAAGGATGGCTGAAAGCAACACTCGAACCCACAGAGCAATCTCGAGGTAGGCGACAACGGTCATAGAGAAGTCGTAGTACTCCTTGACAAAGTTTCCGATCTTTTCAGCCAACGGGTTGCTGGTCTTGGGTCGAGAGACGCCATCGGCGGCAACGGGAGGAGGGCTGAAGACGGGGATCAGGTTGGCGCGAGAGTAGGTGGCCACGTGGAAGATGGAGTAGACGGAATAAGGGAGCAGAGCGAGGGGGTATTGGGGGGAGAAGAGCCAGACGAGGGCCATGGCTATTGAACTGTCAGTCAAGCAGCGCGACGAGTCTGGGTGGACATTTGGGCTTACCCAGGTACTGGACGTTCTCGTCAGCAAGGAGGCCGAGGGCACCATTAGGCGCTTTGGTTCCGGTCTTTGCACGAGCTCGCTGCGTCTTGTAGACAACGATTCCATAAGTCAGAGCGGCGGCGGCAAACGATGTCCGGTATGAGAACTGTGCCATGCGGCTGTAGTAGTTCATGAATAGCCATGAGAGGGCGTATCGGGAGGTGGTAAGGATAAGAGTCAGGTGCCTGAGATGGACAAAATGTCAGTCGTGTGTCTCATGTCATGTTGCGGTTCTACCAATCGTTTCGGGGCCCCCTAGTCCACGCTGTATTCCCCCTGTGATGTATCAAGATTCTTGCTCGTCGTCATCGTCGGGTATCAGCGGAATAGCGTGGAAGAGACCAGGCACGGTTCGAAGGCGGGACAGGGTCGAGGCAGAGCTTGGAGTAAAGCTCTTTCAAAGATTGGTAGAGGCTTACCCGACAAACCAGGCGACTATGGAACAAAGGGACTCGAGTTAGCAAATATGCACGTGCAAACTCGGCACAAAGGGAAAAAAAAAACATTCGAGTCTGAAGAACATACACTGAAGCGTCTGGGCTAGAGCCAAGAAGCGCTCCTGGAGCGGGAGGTTCGCATTTGGCGGAGGAGGAGCCATAGTGTCGTATGAATTGCTGTCGCCAGCTGAGGGGTCGTGACGTTAGGCAAAAGGCAGCGATGACGATGAAGCTTCAAGACGGCGCGCCAGAAGCTGGTTGCTGTGATGAGGGGTAGCTTCGGAAGAGCCAGACAAAGCCGAGATGCAGGGCAACGATGCGGGACAAGATGCTTTCGAGGTCGAATTATTCGTTCGTGATGTATGGGAAAAGTAGAAGAAGCAGAAATAGCAGAACTGATGCAGTTGGAAGAAGATGGGAAGATTGAAGAGAAGAAAACGGAGGGAAGAAGGAAGCCCAGCTTGGTTGGCTAGTGGCTGGTGTGGAGTTCTATTGGCTTCCAAGGTGGCAGAAGGAAAAAAATAAGTGGATGCCGTCACTGATAGTTGGTTTGAAGTGAACACGTTCTTGGATATCAGCTGGTGATGGATTGAGGCCAGCGTTCATCATGGTTGAAGCTGGTTTTGCTGCCTGGTGAGCTCTTTTTTTGAATTGTTCTTGTTTCTGCCCTCTTTGCAAGGCCACGAGTGCGGCTAGAGCTGGGCATGTGCTTCGTTGGTTGATGGAAATGACGCTGTCTTATGACCCGAGCCTGAGATTAGTCATCTCATCTCAATCATTCACATTGATTGCATCCATTTAATTCTCCTTCTCCTGCATTTCATCTTTACCCTAAATACTACGAGATGCCCTTTCTGGTGCTTTTCTTCAATCTTGTATTGCTGCGTCTTGATAACCATCATCTTGCATGTGAATGTGAAATGACGATTCCCACCCGGCCAGCATTCCAAGGACTAGCACGGCTTAATCCTCCGATCTGCCAGGCTATGATGAGTGATGACGACAAGAGGAGACGTAGCCAATGACGAATGGCACAATCTGGGGTTTCCCTTTGGCCACCTAAACTCTGGAGCTGTTTTCGTCTCCCGTCGACTGGCTGCTAGTTGATCCCCACGCCCCCAAGCCTAAGCTCCAGAGCGCCGTCTGCTAACGCTAACAGATGCCATGGAAACTTCAGCTCGTGGCATTTTGAGATGGACACGGAAGAACAGTCCAACGAAGCCGATATTCGCGGCAGCTCCAGGGCCGAAAGCATAGCAAAAGAGCATCATCAGAGTATCAATAGCCGCTAAGCTGATAGAGGAGAACGATTTAGATCCATGGAATATCAGGTATCCGATATGTAGACCAGCGACTTCAAATGCGGTATAGCAAGATGCAGAGAAAATCCTTGTCTTGGTTTGCTCCCCTAAGTATTCGCTATTACTATTTTCTACAGGCCTCTTTAGGTAACATCTGCCACTGTCGTTCTATTAATATGACATCCATGGATGGAAAAATTCGAGACAAGGAAGAAGGTTGTGCATCCCATAAACTACTCTTTATGCTTAATTCGATGACATCTACCAAGAGGCTCACCAATGTAACCCATGAGGGAACGACGCGAATACAATCGCCGCATCTTCAACTTCTACACACGATTCAAAGGCATTTGACGCCTACCTAATATCCAGTATCTAGACTACCTCTTACCCATTGATTCACTCCTTATTTACGACTGTTGCGGCTTAGATTTTCCCGATTCTAGGGTAGGTTACAGATGCCTGGTGAATTCTTGTGTTCTACCACGGGGTACCGCTGTATGCACTCCTTACGTGAAATCTATCTCGTAAAACAAATACGAATACATTCTGCATTTCATTTATTCTTGTAAGATTTTATGAAACGTAACATCAATGAACGCTCTCGCATATGTGGATGGTAAATTGGTTCATAGCCTCATAGCCACTCGCGGCTTAGAGGTACTCTATCCAACTGAGACACCTGCTCAACTATGACGCCCAACTACATGTATGCACTTTGGCAGTTGTAGCTATCTGTCAAAACTCTCCGAGACATTTTATGACTAGTCGCCTATTCCGAAAAGCCCTTTCCTTCATATTGCTTAGTGTGTTTATGTTGCCATATAACAGAATAGCCCCTTTGTAAGTGCCAGCATACTAACGATGGCGGCAGACGCTACGCTGATTGACATACATACAAGTACTCTTCTACCCTTGTATATGACATATTATATGCCCATTACAGAGCATAGCCTCCCTGATTAAAGACTGAGAATTTGGGCTCAGCCAGAGGTGTCTCCCTTTTAACTTGAGTGGAATCCTCAATGGCCATCCCTTGCATACATGCATTTAATTTAGGTTGCATCTCAAGCCACACGTTGGACGTGGGAACTACCCACTGGCCTGAAGGAAGACTTGTTGTTTCTGATTTGCTCACTGTAAATCTAGGAATGTAAAAGGAAGGATGCAGATCGTACAGCGGATGCATTCCACACAAATCACGCCCGCACGTGTTACCTAGAACATACTTGCATATTCCCGAATCAGTGTTGATTTTGGAGTTGATCGCGACTTCGCACTTTCAAGCCAGTGAATTGGTGTACTATCAACGTCTGTCAACATGAGATAAAGATGATGGCAACATAGAGATATTCTCCTTCTCTTTTGAAGTGTCGGTAATTTGGTTATAGTTAATGTGATGTTGGTCAGAGGCGCCCAACGACCTGAACTATTGGAGTTGGCGAAGTAAATCACTGTCAATCCCTTCAATCCCAGCATGTAAAGTGGCGATGCCCGATATATCCACTTTGTGTCTCTCATGACAGCTGACGGTCGTTTCTTGGCTCTGTGGCCGCACTTCAATCAAGTGAGAACATGATCCCTCCACAGACGGAAACCGCGCTCCACGGGTAGCTTGAATTTGTCTCATATGGTCTCAATCCCCATCAGAAAATGGACAACCCACTTCTCCATCTTCCTTTTACACTATATCTGTCGTGTAATAGAACCTACCATCGCAAGCTACCCAACGCCAAAATACCCTGCGGATTGGGTAGGGTTAAGTCCTCTACGGCCATAACCAATACGAAATTATGGCTCTCGAAAACGTCGATACGCGACAGCGTATGGAAGAAGAGCTTTTGAAAGATGAAGCTCTCAAACAAGCCAAAATCATAAACTTGGCTTTCCAGAATGATGAACCCCAGTGGGTCGTGGCTATCTCTTTAAGCAAGCCGGGCGGACAAGACCAGGCAGATGCCTCGAACATCATCAAGAGAGCCCGTAAAGCCCTTCGAAAACTGAAAGATCACAGCAAGGACGAAATATTCCCAATCCCCAAGAAATGGACCGTTCTCGATGAGCTTCCGACGACCCCACAGGGGCAGGTGGATGAGAGAGCCCTCTATCGCCTGCTGACTGCTTGGGATATGGCCGAATCCAATCTCTCACCAAAAGAAAAGAGGGCACATATAGCTGCCGAAGCAGCTCGTGCCTATAATAATCGAATTCCCCACGATGAGATACCTACGAAAGAAACAGAGCTAGTGTTGCGAGAATTCTGGAGCAGAGTGCTCAATCTTGAACCTCAGGACATTGGTATCAAGGACAATTTTCTGGTCCTTGGCGGAGACTCAATCAATGCCATAGAACTTGTTGCATTGGCTGAACAATATGGGATCGGGTTAACGGTCACCGTAATTGTTGGCAACCCTGAACTCCGAAAGATGGCCGACATGGCAGTCATGAACGAGGCAAATAACGACGCGTATAATGCCGAGCCTCTGAGTATGTTACCACAGATGGAGGTCGATGCGGCTATAAGAGAAGTTCGAATTAAGTGTGGACTCACGGATGATGATATCGTCCAGGATGCCTTCCCCTGCACAGCCCTTCAGGCTGGTATCATGGCATTATCGGAGAAGCAGCCTGGCTCGTATATGACGAGGCAGATCTACGAACTGCCAAGCTATGTTGACATCCCACGATTCAAGGCGGCATGGGAAGAAACAGTGGACCGCTGTGACAATCTTCGCACTCGAGTGCTGCCTGTCGATGGCCATACGATCCAAGCGGTAGTTAAAGGTGATATTGCTTGGGAGGATACTGCTGGGGAAACGATTGACTCGTTCATAGCGAAATCCAAGGGCATGATAATGACTTATGGAACACGCCTGTGTCGGTATGGATTAATCAAGGATGTAGATGGCAGGTCATACTTTGTCTGGATCATTCACCACGCAGTATTTGATGGATTGACTGCGCGACTTATCCTCGACAGCTTGTACAAGGCATACAATGGCCAAGCCCAAGGCATCTTGCGACCATATTCAAGCTTCATCAAGTACATCACTTCAATTGATCAAGATGTCGCGAGAATTTTCTGGAAGACGCAGCTTCAAGACGCCCGCCGGGCCAACTTTCCTCGCAACTTGAGCGCAAGATCCGACATGGCTAGCCGTGTAATGACAAGGGAGATTTCGTTTCCCTACGCAGCTGAAATATCAGTCACAAAGGCGACGATATTGAGAGCCGCTTGGGCTATCGTGTTGGCCCGATATTGCGATACGGATGATGTGTGTTTTGGGACGACTGTTTCTGGAAGACAGGCTGCTGTTCCTGGGATCAACCAGATGCCTGGATTTGTGATTGCTACGGTCCCGATTCGGATCCGCCTCCAGCGTGGCGAGACTGTTGCTGCCTTCTTGCAAAGTATCCAGGCTCAAGCGTCTGAAATGGTTCCCTTTGAGCAATATGGGCTACAGAATATTGCAAAACTCAGCGAAGATGCGAGAGATGCCTGCGATTTCTCCAGCTTATTTGTGATTCAACCAGCAAAGTCTCTGGCTTCTACGGCAGATTCTGGATCCAAGGACGCAATATTGCTGCGTGGCAGCGCTGCAGAGAAGACACTGTCCGACTCATCTACACAGAATTACTTCAACTATCCACTCGTTCTTGAAGCTCTCCTTGACGACGGTCGCGTGGACCTACAAATCACGTATGACTCGAATTCAATCAGTAGCGACGCACTTGAGGCACTGTTTCATCACTACGAACATGTTGTTCAGCAGCTTCTTAAAGCCTCGGACCGGCCGCTCAGCACAATCGAAGTTAGCGGAACGTGGGATTTGGAGTGCGCAAAGAGGTTCAATCCAGAGACGCCGGAGATTGTGGATCTTTGCATCCACCAGATGTTTGAGAACCAGGCCTTAAGACGGCCAACTGACCTGGCGATATGCGCTTGGGATAAGACATTTACGTATAACGAGCTAAGCAGGGCATCAAATAGGCTAGCCCATCATCTTGTGAACAAACTCTCCATACAGAAGGAAGATTTGGTTCACGTATGCTTTGAGAAGTCGGCCTGGTTTATCGTTGCCATACTAGCTATCAACAAGGCCGGCGCAGCCTGGGTTCCTTTAGATCCTTCTCATCCAGATCATCGGCTGAAACAAGTCGTCTCACAGACCAGGGCAAAGGTTGCCTTGGCCTCATCGACATACTCATCGCTATGTGCTGGTCTCGTTGACTCTGTTGTCGAAGTGTGTTCGGCTTTGGATGAGAGACTCGTACACTACGAATGCAGCGCACGAGGACCGAAAGTCAACGTATCTCCGCGGAACGCTGCATACGTATTGTTTACATCCGGAAGCACAGGAACCCCCAAGGGCCTGGTGATGGAGCATGGCTCTGTTTGCACAAGCCAAGTGGCGATTGCCAAACGACTTGGCATGACGCCTCGCGTTAGGATGTTACAGTTTTCTGCGTATGTATTTGATGTCTCTGTGGGAGAAATTGTACAGCCGCTCATTACTGGCGCATGTTGCTGTGTGCCCTCGGAAGCTTCACGCATGAATAATCTTGCCGAATTCATTCGCGACAAGCGTGTCAACTGGGCTTATTTTACGCCTTCATTCGCGAGGACCATCAACCCTAAAGAGGTTCCGGACCTTGAACTCATGTTATTCATCGGAGAAGCCGTACAGCGCGACGTCTTTGATATATGGGTTGGGAAAACAAGGCTTATAAACGCTTGGGGACCTGCAGAGACGTGCGTCTTCAGCAGTATTCAGGAGTGCTATTCGACAGATGAGTCCAATCTTAATATTGGGCGCCCAGTTGGTGCATTTTGTTGGATTGTCGATCCTACAGATCCTCAGCGGCTGGCACCGATTGGAACTGTGGGCGAAATTGTCGTCCAAGGTCCGACTGTCTTACGAGAATATCTCCGGAACCCGGAAAAGACGAATGAAGCGATTGTCACTACGGTACCAGAGTGGGCACCTTATCGTGAGTCACAACCCTGGAATAGATTTTATAAAACGGGAGACTTGGCTTATTACAATCCTGATGGCACTATGGAGTTTATTAGCCGCAAGGACACCCAGGTCAAGATCCGGGGCCTTCGCATCGAACTTGGTGACATTGAGCATCACATCCAAAATTCCATGAAAAATCTGTGCCAAACGGTCGTCGATGTCTTCAAGGCTGAGACAGGCTCACTGTTGGTGGCCTATATCTGCTATACGAAAGAAAGACGGCCGACTAGCAAGGTCAACGTTGAGAATAATGATATTTTCTTACCGTTCACAGACGAAATGCGATCACAAGTCACAGAAATTATTGGCCAACTTAGCATTTTGCTCCCACCTTATATGATCCCCAAAGTATTTATTCCGTGTCATTTTATGCCAGTTGTGTCTTCGGCAAAGCTGGACAGGAATAAGCTGCGAGACACCACACAGAGATTGAGTAGACATGAGTTGGCGCAATATTCTCTAGCATCCAGCAACACAAGGAAGCCTGAAACCGATGCCGAGATCCGCATGCAGAACTTATGGTCAGGAGAATTGAAGATTGCGGCAGAGTCGATAGGACGAGACGACAGCTTCCTTCACCTGGGTGGGGATTCTCTGGTGGCCATTCAGCTTGTGACTTCAGCCCGCAAAGTAGGCCTATCGCTAACTGTCAAAGATATCTTTGATGATCCGCGACTATGGGCCGTATCACTGAAGGCCATTGAGATTGATGCTAGTGCTGCTGGACTGGATGAGATTCGCCCATTTAGTCTTTTGAACGGCCAGGTCAACTCCGCCGATGCTATCGAGACATTGAGAAAGTTGTGTGACCTGTCAATAGATTCCACTATTGAAGATGCATTCCCGTGTACCTCACTCCAAGAAGGTCTCTTGGCATTGTCAACTACTCAGTCAGGTTCATACATTGCCAAACAGCTGTACCGACTACCATCGGACATCAACATAGCCAAATTTCAAGCCTCATGGGAGGAAACTGTTAGAGTCTGCACCAATCTGCGAACAAGAATCGTCTTGGTTGACGATAACTGTGTTCAGGTCGTGGTAAAAGACGACATTGCATGGGATTCAGCTGAAGAGACAAGTCTCGATGCTTATTCACAAGCATCCCAAAATCTGACAATGGGTTATGGATCACGTCTTTGCCGCTATGCGATCATTCAAGAGAGTGAACACGTCACCTACTTTGTCCTCAATGCTCATCATTGCATATTTGATGGATGGAGTTTGCCACTCATCTTCAATACACTCTCCGCAATATATCACGGCAAGGTCGTGTCAAAACTCACACCTTATGCCAATTTTGTCAACTATGCAATGAACTTGGACACAGATGCAGCCGGAAATTATTGGTGCTCCCAGCTTCAAGGTGCCCAGCCAGCTTCATTCCCCTCTGCTGAAGAGGCACAATCGCAGGGCAAGGTGACCCGTGTGAAAACTCATAGCATCCCTTTTCCTCAGCCTGTGATCCGATCGGTTACCAAGGCATCAATCCTGCGAGCTGCCTGGGCAATTGTGCTCTCCAGATACAGTGACACGAATGATATCTGCTTTAGTACTATATCCTCGGGCCGTAATGCCAATATGCAAGGCTTAGAATCAGTTGCTGGATTAGTCGTTGCGACTGTGCCCGTCCGCGTTCGACTTGATAGCCAACAGTCAATCGAATCATTCCTTCAGAGTGTTCATAATCAAGCCATCGAAATGATTCCATTCGAGCAATATGGCCTACAGAATATTTCGAAGCTGAGCCAGGAAGCTCAGCAGGCATGCGATTTCACTAGTCTTTTAGTAGTGCAACCAGCCCATACGCATGATGTTGCTGACTCTCTACTAACTTCGGTCAATTCTGAAGGTGATCTTTATGAAAAGATGTTACAAAACTACCTCAGCTATCCACTATCACTGCAGTGTTATCTGGGAGAAGATCAAGTGGCACTGGAGTTCATATACGACGAAAACGTGCTCTCTGAGTGGAGAATCCAGGCGTTGTCAATACACTTTGACAATGTTGTGCGACAATTATGCACGCAAGAAGATACCAACCTCGGTTCTATCAGGATAGCGGGCTCTTGGGACCTCAAGCATGCCACAGAATTGAATCCTCCAATAACTGTTGTTGAAAGCTGGGTTCCTGACTTGATATCTCAGCAAGTTATGAAGAGGCCGGAACATGAAGCCGTTTTCTCGTCTGAGCGATCTTTTACATATGCAGAGCTCAACCGGCTATCTAGCCTCCTGGCTTCTCACCTCTCAGATTTAGGAGTAGGACCAGATGTCATTGTTCCGTTTTGCATGGAAAAATCCGTTTGGGCAGTTGTTGCGATGCTCGCTATCATGCAATCAGGCGGAGCATATCTTCCACTTGACCCCTCACACCCGATCAATCGAAGACGGATGATTGTGGAAGAAGTTGGCGCTAGTATAATGATGGTGTCGCCTTTAACGTCTACGACATGCGCTCAACTGACCAAACACATCATTGTGCTATCACCTTCGCTGATAGAGAGGCTCTCTACATCTTCTCAGCATGCTCTCAAGCCAACGAAGAGATATTCTCCTAGCAGTGCTGCTTATGTATTATTTACTTCGGGCTCAACAGGAAAACCAAAAGGCACAGTCATCGACCACTCTGCCGCTTGCACTAATATCTTGGACTACGGGAAGATTGCGGGATGGAATGAATCTTCGAGATGCCTCGAATTTGCGTCTTTTACATTTGACGCCAGCGTGGCAGAAATATTTTCCACTCTTGCACTTGGTGGCACCATATGTGTACCATCTGAGACGGAGCGTTTACAGAATATTCACGGCTTTATGCGAAGAGCAAATGTCAATATCGCTAACCTAACACCGTCATTTGCTCAAATACTGGATCCAAATGAGCTACCTCAATTAGAAGTACTGGTTCTCGGAGGTGAGCCATGTACTCGAGATTTGCTAAACACATGGTGTAAGAATGTTAAGCTCATCAACGCATATGGCCCGACAGAGACTACTATAGGTTGTACTACACACGAGTTCAACATAGACGACAGTCCCACAAACATTGGCCGACCTTTTAATAGCGCCTGCTGGATCGTTGAGCCGCATGATTATCATAAACTTGCGCCTATTGGTTGCGTTGGCGAGTTGGTCGTCCAAGGACATAGCCTGAGCCGTGGCTACATAAATGAACCCGAGAAGACCGGGGCGGTATTTCTCCCAGAACTTCAGTTTGTTTCGTCCGGACCGCGTCGTTTCTATTTGACTGGTGACTTAGTGAAATACACCGCTAAGGGAGAAATGGTGTATCTTGGTCGGAAAGATAAACAGGTCAAAATTCGTGGCCAGCGCGTGGAACTCGGGGAAATCGAAGCCAGCATCAAGCGAATTAGACCGGAACTTGCTCACGTCGGCGCTGAGGTTCTGAGGCGAGAAACCGGAGATCTGTTGGCTGCGTTTATATCCTTCAAAGAAGAGTCTGAAAATCCACTAACAGATAATTTTGTTCCGTTGGATCAAGAAATGCGTGAGCGTCTTGTTTCGCTGGTTGAACAACTAAAAGAAGAACTGCCAAGCTACATGGTGCCCAAGCTGATTATACCTCTTCATGAGTTACCGTTTAATGCAGCGATGAAGCTCGACAGAGGCAAATTGCAGACTTCAGTAAAAGACTTTACAATGGAGGAGCTTATGGCATATTCTTTGTCTGAGAGAGACAGAGTCGCTCCAACAACAGAGATGGAGCTGAAACTGCAAGGTCTATGGGCTCGCGTGCTGAAGATGGAGGCTGAAACCATCGGGAAGAACGATCACTTCTTCCAAACTGGCGGTGATTCTCTTTCGGCAATTCGACTTTCTTCTCTGGCAAACCAACAAGGAATCAAGCTGTCCGTAGCAACGATATTTTCTGATCCGAAGCTGTCAGCAATGGCCGCTGTCGTGAGCGTGGGAGATGTTGAGAAAGACCTCCAGTTGGCACCATTCAGCCTACTTCCATTCGAAGTGACAGATTCAATTACCAAGATTATTCGAGAAAAGTGTAGTTTGTCGGACAGTCACATCATTCAAGATATATATCCCTGCACTGCCTTTCAGGAAGGTCTCATGGCTCTAGTCGCAACCAAACCTGGCTCTTACATTGCGAAGAACATCTACAAAATTCCTGCTTACCTTGATGAAGCCGTATTCAGAACGGCTTGGGAACGAACGGTTGAGTTGTGTGACAATCTCCGGACGCGAATTGTGTTAGTTGATGGAGTCTGCGTTCAAGTGGTGTTGGACTGTGATGTCTCGTGGGATACAGCTTCGTCATCAGAAATTCAGTCTTGTGTATCGGATTCACAGCATACCAGGATGGATTATGGGTCACGACTTTCGCGCTATTGTATTCTGACAGATGAAAAAGGCGAAACATATTTCTTCTGGACGATTCATCACGCAATTTTTGACGGATGGAGTCTTGGTGTTATCATCAAAACATTAACCGCGTTGCTGAGAAATCACACCTTGCCAAATCTCCATCCATTTCGGAATTTCATCAAATATTCACTGGGTCGGGACATTGAAGCGGCAAATGAGTACTGGGTGAATCAGTTACAAGATGCAAAGCGGGCTTCATTTCCTTCTCCACCAACACGGCGACAGCCCTGCTCTGAACCCAAGAGGACCAGCGTCTTTGTTAGTAGCGTAAAGCTTTCTGCCTCTGCGCGTAGCTCCATTACGAAGGCTACGATTATGAGAACTGCCTGGGCCATGATTCTTGCAAAATACTGCGACAGTAATGATGTGTGCTTCGCAACAACGGTAGCCGGGCGGAACGCACCTGTAGCCGGGCTGGAGTCAATGTCAGGTCCGACGATTGCAACGGTGCCTGTGCGTATCCGCCTCGATAATAACGAGAAGGTGGCAGAGTTTCTTGATAGAGTCCAGATTCAAGCCTCTGAAATGGTCGAATATGAACAATTTGGCCTCCAGAATATTACCAAACTAAGCCCGCAGATCAAAGAAGCGTGCGACTTTTCTAGTTTAATGGTGGTACAACCTGTCGAAACGAAGGAATCCTATCCAGTCCTCGTATCCTTGAACTCGGATGAAAAGCTTGCAGAAGATGCTTTACAAAACTATTTCACTTACCCTCTGATTCTTCACTGCTTTCTTGGGGAAGGAGCAGTAAAACTAGCATTTATCTATGAGGCCAGTGTGCTTGCAGAATCCCAAATAAGAGCCCTCTCATTTCAATTCGACAACGCTATTCAACAGCTGACCGCGTCTGCCAATTTAAGCGTTGGAGACGTTAATATTGCTGGGAACTTCGATTTAGAATACGCCATCGCAGCAAACGGCCAACCTCCTAATGTCATTGAGGAGTGTGTTCATACACTTATAGAAAGGGTGGCTATGAGACATCCAGACTTGCCCGCCGTTTCTGCCTGGGACGCAAAATTCACTTACAAGGAGCTTGATGCCATTGCCAATAGACTTGCAAACTATCTCATCTCCGTTTTTGGCCTCAAAGTAGGAGACATAGTACATGTGTGCTTCGAAAAGTCAGCCTGGTATGTGGTCGCCACTCTAGCGATTAGCAAAGCTGGGGCAACATGGTCACCTCTTGATCCCTCTCATCCACATGATCGCCATAAGCAAATTGTTAGCCAAACTAGAGCTTCACTTGCCTTGGCTTCTCCCGAAAATGTCTCAAAATGTGATAATTTGGTCAAGAATACCGTTAAGGTGGCGGAGAAACTGAATGCCCAATTGACCAACGATGGTTGCTACGAAAACAAACCTCAAGTTGAAGTGACAGCACAACATGCTGCCTACATTCTCTTCACTTCAGGTAGCACTGGCACTCCGAAAGGCGTTATAATTGAACACGGTGCTCTGTGTAGCGCTCAAACGGCCGCCAGCAAACGGCTCGGGTTTGGCCCAGGCGTGAGAATGCTACAGTTTGCGTCGTTTGTCTTTGATGCATCAGTCGCGGAAATCATTACCCCGCTGATATCTGGTGCTTGCGTATGTATTCCGTCATGGGAAGCTCGGATGAATACCCTAACGAGCTATATTCAACAAGAAGAAGTTACTTGGGCTTTATTGACTCCTTCATTTGCTCGCACATTACATCCGGACGATGTGCCCAGTCTCAAGCTGCTTATCTTAGGAGGCGAGGCCGTGGGACGGGATGTGTTCGACTTGTGGTTTGGTAAGCTTCGATTATTCAACGCTTGGGGACCTACAGAGACTTGTGTGTATGGAGCTATCCACGAGTGGCAATCTAGTGAAGAATCGCAGCTAACCATTGGGCGGCCTCTTGGTGGATTTTGCTGGATTGTCGAGCCGAACAACTCTCAGAAGCTCGCTCCTATAGGGACTGTGGGCGAAGTTGTTATCCAAGGTCCAAATCTATTTCGTGAATATCTAGCAGATGTGAAGAAAACCGCTGCAGCATCCGTACAAGTTCCGGATTGGGCAACATACCGCGATTTAAAACATTGGCGTCGCTTTTACAAGACAGGAGACTTGGCCATGTATAATCCGGATGGCACAATCCATTATATTGGCCGCAAAGATATGCAAGTGAAACTTCGCGGTCTTCGTGTTGAGTTGGGGGAAATAGAGCACCATATTTATACTGGATTGGACGGTGTTTGCCAAGTGGCTGTCGATGTCTTGAAAACAGATATTTCTTCTGCTCTGGTTGCATTCCTCTGCTTCAATGACAGTACGATTCCGGCTGGTACAGCCATTCCGAAAGATTTTATCTGTCCGCTCACAGATGGCTTAAAAAGTTCTTTCCATAGCCTTCGTGAGCACCTTAACTCTGTTTTACCGACGTATATGATACCAACGTTGTTTATTCCTTGCAAGGCTATACCACTGGCTGTGTCTGCGAAAATGGACCGAAAGTTGCTACTTGGATTAATTGCACAACTCAATACGCAGAATTTGAACCAATACACACTAGATCTTGAAGAAGGAAATAAAGAAGCTCCAGAGTCGGATATGGAACGCCGTCTCCAAAAATTATGGAGTGAGATTCTCCATATCCCGCAAGAATCTATTTATCGGGATAGCAACTTCCTGGGGATTGGTGGCGACTCCGTTGCGGCTATTCGACTTGTTTCTTATGCCCACCAACAAGGCATCATGTTCACTGTCAGCGATGTGTTTGGGGATCCTCGATTATTCGCCGTAGCGACGAAGGCACGTTTGCTGGCGGAGGAAATTGAAGATACTTCTATACAACCGTTTAGTTTGCTAGAACAAGAGTACGAACATATTGCAACGAGTGGCTCAATAACGACTCTCCTTGGACTATCCAACGAAAACGAGATTGAGGACGCATATCCATGTTCCAAACTTCAAGAAGGGCTAATGGCTCTAGCAGTCAAACAACCGGGCTCGTATATCGCGAAATTTATCTATCGTCTCTCTTATGATACGGATGTTCCTAAGTTCAAGGATGCGTGGGAGCGTACCGTTAAGATTGCTGCGAATCTGAGAACTCGGATCATTCGGTCGGGTGGTCAATCCATTCAATTGGTCGTTAAAGAAGATGTCTCTTGGGATGAGATTCACAGTAAATCACCGGAAGATTACATGCGTGAACTTCAAGATGTTCAAATGAACTATGGCTCCCGCCTTCGCCGTGATGCAATTCTCACAGAGGATGTTCATAGGAAGACATACTTCATTCTGACACTCCATCACGCTGTTTTCGATGGTTGGTCTATAAGAAATATTTTCAATATGCTACAAAAGCTGTACTACGGTATCAACTACGGTGCCATCCAGCCATATTCCAGGTTCATCCAGTATACCTTGGAATTGAACAATGAAGATACTGTTAAGTATTGGACGACACAGCTTCGGGGAGCTAAGCCAGCCTCATTCCCAAAGAAAATCATTTTGGATTCAGCCGCAGGAAATGATGACAATGCTGGTATCATGAATAAGATGATCGGAGTACCTACAATAGCTACCTCCAGCATAACGATGGCCACAATATTGCGAGCTGCTTGGTCTATTGTGTTGTCTCGGTACTGCGAGACAGAAGACATTTGCTTTGGCGCCACTGTGTCAGGCAGACAGGCTCCAGTGCCGGGGCTGGTCGATATGCTGGGGCCTATCATCGCAACGATACCCGTGAGACTCCGGACCGATCCCGGACAGTCCGTCTCTGAATTTCTGCATTATGTGCAAGGGCACGCTACTGAGATGATTCAATATGAACAGTTTGGTGTACAGAGCATTTCAAAGGTCAGCAATGATGCGAAAGAGGCTTGTGATTTCTCGAGTCTGTTCGTTGTCCAGCCAATGCAATCTCTCCTTGGAGATGGCGATGAGAGTATCATGGTCGCTACAGAAGAAGGGAAGAATGCGAATGCCTTCCATAATTACTTCAATTATCCTCTGATCATACAAGGACACATATACGAAAGCCAGATCGAAATTGTGCTCATTTATAATAAGCATGTCCTCTTAGAGCCACAATCGATCGCACTTGCGCATCAACTTGAACATGCGGTTCGGCAGCTTGCAACCCAGACAGACATGGTTCTTGGGGATATACCAAAATCATCAAGCTGGGATATCCAGCAGGCAGCTAAACTTAACACTGAGCTACCGGATATTGTCGATTCATGTGTACACACCCTCATTGAAAAGCAAGCTATGATCCGGCCAGACGCCCTGGCGATTGATGCATGGGATGGCAGCTTCACGTATGGAAGGTTGAATCAGTCTGCAAATCGCCTGGCACATCATTTGACCAACGATTATGGTATAAAGACCGGCGACCTTGTGCACGTCTTCTTTGAGAAAACTGCTTGGTTTGTTATATCTATAGTGGCCATCAATAAAGCTGGAGCCGCTTGGATACCGCTTGATCCATCCCACCCGGCCCAGCGGCTTGCACAAATTGTTTCTCAAACAAACGCAACGACTGTCTTGACATCGCCTACAAATGCATTAATTTGTAAAACACTCTTCTCGAATCTCATTGAAGTTACCGAATCACTTGATGAAAAACTGGCAAAGTCGTCAAAGTCTGCTGAAGCAGAATGCCCCAATACGAACGTATCCCCTCGTGATGGGGCATACATGCTATTTACATCCGGTAGTACAGGAACGCCTAAAGGTTTCTTGATGGAGCACGGTGCTGTTTGTACCAGTCAGACTGCAATTGCAAAGAGGCTCGCGCTTACGCCAGAAGTCAGGATGTTGCAGTTTGCATCATATGTGTTTGACATGTCCGTTGGTGAAATTATTCTAGCATTGGTCTCCGGTGCTTGCGTATGCATACCTTCAGACCACACTAGGATGAATGGCTTGAAGGATTTCATTCGTGATATGAACATCACATGGATGTGGTCCACTCCATCGTTCATCAAAACCATCAAGCCGCGTGACATCCCGAATGTGAAGGTGATAATTTTAGCTGGGGAGGCTATTCTACGAGATGTATTGACCACTTGGTTTGGTAAAGTCCGCCTAATAAACGGCTGGGGACCTGCTGAAACCTGCCTTTGCAGCACTCTTCATGAGTTCACTTCTATTCGTGAATCGTCTTCAACTATTGGCAGGCCGGTCGGTGGTTTATGTTGGATTGTAGACCCCGATGACTCTTCGAAGCTCTCTCCTATAGGCACTATTGGTGAAATCATCATCCAAGGTCCAACCTTATTACGAGAGTATCTTGGCGATCACGAGCGGACGAAGAAGACAATTATGACTTCTCTTCCCGACTGGGCTCCGCAACGAGACTCGCAACATTGGAACCGATCTTACAAGTCTGGGGATTTGGGTTTCTATAACCCGGACGGCACTATTGAATTTTCAGCTCGAAAAGACACGCAAGTCAAGATTCGAGGCCTTCGAGTAGAGCTGAGTGAAGTGGAACACCATTTCCAGCTCGCTTTCCCACAAGCAAAGCAGGTGGCAGTCGATGTATTCCGATCTGACGGTGGAGCGAATTTGGTCGCATACTTTTGCCTGAGTGGCGAGACAAGAACCGAGGATGATGATGGTAGGGATGGTAGCATGGATGATGGCCCATTTCTTTCTATTGACGATGAACTTCAGTCTTGCTTGACGGCAGTCGTCGGTGAGCTAACGGTCGCATTGCCGCGTTATATGGTCCCAACGCTCTTCATCCCCTGCAGCTATATGCCAGTAATCATTTCCACTAAGCTCAACCGAAAGAAACTTCGCCAATTAACGACTGGGTTATGCCAGCAAGACCTTGCCTTATATTCACTGATTGGGACTCAGAAACGCGCCCCCGAGACACCCATGGAGAGACTGCTGCAAAAGATCTGGGCTGAAATCTTAAACATTTCAAAGGATTCGATTGGCCGTGACGATAGCTTTTTAGCACTTGGTGGTGACTCCATTGCAGCAATTCATTTGGCTAATACTGCTCGTGAAGATGGAATATTGTTAACTGCGAAGAATATCTTTGATGATCCCCGTTTGCTAGCAGTTGCCGCAACAGCCAAAACCCTGGATACGGTGGAAGATGAAGTCTCCGATCTGTCGCCATTCGACCAGCTCGATAAAAACACGCGAAAATGGGTAACTGGAAAATCTCTGGCAGCCAAACTTCAACTATCAGGCAGCCAGTCGGTTGAGGATGCTTACCCTTGCACTAAATTGCAAGAGGGCTTGATGGTCCTCAGTTTGAGACAACCAGGTTCATATATCGCAAAATATGTTTACAGGCTGTCTAAAGACTTGGATATCGACCGATTCAAGTCATCCTGGGATGAGACTATTGCATCTTGTGGAATATTGCGATCACGTCTTGTTACTCACGAGGGAACGTGTATTCAAGTGGTGATTAATAACGATAACCTATGGGAGGCTTCCAGCGGCAACTTGCAAGATGCGATGGAGAAAGCTAAATCACTTCAAATGTCTTATGAATCGCAGTTATCCAAATTTGCTATCACAAAAGATGAAGATGGAAACAATTACTTCTTGTGGACAATTCATCACGCAGTTCACGACGGGTGGACAATTCCACTCATCTTGCAAACGTTCTATCAAACTTACCACGAGCGTGTGCCTTTTATTCCACAGCCATTCTCCAAGTTCATCCACCATTTAGCGCAAATGGATGAGTCCGCTGCTCGTGCTTACTGGGCGAAACAGCTTGCAAATGCCAAACCGGCTGCGTTTCCAGCCCCGAAACCTGCCAGTAGTTCTACGGGGGCGAACCAAACTTGTGCATTGACTACAAACATCAACTTCCCAGCTTCAACTAACTCACTGATCACAAAAGCAACAATTCTTCGTGCAGCTTGGGCAATTGTCCTGGCCAAATACTGCGATAGTGACGACGTTTGTTTTGGTGCCACTATATCAGGTCGTCAGGCATCGCTGGATGGTTTACTGGAGATAGCTGGACCAACAGTAGCCACGGTGCCGGTCCGAATTCGTATAGACCGTGGGCAGCTAGTATCAGACTTTTTGCAAGATGTTCAACGTCAGGCAACTGATATGATACCATACGAGCAATTCGGTTTACAGAACATCTCGAGATTGAGCCCCGAAGCCAAGGCGGCGTGCGATCTCTCTAGCTTAATGGTGATTCAGCCCATGCAAGAGGTCGCTGAGGATAGCAACTCAAGTGGTGTTATGTCTGCTGTTGACAATGGGCGCAATACACAAGAAAGCCAATTACAAAATTACTACACATACCCACTGGTTATACAAGGACACGTCTTTGACGATCATGTGGATCTCGTCACAATATTTGATACGGCAGCTCTTTCTCAATTTCAGATGGCGGCTCTTGCACGTCAATTCAGCCATGTAGTAGAGCAGTTAGTCCTGCAGGAAGGACAACAGATTGATCAAGTATCTGTTGCCAGCCCATGGGACTTACAATTCGCTCTACAGCCCAATAACAGTACACTCACTATTATTGACAGCTGTGTCCACACTCTTATTTCACAGCAAGCTAGACAAGCACCAAATGCCCTTGCTATTCATGCCTGGGATGGTGAACTCACATACAATCAGTTGGAGCAGGCGACTGATAGATTGGCATCGCATCTAGTACATGAATTCCATGATCGTATTGGAGATATTATTCATGTATGCTTTGAAAAGTCCATATGGTACGTTGTGGCCATCCTTGCCATCAACAAAGCTGGCGCGGCATGGGCTCCAATTGATCCCGCTCATCCCGTACAACGGCTGCGGCAAGTTGTACAGCAGACGGGCGCTACCCTGACAATATCTTCTGTCTCCCACGCTGCGTTATGTGCAGAATTGACCAAAGATGTCGTTGTCCTTGGCCCTGAGTTGTATAAAAAATTACAGAATCAACTTCATGCCAGTGCGCCAAGCGTTAATGTGACTCCCGATGATCCGGCCTATATCTTGTTTACCTCAGGAAGTACTGGAACACCCAAGGGAATTGTCATGGAGCATAGAGCTCTTTGCACAAGCCAGACAGATATCAGTAGGTGGTTAAATCTCACCAATGATGTGAGAATGCTTCAATTCTCTTCATTCGTTTTTGACGTTTCTGTTGGAGAGATTATATCACCTCTTATGCATGGCGCTTGTGTTTGTATCCCCTCCGAGGCCATGAGATTGAATGGCACACTAGACGAATTCGTTCGTTCCGCCAACGTAACGTGGGCGTTCTTGACTCCGTCATTTACAAGAACATTAAAACCGGAGAATTTCGCTAATTTAAAGCTTCTACTTCTCGCTGGCGAAGTTTTCCCACAAGAAATTCTCGACGCGTGGTGCGGAAGACTTCGGCTGATTAATGCCTGGGGCCCGGCAGAAACCTGTGTCTTTAATTCTATGCATGAGTGGGAGGATTCTTCAGAAGATATTACCATCATTGGACGCTCGGTTGGATCAAATGTCTGGGTAGTTGACTCTAATAACCCTCGTCAATTAGCTCCTGTTGGCTGCCACGGAGAGATTGTTGTCCAGGGGCCAGCTCTACTTCGTGAATATCTTTCTGATGCTTCCAAAACATCAGCAGCAATCGTTGAAGACCTCCCTGAGTGGGTGCCCAATCGCACAAGCAAGGGCTGGGGCCGATTTTACAAGACCGGCGACGTGGGCTACTACAGCCATGACGGTAACCTCCATTTCGTCAGCCGTAGAGATACACAGGTCAAAATTCGAGGATTGCGTGTTGAGTTGGGTGAAATTGAGCACCAGATACGCAGCGCTCTCAACACCGCCCATCAAGTTTCTGTCGATGTCTTTAGAAATGAAACTGCCGCTCACCTTGTTGCTTACATATGTTTTTCGGACAGCACTAAGACACCGCAGCAGATGCTTGAAGATGATGGCGAAGATTTGCTCATGACTATGACTGACGAGCTGCATGCTACACTGAAGGGGCTGACTGATGCTTTACATTTGGCTCTACCTCGATATATGATCCCAACACTGTTTATTCCTTTCAACTACCTTCCACTCATATCATCGGCCAAATTGGATAGGGTGAAACTCCGCCAGATGATCGGTAGCATTTCTCATGACCAGTGGCAGCAATTTGCGCTGCTCGATAGCACACCAAAGCGCGGCCCTGAAACTTCTATGGAAGTCCGCCTGCAAACGATTTGGGAAAAAGTTTTGGGTATGCCTGCCGAGGTAATCGGTCGCGATGATAGCTTCTTACGAATTGGCGGAGATTCAATAGGCGCCATTCAGCTTGTTACATTAGCCCGTGATGCTGGCATTCACCTTGAAATAAGTCAAATCTTTGAAGATTCGCGCCTCTTCCACCTGGCGTCGAGAGCGATAAATATTGATCCAGCCACAACTGGGCTGAGTGATAAGATCCAGCCATTTAGTCTTCTTGATGATTCTACTAAAACTAAGGTCCTCGATACTAGTCGCCGCGAAGAGTTTGGCCTCTCAGAGAATGAACTGTTTCAAGATGCATACCCTTGTACGAAACTTCAAGAAGGCCTCATGGCTATTGCAGCTAGGCAACAAGGCTCATACTTTGCAAAACATCTCTTCAAACTGCCGCCCCATGTCAACATACCGCTATTTAAAGTAGCATGGGAGCGAACTATTGCCGCTTGCAGTAATCTCCGGACGAAAATAATTCTCGTCGACAATGTTCCTGTTCAAATTCAGCTGCAAGACAACCCCGCGTGGGAATCTGGTTACGATAGTCTTGAATCGTATAAGAATTTTTGCCAGAATGCCAGGATTGGCTACAACTCGACCCTCTGCAGTTACGGTCTGTTTCGCGATAACGGCCACAACTTCTTTACTCTCAATATCCACCATGCTATTTTTGATGGCTGGAGTTTGTCACTAGCTTTGCAGACCTTGTCAGCGGCCTACCAAGGCGCAGATTTACCAAAACTGGAGCCTTATTCAAAGTTTGTGAAATATGTGAGAGACATAGATCAGGGCTCGGCCGCAGAATATTGGCGGAAGCAACTACACGAAGCAAAACCGGCAACATTTACACAACAAATAACCACAACCAGTGATCAGCAAGCTACCGCGATACTAAAGCAGAAAGTCTACTTCCCACGTTCGACCAATGCCACTGTTACCAAAGCCACTATCCTCCGGGCCGCCTGGTCTATTCTTCTCTCCCGTTATTGTGATTCGGATGATGTTTGTTTCGGCTCTGTAGTCTCAGGACGCAATGCTTCAATCTCCGGACTTGCATCTATAACAGGACTTGTTACAGCCACAGTTCCAATTAGGCTAAAACTTGGTCGCAAGCAGACTATAAAGCAATTCCTACAAGACATACAATCGCAAGCACTAGAGATGGTCCCTTTTGAGCAGTTTGGGCTCCAAAATATCTCAAAAATCAACCAGCATACGAAAGAAGCGTGTAACTTCTCCAGCTTGATGGTAGTCCAGCCAGCGAAGCAGATGCGATTTACAGAAATCGGCAGCAGCTCTAGTCTCTTGCACCCGGCTTCCGAAAGCGACAGCATCGAGCAAATGATGCAGAGATTCTTTAACTATCCTCTCATCGTCCAATGCGACTTGCTTGATGATGAAGCTGACTTAATGCTCATGTATGACACAAGCATGTTTGCTCGTGACCATCTTATAGCTCTTTCCCATCAGTTCAGCCATGTTGTGGAGCAACTCCTTGCTGCCGATGGCTTGTTCTTAGAAGACATATCATTATCTAGTGCTTGGGATCTTGAGAAAGCCATTTCGTATAACGCGCAGATTATTGAGCTTGTCGACTCGTGTATACATGACTTGATCTCTGCTCAAGCATTACGCAATCCCCACCACGAAGCCATATTTTCCTCAGAAACATCAATGACATATGGCGAATTAGATCACCTTTCAACACTATTAGCCAACCATCTTTGTCTTCTTAAAGTTACGCCGGGAACGCTGATTCCCTTTTGCTTCGAAAAGTCAATATGGGCGATTATAGCGATGCTTGGAATTCTCAAGTCCGGTGCTGCGTTCGTTCCACTTGATCCATCACATCCACGCGCCCGTCTGGAGGACATAGCTAAAGAGACAAATGCGAACGTGATGATTACTTCTCCCGGCTCTGCTTCATGTTGTCGGGATCTTGTGCCGCATATTGTAGAGCTGTCTCCTTCATTCATCGCTGCACTTGAGGCCACTGCCAAGCTAAAATCCGAACACAGAGTCTCAAAACAGTCGACCAGCGATGTAGCGTACGTAATATTTACGTCTGGATCTACGGGAAAGCCAAAGGGCGTTGCTATTCAGCATTCTGCCCTTTGTACCAGTGCGATTGGTTTAGGCAAAGTGCTTGGTACTTGCCATTCATCAAGGATTTTCCAGTTTGCTGGCTACGTATTTGATGCTATGGTTTATGAGATTTTTGTGACATTGATTTATGGTGGAACGGTATGCGTGCCTTCGGACACTGAACGACTTCAAGATGCGCCGGCTTTCATCTGCAAGTCACGATCTACGGAAGCCCTTCTGACCCCATCTTTTGCTCGAACGATTGTTCCATCTCAAGTACCCACGTTTAGAACGCTTATGGTCGGTGGTGAGCCTGTGTCCAAAGACTTGCTCGAAATATGGCACGGTAAAGTTCGTCTTATTAATGCATATGGTCCAACTGAGAGCTGCGTCATAGCAACAACACACGATATTCGGTCAAGCAACGACTCACACAGAATTATTGGACAAGGATTCAATTCCGCTTGTTGGATCGTCGACTCAGACAATTGCCGCAGGTTGACTCCTATTGGATGCGTTGGCGAGCTTGTGATTCAAGGCCATACGTTGTCATGCGGTTACTTGAACGACTTGGAGAAAACTCGCGGGGTTTTCAGCGGTCAACTCGATTGTCTAGGTCTGCCACAAGACAGTGGACCGCAAAAGTTCTATTTTACCGGAGATTTGGTCAGGTATACACCAGATGGACTTATCGAATACGTTGGGCGGAAAGATTTACAAGTGAAGCTTCGCGGTCAACGCATTGAACTTGGTGAGATTGAGTATCACTTCAAATGCTCCCTCGCTATCATTGAACACGTCGTTGTAGACGTTCTTCATCACAAATCAGGAATGTCTCTCGTCGCTTTTATTAGCTTTGCAGGAGCAGCTTCCGATGGCAGCCTCCTTCTACCCGTTGATAATTCAATACGTCCATCATTGGAGGCTATACGAGCCTATGTAAAGGCTCACGTTCCACCTTACATGATGCCTAGCCTAATCTTGCCTATCAGCCGCATGCCTTTCGTAACTTCCATGAAGATGGATCGCAGAAAGCTACTTGATTTGGCCGCCAGCTTGTCAGCGGAGCAAATAGCAGGCTATTCTCCCACAAAACAAGAAAGGGCCGAGCCAATAACGGAAATGGAGAAAAAGCTGCTCGACTTATCAGCAAAAATCTTGAAAATCGATCCTTGTGAAATCGGACGCCATGACAAATTCTTGGAGATTGGCGGCGATTCAATTTCGGCAATTCAGCTAGTTAACCTTGCTGGAGGAGCCGGCATAAGTTTGACTGTGGCTGACATCTTTAAGGATTCTCAGATATCAGTTTTGTCTTTGTTGGCGAGCAGCCAGCAGCTAAATATTGTCACTCATATTGAACCCTTCACTCTCTTGCCACCTACCAAGCAAGACAGCTTGCTCTCTGAAGTGTCTAGGCTCTGCGGCCTAGCCAACAAGAACTTTGTGGAGGACGCATATCCATGTACGCAACTCCAACAAGGTCTCATGGCGTTATCCGTCAAGCAACCAGGCTCATATCTTGCGAAGAGCCTATATAAGCTGCCGAAGCATGTCCATGTCGATCGATTCAAATCAGCGTGGGAGCGCACCGTGGAAATTTGCAGCAATTTACGAACGCGAATCGCTCTCGTTGATGGAACGGCTATCCAGGTCGTTCTACGAAACTGTCACGACTGGGAAGCTTCTGATGGTGTTGATGTATCTACATATTCGCAAGAAGTGTCCGCGATACGTGTGAGCTATGGCTCTAAGTTGGTTCGGTTCGCCCTACTACAAGACGGTGAAGATGATTATTTCGGTCTCACTATGCATCACAGCATATTCGATGGCTGGTCAATGGGTTGTATCATGGGAACGTTGGATGCCATCTATCGAGAAAACGAGCCACCATCATTAGCCCAGTATGCTCGCTTTGTCAAGTATACCATGGAACTTGATTGCAATGCCGCCCGGAAATATTGGCTAGAGCAGCTTCATGATGCTAAATGCGCTCCCTTCCCTTCGAATACGGCCACGACCTCTTCTGCCAACCCGGTTACTGGCTACGTCAGCAAGAAGGTGGACTTTGGCAATTATCCCAAGACCTCTATTACTAAAGCATCGATTATTAGAGCTGCATGGGCTATTGTCCTCGCCCGCTATTGCGAGGTAAACGATGTGTGCTTCGGTGCCACTGTTTCGGGTCGGAATGCAGCTCTCGTCGGCGCTGACTCAATGCCCGGAGTTATGCTTGCAACAGTTCCAGTTCGTGTTCGGCTTGACAAAGACCAGACAATATCCGACTATCTTAGTAACATTCAAGATCAAAGCAGCGAGATGGTTGCGCATGAACAATTCGGTCTGGCCAATATCTCTTCTCTCGGTGCCAGTGCCAAGGATGCTTGCCATTTTTCCTCTTTACTCGTCATCCAACCTGCTGGATTTTTCACAGCAGGAAGTCAAAATTCAGGTGCCATTCTGGTGGATGAGAGTTCCGAACAGGAATTGGAAGACAGGATTCAAAACTTCATCAACTATCCTGTTGTGGTACAAGGTCTACTATACGACAATAAAGTTGAGATTATTCTCATGTACAACAAGGACCGCCTGGCCAAATCTCAAGCTGTGGCCGTCTCCGAGCAGTTGGACAACGTAATTCAACAGCTGCTTTCCAATACTAAACAGACGTTAAGAAGCATATCTGTCGCAGGCTGTTGGGACCTTGAGCAAGCAATTAGTTGGAATACGGCCTGTCTTGACCCTGCCAGCGAATGTCTCCATGATCTTGTCTCGAAACAAGCCCAGCGGCGACCAGGGCACGAAGCAATTTATTTTACTGGAGGAAGCATTTCCTATGCCGAGCTCGATCTTCTTTCTTCACAACTCGCGATTTTCCTAAGTGAAAAGGGCGTCAAGTCAGAATCATTTGTACCGATATGTTTCGAAAAATCACCATGGATCATTGTCGCCATGCTTGGTATACTCAAGGCTGGTGGTGCTTTTGTACCATTAGACCCAAGCCATCCTGTTGCTCGTCGACAGGCATTGGTTGATGAGATCGGAGCTCAGATCATGATCGTGTCTTCGTCTGCTGCCACTGAGTGTGCGCATATGACCAAGACTGTTATTGAACTCTCACCTACTCTGATTTCACATCTATCTGGTATTAAAAATACTCATATCGCAGATACAGCTACTCCATCAAACGCAGCTTATATGCTCTTCACATCGGGTTCCACCGGCAAACCTAAAGCCGTCATCGTCGAACATCAGGGCATCTGCACGTCTCTTTTGGGTGAACATAAGGCATTCAACACTAATAAGAACTCACGCTGGTTCCAGTTCGCCAATTACGTATTCGATGCTTGTATTACCGAAATATTTGCTTCACTAACAGCCGGAGGCACCGTATGCGTACCTACCGAGGCGGAACGAATGCATCAAACGTCAAAGTTCATAACAGATGCGCAAGTCAATATCACTTTGTTAACACCAACCGTCGTCAAAACTCTAGAGCCTGAATCAGTGCCTTCACTCAAGACGCTTATACTTGGTGGTGAAGCTGCGTCAAAAGATATCATCGAGACGTGGTATGGACACCTGGATCTGCGCAACGCCTATGGCCCTGCAGAAGCTTGCATTGCTTCCTCCGCTCACATTTACACATCCGCTACGGATTCTGCTACAACTGTCGGGCGTGGATTCGCTCACCATTGCTGGATTGTAGATCCTGATGATTACCAGCAACTTGCGCCTATCGGCTGTATCGGAGAGCTTTTGGTGCAGAGTCCTGCTTTGGCACGAGGTTATTTCAAGGATGACAGCAAAACCAAGAGTTCGTTTGTCGAAGATGTCAGGTGGCTACCGATGGAAGCAACAAAATTTCGACGCTTTTACAAAACGGGAGATTTGGTCCGATACGGTGATGATGGTATCATGGAATACATTGGGAGGAAAGACACACAGATCAAAATTCGAGGACAGCGGATAGAAGTGGGGGAGATTGAATATCAGATGAAGAAGTTGGAAACCACATTCGAACATGTTGCTGTAGATATCATCCACGGGAATCATCTTGCAGCATTCGTGAGTTTCAGAAATGGCGAAAATATGGACCGCGCGACAGAAAATGTCAAATTGTTGAGCAGAGATGATGCTATGGGAGAAGTATTCTCTCAGCTGCTGGCTAACATGAGCCTCGTTTTACCTCAGCACATGATACCATCCTACATCATACCAGTGGCGCATATGCCTCACAATAGTGCTGGCAAACTTGATCGAAAACTACTTCTGCAGACAGTGTCTCAGATGTCTATAGATGAGCTGGCTCAATACTTGTCTGGTCAGCGAAAGACCTTCCGCACGTGTTCCAATGAGACTGAGTTTTGGATTCGGTCACAATGGGCGCAAGTGTTGAATCTGCCCGCAGAATCGATAAGTGTGGACGAAAATTTCTACCATCTAGGCGGTGATTCCATTCGCATCGTCACCCTCGCCAAAGCCATTCTTAACGAGTACGAAGTAACTTTGGGTCTTTCTATTCTAAACAGCAAACACACAACAGTAAGCAGCATGGCTAAATTTGTCGAAAATGCCCGCGAAAATGCTACAGAGGTCGGACCAACCGTGGATCTCATGGAAAAGATACAATCGATTGTCAAAGGAATCTCGGCTACCAGGTTGAACAACTTGGCTAAACAACCAATTGTGAAGCCATCTAAGAAGTCGACTGTCTTTCTTACAGGCTCTACAGGATTCTTAGGGACGGAACTTCTCCGACAGCTGTTGCGCAATAGCTCAATCAAATCCGTCATAGCACTCGTCCGGTGTAATTCACCACAGCATGGACTAGAACGAATCAGAGCAACAGCCCAGGCAGCTCGATGGTGGCATCAGCACGACGCAAAGAAGATCGAGGTTTGGGTCGGCGACCTGGGTAAATTCCACCTAGGGCTAAACGCGTCTCAATGGGAGCGGCTTTCGGGAATATCTAGGCACCACGGCAATATCGACGCCATTGTCCACAACGGTGCCGTGGTCAACTGGAATGCGGATTACGACAAGCTTGTGGCGCCAAATGTCGGCTCGACTATCGATCTGCTGAATGCTGCTGCCTCGTCCCCGGTGCTTCCCCGGTTCGTCTTCGTTTCCGGAGGGCTGAAAACAAATCCAGACGAGGATCCAGCGGCAGTGGCCAAAAGGCTCAGTAGGCTGAACGGATATGTCCAAACCAAGTTTGTGTGCGAAAGCGTCATTCAAGATGTTATTAAAGGCTTGTCGAAAGAACAAAACAGATTATCCATAGTCAAGCCCGGTCGTATCATTGGCTCAGAAAGTAACGGAGTTGCCAATGTGGATGACTTGATTTGGCGCGTCGTCTCAGGAGCTGCCGCAATCCAAGCTTACCCGGTAGAGCCCTCGGAAAATTGGATGTACATTGCGGATGTTGGCAGTGTTGCTTCCGCGGTTCTGAGCCAAATCCTTGAAGAGGATGCCATTGACTCCTTTGTTCATGTGACTGGCGGTATGCCAACAGCAGTGTTCTGGGAAATGGTTAATAAAGAGTTGAAAGTCAATTGTAAACCCGTATCGTGGGCTGAATGGAGAGAGTTGGCACACGGTTCCATGGCTGCGGTTGGAGACAAGCATCCTCTTTGGCCCGTTCAACACTTTCTGGGTTCTCTCGGTGCTCCAAGATCAGCAAAAGAACTGGCTACTGAGTCTTTGGAACACAAGCAATGGCACAAAGCTGTCAGGAAGAACGTGCAATATTTGATGGAGGTTGGGTTTATTGCATCGTCTGCCGGGGAGCTAGGAAATGTGAAGGACGGTGCCATTAAGCGGTTACATTAGAGACGGATCCACACTTTACGTCTTTTTATATCTTGTCATGTTATCATTCTTTATTTTCTTGTCAAAGCTATTGAACTTGTTTGTTTTTGTATGTCTTGATATTGAGCTTTACATCTTGCATCATGACAATTTCGTGTTTCCGAGCTTTATCTATCACATTAGTTCAAGCGCTTACGTGATCCGCTACAACAGGCGCTGCAACGCCTGAAACATCTTCCGTAGTATAGTGGTCAGTATGCAAGCTTGTCACGCTTGAGACCCGGGTTCAATTCCCGGCGGGAGAGATCCGCCAGACCTCCAAGAGGTCGTTCTTCTTTTTTGATTCAATGTACTTTTTGTAACCTTTTTAGGGTTAATTGTTTGAATTGCCACTTCCCCTTGGCACGGAGCTGTCATGTCGATAATTCCGCGTGACAACCTCGTGGCAGCGGAGGGCGACGGAGTTAATAGTGGCTGCTTGACTCGAAAAGTTGCCCAATTCGGAAATGTCCTCGACTAGGTGAATCGAAGCACACAGTGTGTAATGCCATGTGGCCGGTGAGTGGTCTTCTTTAGAATTTGTTAGTCTCGTGGTTCTTGTTGCATTGCCACCACAGCTGGAGAAAAGGGTTGTTGATTGGGTGGTTTCTAGGGAGTGTGTCTCATCTCCTAATCCGTTGTTCTGGAAATAGTCTGTCATCACTTTTTCAAAGCGTCGAAAGAGTCGATCGATAGACAAGATCAGGCAGGAATTGCGCGAATGCCCTCATGTAAACGGAGAAAGGGTTGAACGCTTAAACGGAGAAGCAGCAACGACTCATCAGCTGGCTTAAAGACGGCGGTTGACTTTGCCAATCGTGGCTGAACCCGATTTTTGGGGATCGATACGCGGAGTTGCGCTTTGGTCTGGTAGCTATGTAATCAGGTAATAAAACGGATGCGGACGGCAAGGCGGGCAGAGACGGGGTGAGATCTCACCCGAGAAGTGTCTCAACTACAGCTCAACTACAGCTCAACTCTAGCTCACACGCAACTCCGAGCTCGTATCGATGCCGAGATGAAATGCCTTTCGACCTCCCTCGTTTAAAAGCCTGGCTTGCAGATGGCTGATACCAGTGGCTTGCTTGGTCGACGAGAAGGCGCATCGAAACTCTCTCTCGGCGAGTTAGCTTCATCCGCGGACTCACTGTGGCCCCTCAGCTTCAGCCACATCGGCTCCCAAGAGCTTGGAACTTGGGATGTTTGTCAGCGATTATGAGAAGCCAGTTATGTAATTCCTCTTAGCCGGCGGAGATGGAACTTCGGACCTCAGCCAAGCGTGGCTTGTTGCCAGACCAGCAGCGACTGGCGCTTCGTTAACGCTCGCTCTTGTCGTTTCGGTCTGGGACGCCCTCTTCACTAGGCGAAGTATAGTCGACTTGGTCGATCGACAACACGAGTGCGCTTGGCAATGTCACCGAGACTCAAGATTCTTCAGCTTCATCCAAGATGGCTAGGTGTGGAAATAGAGTTTGTTTCTAAACCGACTTGCCACACTCATACCAATGCCATGGTTTGGGTTTGGGCTCAAGAACGATGCGGTGGAATATAATAGCAAACGGTAAGGGCGCCGCGCAAGCGGTTGTCGCAACTTTCTCTTTCATCTCCAATACTCTAAAACAACAAGGCCATGCGATTCATCAAGATCCGTCATGCATGGCGGTAATAACCACGCAATAACAAACAACATCTTCTTATGATCACGCTCATGTTTGGATCGATCGGCACCACTGCGTCGCCGTGTTAAAATGGCGCCTGTAATACGACCTCGCAGCTTCGGCACTGGCGTCGATGGCATCGACTGGACTGACTTGACCGTCATCATTGTCTTCCTCTCGCTGGCCCTGTACAACGTTCTCGAGCTCCTTTGCATCATTTGGGGTACCTTTAAGCGATATGCTGGGCTATACTTCTGGTCCTTTCTGATGGCGACGGTCGGAATCGCCTTGTCCTGCATTGGGTTTTGCATCAAATACTTTGGACCTACATCACTCGGCTACTTGTCATGCACGCTCAGTTTAATGGGATGGGTGTTTATGGTGACGGGCCAGTCACTGGTGCTTTGGTCTCGATTACATTTGGTGCTGAGGAACCAGAAACGCCTGAAAATCATCTTATACATCATCATCGTCAATGGAATCGTCTGCCACGGCATGGTCATCCCGCTGGTATACGGATCTTTCTCCTCCAACCCGGAAATCTTCCAGACTCCGTATCAAATTACCGAGAGGATAGAAATCATCGTCTTCTTCTTGCAGGAGATTATGCTCTCTAGCCTCTACATTTATGAGACGCTCAAGCTATTACGGCTGGGAGGAAGCCTTGGAAACAGGCAATCGAGTCGTCGCTTACTGAAGAATCTCATCCTCGTCAATGTCCTCGTCATGGTTCTCGATGTTACAATTGTAGTTCTCGAATTTGCGAATCTCTACGACTTCCAGATATCGTATAAACCGTTCGCCTATAGCGTCAAGCTGAAGCTCGAATTCACCGTTCTCAATCGCCTCGTTGAGTTGACAAGTGGAGGAAGGCAGATGAACTCAAACGGCCAAACCGCATCATCTAGTGGTCGCAGCAATAGCACTGGTTCAGCCATCTTGGACACTTTTAGTAGTACCAAGTCGATTAGCGGTGGCTCATATCACGCGTATGCTAAAGGCGGATGCACCGACAACTTGCACAAGCCCACGCCGTCAGAAGTCGAGAATGGGAACAGGGTCATGATGACGACGGCCATAACTGTTCACCGGGAGAAGAGGTCTCATGATGTTGATACCCGATATAAGAAGTCCTCTGAGGACTCGGCTAGTGGCACATCCAAGGAGTCGAGCGAGGATGGCGAGGAGAAGTCATCATCTCAGATCAATCTAGCGACGAACAGCGGCTTATAGAAAAAATAACGGCCTTTATTGTCGGAGTACTGTACGGAGGATGGGCGTGTAAAAGGAAATGGTATAGAGTATTGTATATAATTCGCACGCAAAGCAGAGGCGAACGACGTGCTCGTCATTTGCGGAGTGCACTGCTAGCGGTATTGGAAGATGAAATAATCACTTTCTTTGTGCATACCATCATATTGCTGTTTCTTTTCCTGGTGCTTTCTTGGGTAGTCGCCAATAGTCCTTGGGACCCCGGTTGGGCTAACCCAGCTATTCCACCCCAATGATTCCATGTAGTTCAAATGTCATAACTGAAGAGATCCACAATACCTGCTACTATCGTTCTATCTTGTATACTAGTTGACTAGTATCCTAAAGCTGAGGATATGATCTGATGGCCAAACTGATAGTAACATGGGGCTGATCAGACTTAACCTTGCAAGCAACGGATCCCCCGTTCCTATTGGTGGGAGTTTACGAAACACACGGAGCCGTGCGGGCTTAGTTTGACCGTTATCACTGAGCAGCCAACAAATACAATGTCCTTCCTAGCAACTGTTCATCACTTGCGCACAAATTTTGACAACGATTCTTCTCCTACGATTTCGGGATTACAGCAAGATCCATTGGAACTTCGTGACAAGATTTGTTTCGGTAGCGGGCTGATGCTGTTCAAGGTCCGCTCCCTGTAACTGTTCAATTTCACCCTGTGATTACGCCCGGCTCTCTCCCTGCATTAGCTCGAATCCTTCCATGCGCAAAGGCTACAGAAACAAGATGTTGCAAGGCAGTTTGATACTATTTCCAGTGTGTCTTAGCCCTGCTGTTGTGACAGTCACAATAATGTGCTCGTCGGCTCCACCCCTCGTACTCGTAACTAATTGTTCGCTATTCTCAATATCTGATCTGCCATGACGGATGGCTGGCGCTTAAACTTCTGTTTCTCTTCTCCTTAATGTTTTTTCCCCCGCGGGTATCATTTGGATGGACAGGCGCATTTCACTATGAAGACGCTCGTTTTCATCGGCACATTCTTACAGCTGCTGGTCCCCTGCTCGGCAGCCATCAAACAATGCTACTACCCTGACGGAAATCCGTCAGGCGATTCTCCATGTGATGCCAACGCGGAACAAAGTGCGTGCTGCGGTGGAGGACTTGGAGCTGCCTGCCTCTCCAACAAGCTGTGCCAATCGAACGATGGGCATATTATTCGGGGTTCTTGTAGCGACAAGAACTGGTCCTCTCCTGAGTGCGCCGACTACTGCCTAAGTATGCCATCAATTCTTTGCTCCCTTTTGCAGCTTATTCCGTTCATCTGGGTAGTTTGGCAATCTGGTAGATGATTGTTTTTAACCTGAATGCGATTCAATAGATGCGGACACTGGAGGAACCGATCTAATATCCTGCTCCAACGTCACCAACACCGACACGGCGTACTGCTGTGATCATTCAAACGGTTGCTGCAATACCGGCGCCGGCCGATTTAACGTTTTGCCACATAACCCACAAGTATGGGCGACATGGGATAATGAAGCGGCCACATACAAGGTTGTCGGTACGCTGTTCACTGGCACTCCATCAACTACATCGAGAGCACCCACGAAAGCAACATCTACAACTACAACTAGAACAACATCAAGCGCTGCCCCGAAAAGCTCAAGCCCGAGCCAGAGCAACCAATCTTCCGGTCTGTCCAACGGAGCAAAAGCCGGCATCGGTGTCGGTGTCGCAGTTGGAGCAATACTCATTGGTGTGATTGCATTCTTGGTTTGGAAACTTCGTCAGAGGAAAGCATCTGCCGGCATTGCGGCTCAGACACCGGTGCAAGAACTTGATAACCAGGGAAAAACAATGGCTGAGTTGGATGCTCGAGGGAAGCTGAATCAAGAGCTTCGACCCCCCGCAGAGTTATCAGGGTGACGAAGTTCTTCTTGTACACTAATATAGCGTATATACCTGTATCTAGACGGAATTGATATTTTTTTTAGCGACGCCAAACCAGCATGTGGCGACTATCTTTACATGATGCTTCACGTGTACTGAAATGAGGAGAACAGCTTTATCTATCAGGGTCGTTCAATTCTCTGTACTATCGTTACATTGCTTTCTTCTAGGACCTGAGAACAGATGTATCCTGCAGCCAGGAGGCAGAATTACATCGTCCACTTACCTGATGTGGTATGTATGAAGTGGCGATGAACTACTATCGATTCCTGATATCCCCAGCGATGTGTGCTATCAAGTAATTTGGGGTATGAGATGCTGAACAACCCGTCCTAGATCTTGTTGTCATGGATTAACATTGCCGTAATATTTGAAAGCAAAGGCAACCATCCGCGGTTCAAGAGAACGAAACCAGCAGCTGAGAGGGCTTAACGAACCAGAGCAAGGCGAAAACCCCTTCGGATCTACAGGTATTAATAGCGTTTGAATAGCCACACAAGTATTTGATCCGGGGAGATGGAAGCGCGCCAAGACCCCAGAGACCCATTCCAATGTCTGCCATAGGATAAAGTGCGCCATTCAGAAAAAATTGCCGCCATGGCGTTTAGATTCAGTAGGCGAGGATGGGCATCGGCAACAGCTTCCAAGGTGGTCTCGGAAATGTTTTATGCATATATAGCCCAGGTAGATTGCGACATTGGGCAACTTTATTCTCCGTCGAGAATTAGGTACCGGCTAAATACTCGATGAACTGGTGTGAATCTCGCTGCATATGGTTGGACGATGGAGCGATGCTTTTATACTCTGTTACACTTATTTATCCGCGACTTTGTTCCGATTCACCGTATGCTACGAATAGCACCCCATGACTGGTCGTCAGAATTATAGCTACTGTACTCCGTATCAAGCAGTTGTATAATAAAACAAGGTTAGTTTTCCGAGCGAGCCGTTGCATCTCGGGCGGCAATCTGGGTATTAGCAATACATGGGAAATCCCCAGCTCCCGTGGGTCATTGCCCAATGGCGTTAGCTTTCCGAAGTAATTTGATATGCCGCCCATTTGCAGCATAGCTACAGAAGTAAACTGTCGAGTAATGATTAGCACTTGGTGAGTAACAGGCAGTACAATACCTTATCAATGAGAGCATTTTATATGCAGTGGCCAATAAAATTTGATTTGTTGACTATGGGTCGTTTAATTGGCACATTTAATTCTATGATAGGCGTTATATGATCTCGTAAAGATTACATAGTCGATACCTATCATAAAAGTGCGTATCACATAGGGGAATGGTTTCATCAACGGTATAACGTGACCTCAATAATAATGAGTTATAGATAGATAATTTGACAAATATAATTCTTTAAAAGCTGATCATAACTTGTATAGCAACAACCCCACGAACTAAAGTTGCATCTCAAGCACTTCCGACCAAACATCTCCACTCATCCAGTAGACATCACGTATGTGACGTATGATCTAGCCTCAAGGGGGTTGAACAAATGAAACCCGGATAGATGCGGTAGTTGATGCGTAGAAAGAAGTGATCCATGTTGTGGGCCCCGATTTCGCTCGAGTTATCTATAAGATGTATGCCCCCCCCAGACATTCTCTCTGCATCATTGTGCACCAAACAATTACTTTAACATTCTTCTGACAATCGTGCTCAAACTAGATTTTGAAGAGTAGTTACTATGGAGTATCATCCTGAAACTTCTGCCCTACATGCTGACGATGAATTGGATGTCACCAATGATGTAGCACCACCTCTCCATGTGGCAAGCACTTTTAGGTTTCCCTCCAATCCTGAGCAACTTGTTCCATTAAGGCATCGAAGTGTGAGTTGCATTTGCATGCTATTTCTTCCATATACCGAAGACTGAATGAAAGAATACTTGTAGGCAGAGGATAAAAGTCACGTTTACGCTCGCCTGACAAACCCGAATACCACCAGATTCGAAACTGTCCTTACATCTCTTCTTAAGGCACCCTCATTGACATATACTTCTGGATTATCAGCTTTATTAGGCGTGTTATTTTGCCTTAAACCTCGTCAGATATCCATCGGGAAAGGATATCCTGGCTGTCATGGAACAATCGCGCTCATCAGTGGCTTAAATGGAATGAAGAAGCTGCCTCTGGATTGCCCAGCAGAAGACCTTCAGACAGGAGATGTCATTTTCTTGGAGACTCCCGTCAATCCTACAGGTGTCGCTATGAATATCCAAGATTTTGCTAATAAGGCACACTCGAGGGGTGCCATCTTAGTCGTGGATGCCACGTTTGGCCCTCCAGGACTTCAAGACCCATTCATACATGGTGCCGACATTGTACTTCATTCCGGGACCAAATATCTTGGAGGGCATAGTGACATGCTCTGCGGAGTCGTTGCAACGAATAATCGAGAGTGGTATACACAGTTGAAGAAAGAACGCTTCTTCCTGGGTGGCGTGATGGGCAGTCTTGAAGGCTGGCTTGGCGTTCGCAGCATGAGAACTCTTCATCTTCGAGTTGTGCGACAAAGCGAATCCACAACAAAATTGGTTCAATGGCTCAACACAGCTCTCAAATCTGATGAAACCAATGGGGTGCAAGCGAAATCGGAATCGCAAACAATCAAGGCCACTCTCGCCAGCATCACCCACGCATCTCTCCAGGTGGCTGATCTGGAACAAGGATGGCTCAAGTCTCAAATGCCTAACGGCTTTGGACCCGTCTTCTCTATATGCCTTAAGTCGAGAAATATGGCTAGCAGATTTCCAAGCAAGTTGAAGCTGTTCTCTCATTCAACTAGTCTTGGAGGGGTTGAGAGCCTCATTGAGTGGAGGACAATGACAGATCCTGAAGCGGATCCTAGGCTGCTCCGTGTTAGCATTGGAGTAGAACACTGGGAGGATCTTAAGGCTGACATGTTGCAAGCTTTTCAGGCTGTCCTAGAAGAGGAAAAGGAATGATGCATAGACGCCGATATTATCTTTCGTGTAATTCCTGCCATGTCGCGGTTGGGACAAAAGGGGTTTTCTTTGCAATATGACAAACTGATACTTGATCCTACTGTCAGGAATCCCACAACATTGTATCTTTGATGCTACACTATGACGCTGAACATTGTCTATATTTTTTGTGGCTTCTATCTAAACCTGATTTCTTAACTTCACTATATGAGAGCTACACCAGGCAGTCGAATTGATCATCAGATAACACCATTGAGCTACTCCCAATAACTGGGCAGCATCTCAGTTACAGGAAACAGTCGTGGGCTTGGAAACATATATATCGGCCAAAGAATGTTGCCCATTCAAGCTTGCGTCCACCAACTTCGGGGCAGCAAAGATGACGGAGCTTCCCATGACTGGGGAATATTTCTTGACTGCTACTGGACGGAGTCCAGCACGGTCGAGGATAGAATCCCACTGGGATGCAGTTCGCTCGGAAGATCCAAAGTGTGTGTACATCTGGAGATCAAGACCTGCAGGCCAGACATGAGATCCCTGGTCTGCAATGACGACCTCATCGATTAGCACCAGTGAATCGGCCGACATGGATGGCACAATGTTAGACAGGATCTGAGCCGCCTTATCGTCGTCCCAGTTATGTAGAATGGCTCGCAGGTAATAATACTTGGCTCCTTTTACCACGGTTAGTTACTTATTCAAGTTCAACTAGTTGAAACATAAGACTTACCCTTGACAGGCTGTGGGTTAAAGAAGTCGTGCGCCATCAGCTGGAATCCCTTGACGTCGGAGGCACTTTTGATAGTCTCCTCGCGGTCCTGAACCACCACTCGACCAGCCAGTTCGGGATACTTGTCCAGTAAATGCTTTGCTTGGTGGCCGGTGTTACCGCCAATATCTACAAATACTGGACCTTGGTGATCGCTGATGACGGCAGATTCAAGTGGGATCACATCAAGACAGTTTCCTTCTTTGGGGATACCCATGAGGCTCTGGAAGTCTTTCAACAGATCCGGATGCTGCTTCAGCCAAGGAAAGAGACCCAGATCCGTGTTGAGGCCCTTTTGAAGAGCAGAAGTCTGTGGCCTATTCTGGTAGCCAGTTTCCTTTAGGAAATCGGGCAGAGCTTGGAAGGCAGGGCTGCTGACGGCGTGGAAGAAGCGCATGGGACTCTCGATTCGAGGGTCTGCTAGGGCGTACGTCATCTTCCTGGCCACATATTGGTCCGGAGCAGTCTCTGCAGCAAGGCGATTGGCAACTAGGTAGCGCATGATGCGGCCAACAAGAGTCGGGTCAGCCATGGTGGGCTTGGCCAGCTCTTCGGAAGACAAAGGCGTCTTGCTCTCTGCTAGAGATTTGAAGATTCCAAGATCGCCACCAATCTTGATAAGTGCAATTTGCCGACCCTGTTTCAAGAACATTATTAGCAACAAGACGACGGCAAATAGTATTGTTTTTCTCTATACACTTACAGCATTGAGGAAGCGCAGCATACTGTCATATGGAGTTTCAAGTTCCTCTGCAGATTCTTGCAACGACGCAATCAAGCGATGCCTGTTGGATTCGTCAAGTGATGCTGGTTGAATACTCTTCTCAGAAGCCACGAGGCCTGCCACAAGGCTTGCAACTGACTGATCTTCGTTTTTGCCGTTCCCATTCACAGACTTGTCTCCGTTAGTGGCATTACTGCTGTCAGCCTGGCTACTGCCATTGGTCTCAGCATGACCATTTTGAGATACCTTTTTCACAGCTTTCGATTCACCGTTCAGGAATGAAAGTGGATCGTGACGTGTGAAGCTGACTTCTGCTTTCTTGGCGATGGTCAACCCCAGTTTACCGTGCTCAAGGCGTGGGGCTAGACCGTCAATAGAATCAAGAGTGAAGTTGTCAATGTTGAGCGAATCCTCGGGACGGACCATGCGCCGTCCCTTGAGTGTCTTCAGAATAGATTGCTCTTCCGGTGTCAGCTTCTTCTCAAGCTCATCGAGAGCCTTGCGATTGCTCTCATCGTAAGCATCACCATCGAGGCCGAGTGTCTTGAGCTTTTTCACCAAGGCTTCCTTCTCCTCGAAGGAGACGTGGGCAAATGCTTTGAAGCAGAATTCTACAGTCTTGGAAATTTCGGCCTGCGTCAGTTTTCCTCTAGCATCTGCATCAACTTGGCCTTGGATAACTTTAACAGAGAATGTTAGCATGCTCGTACGGTTCAGGAGAATAATCAGGAATTGACATACTAGGTCTAAAGAGATCAAATGCTCTTTCAAAGGTGGCCTCATCGAAATCATTGATGACAGGCTCATCTTGAGACCTGATCTGCTTCAATGCACTTGAGACTACCAAGAGGAAGCGAGTGTAACTCTCTGCTGTCTTCTTATCATGCCACGATGACGCGGCCTCTTCACTACAATCTCCTCGAATAGCCGCAGCGATTGTTGTAGCTGCCGATAGACCGCCTGAAAGAGCCAAGTGTACACCCGAGGAGAAAAAAGGGTCAATAAAAGATCCAGCATCTCCGGCAATGCGAACACCCGGGAATGCATATTTTGAAGCACTGTATGACCAGTCAGATGCTGACTTGATGCCTGAAACGAGTTCGGCGTTGGCAAGTAGTTCTTTGATGCCGGGAACGAGGTTCAGAGATTCAACATAGAAGCCTTTGGAAGATGGCTCAGCCATTTCTCGCTTCTTCTTGGCAGCCATTTCCTGGTTTTGAACGACTCCGACCGAGTGACGGCCATTGTGCAGGGGTATGAACCAAACCCATCCACTGCCGTCTACAGAATAGCAGAGATTCTTGTTAGTAAAGTACCTCCAAGATTGTAAGTGACGGGTCAAGTTACTAGAGCATACCTTTAAGTGCTTCGAAATATGGTGCGCCCTCTTTATGCGTGCCAACACCATGAACTCCACCGTTCTTCCAATAACCCCAGCTAGCAACATTCTTGAGACCCTGGTTATATGATCGATTCTTCAAATACTTGGTGCTGATCAAACCTGCTCGGCCTGACGCATCTACGACATAGTCGAACGAAACTGTGCCAGAGCTGCCGTCTTTGCGAGTCCAAGTGGCTGATACGGGGCGACCCAGACTCTGAGAGTCAGATGCGGTAGCAGCGAACTCAATGGAGGCTACCTTGGTTTCGTCAAATGTCTTGACACCGCACTCCGCTGCATGCTTGAACAGCAGCTCGTCTGCCTCGGATCGGACAACGTTCCAAGCGTAGCCTCCAGGTCCACCGGCTGCGATGAAGTCCGTATCTGGGATAGGGGAGTTTGTTTAGCCAATGGCCCGTCACTTACTGTGACTGTTGAAGTACAGGTCACTGGATGGCCTTTGGGGACTCACATGTTTCCGGTCGAGACCAATTGAGACGGAAAGCACCGCCTTTCTGTTCCTGGGCGTCAGCCAACATTTTTCTTTCACATTTTGCGTCTACTGTACTACAATGAGGTAGCACGGTTGAAAATAGGTACCTTGACATTAAACCCATGGGCATCCCACTTTTCATAGGCATCGATAAATTTGAGAAAGTGTCGCATGGAGGGAAGCATGCTTTCGCCAATGTGATATCTGATATATGCGTGAGATGAGCCAATCCATGGTTCAAACGGCATCCAGCGATACCTACCTAGGAAATTTCTCTGCCTCAAGGAGGACCACTTCGATGCCCTCTCGAGCAAGAGCCGAAGCAGCGTAAGAGCCTGCTGGTCCGCCACCAATTACCAGCACCGTGCACTGTTCCGGGATGGTGGCCATTTTGTAAATGTTTCGGAAGTTGAAGAAATGGATATTCTATGTGTTTAGTAGATATCAAAGGCAATGGCTGTCTATTCTACGCTGATGTTTGTTGTTGAAATCGAACATGAATGAACGGATAATGAAAGCATATATACTGCTCCCATTCAAGCAATGGAAATTTCAGTCGAAGGTGAAACATATTCTTCCTGCTACCTTCACGATTGATGCTGCACAGGATTCAATCAGGATGCTTACATGCTGTAGCTTCTAGTGGCTTTCGCATTTGTCTCAACATCCTACGAGTCAATCCCACATCCTGTCGGAAGGATTTCGGGACGTTTACTTTTGAGCCGCTTCTCAGCCTTGCTTACTCTCGGAATCCGACCTCCAACTTTTACGCTGGACCACCTAAACAATTATACGACGGCGGTAAAGTCTGACATAGCAGCTGTTGAATTATCTGATGATCATCCAAGACAAAGATAAGGCGGTGGCACTCGGCGTCAAGCCTCATTCGAATTATAACACGCCTGAAACGATGTGGTGGTCAGGATCAATTAATGCTGCCAATAGTGTAGACTACTCTGACCCAGTCTACTGACATGCCAGCCCTCACACACTTAAGCCAATTACTTTGTACTTAGTATAAGCGTTATTATTGCGTATTCAATGAGTAATCGCCCATAAGTGTATAAATCCTTAGTTGAGAGGATTTTAACAAGGAAGATTAAGATATCCTTGGCATGGTTTGAGGAAACACCAATGTTGATCACTTACACCGCTACCCTGGATCATTTTGGCCCTCTTCTCGTTCAAAGACTTTAACTTTTGCTCACTGGTGAGCACGCCTCTGTACGTATTATCAATATGCCTCATAATCTTTCCCTTACTCACTCACTAAATCAGTAGTCGCTGTTTGTTATTACCATCTCGATGCCTTCAACCACAAAACCCAAGGGATTCTACTCGTCCGGCTTCTGGACAGAATATCTCACAACACAACGAAACAAACTGCCTCAACTGTTCGAAGTTGATGATGATATATCTAATTGTATCGTGCGATTCCTCGGCGGTAATCCTGGAGACATGCAACTTCAGGGAACCAACACATACCTCGTTGGTACCGGAAGTACTAGAATACTCATTGACACTGGAGAGGTGATATATTTCTTTGCCCCCTTTGACCGTTATTCCCATATCGCCTCTTATCAGGCAATCTGCGATTCAAGTCATTGTCATCCCTGAATCAAGTTCATTCTTCTTACTAAATAGAATCTACTGAACTAACGACAAATGCTGACAGGGACTTCCTCAATGGGCTGTGAATTTGACCAGATACCTCGAGGATCATGACATATCAATTTCTCATGTTCTCCTAACGCACTGGCACAGTGATCATACCGGGGGTGTTGCGGACCTTCTTGCCCATGATCCTACTATAGTGGTTCACAAGAACCAGCCGAATAACAGTCAACAAGCCATCGAAAACGGTCAGATATTCCAAACTGAGGGCGCGACTCTACGGGCAGTGTTGACGCCTGGACACGCGACTGATCACACTTGTTTCGTGTTGGAAGAGGAAAATGCGTTGTTTACGGGAGACAACGTATTGGGCCATGGCTATAGTGTAGCTGAGTGTCTGGGAGACTATATAGCCAGTCTTCGTTTGATGGCAAGCTTGGGATGCTCTGTTGGCTACCCTGGTCATGGAGCAGTGATACGTGACCTACCTCGTAAGATGACGGCTTATATCGCGCAGAGAGACTCTAGAGAGCAACAAGTCTACGCGGCATTGATTCAGCAGGCTTCATCTAGTGGCCAAGACAGTAGTAGAAGTAGCAGCAGTAGTAGTGGAAGCGACTTTGGCAGTGGTGATGATGAAGATGACAGTGAGATGGGCCTATCAACCTCTGACATAGGTCTCCGTTTATACGGACAAGTCTCCAACGACGCTGTCATATTTGAATCTGCTCTAAAGCCTCTTCTGAACCAGGTGCTGTTCATGTTGGCGGAGCACGGCAAAATTGGTTCAAAGTTAGTAGGACCAGATAAAACTCGACACTGGTTTGCAAACGGTGTAACCTATTAGCTAGCTTATCAATACTTTTTTGAACTGTCTCATCTCAAACTGAGCAAGGAGTGGCCTATGAAACTATCATGATGACTATAGTAGAAATGGAGAGGAGAGAAATCATCTCTGACAACCAACTCGCTCATATCGCACTCATAGAGGTAACTATCGACGGATTCCCGAAGGACCCGAGGGAAAACAGTACAATACACCGAGTCGGATTCCGAGCTTTTGAGTACAGTTCTCTTGAGAGCAGTGTAACAGAGTGAGATCTGAGTCTGAATCGGGCAAGCCGCTTTTGGCTTCAAGTGGTCGCCTCGGCTGACGTTTCGAACATGAGGCAATCCTATGTAGGAATCATTAGCGTATGGTTTTGAACCTTTTGTGGCATCGTGTATATGAAAGATTGAGGCGACGTTGATATTCATCTGTTAAGTCATTGAAGCCAGTGGGATTAATAGCCCACCTCATCCCTCTTCAGATTTGTGACTGGTTACCCATCTCCTTCTCCATCTCAGGGAAATTCCAATTTCGTATATACGCTTTTGTGTTCAAATTTCTTTTTAAAGCGTATTTTCCTTAAAAAATCCTTGCAATGTCTTTCGTTGTGACGCAAACTCACGATAGACGCCTACCCCCCTCGACAATGAATGAAAACGCCAACACTTCCTCCGAAACTATTTCGCCTAGCGTCGAGTCTCTAAATGTAAACACTGACGCAAAGCTTATACTATTTAGCCACGAGTTTCCGAGCGGCGATGTCAAAGATTTATTACGCAGGCTCCATAGATATGCCAAGTTGCCTCGATATTCTCAGCTTGCTCGCTTCTTGCACGAGTGCGCTTCGGTCCTGAAACAAGAAGTCCAGAAGCTGCCAAGGCCGCTGCGTGACCAAGTTCCGCCATTTCAAGATGTAGTTACTCTGACTTCTCACTGGGAAAAGCTCAAGGCTAGCTCTCTATGTGGCACTTGGGAGGGTGCTTTCCTCTGCATCTATGAGATTGCCATGCTCATTGGGTGAGTCTTGCTGATAATACTATTCATCTCTGCTCCCCCCACCTATGAATGACTCTTTTAGTCTTTGATCTTGAATGCAACCAGCAACTAATTAATTCAATACTAGACATCATGAAGCAAATGATATTCCATACTCCTATGGGACAGAAGAGAGCGTCTCAACAGCCTGTTTGGCTGGCATCAGCGTTGGGCTCTTTCCAGCCGCAGCAGTAGCTGTATCCACCTCTCTCGTCGACCTTGTCTATTATGGAGTTGAAAGCGTTCGGATGGCATTTGCCTTTTGTGTTCACGTGGGCCGTATTTCGCAGCTTCTTGAGCCAACTGATCGTAACGAATCAGTGAAATCATCCGTTAGCTGGGCCTCTGTGGTAATAGGCGTCCCAGCTGAAGTAATCCAAGCGGAATTGGATCGCTTCAACGGTCAACAAGAGTTGATCGATAGTGGAACTACGACAGCGCCTCTGACAAAGGTCAGTATCAGCCACGTTGACCAAGCCTCGGTTGGTGTCACTGGCCCTCCAGCTCGTCTTGAGAAGCTCTTTTCCCAATCAGAGATACTGGGCTCATCTCGCCACTCACCGCTACCAATCTCGGGTGGTCTTTGCCATGTATCCAATGTGTACGACCTCGATGATGTCCGTTCCATCCTTGAGACAGCGAAAGTCTGGGAGAGATGGGGTTCCCGCTCTGTCCGGTTACCGCTGCTATCGCCTTACACGGGAGGCCCATTCATGGCATCAGATGCATATCATCTGATAGAAGCCATCTGCACCGAAGCTCTAACTAGGCCGTTGTATTTTGGCAAGCTCGCCGACGGTGTGGTGGTGCAGCTTTCTCATAACGCGGAACTGGACATGCCGTCTTGCCAAATTCTCTATTACAGGACATCACTCATTTCAGATACAATTATATCCGACATCACAGATAAACTGCCATCTATTAAAATACAGCGGGATGACCTGGTGGAATGGGCCATGCAAGATGAATACACATTTGACCAGCCTCACGGCATCTCAAGCACCCCACAGAATTCCAAGCTGGCCATTGTTGGTATGGCATGCCGCATGCCAGGTGGTGCTGATAGCCCCGAGGAATTCTGGAAACTTTTAGTAAATGGTGTTGATACTCACACCATTGTTCCGCCGGATAGATTCGACGTCGAGGCGCATTTTGATCCCACTGATGAGATGGAAAACAGCATTGGAACAAAATTTGGAAATTTTATAGCAAATCCTGGACATTTTGATGCTGGATTCTTCAACATGTCCCCGCGTGAGGTAAGATACTACCCCGACATTTTGAACTTGGATGCTTGGCCGACTAACAGTACAACTATTCCAACAGGCTGAACAAACAGACCCGATGCAGCGTCTAGCCCTTGTGACGGCGTATGAAGCGCTAGAGATGTCCGGCTTCGTGCCGAATCGGACGCCTTCATCTCATGTATCACGGGTAGGGACGTACTACGGTCAGGCTAGCGATGATTATCGTGAGGTAAATGCAAGCCAGAAGATTGGCACCTACGGGATCCCTGGTACAGAACGGGGTTTTGGAAACGGCCGCATCAACTATTTCTTCAAATTCCAGGGGCCTAGTTTCAACATCGACACGGCATGCTCTAGTGGTTTAGCTGCCGTTCATGCGGCCTGCTCAGCACTGTGGGCTGGTGATGCTGACACGGCTATCGCCGGAGGTCTCAATGTTATTGTGAGTTATACGATGGGATCCAAAACATGCAGTATTGGTGCTGACCTGGAAAAAAGACGAACCCAGATATTTACTGCATGTTGAACAAGGGACATTTTTTGTCCAAGACAGGCCAGTGTAAAGTGTGGGATGCCGCAGCCGACGGATACTGTCGCGGAGACGGAGTCGGTTCGGTGGTCATCAAACGGCTTGACGATGCCCTTGCGGATAACGACAACATATTGGCAACTATCGTAGCTGGTGCTACAAATCATTCAGCAGAGAGTATTTCTATCACTCAGCCACATGCTGGTGCCCAGAAAGACAATTATCGTCAAGTAATGGACAGTGCGGGTGTCAATCCTCTGGACGTCAATTATATCGAGCTGCACGGTACGGGAACCCAAGTCGGGGATGCTGTGGAATCAGAATCAGTGCTCGACTTCTTCGCGCCTTCAGGTCGCCGTCGAAACTCCAAACAACGTCTACATCTAGGCGCAGTTAAATCAAATATTGGACACGGTGAAGCTGCTGCAGGAATTGCCTCGTTGATAAAGGTCCTGTTGATGTATCAGCACAACTCAATTCCGCGTCATGTTGGCATCAAAACGACGATGAACCCAGTGGTGGTCCAGCATTTGGCTAACCGAAATGCCGGTATCTTGTTCGAAAATAACCCCTGGCTCCCAATGTCCAATGGGGAAAAACGGTACTCTGTTGTAAACAGCTTCGGTGCTCATGGTGGAAACACAACGTTGTTGCTCGAGGATGCACCATTGCAAAGCATCCAGGGAGATACTCATGAATCTTTCCAAGAAGCGGAAACTTGTCAAGTGGTCTGCATCTCGGCTAAAAGCAAAGCCTCCCTTCGAGGTAATATCAGCGCTTTGCTCCGCTATCTTGATGCTAATAAAGAGACAAAATTGAGTGACATCTCCTATACACAATGTGCTAGGAGAATACACCATCACATCCGTATCGCTGCATCAGTTGCTAGCACTGCCCAGCTGCACAAATTCCTGGAAGCTGCCGCTGAAAATGTCGATGCACATGCAAAACACGTCTCTACAGCCAAGCAGAGAGCTGTTGTGTTTGCCTTTTCCGGCCAAGGATGCTTTTACCAAGGTGCTGCAGAGAAATTGTTCCAGCATGCGCCCTTGTTTCGCGACCAAGTCCTCCAGCTCGATCGAGTTGTATGCCGCTTGGGATTTCCTTCTGTACTGGCTGTTATTATCGGTGATGCAGCGAGCCTTACTGATGTTGGCCAGACGAAGGACTCCTCTAGTACTGGTAGCCAGACCGGTTATGAAACCCCGGCATCATCTGATGGCTCCAGCACAATCTCTTCGACAGTGACAGTGGAGAGCCCACTTGTCGTTCAGCTCGCCTTGGTGGTCATACAACTCGCCTTGACGCAGTATTGGAGACTACTTGGTATTACGCCTGGAGCTGTTATCGGCCATAGTTTGGGAGAATATGCTGCATTCGTTACGGCTGGCATCTTGTCTGTGGTAGACGCCCTGTATCTGGTCGGCAAGAGAGCCAAGCTTACGCTCGCCGCTTGTGAGCCTGGCAGCCATGTCATGCTGTCTGTCCGTGGTGCCTCGACTGACCGCATCGCCGAACTGTGCCGAGAGAGTGAGAAAAAGCACCAGTACGAAGTCTCGTGCATCAATGGGCTCACAGACGTTGTCATCAGCGGCCTACGAGCGGATATGGTTGCAATACGTGACATGCTACAAGATGCTGGTCTCAAGTGTCTTCTGCTTGACCTTCCCTTTGCTTTTCATTCTGCGCAGCTAGAGCCCATATTAGACTCATTTGAATATGAGGCCAAACGCGTCACATTCAAAGCACCTATAATTCCAGTTATCTCTCCACTGCTTGGAAAGTGTGTCTCCGAGGGTGGTATCATCAACGAGACCTACTTACGGCGTGCCACGCGTGAACCTGTCAATTTTGTTGCTGCACTGGATGCTGCCAAGGCAGATGGTCTTGTTGACGAAAAAGCTGTTTGGATTGACATAGGACCTCAGCCCGTTTGTACTTCTTTCGCACGCAATCACTATGATAAGGGATCGACGCACACTTTTGCATCACTACGACAAGGAGATAATATGCTTTCTACCTTGACAGGAAGTCTGGCAACTCTGCACTGCCTGGGTCTGCCTGTGGCATGGAATGAGTATTTTGCCTCGTATGAAAAGTCTCTTCGTCTCATTCACCTCGAACCGTATCAATGGAATAAGAAGAATTACTGGCTCCAATACGAGGGCACTTGGACACTAGACAAAGCGCACCCCGAGCTCGTGAAAACTGAGAAGAAGGACGAACCAGGGCCACCATCTTTCTTTACATCGTCCGCGCAACAAGTCATTCACCAAGAATTTACCGAATCTGTAGGGCGGGTGACGTTTCTATCCAACTTGGCTCACCCCGACTTAGTTGGGGCAGCTAATGGACACAAGATAAATGGACGAAGTGTTGTGACTGGGGTATGATACACTTTTCCTTCTCCCTTTGTCCCTGGGATTGTAGAAGTATTGCTAATCACTTCTTTTACAGAGTATATGGGCAGATCTTACCCTCACTGTTGGCGAATATTTGTACAAACGCATGGTACCCGACGCTGACAGGTTATACATGGATGTGAGAAACATGGAGGTGGTAGAGGCGCAAGTTCTATACGACCAGAAGTCTTCCGAGTCGGCGCCACCTCACTTTATTCAAGCCGAAGGAGTCTTGGACATGTCACACAGGCAGACTCAAATAAGCTTGTATACAGCAAATCCTGATGGTACTCACAAGTCTGACAAGGCTTTCGCCACAGCCACAGTCGTCTATGAAGACGCTCAAACGTGGCAATCTGAGTGGCAGATAGCTTCACATCTCGTTGTTTCACGTGCCAATTCGCTGTGGACGGCGGCGGCAGATGAAGATCTTTCAACCGACATCAAAGTGAGTAAACTTTCCCAGAGTGCCGTTTACCAACTCTTCGCAAACGTGGTAGACTACGACGAACGATATCGTGGCATGCAGCGCGTAGCACTGGCAGAAGACACTCAGGAGGCGACTGCCGACATCACACTGGATATGGACCATCATGGCACCTGGCATACGCCTCCTCACTGGATTGACAGTACATTTCAGCTAGCTGGATTCGTTATGAATGCTTTTGGTGTGCAAGGTACTGGACAAACTGCTGGGTCTTCTCGCGACTTCTTTTACATCACACCGGGATGGAGTCATTTCCGGCTCGCTGAGAAGCTTGAGCCGGGCCCTAATGTCACTTATCGCAACTACGTCCGCATGTTCCCTGTTGAGGGAGAACCCGGCGCCTTTGCAGGCGACATATATCTGCTGCGTGGCGAAAAGGTTGCGGGTGTGTGTGCAGGCCTCAAGTTCAAGCGAGTTCCGCGTGCTTTGATGCCCATCATGTTCCCATCTCGTCAGGCAGGGAAGAATCGCAACCAGGGTCCTATTCCTACTCATAATAGCAAGATCACCGCTCCCAGTGGGCCTGAAAAGGTGAAGCCACCAGTTACTACATCGTCGCACCCACGACGGCAAGATCCGGTTGTCACAACACAGTTACCAGAACCAATTGCGCCGACACCACCGCCTACCCAGCAGAAGCCGAAGCATTCAGGTGGCGAACAAAGCCCCCACGTAAAGGCCTGTCTCGAGCTCATTGCGGATGAAACGGGGCTGGAGTTGGAGGATTTGGCTGGTGAGGCCGCTTTCGCTGAGTTGGGCGTGGATTCTTTGATGTCGCTGGCGTTGTCTGGCAAGTTGCGAGCAGAGCTAGGCATTGAGGTCCAAGCATCCATTTTTATTGAATGCGCTACTGTTCAAGAGTTGATCAACTGGCTGAGTAAGTGATTGGATGACACGAGATGCAATGGTCCATAGAGCTTGGGTCTATACTAGATTGACACTATGCCTGGGGTTGCTGGTGGTTAGATAATGGATGCTTCGTTCACAACAAGTTGATAGCACAAAGTATGGTGATTAGTATATATAAGATAGAACATTAGCTCCTAGAATTGTATTTGAGAATTGTTTGCACCACATTTTCAGTAAAGACTGAATGCCGTGAGACACAAGCCAGTAAATTACTATTACTGGGCCAAGTTGCTGGAAAAACATACCCTACATCAGAAACACAAGTAGTCAGCGCCATGCCCATTACATCATTTACATGGGTTATCTCACTACAACGAATAAATCAATGGAAGAGGCGATTGAGTGAATACATGATGTGCTATTTAAATACGACGAGGGACTTTATCACTGGGGTAGGTGTGTGAAAGAATAAGCATTGTCTATCAAAATGATTATAGCGTTTACAGTAAAACTACATACAAAAAAGCATACACAACGAGCCGAACATCCCTGATACATATCCGTTGGTCTGAATTCCAGCCAAGCTTCAAGTAGCCACATGTGAGTCTTCGCCTCACAAGTCTGAACAGTCCGCCGCTAGAAATACAACCAACAGATAATGACAATGTGCGTATACAACGCAGCACCATATCATACACTTATTTGAAGAGCTTATAGCCGCCGGGAGATTTCTTTTGGAACACACCTTTGGGATCATATTTCTTGCTGACAGCCCGGAGTTTGGCGAGACTCTTGTTGCCCCACGTGCTAAGCACGTTCTGTGAAATATCGGCGTAGTTGAGATAAATGAAGTCGAGGAGATATCCACGAGATCTCAGGAATGCTCTTTGCTTTTTGACAATGTCGTTGATGACCGATTGGACTAATGCATCATCAGACTCATTATCGTAGGCAGCCGTCATATCGATGAGCACATCGTCGGTCTTCCCAGGGGTGAGACCAAACATATTGGTGCCATTAGTGACCGGCTGGGGTTGTAAGAGGAACTCAATGAAGAGGCCCTTGACATTGGCGAGAGCAGTGATGCGCTTTTCCCAAATTTTAAACAACTCCGTGTAGATGGGAGCAGGAGGGTTTTGGAAAGTTAAGGTGAGTTGATATGATCTGTAAGGAGATACGTAATGACATTAGCCAATGTAACTGATTCAAACAACACAGTGATTACATACCGGCCTGTAGTAGCAGGAAGATTTTCACCAAACGTTTCCACGACTTTATCAACCGTGGCAAGCTCCGATGTGCCACCCAGGTTGGGGATCTTGGTGAAGGCGTCGTAAACGGGTGGGTTTGCAACATCTTCAACGTACCACATGGCGTCGGAGACACCAAAACCTTGACCTGTATAATACAAGAACACTCCCATCATGGCAGCGCTGTCGTAGTTGGCGGGCTTCATGAAGTCGCTGAAGGCTTTGGCATGTGCCGAAAGCACACTGTCAGTGTAGTTATAACTGAGATCGCTATACCACATGTTTCCTAGTGGGAATGTTGCGAGATCAAATCGAGTGACGATGCCAAAGTTGTTAGAGCCACCCTTCAGGGCGAGCCAGAGGTCGGGATAAGAACTCTCGGTGGCATAGACGACTTTACCGCTCGCAAGAACAACTTCATAGCCGTAGACATTATCACAGCTGTAGCCGTGTCTGCGTGATAAAAATGTGATGCCACCTGAGAACAAGTTAGCTTTTTGTAACGTTGAAAATGGTAGATATGAGCACATACCGCCGGTAACAAAACCACCTACCCCAATACCTGGAACGCGACCTCCCATAACGGTCAGGTTATAAGGCACGAGCTTGGGGTAGATGTCACTGAAAACTGCACCGCCGCCAAGACGGGCGATTTTGTGATCCTTGCTCAAATCCAAACCATTCAACGAACGCATATCGACCGTGATGCCATCATCAATATTTGCGGCTCCGGTCCAGAGAGTGTGGCCACCACCTCTAACAGCAAACTTGACATCTCCGCAATCAGTAATCAATTTGATAAACTGAGACACTTCAGATGTGCTCGTAGGTCTGAAAATGCAGCTAGGATTTAACTCGCGTTCCTGCCCGCTATAATAGGAAGAAATGGACGAATTGTATGTTGCGCTGTCTGGGTAGAAGACACGGCCCGGAATCTGAGCATTGAGACGCCTGCATGTATGTACCACAGAAGCAGCAGCTGGTAGAGCTACTGCAAGGAAATGGAGAACAAATCGATACATTTCGAATCTATCGACTCGGGTAAAGCACTTTGGCAGTAATCTGGGACTGAAGTGTAGGACGGTTTAAGCCGAAACGACAGAGAAAGAAGAAAAAGAGAATAAAGAGTGATATTTTCAGTTCGATATCATGTAAGGAAAATTGAGATGTATGAACGAATGCTTGAATCTCTTGTTACTGGCCTCTATTTAAGATATGAGTGGTCATCAATATTCTTATACATATATATATCTTCTTCGTCTCCATTGTCTAAAAGTGAGGCTGTCACGTATGAAGGGGTGCCTGGTCAACCAAAGGCTGCCTCTCAACTGTGATGAAAATAGATGCGCTCATTCTAACTCCAAGGAGCCTCGTAGCCTGTTTGTGGCAGGGTTTGGATGCCATTGGGGGCACTCTTGATCCCCCGTATTGATGCTGGTGTGATGTTAGTCGGGATGTCGGCATCAAACCGTACACGACACGGATCCCGATGAAAAATATAGAGAGGCGATATTGAGAGCCAACGTGAAGCCTCAAAAGCCTATGCCAGCGGCCATTCCGGCGCAGACTGCTGGATGTAATCCTGAATCCGGCGATGCCTTCATGGCCCAAGTTTTCGCCCCATCAACTTCGCCCCATTAGACTCGCATGTAAGCTACAGGGATCCTCGGATCCCGACTTTAGCCCAACCAACGAACAGTGACCTTCTGTTTATGGAAGCGCTGGGCGCTAATTTTAGATAGGAGATGAAGATGGTGCAGGGGAGCTGAACAAATGTCTTTCAGCTGTCTTCGTGGAATATTGACTGGAATATTGGATGGAAGCAAATCACATGGAATTCCGAGGTAATGAGGTAATGTGCGAAGATCAATATTCTCCTTCCATGCGAAAGTCCTAGTAACCCTGCGCAGGTGTTGGTTCCTTGGGCCATTTTGCATTTCATTCACTAAGGTCAAGCTTGTCCCATGCTAGTTCTATGATTGATGATCGACAGTTTAATTGAGTCTATAATGGATTGTCGTGTAAATTATTGTACTTCTCAGTTCTCTATCTAACAAGTGCGCGTGGCATGATCCTGGAACTTTAACAGCCCAGGCGAAAAACAGTCGGCTCAAGTCCTTCATCTAGCTGTTGATCTATAATATCTTTGACCAGGAGTCTCTTCTTTATGACTCTAGGATTCATACTGTATGTAGATTGAATAGTTCCCGTCGAACAGCAGCCAACTGAGTATTGAGGAAAGCATCCATTCTAAGATGTACAGCGCTGTACATTGGATGGTTTTTAGGCTCACTAGTAATGGCGGCCGATTGTTCCGTATTCCACGAAATGTCTCCGATCAGGTCTTCCAGTTCCTGCAGCCTACTAGAAACAACTTGGCTAATAAGTTTCGCCTCCAAATGGCTTTCCAGGCACTGGTCACCAATGAAGAAAGATCGCCGCGACATCTCGACTCTCTCTGTTGGTAGGATGCCGCTATCCATATTGGTGCTACTGCAGTGGCTATAAGTGTCGATAATACGCCAGTACCACGCGATGGCCTCAGCGCAGACAATTGTCACAAGAAGTTGTAACTGAGGGCTTGTGTAATAGCAGGGGCATCGGAGCAAGCCCCGCATGGACTGCAAAGCCTCGTAGTTGGCGGACAAGACATTGTCCACTGCCCGAGACACCTGCGGCTTGCCATCATGGCTGCCTACGCCTAAGAGACATGACGGTGAGCTGGAATGCATTGACTTGAGCAGCCCCGTTGCTAAGCTGATGCAAAGGCCTTGTTGGTTTTGGCAATTTTGCGATTCTGCAGAAGATGGTTTGGTTTCCAAAGGTATGCCCTTGTTCTCACCACTAGGTGGAGGAATAACGTCTGTAGATGATGGGGGCGTTATGGAGAAGAGGTCGTCGAACCATTTTGGCGAGAGGCTTTTGTTTTCGAAATCGAATGCATTAAAGTCAGGGGGGCTCAAGAGGTCACCAACTGAGGCGACAAAACTTTCAACGTCCATAAGATGATCAAGTGATGCGACTTGGGGCGGCAAAGAAGTCCCGCAATCAAGTTCACCTGTGACTTCCATGGTGTCTGAAACTGTATATTGTAAAAAGTAGTCTCGGAGGTCGGTGTATGATGCAGAACGATATTGCGAAGCCGGACTCATGTATACTTGAAGCAAACAGCATATCTGTAACGTCTTTTGGTACATACATGTGATGCGATTAACGCCATGTACGGAGTACATGATCATGTGTTCAACCTCGAGTAATGACCACTTGGGGCTTGCTGTACGTGTTCTCTCAATATAGCGGCAAGCCACTCAGCTGAAACATTGGCCATATGAATGTCGCTATGGCCCCTCAGATGTCGCTCAGCCGCAGACCGGAAGTGGCTCGCTTCCTGTGAGACAAAAGTACGTGAATGGTGAAGGATAAAAGGATTCCATCCGCATTATTGGGGGCTGCGGCCGGATGCATGAGCCAACGGACTTTTGAGTATCATCGCACTTGCGAGAAACACCGAAAGGATCCATATGCTAAACTAATGCGATGCAACGGGGGGATTTTGGTGCGAGTTGCCCATTCCTCCCAACAACAATTACATCACACAGTGTTTCACCACTAACGTCCTTTCCCTATGGCTACATGTACGTACGCAGGTACATACGTGCATTTGCGTTATGTTATTCGTGTATAAAAGCAGGCAGATTGAGTCGTGTTGCAAATGTCGGGGCATCTAACTTCTCATACTTTCACATTACGACTCGTCTTTCCATAACTATCGGTTCGATTTTTCTGCTGTTCTTAATCCACTTTACACACCAAAACAATCTCGACTGAACTCACGTTTCGACAAGATGGCAGAAAAAGGACCAGTCTACTCTTACACGGAGACGGTTCACAGCGAGACCTATGCAGAAATTGCTCCCACATTACCCGAACTCTCAACCGCGGGGAAAGTTGTCTTGATCACTGGGGCCACTGGTGGCATTGGCAGCTCTACAGCCTTGTCCTTTGCAAAATCTAAGCCGAAGGCACTCGTTCTCCTTGGCCGCAACTCAGCTAGTCTGGAAGAAACAAAGAATGCCATCACGTCTAATCATCCCTCGTTGGAGGTAGAAACCCATGAGGTCGATCTGTGTGATTCTCCAAAAGTTCACAAAGTATTTGGGCTAGTCGCAAAAAAGTTTGGTGGCATTGACATCTTGGTTCACGCCGCTGGTGTCTTGGCTCCAGTTGTTCCTTTCAACGATGCTGATGCTTCCACATTTCTGGATGGCTTCAAAACCACCATCGTCGGAACGTTGGCGGTGGCGCAAGCTTTCGTTGAGTTTAACCCAAAACCCGAGGTGGTGCCCAAAGGCGACGAGAATCCTTCCCAGAACAAGCCAACCGTGGGAAAGACCATTACTTTTATCAACTTGACCACTGCTGGCATTTTTGCCCCTCCTATCCTGGGAATGGCCGCTTATGGGAGCAGCAAGATAGCCGCTGTCAAACTCCTAGAGTTTTTTGTAGCAGAGAACCCACATGTACGACTTCATAATGTGCACCCTGGGTATTACGAAACTGCAATGTCGCAGCAGCTAGAAAAGTCGATACCCGCAAAGTGGGAGAAGGATGATAGTAAGTGTCGCAACGATCTATCTCATAAACATATAGATACTGACGTATCGGCTTTTTCTCTTTTCGTTTAGTCTCTCTCGTATCCGATTTCCTTGTCTGGATCGCTTCTTCCGAGGCAAAGTTCCTCGATGGCAAGCTTGTCTTTGCTGCTTGGGATGTCAATCAATTGAAGGAACGCCAGGATGAAATTGTCGGCGACAGGCCAGGAACTGGCGAGCTTTACCTCAAGTTCCAGGGATTCCCACGATACGTGAATGGAAACGCACTATTCTGAGCTCAAGATCCGCAAATGGACAAAGCGAGACGACCTTATCAGGTGAAAGTACCGTCGAGTTCTCATAAATCATAAACAGATTATATAAATAAAGCGAGAAATACACTGCAATTGCTCTCAAGATGATCTAGCGTATGCCTCTCATTTAATCAGGCTCTGGACTTAGTCTTATCCATAGTGTATGTTCTGAATGTCATTTGGCGATGGTCCTGCGCACATATATACATGAGTATATCAACATATGACATTCTCAAAAGCCGGCTCCAAAAGGGCATTGTTCCGTAACTCACCCGCGTTGTATTTTCCTTGGCTATGAGATCCAACAATGTCTCCGGTCGACGGAAGGCAAATAAAGAAATCCATATCTCTCAGCAGAAGGTTGTGCAAATTCTTGGTGGTGTAAACCTTGAGCCTGATAGCAGCATTGAAGTCGTCGAGGCTCATATTCTCGTAAATACACGTTCTACATATTAATCAGCACCTCTTCCCCATAAATATTCAGCGAATATAAAGCCAACATAGTCGGAGGGTTAACGATCGCGGTATAGCCACCAATGGTGGCAGGCTACGCCCTCTTTTCCATTAGTGTCGGTTGTCTCCCGATCCTGGACTCGCATTCGTCCACAGCAAAATAGGTCATCTTTCAGATAAATGTCCGTATTAGAGGACGATTGGCTTTGTGTTGAAATAGACCGCTATGGCAAAAGTGAAGTGACCGCTTCTCTCTGCGTAGCGTTGTATCTTTACATAAAGGATCCTAGTCATCCCGACACTTTGACTACAACATTGCCAGCCGTGCAGGTGCTGCTGGCGGAATCTGATGTGGCTGTCGCTACAGCATCCTGGGCTTTTGGAGGCAGCTTTGGCTCCATCAGGGGCGCGGCCATCTCGTCGGCTATATTCAACTCTCGAGTCGACGATCTTCTCCATACAATAAGTGACCCGGTGACCCGAGAAATAATCAATCGAGGCGGCGTATATCAACACGCGGCGGCAGACTTCATGTCTCCTGTCAATGGCACGCTGAAACAAGAGTTAGTTCATGTGTACACTGAGAACATCTGGGAGTCGTAAAAGGTGCTTAAAGCATTTGCTATTGTCGCCGTCCATATCCCTCCATTCATCTGCGAGTTCCCTCTGCAAGAAGAGTTGTTCACGGAATTTTGGCTTCACGAATCTGAGAAGAAAGAAGGTTCCGGCGATGATGAAACGGAGCTGGTGCCAGGACCAGTCACCCGCGAATAAAAGCGCCTTATATTCAATCCAGAACACATGCAAACACTTCTACACTCTTCTAATGATTAACTCTAACCTATAGCTTAATGCGTCACTCAATAACCAGACGGACATTTGCTCTTGATGGTTTTGTGTCTAATGTTGAGAGGACTACTGCAACTGATTTCCTCCTAGTTGTCGCTGGTCGAGGAAATTGTGGCTTCTCCATAACAAAAATCAAATTGAATACAACAGATCGCTATGAGAAAGGTAACATATGATCATAACTCTACTAACAATCTAACATAGCTGGTGCATATCTTTTAGAATGCAGTATGTGTAAGCATGCCTCTCTGAGTATATCCCATAGACACTGCACCTTCTCTGCCGTTATATACTAACGTATACTGCATTTAGTGGTTAAGGAACTTCGTTCGCGAGCATTTAAATGATTGGTTATGAGCAATCAAAAAACCAAACGTTTCGCCGCTTGATGAGTGACAGATTGTAATCTAAATCGAAGTAACGCGGCAATGGGCGCAACCAACCAGGTCGTCTGCGCCCATCCATTTCCACCTTTTGGTTCTTGAGCATATCTATCTGTGAACTGCAATATGAGCCTGGCAATCTTTGCTAACTGCTCCACGCTGCCTTGGCTGTTGTGTGAGGATGATGGTCTCGGCCAATTAGATATGTCCTTCTCGGTACTAGGTGTTGTCGTCGTGCTAGCCGATAAATCTGGAATCGTTGTAGTTTGGGATGCGTGGCAGTGGTGAACCGTGTCCATTAAAGAAATGCATCCGCAGGCCACGAGCAGCGCTACACCTGGCTTCTCGGAACATGGACAGACCAGTATGGTCAATAGCCGTTGACACGCATCCGTGGTTGCTGAGTTGACATTTGTGAGACCGGGCCGCCTTCTCGCAATATCTAGTTGTTCCAGTATGGATATGGCAACTCTTGTACAGTCTTCTCTTGTATCATGGTCGGGAACGGAGACATGATGAGACAAGGATTCAGCGGGTTGTTGTTGCTGGTGTTGTTCATTATTATTCTGGTTATGTCTTTCGGAATGCATGCCAAGTAATGTTGCAGTGTCGAGGCTCATGTCAACACCATGGTCGGAGTTTTCTGCAGGCGTTATGATATTTTCCGCCGCTCTTTCTGAGCATTGCTGCTGGCCCTTCTCCCGTACGCGATGTGGTCGACCCGCACGTCGAGCTGGACTATAGGAACATTGCTGATTTAGCGCTATGCAGCGAGCACAGGTGGGCTTCTGCCTGTTGCATCGCAACTTAGATGCTGAACATGGATCGCAAGAGTCTTTGAGCTTGCGACCTGGCGTGCAATTGGTGTAAGAGGAAGCCATTCTTGATGATGATGTGTATTCAAGACTCTGACAGAAGTCAAATGTGAAGTGTAAAGTTTCACTTTGGGCCTGTATCGTCTAACTGTATTTACGCGGATAACCAGCCTAGTACTTCGGTTTATCAGTGTATACCGTAGTGCGCACTTGAACACATGGAATATTATGCTACATCACTGTCTTTCAGCCTCCAGACACCCCATGACTAGAAGCTGATACGAATCTCACGGGAATCGGCTGTGCGCCCCCACAAGTCGGCATTCCATCAGTTGGGGGATCCGAAGGAATAGCTGAAACGGGAGCCAATTCCAACGTGTAGCCGTCATTGCAATGAAGTAGAGCATTTGGCTGATGATCTTGTTGGATGCGGCCAGGATTCGGCTCCTTCTCATGGCGTTGGTCCAGTTTGTTGTGAGCCAAGACTTCGTATATCTCGCCCCATCCAGTATCTAGGCAAGCGAGCCCCTGCGCAAGCTAAAGCTGACACTGCCGTACCCGAGCTGGCGATGCAGACAAAGTGGCTGAATCCTCGTCGAACAGCCAATCAAGGGAACCGGCTTGTCCCCCGTAATATTCAGCTGGGATGGTTACACGTTTTGACCATGATTATGGGTAAGGCGGCAGAACTGGGCCCGATCTGCATTTAACTCGTGTACCAAGAGTTTCTAGATAGCCACAAGTACAGATACAATGCATGGGGCGCGAGTCAATCACCTCGAAGGAAGTAGTTGGGCCAACTCTCGCCCGTTTCCATATATATACACCGCTCTTTATGAGAAATGAGGGCGCGATCATGCTGCTTTAGTAGTACCTGACTTTCTCCTCTTCAGCCGAGCCCATTATCCGCCGTCTAGACAACGGAAAGACTTGACCATGTTGTCGATAACTACAATCTATAAATGTACATGTATGCTTCACGATATGCGGGGTAATTACATGTAATGATACGGGTGCCAAGATACCTATGTATTCATCCTATCGAATGCCCTGTCGATCGGATAATCACAGCCCTGTCTTTCACTAAGTCAGAGTCAATCTGCGCTCCAAAATCTTGGAAAGTTGCCCCTGATGGCAATTTCTTCCAGAACAGCAGACGAGTATGTTCTTTATCCCATTGAGTGCGAGGTGGTCCATCCTAAGTACCTGTACCCACCTTGTACCTATACGGACTGGATACTCCGAAGGACTTTATTTGCCAGCAAAAAGGGCGCCTGATCGCCGCGTTGATCATTGACGTTATGTAGCTCAACGTACTGATTTAAATTTCGAGACTTGCCTTTGAGGCCAATTTTAGCAGCAGCTGATGTACTCTGACTTTGTGGCGATTTAATTGGCCACAATCCTAGCGAGATACTTGGGTTGGACCACCTCGCACTCAATGGGATGGGGCAGATTTCATGTGAACGAAGGAATGATCTGCTCACATCCTTGCTCTTCTGCCTAGTTTAGGAGCCATGTGGTGTGCAAATCAGCCATTCGTGTATACCGTAGCACAACCAACTGGCCGTTAATCTCCCTCCGTAATCTGGAGCTAGCCTCGCGTAGAGAGCCAGCTCAAGCAGGTCTCAAGCATGTGAAAGCGATATGTCGTTTAATGTACGATGCACTGCGACGCTACCGGTCAGACTATCTACATGTATATACAGCTCTCTTTACTAGATGTAACCCTGTTCGCACCACGGCGCTCAATATCAACAAAAGCAGAAAAGTTCTTGCAGTCTACAATTTGCCAAAAAAAATATTCCACCGTTCTAGACCACCAAACATGTGTGGAACTGGTCTTTAGCACCGCTGCAAGATCTACCAGGAAGATGAAACGACTGGCCTTGGAATGGCATATCGCGTGTCCAGTAACCTTTCAGCTAGATTTTTTAATGCAGCAATTACCAGAAATGAGGATCCATTTCAGTCAGACTATTGAATCGGGGCAATATCACAAGCTTCAGCTTGTAAAAATGGTAGTAGAAGTTGCCGCACTGTGTTTGAAGACATGATGCTTCATGGTACTTTCAAAATCAGGATAGTGCAAGCGCGGCTATAGTTGGTGTATGTGTGCAGTCGCTGCAAGTCATACCTCGTTTCATAAACGTGTACAACAATATTCAGAGAGGCATGCATAAGATGTGTCTATATCTAAAGGTTGCGTAGGCAAAACACTGACAGAATGCGGAGACATACTACTTTTGACTCTTGAATAGTATAGCAAAAGTCTTATCCATCACGTTCTGTCTGAATTAGATGCAATCCGCGACAATTGTCTACAGTTGTCCAGATTGTGTGATAACGAATGAAATCTCTCCTTTCCCCCTCAGCATTAGACAGACTTGCGCTTTTGCAGGCAGGATTCCTACTACTCGCTTACCTTGTAAGTCTGATGTTGCAACACAAATCTATGAGGCCGTATACATCACGTTTTAATCCACATCTCCCCTGGGACAGACGTCGTGCCTCATTGAAGCACTGGTACACAGATGTAAATGTAAGCCATGGTCCACAAAAGAGTAAATAAAATAAGCATGGAATTTGGTTCTGGATTAGGAACATTTCACTATAGGCGTCAACTCTGCAGGGTTTGCGACTCCCCCTTTGTTTTACGAAAGGTTTCCATCACATCGTGTAAGTTGCCCGGTATCATGTCAGCTCTAGTCTTCTTCCAGTACTGCATGAGTGTTGTGGGTGGGTCCTTTGAACCAAGTATGCGCGTATAAGAAATAATACAGTAATGCGCCTCCCCACACCGTCCCGTTGACAACTGAAGAATAGTTCATGACGGTTGCTTTGTCGATATTAGTACAGGTATATAAGATAAACAATAAAAAATAGGGGAAGAACAGGGGCCATCTTACGATCAGGATTTGGTCCTTCTGTCGGGAACATGCACAGAATAGTAGCAAATGTCAAGTAGATCAGTGCCACGACGGCAATTACAACGCTGAGTCGTTTCCCAGTGTAGAAGGGCCCAGGGCGGAACTTTTCTTGGCCCCAGAGAATGCGACACATGATCGGAATTGCCCAGGCAACGTTGTTACCGGCTGCTGCTAACGAGAAGAGAGCATTGGCGGCAGCGTTGTTGATCAACGATAGCAAACCAAGGATCACAGCTACAATGCAGGATGCCCACACTGTTCTTAACGGCTGGTATCCAAAGGATGTGCTAATCTTGCGGAGGTATTGGGAAAACGGCAAGCCGCCGTCGCGGGAAAAGGCCCAAGTCTGCCTGGACGCCGCAACAACCTAGCAGGATAAGCCATGGTAAGCACGTATATCTTTGAGGGTATAATCATTGACAATATGGATATGATGGTGCAAGTCGACGTACAATACTCAAGCCCATAAAGTACTGCAAAATCGATATAGCAGACATAAAGCCTAAAGTTCCATGTTTGCCCAACGCATTATAGTAGATCTGCAGTCAATATGGTTAGTAAATTTAGGTTATTGGACCGGCAAACAGAGAAGTTATTGATATGCTTTAATGTATACATACCTGGGCAACGGGTTGTTCAAAGGGGGAGCTGAGTATGGCCCCGAAGTCGCTTCCAGCACAAGCAGCTAATATCGAATTGACAAAGAAGCCCAGGATCCAGCAGCATCCAATTGACGCTATTATTCCAACAGGAACGGCCTTGGTGGGATTTTTAGCCTCTTCACTCATGTGTACGCAAGAGTCAAAGGCGCCTATCGTCCAAATAGGACATAGCCATGATAGCATAAATGCCCAGCCTGTCGGCCACGTAGTTTCGTTTTCAGAAAGACCAAAGACGACACTTGCTGAGTTAATTGGCACATCATTGATGCGCATACTCACTGGCAAAGCAATAACCGTTGCCACGATTAATGCGAAATTTGCAGCGACAAACCAAGTTTGAAGATGGTGCATAATTCTTGCAGCAAAAGTTGCAAGAAGACCATGTGATAAAACGGTCGCGACAAATATGGCATAAAGGTATCCGCGTTTTGGAGACCACTCTCCATCACTGCTGATAGTACCCAAGGATACAATGAAGGATGCGAAGCCGTCTAAAACTGTTGTTAGTCGAGATACTTGCATAGGGGGCGCAATGACGTACAATCGATTGAGCAAATACCGCCGATCAGCCCAATTGTATTACTGTACCCAACAAGAAAGCAGAGAGGATTTTTATATCGGTCGGCAGCGAAGTGATGTGTCCACCAGTATAAACCTCCAGAGGTCGGTAACGAGGAGCCGAGTTCAGCCTGCTCGGATTAGTTTATGCCATTGGCCGAGGCGAGCAACAGAAGCAGTAAGCTCACAATAGCTAATCCAACAACAAAGATGAAAGCACTTGCGGAGAACCATCCCTAGAGTAGTCAGCATCTTAGCATCGATATCGAAATGTCCGGCAGAGTCCACTTACCCACACCATTCCAACGGGACCTGCAGGAACGTTGAACCATAGCGTCGCCGAGATGGATGGCAGCAGGCCCATAATACTAAACGCTATGGCGAATACCTGAACACTGGAATAGTGACGTTGCAGCTCCTGTTTGTAGCCGATATTTGCTATCTTGCATGTTAGATGACCTTGCGAGATATACGATATCGTACGATGAGCATCATGTGTCTCCACAAAATGAACGCACCTAACTGCTGCGTGTCTGCAGCACTGGCGAGTGCAGGGTCATAAATGATCGATTTCTCAGCATCTGGAAGTTGATTCTCCAGCTCCACGGCGATGCCTTCAACAGCCGCGCCGTCGTTGTGGGGTGCCATTGCTGGTTGCAAAGTGCGTCTCTTGGCTGCAACTGTATATCGATGAGATTGGTAGTTGAAAGCAGTGGAAAAAAGAGATGATAAGTTGACGAGGGCTTCGTAGGCGTTGCTGCCAGCATATTTATCTACAATTTTTATTCGCCATGTCGTACACGTATCTACACGGATCTGGCTCAACAGTCAGTGCCGAGAGATAACAACCTTGACAGCTGAGATAAGTGGCCGGGTTACCCCGGAACTCCACATGAGGCGAACTGCGGGGACATCTTGGGGATAAAAAAGGGGGCGTATCTTAGGCCGGGGACCGATAGCTCTTCCAAGTTTAGTGCTCGGCGGTTGGATATTCTAGATGCACGGCGGCTGGAATGGGGGCGGTTGGAGAAGATGGAGGGGCCGGCGGTTAGGGCGCAGGAGTCTCTTGGCGTCTTTGTGAGACTGGGTTCAAAGTATTGGCGGTTATTCGGGCTTCGTGCTTGATGCCATATGTGCAAATATCATTACATAGTAGAATTGCGTATACAAGAAATTCACCATGGTTCAGGTATATAGATGGACATGAAATCTCTGGAAAAGGGATGAAGAATCCAGTCACAGGTGTAGACATTGAAACCAATAGGTTTAATTTCTTTAAAACAAGCTGAAAAACGATGCCGGTAACTGATTTCGATATGGCATCCAAGGTTCGTTGTTCAACTTTGGAAAAGGGGAGAGTTTTAACTAATATGTCAAAACTGAAGCTCAAGAACAAAGCTTTGTTCAAGGAAGCTTGTTTTGTCAATGGCGATTTCATTTCAGCCAAAACGGGCAACGTCTTCAATATTACTGGTAATAGCTGATGGGACAAGCATGTTCATGCCAGAATAATCACTAATGATTTTTTAATTACACTATAGATCCTGCAACCCAAAATATTATCGGCAAAAGTCCAGAGTTTTCTCAAGCCGACACTGAGAAAGCTATCGAGGCGGCAGCTGCAGCTTTTCCTGCTTTCAAAGCCTTGACAGGCCGCGAGAGAGCCCGTTTACTGCGGAAATGGTTTCAGCTGATTATTGATAACATCGATGACCTTGCCCTTTTGTTGACATTGGAAAATGGTAAAACAATAGCAGAAGCAAAGGGAGAAATCAACTTTGCGGCAAGCTTTGTGGAATATTACAGCGAGGAAGCAGTCCGTATCTATGGAGATACTATTCCAGCTTCTGTTGATGGAAAGAAGATTCTAACTTTGAAGGAGCCCGTCGGCGTCTGTGCATTAATCACTCCGTAAGCATACTATTCCCCCTTGGACAACGGCTGAAGAACCCCTGACTCTAACAAACTACTGCAGATGGAATTTCCCCTCCGCTATGATCACTCGTAAAGCCGCCCCTGCTCTTGCTGCAGGTTGCACGGTCGTCATCAAGACCCCTGGAGAGACTCCATTCAGTGGATTAGCTCTGGCTGAGTTGGCTGGACAGGCTGGCTTTCCCAAAGGTGTCATCAACGTGATCACAGCTCTAGACAATACTGTTGAGGTGGGCAGCACTTTAACGCACTCCCCACTCGTGCAGAAAGTCTCATTCACGGGATCAACCGCCGTTGGGAAGCTCTTGATGGAGCAAGCCTCCTCAACGATGAAGAGGGTCAGTTTTGAGCTTGGAGGAAATGCGCCACTAATTGTCTTCGACGACGCCGACGTTGACCACGCGGTTGAAGAAGCAATCGCAAGCAAATTCAGAAGTTCGGGGCAGTCGTGCGTCTGTGCCAATAGGCTGTATGTGCACGAAAGCATTCACGACGAATTCGTCCGTAAGTATGCAGCGGTTGTACGGCGATTCAAGGTGGGCTCCGGATTAGACGCCTCGGTTTCTCACGGTCCGTTGATTCATGCGCGTGCGGCACAAAAAGTGCATTCTCATGTTCTGGATGCTGTTGGAAAGGGGGCAAAGGTAATCGTGGGAGGTGCCCTGGTCCCGAGTCTCGGTCAGAGCTTCTATCTGCCTACTGTCTTGACCGGTATGAAAGCCAATATGCTGCTTGCTCAAGAAGAGACTTTTGGGCCAGTTGCTGGGATATTTTCATTCAACTCCGATCAGCAAGTCGTTTCTCTGGCGAATGAGTCTGATGTAGGCCTTGCCGCCTACTTATTCGGCAAGGATGTTTCCCGACTCTGGAGAGTGGCGGAGGCATTGCAAGTGGGAATGGTAGGGATCAACACCGGTATCATCAGCGACAATGCCGCTCCGTAAGTTATCTACACCACCCTCTCCTTTCTTTCCTACGTGATTCTACTTTCTGCCATTTGAACTAACAGTTGTGGTTACAGATGGACAGGAGTCAAACAGAGCGGAATTGGCAGGGAAGGAGGAAAATATGGCATTGAAGAATACCTTGCAACTAAAACAATCACACTGGGTGGTTTGGGAAGCCACTTGAAATCTAGAATATGACTACAAGTTAGATAGGCACTGATCCCCCATCACCGGGCGTACACTACTTTGCTCTCTGCGTGGCAAATAAGAATATACACTATTGATTGTTATTTGGGGTTCTACGGAGTAATTCCGAACACAAACTTCCAATAGGTGATGCGTGTGCCATCAGTCATTAATAATTCCAAAGAAATGTGGCTGGTTGTTAATAATCGATTCAACCCTGATTGAGATGCGGGGAGAGCTGCTAACCAAGTGTCAAAGTCCTCCATGGCAACGTTGCCGCCACCTTAGTGTTATCAAGGACCGCGGATAAAGGTCTAGCTCGACTAGGTTCTCCAAACATGCAGGACGTTTTACTCCTTATCTCCCTGGCGGTCCCCGATTTGTTTCGACGTCCCCCGGTCGCGGAACTGGCGGTTGGATGTGCATATATTGAGTGGACTCCCTTGCCCTTCCTTGCCGGTCATCATCCTCGAACCGCCGTATCCGCTGAACACTCGAAAGTGGTCATCTTCTGCGCCAAGAAGAAGAGGACAAGATGGACGATGAGAATACGGAACAGCTGCCAGTGCAGAAGCAAAAGCATCGCCGCTACCGGACTGGATGCTTCACGTGCCGGCAAAGGTCTGCTCGATAATCCTGTCGTACAATAAGCTCTATCATCAAGGACCATGTTGCTAACCAAGCTCTAGAAAAAAACGGTGTGATGAAGCTTTCAGCCCCGTAACCAATCGGTGTGGGAATTGCTCCCGGCTGGGCTTATCTTGCCGCGTTGCTCGGACTCGTCTTGAAACGGTAGAGCAGGGCGGTCTCATCCTTGAGAAAGTTCGTGGCGGCGTCAACTCTACTTCGGAACTATCACCTCCTACCCCTACTTTGCAATCTCTGGGCGACAAGCCAGGCTTGCCATTAGCCGAGGATCTGAGCAAGCCTGTCGATGACGAAGATTTATCGGATCGTCGGTCTGTTCTCACTCGGGGAAAAATTCCCCCGGACTCGCAGACAGTGGATGAAATCGAGATACTATCTCCGAAAACCAATGCAGCTCATGAAGGCCCGGATCGCTTCTCCTTCTTCCCATACGAGCTGGAACAAGGACAATCGTCCCACATAGACTACTACCGAAGTAATGTAATCTCAGCTACTTCCATCATCTTGGATGAGGATACAGGGCTTCATCAGTTGATTCCAAAGGCATTTAGCGCCAATCACTTGATGAGCGCTTTGCTTGCCTATTCTATGGCGCACCGGGCACAAATACCTGGCGATGTAGCTTTGGCTGAATCCTATCGTCAGCAAGCTACTACGCAATATGGAAAGGCGATCATGGCCCTTCGATCGGCCTTGAGCCGCAAAGACGACGACTTTGAAAGTCTCATCACATCTACTCTCCTTCTTGCGGCGACTGAGACCACCATGGGCGGAGTGTCAGACTGGTATAACCACTGCATAGGAGCAAATCAGCTTGTGCGTGCCTTTACGACGAACATTAATGTGGAAAATGTGGCGTACCATCGGTTTCTCATCCGCTATCTCATGTATCACGACGTTCTTGGCGCGGTTACCATGCGCCAGGCCCCTATTCTCGACCAATCATTCTATAAGCGAGAGATTGCGGGACTTGCCTCCGACTCTACGCATCCTATGGTGGGTGCAAACGCGAAAATACTGTCTCTGATGGCCAAAGTGTGCCAGCTACATGAAGAAGCTATGAAAGAGAAGGCTCAGTCAGAGGAAAATGATATCAACCTCGCGCTGATATATGGCAATGGTGCCGACATTGAGCAACGACTGATGTCTCTCAAGCTTCCTCCATCTCTCCCGCTTCTATTATGCTTCGTTACAGAAGCATATCGCAGTTCGGCGTTGCTCTATCTATATCAGGTATTAGATGAAATTGAAGGTAATTCAATGCAGGGCCGCTTTTTAGAAGAAAAATGCGAGCATCACCTGTGCCGCTTGAAGCAGCACATTTCTCGTGTGCCTCTCTCGTCCGCGCCGGCTTCCGCGCTTCTATTCCCATTATTCATGGCGGGTACCTGCGTAAAACAGCCGGATGACAAAAAATTCGTGCGTTCAAAACTACTCGATCTGTACCAAGTGGTTCGCTTCGCGAATATTCTGAGCGCCTTGGAGGCCCTGGAGGTGTTTTGGAAATCCCCAAGGACAGCACTTGGGTGGCAACAATTGCTGCGAGATCGGGGTTGGAATCTGGCGCTTACATAGCGGCTCGGGCGGCTGGAGTTTATTTATTTGTTTGTTTGTTTTTTTTTATTATTAACGTCCACTAAGTAAGCTAGTTACATAAGTCCTTATCTAGGCAATAGGACAGTAAAAGCCGCCGAGTTTAAATTAGGCATTTACTACGTTTTAGTATAATAAAGGAAATAAAGGAGTATTAATTTATTTTATATATTTATATTTATAAAGGGGGGGCTGTATAAGCTTATATTTTTTACTAACTTTTAAAAATCCTTATACTCTTTATTTTTAAGGAGGTATTAAATATAAGTAATTCTAAAGTATACTTTTTTTTTTAGTATATTAAAGAGAAAAGGGGTTATTATATAATACTTTATAAAGTACTTTTATATCCTTAACTTATTATACTTATAAATAAGCTTAGTATTATATTTAAATCTTTTATAATATTTTATAAAGTTTTTATATTTAAACCTTTTAGTTAATAGCTTATATAAGATTAAATATAAGAGATATAGTTTTAGGGGTATAAGGGGGGCTTTATAAAGGCCTTATTTATTAATTTTATAAAAGTCTAAGTAATTATTATTTTAGTTAATATTTTATATTTTTTTATATTTTTTTTTTACTTATTTTTAATAAAAATAATAATAAAATAGTTTTTTAAATAATAAAAAAGTTTTAAACCTTTTTTTACTAATTAATTAGCTTTTTTATTTTTTAATATATTTTTATAGCCTAAGACTTAGGCTACTTTTATAATTATTTATAAAAGTAGTTTCTAAGTAATTTAATATAATTTTATATAAGCTTCTTAGGATAAAATAAAAGTTAGCCTTAATATTTTATTTACTATTATTAAGTTATTTAAGAAAAAAAAATTTTTTTAAATATTTAAGTTTATAAAAGTATATATTTTAGTTAATTTTATAGCTTTAAAGGTGCCTATTACCTTAGTATTATAGACCTTTATATTAATAAAGGGACTATATATAGTAATTTTTTTAAAATTATAATATATAATTACTTTTTAGCTTATATTACTTTATTTATTTTATAAATTATTTAAATAAGTAAAAAAGGTAAATCTAAGGAGGTTATTAAGTAATTTTAAGTATTTTTCTACTGCCTTTAACTTTTATAAACTTTTAAAGTTTAGGCTTACTTAGACTACTTTATTATTTTTAGTAAAAAGGGAGAGTTAAATTATTTTCCTTACTAAAGCTATAATATATTATAAATAAGTAAAGGAAACCCTAGGGGGAAGTTTTTTATTAATATATTTATTAATTAAGTAGTTTTTATCTAGGCTTATAAAGTAAACTATTATATAAAGTCTAGTTTATATTATTTATATTAATACTAGGGGGACTCTTAATTTTTTATATATAATAAAAAGATTAGTAATTTTTTATATAGGGATAATTACTTTAGCTACTGCCTTAAATAAGGGTTTTAGAATTATAATTAAACTTATTAAGCCTGTTTTTATTTATTTATTTAGATTTATTATATTTTATTTATTTTTACTAAGCTAAAATACTTTTATTTTATATAAAGCTATAGGGGTAATATAAGCCTTAGCTATTATAGCTATTATATTTAATAAAGATTTTTTTTATATTTTATTTAAAAATCTTAGGAAGTTAACTACTTTAAGGGCTTTATTTTTTATAATCTTAAAATACTTTTTAAAAAAAAGTTATAAGTTTAAGTATATTTTTAATTAGTAAACTAAGTCCTAAGGGGCTATAGTCTTTTCTCTAAAGTTTACTTTCTTATTATATACTTAGGATTTAGTTTTATAAAAGTATATAAATTTAGCTTTATTTAAGTTAAAAAAAACTATATTTTTATTACTTTAGCTTAAAGTATTTTTTAATTTTTACTAAAGTTTTTAAGTAATTTCCTTAGTATTAATTCCTATTACTATAATATTAATATTATTTATATACCTAAAATAAGTATTAGGGTTATTAAGCTTTAGGCTAGGGGAAAAGTAAAGTATAAAAATAATAAAGGAGATAGGGGACCCCTATAAGGCTTTATATTTTAACTTTATTTCTAAAAGAGTAGTCCTATAGTTATTTTAAACTAAAGCTTTATAATTACTTATAAAAAAGTTAACCTATTTTATAAAAAGGAAGGGCTATTTTTATTCCCTAAGTTTATATATTAAGTAGTTATATATAATAATATTAAATATATTAGAGATATTAAGTATAAGAAAGAAGATAATAAGGCCTTAGGCTAAGGTAATTTTAATATTATAAAGTAAGTAAGTAATTAAATTTATTATAAACTTTTTTAAAAAGGCTTTAAAATATTATTTTAATAATATTTTATATTTTATTACTAAAAGGGAGACTTTTTTAGCTAGGAGTCTCTTAAAGCTTTTGCTTATATAAGAGAGTAGGGAGATAAGTTTATAGCTTTTATATATAATATATACCTTCTTTAGCTTCCTTAGTTTAGGGATAATAGTAATTTTTATATTTTAAAAAAAAATAAGTAATATTTTATTATTAAATATCTATAGAAAAAATTAGTTATATACTTACTAATAATAAGTTAAGTAAGTTATAAAAAAGTAATAAAAATATTATTTATATTAAGTATAGTATTTCCTAATCCTATTATAACTTTCTTAGTTTTTAGTTTTAATATTATTTAGTTTTAATAAATATTCTTATTAATAAGAAAGTCCTCTTCCTATAAGTTTAAGATATTCTCTTTTATTATTTTATACTTAAGAAGCTTATTTTTAAAAAAGGTTATTTTCTTTATAAAGTTTAAAATACTTTTATTCTTATTTATTAAGGAGAGTAGTTAAAAATAATCTATTACCTTATATTATTTAGCTACTAACTAAATATTCCTAGTAGTATTAGCTTCTACTATAATTTTATCTTAATAAACTTACTTACTATAGTATATAATATCTCTAAGGGTTTTATAAGCTTTTTCTTATATAAAAGAGTTATTTATTACTTTTTTATAAGCCTTATAGGCTATTTTACACTTTTTAAACTACTATAGTATACTATAACTATTCTAGTATTTAGTTTTACTAGCCCTTTCTATAGCTTATTTAAAAAAATCCTATAAAGCCTTAATATATTTATTAAGGTTAGTTTTAGATAGTATAATTAAGTTAACTATAAAAAGGGTTTAAATAAAAGAGTATATAAGTTAGCTAAAGTTTTTTTAGTATTTTAATAAAATATATTTTTTCCCTACCCCTAGGGTTATCCTAAGAGGCTTAGGTAGGTTTATAATTATTATATAATAGTCTAATCCTATATTAAAGAAGTATTTAATCCTAGCTAACGTAAGGTAATTTATAAAGACTAAGTTAATATATTTTCCTAAGTGTTAGGTAAGTGTATTTATTAGGGCTAGGAAAAGGTTATACTTCTCTGCCTATTTTATAATTTTATTACCTATTAGGTTTATACTCCTACTTAGTTTCTAAAGTTAATATAAGATATTAAAGTTACTTATAATAATTAAATAAGGGGGGGGAGGGCTTTATTTAATAAGGGTTTTTATAATTAAATTTACTAAAGCCCTTTAGTAAATATTAATAATAATATAGCTATATACTTTTATTTAATATATATATTTATTTTTTAGGCTTAGGGAAAAGAGTTATTTACTAAGGAGGTTTAGGGAAATTTTAATAAATATAAAAACTAAGGGTTTAGTATTTCTTTAATTATTTAAGGGGTTATATATTTAATATTTAAGGTAATTTTTAGTTTACTTTTTATTTATTACCCTATTTTATTAAATATAGGGTTTTTAGATTAATATAATATTATAACTACTTTCTTATATTAATAATAAAGTAATATTCTAATTTAAATTACTTTTTCTAATATTAACTTAAAAGATTTTAAGGCTAGTATTTCTTTAGTAGCTATAATAAGGCTTATTATTTATAAGCTTATATTAAAGGGTTTATTAATTTTAGGGGGGGCGTTAAGTATATTTTTATTACTTTTAACTTCTTCCTTTTTATTATCTAGGCTAGCTATATAAATTATTAACCTAGCGGGAGAAATTCCCTTATAAAAATCTTCCTTATTTAAGTTAACTTTAATAATAACCTTTTTAACTAGAGCCTAAGGGGGAAAGGGTAAAGCTAAGTTAAAAATTAATAACCTTATATAGGGGCTTATTTAAGTTTCTAAGTTAAATATTTTTTTAGTATTAAGGGCTAGGGCAGGGGTAGGTTTAGGTTTAGATAGCTTAGTTTTATTATATTTCTACTAGCTTAATTCCTAAATTGCCTAAAGTTAGGCTTTAGTTATTTATACTTTTTTTTTATTTTTAATAATTAATTTAGTAAAATACTTTAGGGAGTTTACTATATAAGGGCTATTATAATTAATATACTAAGGCAGGGATAAGTAATTAGCTATAGTATTATTATATTTAAATAATAGCTTATTATATTTATAATACTTTTTAATCTTAGTATAATTTTATAAGTTATAAAATCTAAAGTATTATAAATATTAGGTAACCTAAGGGGGCTAGACTTAAATTTCCACTAGGAAAAAGTTATTAAAAAGTTTAAAACTAAGCTTAATATTTTTATTAAAAAAAATAAAATAATTATATATATTAAGGGATTTTTTAAAATTAGTTTTATAATAAAAAATAAAAAGGCTTTTAGCCTTTGCCTTAGTATATACCTTCTCTAAGATTAGTATATTTATAAGGTAAGTCCTGCTTATATTAATATATATTTTTAATATACTATATATAAAAAAAACCTTTTATAAATATACTTTTTTAATTTTTAAACTATTATTTTTTACTACTAGTTAAAGTACAATAATTTTATTTTTAATATCTTAATTTTTACCTTTTAAAAGTAAGTAATATCTTTATTTATAAGCTTTAAAATCCTAATTAATTCTTATTTAGCCTTAATAATTAATAACTTTCTTTATATATAATCTAAAGGGACTTAAATAAAAATATAATTATTAAAATTTTCCTTAGGTTTATTAGTTTTATTTATATTCTTTTTATTAATAATAAGGGCTAGCCTTTTACTACCTATAGAGAAATACTTTAAGTTATTAATTTTTTTCTAAGGGTTTTTATTATAAATATATTTTTATAATATAATTTATATTTATATAACTTTAGGGTCCTTCTAGCCTATTTTTTTAATAAATATAAAGGCTTTTATTATAATAAAGGCCCTAGTAGTTTTTAATTTATTTTTCTTATTATAAAATATATTAACTAATATTATTTTAATTAGTTAAGTAGCTTTTTTTTTACTACTTAATTTCTTAGGGTTTTTAGGCCTTTCCTTAAGGTTAATATAAAAAGTAATAAAGTTTTTAAAAATAGTATTTAAGTATAAGTAAACTTATTTTACTATTACTAAGGAAAACTAAAAAATATATTACACTAAATAAAAGTTAATAATTATAACTATATTTAATATTATATTTTATTTAGCTTATTATTATATATTAATTTTATTAATTTAATTTATAATTTTATTTTTAATAAAAGATTTTTTTTTTTATTTAAGTTAATAATTTTCTTTATATTATTAAAAATAAAAATAATAAGGCTTTTTAAAACTACTTATACTATAGTTATTATTATTATTATACTTAGTTTTATTTTATTAAAGCTAAGTAAGGGTATTTTATTTACACTAAGGGCTTTTCTAAAGTGTTTTTTTTTTTTAGGGGTAAAGGGAAGGACTATAACCTCTTTTATCTTTAGGCCTAAGGGAGTTACCTTTTTTAATAGTTAAAAGGCTATTGCTAGTCCAGGGGCAACGGGTTTTATTCTATTTTAATTATCTAAAGGGTTTATAGATATTTCTATCTCTCCGGAGTCCTTAGATAGGACTGTGAATAAGAAAATTATAGTCGTTTTATCTAATAGCTAGTCAAACGGGTGGGAGTTTTTTAGTGGTTAGGCACCCAAAAGGTGGGGTACCTGTAGATGTAGGAGGGAAGCTTGCGGGCGGCTGGAGTACGAAGGTAATCTAGACATGTATATACATAATCAAAGTTGCGTTAATGTGAATGCTGGGATAGAAAGGTCTCATAATCAAGATGAAACACATAGTTACAGGTATGCATATATAATTCCCCAGATTCCGTCATTTCGATAACGTCTGTCCAAAGCATCTTATCGACTCCCGTTCCAAATACAAGTGCTTCTCAAGCTCTCTAGCAATCTATCAATCCATAAAAGTACGCGACATGACATCTGAATCCAGCTGCTGTCATAACGGTGATGACCGTGGTGGCTCTTCCGGCCTACCTGCGCCGGAACAACGCCCACTAGGATCTATTTTACCAGAAGAGATTCGACAGGTGAATCCAACCGAGACTCCAACGGTTCATCCACCCCTGGGCACCTATCACTGACTTGGAGTAATTACAGACATCATTCCTTTTACGGGCGCAGTTCGCTCCCGGTACTGCCTTTGCGTTTCGAGTCATATCCCTCGTCGAGCCACGAAAGTCGGAGCTGAAACCACATCTCGAAGCGCTGCGCCGCGGTCTCGGCCGTCCCGATACGCCCTTTCCTGCCAGAATCACCTTTGCACACTACTATGTCGGAGGCCCGAAGGATTTCTACCGAGCCTACGTCGATGTCTCGGGAAAATCGCCAAAGTTGATAGTCAATGAGAAGCTCGATGCGAAGAGACACGCAATCTCCGACCCGGCAGAGATGATGCGTGCCGAGAAGGCGTGTCTCAATGATCCGCTGATCGTCGAACAAATTCGCCAGCTTTCGCTGCCGTCGGGTAGCCAAGTCATGATTGATCCGTGGACTTATGCCACAGACGAGAAGCTTGATGTGGAGAAGAGAACTCTTATTGTAAGATGGGTTACCTCATATGGAGAGGAGAAAAACACGTCGGCTAATATATTCGCTTTCTCAAGTGCTACTTCTATCTCAAGGGCAATGCTTCTGAGGTTGATGCAAACCACTACGCCTATCCACTGGACTTTTACTGTCACTTTGACATGGTCAATCTGAAAGTGGTTAAGCTCTTTCGACTGCCGAAGAAGGATTTCGAACATGAAGTCGAAATCAAGCAGAACGAAGCGCAATCTGCAGCTGCTGCTCCGTGGGGAACAGTGTCTCTTGATCGCCAAAACGAGTACCATCCAGATTTGAGATCCGGCCCGAAGAAAATCCCAACACCTCTGCGCGTTGTACAGCCGGACGGCCCTTCGTTCCGTATTACGGGTAACGTGGTGGAATGGATGGGCTGGAAGTTCCATGTGGGATTCAACTATGTAAGTTTATGTCACGATGTCCGGCCAGTATACCAGTGTCTTACAACAAACCCAAATAGCGTGAAGGCATGACTTTGCATAACATTACTCTCGATGGACGCAATACTTTTTATCGCCTTGCGCTTTCAGAGTAAGTCTTTCTCTCAGTGCTCACCCCATTGCCATATTAACAAGGAGTAGAATGTTTGTTCCATATGCCGACCCTAGAGCGCCTTATCATAGAAAGGCTGCGTTCGATCTCGGAAGCAACGGTGCTGGCGTCTGTGCGAATAATCTTGCACTCGGTTGCGACTGTCTGGGGCTGATCAAATACTTTGACGCTCATCTGACTGACATTAATGGCAACCCTCGGGTGATGAAGAATGTCATCTGCTGCCACGAAGTCGACGATGGACTATTATGGAAGCACCTCAACTTTAGAACCCAAAAGGCTGCGCTTGTGCGCTCTCGCACTCTCGTTTTGCAAAGCATCATCACGGTGTCAAACTACGAGTACATTCTTGCATTCATCTTTGATACAGCTGGTGCGATTCATTACGAAGTTCGCGCCACCGGAATTGTATCTACGGTGCCCATTGGTTTGTGGATGATCCATCATATAGCACCTCGACTTGATGCTGACAACTATCGACAGAACAAGGCGTCAAATCTAGCGCCCATGGAACTGTCGTGGCTGATGGCGCTATGGCGCCATACCACCAGCACTTCTTCAACCTCAGAATTGACCCTGCCATCGATGGCCATGAGAATTCCGTCGTTGTGGAAGAGACGGTTCCTCTTCCAATCAACGAGGGTAACCCTCAAGGCATAGGATACCATGTAAAGCAACAAGTGATACAAAAGGAAGGATTTGCTGATATAGACCCTCTGAAAAACCGTGTGTTCAAGATTATCAATCCATCCAGCCGCAACCCCGTCAATGATAAGCCGGTTGCATATGCTGTAGTTCCTTTCAGCAGTCAGGTAAGCTCCCATCTAATGTGCCATCAGTGGCAGGAAATGCCTTTGACTGATATCTAATCACATTACTTCTGTAGCTCATACTTGCCAACCCCAACTCATTTCACGCACGACGATCAGAATTTGCCCTGCACAGCATGTGGTTTACCAAGTACCATGACGACGAGCTTTACGCTTCTGGAGAATGGACAAACCAATCTGCAGGAGATGAGGGTATATTGACGTGGATCAAGGGCAGGGATGAAGAGATTGACAATGGCGATGTTGTCGTATGGCATACTTTTGGCACCACTCACAACCCTCGCGTGGAGGTAAGATGATATAATCACTTGACGTTTGATTTTCTCATACAATTTTCTAATTTTTGCTTTTAGGATTGGCCCGTCATGCCTGTTGAGAAGCTTCAGGTCACACTGAAGCCAGTGAACTTCTTCCCACGAAACCCGGCTATCGACTTGCCCATGAGCACTCAGAAAGATAACGATTCCAAGTTGTACAGCCGAATGTGAATAATTATCAAGAGAAGAGAAGTCACCGTCTATATAAAATGAAGAATTACTTAGAAGTTATGAACTCTAATAAGAGAGAGACATAATTTCTCTACATTTATTCTGACATGCTGCAAATTGATTCCAATGATTAAACTATGCAACCCTCGGGTCACTTGAGATCTCCACCTCGAGCTCCCCCTTCAAATACTTCCTCGGTACTTTTCGCCAGCACTCCAAAACATCATCATCAGGAATAAATCCGGAGCTGCTTGTCCACAGAGCTTTGGCCGTTGATTTTTTTGCATGATACCAGAATTTATGCCAATATTCGTCGTATCCTCCTAGTCCCGCGTCAAGTGTCATCCACTCTAGCGCTGGCATCTGGAGAGCCGCGCGCCCTGCAGCCATGTAAAACTGCTGCATAGCCGGGGTTGCAATACAGCGCCGAGATGTAGGTTCCTGGCTCGCTGTGATGCTGATCCAATCATTAAACATCGGGGTTTCGTCCTCCGAGTCGTCCGAGGCATTTGGGTCCGGAATGAAGAGCCATTCGCCCGACGGAGTGACGGGAGGATAGCACAAGTGGAAAGTGACCAGTCTCTCCCATCGCGGTTCTGCCATGTGCGCAGAGAGAGTCCTTGGAAAGAACAGTTCGTCGCTGACTATGATGCCATCGATGTGAAGCGTCTGCGAGCGTTGGGATAGGGTGTGGAAAGCTTTTGAAAGCCCATCTTCTCCTTCACTTGAAAGCGTAGTATCTGGAGGCAATTGAGACCGGCTCATGGCATCATAAGTGTCATCGCAGATGTGAAAATTATCGATGGGATGATTGATTTGAGATAAAGCATCAGCAAGGTCTACATCGCCATGTATGTCAGCGGTTGTTTACAACTCTATACCTAGGTAGAGAAGTTTGACAACGTTACCATTCCGCATTCCTGAAAATCGCCTCCATTTCCACCAGTCAACGGACACTCGCTTTGCTGCGGGCAGTTTTGCTACCAAAGCGCAAATGGCCACTATAGAGATGTGTCGATCCCCGAATCTTGGCCTATCCATATTGATTTCGGATATGGCCACAACAGGGGAATGTTCCGCAATGCGAGCCGGGTCCGTCAGCTCCAACACTGATCCCGCATATCTGCGGTTCCACATGGGTCCTCTCTCCCCTTCCCATGATGGAGAGTCAAGTCTCTTCTCGACGGGTAGAGGCGCAAAAATACGGAGCCCAATGCGGCCAGGATGCAGCTCGTCCACAGTCCACTGGCTCAGCGACTGCAGAAAAGCTTCAAATGTGGCTTGTAGTGCGCGATTGTTCCTCAGCTTCTCCTTGTCCTTCTCAGGGTTTTGTCGCGGTCCCGGCCATGGCAGCACAACCTCCAGCAAGATTTCGCGAACATACCTACGGCGCCTAGAGGTGACGACGGAGTTGACCTCTGAGAGTCGCTCCAGATCAAGATACAGTGTGGCGAAAGTACTGCGCTCAATTGTATCCTGCCAAAGGGGACTGACGGCCGCATACTCGCCGGCGTCTTGGCAGAGAGGGTGTCCATAGCGAGTCCAGTCATGGATGAGAAAGTATATAATGCGCTGAATGAGTTCGGGTGTTAGCATGATAGGTGCCATGTTGTTGATTGTAGTGAAATGGCAATTGCCCGAGGTGATTTTCAAAAGCTGGCACCGAGACGATAGTCAGTCCACGAGCAGTTCACATCTACCTACAGATCCCTAACAGTATTTATAGCACGTATTGACGCTAAAGCACTAGGCTCCAGTCTTGGCAGTCTAAAAAGGGTATCGAACGACCAGGTAATCAATAAGAGTAATCCCAAGGCTTAGAATGGCTTATTAGAAGTGGTTACGAAGTATTTACTCGTATATTCTAATAGCATAGCCTCACTTCAAGCTTCTAGAGCCTAAAATCAAGTGCGACAGTGAATCAATTCGTACAATATTGAGGTGAACAAGCACAGAAGATGTTAGAAGCATATGCTGATGCTCTGAACTTGCGGCTGATTCCCAGTCAGGTGAAGCAAATGAACTGAAAGGAATTTACTCATCAAGTGACGACCCAGCATTCCAATTTTGTTCCCCAGCAGCGACCATAAAAACCTTGACGGGGAAGTTTCTTAGATGCTCTCGGAGTCTCTTTTAGAGATGCCTGGGGCCTACTAAAAGGTAATGCCATTGAAGGCTAATTGCAAAATAGTAGATCTGTTTATTAACCTAATTCCCAGTAATGAGCGACTTGGCAATCACCGACAATGGCCTCGCTGAGCCTCTTTGTTTGGTACATGTCCCCGGCAGCCCGCGTAGCTCTGGTTGACGCTGCTGCCACACCTCCGCATGTCAGATTCTCCAATTCGGAGTCGACCTGTGTTCAGTGTGTAAGCGGTTGTAGCTTGTTGATAGGCTTGTTCATCGCACAGATCTCTGAAATAAAAATAAAAATCATTCGAGTAAGCTGGCAGTGTGATATATGGTATATTCGTGCACCCAACACATACATAGAACTGGTCGACTTAAGATGGCCGTGAGTGATGGCGACCGCTGGCTGTTCCATCATCCAAAGCGCGCCCTAGCTTTAGGCGCCAGTTTTTATCCGTAACCTGAAGGATGTAGTATCACGCGCTCGTATAAACAAGACGGTCTGGTCAAGGTATCGATAGAACCGGCATTGACTATCAGTAAGAGGTGGCGAGGAGACGGTAATAAAGTGAGCTCAATAGACTGCGAGATTTTCATGGTTCGCAGCCTCGTTCCTTGGCAGCCGACGTATCCATCAACATTTGGACTGGTTGGTTGCATCGCCGTTTCTTGCATTCAAGTGTGTGTCCTGCTCTGACTTTGGATTGGCTCGTAGCCCCATGTGCGTTTGGATGTCTCTTACATTAAAAGGGAGCAAGACCGCGACTCTGGGGCCCAACCTGCACCCATTGGTGGAGCAACTAGGCAGAAAGAGTGCCTTGAAATGGTTCAAACAGTTTATTTAATCCGCTCACATTGAGAAAACTCTCTTCTCATCATGTTGGTCGCAGCGATCGGGACTTATTCCGTAACAGCCATCCCCTTGGCAATGGACAATGTTTCAAGGTGGTTTCGGTGGCCAAAAGATATGCCGACTGAGAGTCAACATCCGTCAAGAAGGGAACAGACACCTCAGCTGGAGAGATCACTGGTGACCCAGTCAAAGAAAGAACTGACATTTCGCGTACGGGGCGTGCCCAATGACTGGGACAGAGACAAGCTTGAATCATTCCTGATCGAAAGAGACAGCCCTGCTGGACCAGTGGTAAAATCCTTGACCAAGGAGTTTCACGGACGCTCCCAGACAGCCACAGTCTCTTTTAGAAACACCTTCCAACTGCCACTAAGGATCTCTCTGCCTGCACCTTACGGTCAATTCGGTCAGCTGCAGAATCTGACGCTTGATCATGACTTTCTCAGCATTACCAGTCTTTTCGCCCCTGCGCATCAAAATCACAACGTTGAGTAAGTAATCAGTCTTGCACTCTATCTTTATGTAAGTATTTATATTGACGGTGTCAAGCATTGTCGCAATCTCTGGCCTTGGCGGACACGCATTTGGATCATTTAAAGAGCGGGATGGAGAGCACATGTGGCTAAGAGACGCGCTCCCACATAGTATCACCAATGAAAGTGGCGAGCCAATTGCACGCATTATGGTGTATGGCTACGAGTCAAGTCTTCCGAACAGCGATAGATTTCAAAACTTGGAAGACCTTGGGACGAACCTCCATTCAGATCTTCGAACGCTTATATTTGACGACTCGTTCAAACCCATTGTATTCATTGCTCATAGCCTAGGCGGATTGATCGTCAAACAGGTACGCCCATTTACAACATCAGTCTCGCACAGATTGTCTTCTAATTCTGCAATAGTTTCTTATATCACTCTCTAAGTCAAAGGATGAGGTGGATCAAAAATTAAGGCGTGCAGTTTACGGTATTGCTTTTTTTGGAGTACCGCACGACGGTATGGACATTCATTCGCTCATCCCTATGGTTGGGGATGGACCAAATCGATTTTTGCTGGAATCCATAGGGTCCAACAATTCGCAGATCCTCAGCATCCAACAGCGTGAGTTTTCAGATGCACTGGGGGACCAAGGCGAGACTGAGATTGTTTCATTCTACGAAACCCGCTTTTCCCCGACCGCATTACAGGTATGACTCCGTTGAGTAGTTGTAATGGACTCCGTTAACATGCTGCTAGGATGAAAGTGGTAGATGGACCATGTCGGGTGAACCAGCCGTCTTGGTATCGAAAGCATCCGCCACACACTGCCGGCCTTGTGAGAACAGACCAGAACATATTTGCGCCATCAATCGCACACACTCAGAAATGGTCAAGTTCGCGCAGGAAGATCCCGAATACAACAGGGTACTCGGACGAATAAGGAGCCTCGCTCAGCGTGCGATTACAGCGCGAAGGAGTATGTGACTACACTATACACATGGTCAATCTTATCATGAAGGGGTGATACTAAAATCTACCAGGCCCTATACAGTCAAATATGGCTCAGGAAGAACGGAAATACCCGCATTTTCCAGGCCCGACACAGCCAAGTTTGTCCCAGGAAGAACGGAAATGCCTTCAATCGCTAGCTTTTAGGCAGATGCATGATCGCGGCAACGATATTGAACATGCTGCCCAAGGGACATGCGAGTGGCTGCTCAAACACGATACATATATAAGTTGGGCCGCATCCCATGGAGGTCTACTATGGATTAAAGGAAAGCCAGGCGCTGGGAAGTCTACGCTGCTCAAATACGCGATAAGCAAATATCATGATATATCCAGAGCAAGTGGCAATGCTCTGGTCATTTCTTTCTTCTTTCATGGCCGTGGTGGCGCTCTCCAAAAGACTCCACTCGGATTCTTGCAATCTATACTTCATCAGATTCTTAAGAAGGCTCCAGAAGCTCTTTCAGACCTTGTAGGTGCCTACCAACAGAAGTGTATAGATATGGGCGATCCTCCTGGAAAGTGGTATTGGCATGTGAAAGAGTTGTGGGGTTTCTTGGAATTATCTCTTCCGAGAATCTTAACGGATCGCTCGATTTGGTTGTTTGTTGATGCGCTTGACGAATGTGGTGAAGCTGATGCAAAACAGCTTGTGCAGAGATTTAAACGATTACTTCAGACATCAGCACCACGTCCTGCTTGGATCCAATTTAATATTTGCTTCAGTTGTCGTCATTATCCAATACTGAATGCTCCGGAAATGTTTGAGATATGGCTCGAAATGGAAAACAATAGCGACATTTCCATTTACGTGAAATCCGAACTCAAAATATCTTTTTTCGAGCAGACGACACCATCTGTGATTCAGAATTTGATTATTGGCCGTGCTTCTGGCATTTTCTTATGGGCGCGGTTAGTGGTGAAACAGGTTCAGGATCTCGAGCTAGAGGGTTTCGGACCAAATAAGATCGAGGCGATCATCCGGACTATCCCCGAAGACCTTCATGAACTATATAAAACGCTTATACATGGAATGGGGCCACCTTCTTTGAGACTGATACAATGGGTCTGCTTTGCAACGAGGCCTTTGACTACGGAAGAGCTTCGATGGGCGCTGGTCGTAGACGCCAAATTTTCGTCATTACAAGAGTGTCAAAAATCAGAGGATTACATACCAAATAGCGAGCGAATGAATCAGCAAGTTATAAAGCTCAGTCGAGGGCTTGCTGAAGTTACCCAGAGGTCTGATACTCGGGGATATAGTATTCAGAGATACGATACTGAGGGGTCGGATACCGAGGGGTTGGACTCTCAGGTTGTCCAATTCATCCACCAGTCTGTTAAAGACTTCTTCATGAACGAGGGCCTGGTAGCTCTGGACAACATATCGGCATCGGCTACTGAGTTGATCGGAATGGCACAGCTCGAGCTGTCAAAAACATGCATCTGTTACTTGAAGATGGAGGAAATTAGTCACTCAGTAAGTGACGAGAGCGACAAACTGAAAGAGAAATTTCCCTTTCTGCACTATGCCACGACCTCGTGGGTATTGCACTCACAACAAAGCGATACCAAGGGCATTCCTCAGGGAGTTCTACTAAGTTTATTTGCATGGCCATCCAATGTCACTTTTAACCTATGGACGCGTATCTTTAGGGATATAGTCGGATATTCTGAGCATTGTCCATCGGCAAAGACCACTCTTGTACACATTGCAGCGAGGTATCACATTGTGGGAGCATTGAAGGCCATCCTAGAACATGACGATCCAACTTTCATGAATATTGACTCAAAAGATGAAGATGGCCGGACGCCTCTCTCATGGGCTGTGGAGCATAGGCACGAGGGTATTGCTCAGTTGCTGCTTGATGCAGGAGCTGAAGTTGACTCAACAGACAAAGCTGGCTGGATACCGCTATTATGGGCTGTAAAAAACGGCCATGAGGCTATGGCTAAGCTGCTGCTCAATGCAGGGGCTAAAGTTGACTCAACCGATAATAAATATCACAGGACGCTACTGTCATGGGCTGCCAAGCACAAGTATGAAGCTGTGGTCAAGCTGCTGCTTAACGCAGGAGCTGAAGTAAATTCAAAGGATACATCTGGCTGGACACCGCTGTTATGGGCTGTAAGAAACAGTCATGAGACTGCAGCTAAGCTGCTTCTAAATACAGGAGCTGAAGTTAATTTAGCAGATAAGAAGAGCCGGACGCCGCTGCTATGGGCAGTAGAGAACAGGCATGAGGCTATAGCCAAGTTACTGCTTGATGCAGGAGCTGAGGTTAACTTAAAAGATAAAGATGGCTGGACGCCATTATCATGGGCAATAATGCACGGTTATAAGCCCTTGATTAAGCTACTGCTTGATGCAGGGGCCGAAATTGATTTTAAAGATACTTTCGATGGGCAGGCGCCGCTATCATGGGCTTCAAGAAATGGATATGAAACTGCAGTTAAGCTGCTGCTTGATGCAGGAGCTGAAGTTGACGCTAGAGATAATTCTGATAGACTGGCGCCGCTATCATGGGCTGTAAGAGAAGGGCACAAAACTGTGGTTAAGCTGCTGCTTAACACAGGGGCTGAAGTTGATTCCAGAAATAAGTTCAATGTCCGGACGCCGCTATCATGGGCTTCGGAAAACGGGAATGAGGCCGTGGTTAGGTTGCTGCTTGCTGCAGGAGCTGAAGTTGATTCTCAAGATAATCTCTGTCGCCAAACGCCGCTATCATGGGCTTCAAAAGAAGGACACGAAACTGTTGTTAAGCTGCTGCTTACTGCAGGAGCTGGAGTTAATTCTCAAGATCATAACAACAAAACGCCGCTATCATGGGCTTCAGAAAAAGGGCATGAGGCCGTGGTTAAGATACTGCTTGATGCAGGAGCTGGAATTGATGATGGAAATCCTTATAATAACCAGAAGCCGCTATCATTAGCTTCAAAGAACGGTTACGAGGCCGTGGTTAAGCTATTGCTTAATGCAGAAGCTAAAGTTGGTTCTCAAAAACGTAATAGCAATTGGCCGCTATTATTCGCTTCACACAACGGGCACGAGGCCGTGGCTAGGCTGCTGCTTGATGCAGGAGCTGAAGTTAATTTTCGAGATCATCATAACTACACATCGCTATCATTAGCTTCAAAGAACGGTTACGAGGCCGTGGTTAAGCTACTCCTTGATGCAGGAGCTGAAGTTGATTCTCAAAATCATAATAGCAATACGCCGCTATTATTAGCCTCAGAGGACGGGCACGAGGTTGTAGCTAAGTTATTACTCAGTGCAGGAGCTAACCCTAATATTAAGGGTTATAACTTTGGCTGGACTCCGCTGTTATTAGCTTCACAGAACGGGCACAACGCCATAGTTAAGCTGCTGCTTACTGCAGGAGCGGAAGTGGATTTTAAAGATCCCAAAGATCAGACCCCGCTGTCATTGGCTACAATGAACGGACATGAAAACGTGGTTAAGCTCCTGCTTGATGCAAGAGCCAAAGTTGATTCAAAAGATATTTACAACCAGACGCCGTTATTGCGCGCTTCGTCAGGGGGGTATAAGGCTATGGTTAAGCTGCTACTTAACGCAGGAGCTGAAGTCGACTATAAAGATCAAAATAACCGGACTCCACTATCATGGGCTTCAGGATATGGATATGAGCCCGTGGTTAAGCTGCTGCTTAATGCAGGAGCTAAAGTTAATTCTAAAGATAGTTACAACCAGACGCCGCTGTTGTTAGCTTCAACGAAGCTACACGAAACCGTGATTAAGCTTTTACTGGATGCAGGAGCTGAAGTTGATTTCAAAGATCACAATAACCGGACACCGCTGTCACTAGCTTCAGGACACGGATATGAAAACGTGGTTAAGATGCTCCTTGATGCAGGAGCTAAAGTTGGTTCAAAAGATAGTTTCAACCAGACGCCGCTGGGATGGGCTGTAACAAACCGACACAAAACCGTTGTTAAGCTGTTGCTTGATGCAGGAGTTAAATTTAATTCAAAAGATTATGTTAACCGGACGCCACTGGCATCGACTATATAAAGAAAAGGGATGCAAAGCAATTAGGCGATAGTTGAGATCTTGTTTGATCCCGGGTCAATTAGATGACAGCATTGGCGAGAAGACGCTGCGTTGGGCCGTGAGAAAGGGAAATGAAGCTCTTTCCAGAATACGTCGAGGTTGTGACTTATTTTAGTTTCAAATAGTATCTTATTGAAATTGTAAAATTTTACTTTGAGTTTAATAATCACTTCATAGGTACCTATAATACACATTTCTGCAACGTAGTGCGATTTTTCATGCGTCAAACCGTCTAGATATAGTCAAGTTGTGCAAAATCCGAAGAATGGATAATAGAGGATCCAACAAATATTTACTGGCGAAATGGCTTTTGGGAGGCAAGGTCTGGAGCAGGAGTTGTAAACAAAATATAAATGCCTACTATTAGGTAGTGCCCTAGATAGGTACGTTGGAAGAGTGAAAAACTGCCTGTTTGTACAAAATCAAAAGCCATAAGTTAAACTGCTGAAACTATGGCGGCTGTTTATATGTGAACTATGAAAAGTAAAAAGTTCCTGTCTGGATAGCACATATGCAACTGCTAGTGGGATCCTAAGCCGTTTGAATCTATGTAAGAGCTAGGAAAGAAGACCTGTATGAGAAACAGGGGACATACCATAGTACTTACCTATTATCATTATTACATCCATCGATGAATGTGCTGGTCAAGTCTCCCAATCCCTCCTGAATGGGAGTGGTCCAAGAGAGGCTATCAGCCAATTTATCGTTAATCAGACTGGAAGTACTTCGTTTTAGCCACGGATAGAATGTGGAGCCTCACGAGATAATAAAACTTTCGATACTCTTATACGAAGAGCGCAGTTAATTGATCCAATAGGCAAAGGTGTGTTAGTCGTTCTTAGAAGTGGCGGTCTGTTATTGCAAACGCGAATCTGCTCTAGAGCGATACTCACATTAACTACTCTGAACGAAGGCCGCTTGCACAGATGTGGGATATGGAGATGGGAAAGGGCGGCCGTTTCACATACTAAGTTTCACACCATTCTTTTTTCTAAGCTCCGGTCGGTACCAAATCCTAGCTGATCAGATAGTAGATGGTGATGACGGCTCTGGGGAAGCATGGCATTGATCCTCATTGTCACCTTTAGCACAATTCGGATATTGGTTGAGTGTTCTCTATAGACTTGTATATTAGGGCTCGCTATCTTCGTCACCTCGATACAGCCTATGGACAGATGCTGCTTTTCCTTTTACACCCTGAAGCCGTTTCGTGCGAAGTCGTATTTGTCATCGGTGTCCTGAAAAGCCGCGGAGTGTCAGAATGCTGCTGGTACTAGTGCCTGGGTGGTCATCTCCACACCATCAGCGCAGGCATTGGAAATCGAAACTCCCCTACGGATTTCGGATTTTAGTGCAAAGAGCTCGGACTTTAAATGCAAGCTGCGGACGAAATCTCTTTCGTTTTCCATCAGTGCTTCGTCGAGAGTACATCAGCCCTTCATCAGCCAGTTTCAACATATTCGATAATGGAAAAAACTATACCAAGAGTAGTTGACGAGACAACTTCTACATTTCTCAAGTTCTGCACAATTTGCGAGAAGCCATTCACAAAGGGTACGTAGTTGTAACGCCAGACAACTTGAACCGTCCTACTTAATAACCCGTCGAAGAATACTCACTCAGCCGCCATGTCTCTTACTGTCGTCGTGCTAGTGCGACGCGCAAGGTTCGACCAAAGGCATGCCTCCGCTGTTATGCATCGAAAACGAAATGCAGCCTTTCAAAGCCTCAATGTAGTCGATGCCACTCTCAGGGTTTAGACTGCACTTATGACAGGCCTGCTCGGCGCCCGTTGACCGTGGGTGCTTCGATTATCGAGGAACAGCACCCATCTACGAGTCATTTGCTGCGAAGGGATACTGAAACATTGGAAATCGCTGCTACTGCTACATCTAGAAGTTCATCAGACTCCACCATCGATACCATTGAAGATGTTGACGTACACGCTACGAGCTCTACAAGCGGCTCGCGATTGGCCTCATCCGCTCCGAATTCAACAACATGGCGGCCAGCAGCCGAGCCCGTCCATTTCACTGCACACAATGATGTGTTGGACTCGAGCAGTTCGTTGGCATTGGGAAATGTGCACCCGGGAATTCTCTGTTCAAATTTTGCGGTTGATCAACTCACGCACGCCATTTATGCTTTCCCGCAGATGATGATGCGCCGGCAGACCTTCCCCCCCTTCATACACGCTCATTGGCATATGTCGGAGTTACCAGAAACCCTTGCAAATTGCATGAGCATCGCACAAATCTACGCGACTCGGACACCAGAAACCAGGCCCTTCCTCTGGAGAATGATCGGGGTCGAGCTGCAACGATTTCAAGGCGAGGTATGCATTCGCAGTTGACTCTTCATTAGCTACAGGATTTATTAACATTGTGAAGACCGAAATTGCTTCAATGTACAGCCTTCAGCACTCTTTGCAAGCAATCATGCAATTTATCATCATGGCGATTACTGATCAAGATGCAATCGCCTTGACTTGGGCGCCGAAGCTAATCGAGACATTTCACGTACGTAAAATGACATAGAGGTCCTAATTCCGTCTTTACTCATTTCGATAGATCTTGTGTACTCGAATCCGTACTCTTCTCAATGGCGAATGTTTCACATATTTTGGAGAAACCATCCCGGATGCGACTTGGGAAGAATGGACATTTGCGGAGACCCGACGACGGTAAGCCAGTATTACCATCTCCCCATCTGCAGATGTTAACATGCGCTAGAATTATATGTGTCTGGTTCTTCATGAGCCGCATCATTTCCCCTACAGTTAGCAAGTCTTTCATGCGTGTCTATCCTTTGCATATGCTGCCTTTGGTCTCGAATAAGTCTCTTTGGGAAGCTCGTAGTCGCCAGGAATGGGAAACTGAAAGAGCACTACAAGACGCCTGTTACCCGATGACCACTTTTGCAGAGCTTATAGAAGCAAAAAGACGGTCAAACGAACCATTTTACAAGCGGAGACTAGAGACTTGGGACGCTGGTGTGGATAAGATGGGGATGCTTATAAACATTGCTACGGATCTAATCTAGAAGATGAAACGTGCTAGCAGAGGGAGGAAAATCTAGCAAGACAGCTTCTTCAGCAAAATATTCAGATATCTGAGATTTCATACGCCATGAACTACCTTTTAGTGATGAGGAATGGGCTTCAATCCCACTCATATTACACTGAGCGTAGATACCAAACGAGACCCCGGGACCGTTGAAAGACCATTAGCATAATCTACTATTATAATCTTATCATCTACGACCAGTATAATGAAGCACTGTATATTTAAAGCTATTCTATAAGATGATATCCAAGAAAACCGGACAAACTTGATCTCATTGGCAAGCCGCATCACCAACGGAGAGCTCTAGATGAATATAGATCATACCGATCTATTCCTCTTATTTCTGACCAAGTAGCTCCAAGTACTGCCCAGTGACGCTCAGTATCTGCTCTTCAAAAGACTTAAAGGTGATGCCGAATGCCTTCTCAGCCTTGGTGCTATCAACTATCTTATCCAAAGTCTTTGGCCGCACTGCCGTATCGACCTTGAAGATTCCCTCAGTGCATTCTTTGGGATAGTGCTTCTTGACGATATCAAATGATTCATCCCATTTGACCCTTTGAAGAGAGTGAGCACAAGATAGGTAATCTTCGTTACCAGGCACACTAGGGTCGAGAGAGCGGACATGCATCAGAGCAACATCGTCAACATGAACCGGGTTGCATGGAAGCGGTATGGGTTGCGGTTTGCCTGTCATAGGGCCGATCAGAGTAGCATTGGGGCCTCTAAGTAGCGAATCAACATCTCTGGCCGTTTCGTCTCGGCCAAGCACAAAGACTGGTTCAATCGTAATTAGATCGAAAGGGGGCTTGTGTTCTTTCATCCACTCCTTTGTTGCTTCTAGGGCCAGAGCTTTAGAAGCGGCATATGCTGCTATCCAGGAAGGGAAAGGTCCAGCGGTGACAGCAGTGCGGTGATTTTCTAAGGTTAAGGACACATTCGTTAGCGACGTCTTGTAATAAAAGTAGCTGAGATTGCATACCATCCACGATGACATCGGGACCAAATACGGCGATGCCTGTAATTGAGAGAATGGATCCAGTGATGACAACTCTTTTGACGCTCTCAGCAGTGATTGCCGAGTCTAGCATGCCAACAGTGCCTTTAACAGCCGGCTGTATAAAGCTCGACTCGTAATCACTTTGGACAAGGTCGGGAGAAGAAAAGGGCGATGCCACGTGTACGATATATTTGACACCCTTGACTGCTTCATCATAGGCGCCTGTTGCTGTGATATCCGGGACAACAATATGTTCCAACTGCGACGCATACGGAGCAGCAGATTTGAGAGCCTTGATCTTTTCGAAACCCGCCACATTTCGAACTGCGGCACGGACTTTGTAACCTGCTTCCAAGAGAAGAACCAGAGTGCGAAAGCCAATGAAGCCCGTGGCTCCGGTAAGCTGTCATAGGCAAATTAATATTTTCTGCTGCGTGAAACAATATTATGTATGACATTCATGGATAGATGTGGTAGAGGATTTTTGTAGGGAAGATACTCACTAGAACAAGGTCACCAGCCATGATTACTATAATGCGATTGATAGATTATAATGAAGATCTAATTTTTGTTACACTTCATCTAGTTTCCCGGACAATTGATCACCTTTATATTTTTCTTTCCCCTTAACATCATAGTCTTGGAGTATAGCCACCATTCTGTAATCTCCCATGATGTTTGTATAGAAGCGCTTGTTGAATCTCCAAAATGGCCGTAGCTATTACCACTCCGCTGACAAATTCCCCATTTCTTCACGAGGATCAAATTCTGCAGTCGCAATAGCTATATCTTGACAATATCGTTGCGTACAAGCTGACCGGATGACATACAATTCTTGCCGACTGTGATGACCGACCACAGTTGGCCGACCAAATTGGCCGACCAAAATGACCGACCAGTGAGACCCACCAAAGCACCGCCAGACCAAGATGATCCAAGGACTTATTAATGACATATACGGAGCAATACTGCCAATTCCGTTCATATACCCGTGATACCATGCCCGATTACCAAGAATTGGACAACTTCTGCGTATATAAAGGCTACAGCATCGCTCCGCCATTCGATTGTTCGCTCAAATGTGATTGTCGAGGCAATACTGGAGATGTTCTACAACCCCGAATAATAACAGGTTATCTTGCATCATTATATATGTGATTACCAGTTAATTTGTTAAGCTAGCAGTGTCTATCTCATCCTAAAAACCCAATCGCACATAAAGATTGGACTAACACCCGCTGGTTCGAAACGATATAGGACGACGTTAATACGTTATTGTATTGGCCCTACTTCTTCTATAGTCTTGTTATGGGTTGGTCTCTCATATCAGTACACTCTTTATAAATCGCTGGTTCCGTCACAGTAATTACCACAATGATTATTGGCTTAAAATTTTACCCTGCTGGCATTATTGTATGATGGATTGTGACAGATACATTCTTCTTCCTCCAACTTGGGTTTGTAAGAGAATCTTGTACTATAAAGTCTGGTACTAGTGCTACTACTTCAAGCTGATGAATTCCAACACAATAATCCTTACCATAGAATCTTATTTTATACCTAGAGTCAAATCTTGATCCAATTCACCGCCTTTAACGTTAATCTTGTCAATCGGCTGAAACACAAAGAAGATGCGCAATGTACCATTATTATCGTCTCGTTTAGTGAGATTGCTCCATGCATGAGCAATTCCTCGTTGAATAAAAACGTCACCCTTGCGGAGAGTCTTCTTCTCTCCGGAGTCAAGTACTAACTCAGTAGTTCCATCAATAACCACGCCATAATCCAGACTAAAGGTCCGATTCATGGCAATATCGTTCCCATATGGCATTTCAACTATAGTGCACGCTGTGCCACCATCTGGATTTAAAGGCGACAAATTCTGCAGGCTGGATTTATATTGCTCGACATCTTGATTGGTGCTCGGCGAAAGACCCTGAACCGGGAATGTGGTGGTCGAATATGCAAGAGCATAGTCTGAGGTGGGAGGCCTTCCCGTCGGAACTGGAAATTTTTCGAATGGAACGCTACTATCCACATTCTGTTCGAATACAGCTTTGCCGCTTTCTGGGTCATGAGTTGTGATAACCCTCGTGGACGAAATTGGATAATTGGCCATGATTGTTTTGCACTGCGAGTGATATTGCGCCTCTTGGTGTGGTGCAACAAACACAAAATAATGATGGATGCGGGACCTCTTATATATCAAGTCCTCTAACAGAGGGAAGACTATTCATCATATTTAATCCATAAAGTGGCAACGATAATTACAAATGCTATAACTCCAGCTATACCCTATCAATCCATGATATATGCATTTATCATTATGAAATCACTGTTTCGGATCTGAGAAGTATGATGTAGTCACCCGCGAGTACTCAAGGTTAAATGTTCCAAGCGAAAAAAAACTTGGTAGCGGCTATACCATTGCCATATTAGTTATACGCATAGTAGTGATGGACCATTTAGCATAGCAACCTTTCCTCCCCAGTGGCTCAAAGGTTGTCGCCTGAATCGTAGCATCGACAGGAATGTGCCACGCAAGTCAGCGGCAAGATCAGCATGCTTTTGGCCATGATATCAACAGGATAGATCGGCGATGCCTCTAATCTCATTATCTCTTCTCTTCAGCTGCAATTGAACGTTTGGCGTCTGTATCTCAATCTAATCCACTGTAGTTGGCTGTTCTCTTTCATCGCCAAGTTGTTGCTGCAAGATACTAATCATGAGTTTGGTATATGAAGTCACGAGTATTCAACGTGTTGAACAGGATGGCAATTTTACGTAGCATAAAAATATTTCTCTTGATCTAGGTCAGTTGGGAATTTAGACTTCAAGCATTTATAAACATGACAAAAGACTTCACTTAAACCGTAAGAGTTGACTGTCGGGTAGAAAGAAGTCCGCATAAATGATTGTTTCCCAATAACTACTAACTAAAATTATATTAATGACATCTTTCGTACGACATCAAAGTACGGCCAAAGCAGGAGTGCCAGGTGCAGGAGGCGATGAGTACTCAGTCTGTACAAAGATCTTCTGCATGCCATCCGCACGATGGTTAAACAAGTCGTATACTTTAACCATATCCTCAAGCCTAAATCGATGAGAGACCATATTCAAGGGCCTAATTTTTCCCTGCTGAATGAGCACCAAAAGATGTTCCCAATACTTGTGCACAGGAGCCTGTCCATTTCCAATAAGGCGTATACCGGTTTCCATCAACGACCCAATGTTGAATCCGTTACACTGGAGAGGTTAGCAACATTGTTATGTACGAGGGAGGGAAGTCTTGACGAACATAACCTGTGTAAATGCCAGTCACACCACAGCTTCCAAAGCCCCGGACTGACTCAATCATCTCATTCACCAGCTCGGGTGTGTCGTTTTCCAATCCCACTGCTCTTTGGAGGCTATGGCTCAGGGTTTTGGAGTATTCACCAGCGGCGCACTCGATTGCTATATCAGGACCACGTCCGTCACACATCTTCTTCAGAAGAGAGACGACGGTTTCCCCCTTTGGTAGAGCCGTATAGTCAATAGTTTCAAGCTGTGGAACTTTGGTCTTCACATATTCCAATCGCCAACGCCCTTGGCCTCCGTCGATCAGTATCACTCTCTTGGCCCCGTTAACAACGGCAAATTCTATGGCCATTTGCCCAACAGGACCACCACCCCACACGGCAACTGTGTCTCCTGGCTGGACGCCCGTGTCAACCACGGCATTCCAAGAAGTGCACAGCACATCCGACAGGTAAAGGCCCACCTCATCGGGAACATTATCTGGGAGAGGCAGAAGATTGACGTCGCCGTAGGGAACACGGACGAATTCAGCTTGGCCACCGGCAAATCCTCCGGTAAAATGAGAATACCCAAACATGCCTGAATACATCAGCAATGAGAGCTTGGCAATGCAAAGGCAATATAGTGAGAGCGATCAAATATACCTGCAGTCCGACGACCATAGAGAGCATGTTCACTAAGACTGCCGTTGGTCCGCTCACAAAGAGAAGACAGTTTCTTTTGGCAATAGAAGCACTCTCCACATCCAATCTGGAAAGAAGCCACCACTCGCTCGCCCACTTTGCGCTTCTTGGATCCTGGTCCGACTTTCTCAACAACGCCGCAGAACTCATGGCCCAAGATGTCATTTTTATGAAGTTCCGGGATAGCGGCTACAGAGGGGAGTTAATATGGATTCTCTTGAAGAATGAAGAACTGCGTACAATGAAGAAGATGGAGATCGCTACCACAGATGGTGCTTCCCGTGATTTTGACTATCACGTCGTCATCGTCCACGATGGTTGGCCTGGCCGTTTCCACTACCACTAAGTCAATAATTACTCACGAGCATAAGACAACTAAATTCCTTACAAAGCTTCACCTGGTTTGGCGCTTGCCAAGTCAGCGCTTTCATCTTGTGAACAGGGTCTCCATGGCCGGTCTCCTCATAGTTGCTAATGCCAGTCGTAATGGAAGGTGGAATTGGAGTCATTATGAAAATGAAAACAGTTAAAACTTAATCTCTGTTAATATGTAAGTTGTTTGATGATTGATGAAAAAAGAAAAGATGGTGAGTATTGTTGTATCGAGAAGAGCGTACTTATAAGATTTCATTTCAAGCCATGTTGTCTTCGCACTTTAGCTTCAGCTCAAGATGGTCGGCTACAGATGATGCCGCATTATAGCTTGCATCCTATCGGATAGCACTTTAGTATGATCTCATCGTGGGAATTATCAGCATTATCACCCAGATATGACAACGCAATGTGATTTCATGATGACAACTATATCTCGGCTCTCAGCTGCAGAACCACTTACTCAAAGTTTGTCCTAATCAATCGGCTACCCCATCTGGGTAGCTAGCGATCGGAATTCGCCACGTAGCCAGAGCCAATAATATGTCAATTGCAAGAAACTTTCAACAATCCCGGAATTTCTTTGGGGACGGCGCACCTGAACACCCCCAGCTTTGAACAAACCCTTGTCGATGATAGTCAAACGCCCTTGACAGCCAATTACCACAAACGACTCATGCAGTCTCTCCGCCAATAATACTACACCTGCAGATCGCCCTAAATTCTCCTCATTTGTTACGATGGCGGTTGCTTTAGCGGACAGCTGCTGAAACTAAACCCATGTGGCCGGGCCGCCTCCACCAAGTGTGAGTGGCGTTCACCCTGCCATCCTTTTCTTACCGGACATATCCGGGAAATGCTCTTATTCTTTGAAGCCGTCTATGAAGCTAGCGGGCGCGGCTGAATTGCTGTAACTACTGGGTAGATACTAGTCCCCATGAGTTGTCCTCGTCGCCCGTGTAGCAAAATCGTATCTTCTGGGCACCTGGTGACGTGTCTGGGGGACAACAACAAAGACATCTGCATACGTGACATAGGAATTTACCAGTCAGAGCGTACCAATAGGTGCTAAGCTACTTCAACTTTCTCGGAGGATCACAGCATTCAATAAATATCTTTTCACCCTGCATTTCTATCTATAGTGGGTACAACATATCATATGATGCACTGCTATTCAACGAGGTGTAGCAATATCTCGATTACTACTTAGAGATCTAAATCCAAGCTTGCTCCGTTAAATATCCCCATCTCTCTCTTAATTGTAAATCAGGAGCAGGCATTTAGAGTAGACCTGCTTGCTTTGCTGTGAAAGCCGCCAGCAGATCCATAAGCGCGGGGGAAAGCACATCATAGGTCTCCAGTCCGAGAGACTTGAACTTTCCACGCACTTGATCAATATCCTTGGAATCAAATCCTTGCTCGATGATCGAAGACACAAATGCCGCGAATTGTGGCTCCTGCCAACCCTTCACATCGGACAGCTCCACGTGCACAAAGTCCAAGCCTTTGAAAGCGTGGTCTTTCTCGATCCGACCAAACAGGTGAACGCCGCAGTCCTTACAGGCATTGCGTTGGATTGTCGCCTCTGGATCCAAAACATGGAGCTTGGATCCGTTGGCAGTCACCAATACAGAGTCACGAGGTACAACGCCAATAATAGCGAAGAGTGCTCCCTTTGGCTTCCAGCATTTAGAGCAGCCGCAAGCATGGTTATGAAGAACATTGCTTTTCAGGGTGACGGTCACTTTGTCCGAGGGACAGTGGCAGTAAAGAGTACCCCCAGTGAAGTCGGCGGCACCCTTGGTGATTCCGTTGTCAATAACGGGATGGAGTGAAAATGCCATTGTAGTGAAGTTGTAGAAGTAAACTACTGTTACTGGTTGGCAAATGTATAATGAAGAGGGGATTGTATGATTGTAAGTAAGTTACTTGGTATGATGGATGTGTTTCGCAAGACTTTAAGCTCTTCACCGGCTACACAGATCTCTTTATAAGCCAAACTTCCTACGATGGGATGAGTCTCCCGAATGATGTGCTCCCGAGGACTTCAAACAATCGATAAAAAGATTAACCGCTCCCTCCCTCATGACTTGCTAACAGGCCAAAGTCTAATCTCCGTGTATTCGGACAATGCAATACATTGTGCCATAACGTTCAGCTCATGTCAGTTCACTACACTGTACCGTGTAGTAAATTGTGACATCCAGTGAAACCTTTTTTCACAGCCGATTCGTCAGTGGATATCAGACGTGCTATAATAGACCAAGGCTAGTCTTAGTTCGCGTTAGAAGCTGTCAGCTAGTGACTCCAAATGCCGAGCAGGCTGTGCAATCATTGCCATGAATCTAGTTTCTTCAGTCAATTGCATCTCTTGGATAATCTTACTCTACTCCATCGAAGAACAATTTCTCGACATCACGCATGTTCTTTTACCCGACTAACGCCAAGAAACATGGCTTACGAGGAAATGTTTCGGAAACTCTTCCGAGGTTATGAACTTCTCGGGGATCTATTCCGTTGTGCACTTCTCGGAAACTCTTCCGCTGGTACATGACCCCTTGTTGATTCGGCTTCCGGAATTCGCATGATTACTAAGAACCCCGAACAGCCGAAACATGCAACTTGCGCCGCCGGACGTAAAGGATATATCCGTGGCAGTATGATAGTAACTAAAAATGGTTAATGAACGGGGATCACTCGTTTACTCTGGCTCCGGTACGGTAATTGCTCCAATTGCAATCTTTATAAGCCTTCAGGGCATAGCTACATGTAAGTTTGAGAGCACGTAAATTTGGCAATTTCGTTTAGACGTAATTATAACAGAGAAAAAATTGCAACGCGCCATGTATATTTCACAGATTAGTTGGATAAGACGGAGATCACTGGTAATTAGTAATAGTATAATCTATTGGGTGTGACTATTAATTGACAGAAAGATACATAGCTATTACACCTCTAACTACATGTATATATAGGTAATTTCAATTCGTATATGGCCCCCCTATGAATCTAACGCTTTACCTCCCTCCCTCCGCTGCTACTTCCAAGTCCGCTCCCCTTCTCATCTACCTCTCTGGCCTGACCTGCTCACCCGATAACGTCACTGAAAAGGGCTTCCTCCACTCCCACGCCTCTTCCCTCGGCCTCGCCCTCCTCTACCCTGATACCTCTCCCCGCGGGCTTGATCTCCCCGGCGAGCACGAATCGTGGGACTTTGGTAGTGCAGCGAGCTTCTACATCGATGCTACTACTAAACCATGGAACAAAAATTACAAGATGGAGTCTTATCTCACCAAGGAGCTACCAGACCTGCTGTTTGGTGCCTTTAAGGAGCTCGACTCGTCGCGAGTCTCCATTGCCGGCCACTCCATGGGCGGTCATGGCGCTTTGACCTCTAAATGCACTCATTGACGTTGTAAGTATCAATCGATGATGGCATTATCATAAAAGTGTTAAGCAAATTAATTGTAATTATGTAGGGCACTGAAGATAACATCTATAAACAGGGCCAACTGCTCCCTGAAAACTTTGCGAAAGTCGCAGAAGAGATTGGTGCGAGCGACCTCCAAGTCAATTACCGAGAAGTAAGACCTATTGTGAAACGGTAGACTCGAAATGATGCTAATGGTTACAGGGCTATGATCATTCTTACTTTTTCATCTCCACATTCGCCGGCGATCACGTCCAGCATGCCGCCAAGGCTCTGGGTCTCCTTTGATTATATTAATTAGCTCTCTTTAATAAAGTCAAGAAGGTAGCTTTACAGTTCTACAATCGTTTGAATTTTATGTAACGTTAAAGCATGCCCTTTGTATAGAAATAATGAGGTACTGGAGTACTCTCAAACATTTGACGGTCAGATTCAATTTCAACTGCCTCAAGGTCTCGAGGCTAGATTGCCGAAGGGAGGTATCTAACGTCCAAGTCAGTCTTTCTTGCTTGGGATAGATTATGTATTGAATAAAAGTATCTCTTCTTGGTTGAACGGGCGCAGAGATATGGCCTTACACAACTTCTCCAGTTTCAAGTGCGTAGGTAGCTAGCAGGCCCACCGCAGCTTCGCATACTGTATCATTCACGCTCCGAATTAATGAAATGAGAAGATTTCAATTAAAAACATAGTGAGATTCTACTACAAATTTGGTGGCGAGATATTATTGGGTAATTGGGCGTTCAGATTTGCATGGGCTTAAATGACCCATGATCACCATAATCACGCCAAGCCTCCAGAACAACGCGCCATTGAGACCTCGCAATTCTATTTTCGTCTCACTTCCAAGCACACATCAACGCATCTAGATATCAGCCAAAGAATGTTCTTTTTACAGCTACACATTCAGTGTTTTCACTCGGCTAATAAAGTAGCCGATATGACTCGAAGCCCGTGAACGACCTGAACAACCCAGATGAACCGCACGGTGGCGAACAATCCCGTTAAATCAGACGTTCCGCAGTACATTCCTGATCTAAGTTAATTCTGTGCAAGAAATATGACTCGTAGAGAAATTAGATGAGATTTTGTGTGGTGTCAGTCGCTCGCCACTGATGCCCTGTTCGATAGAGCGACCCCTGAGTTGGGTACAGTTACATTCAGTTTCAGTGGCAATTGTAAAAGTCTAGGTCAAGACACTAAGCCTATATCACTGAGGCTTGAAAGTGAATTCCAACGGTCATATCTTTCAAACCTTCTTTAGAAATGGTCGATGTTCTATGTTTGCTCAGGAGAAGTCTAGGACATCTAGCTGCTCCAGATATTTCAGCCCATATCACTTTAAACCAATACCTTCGTTCACTGTTGATACGAGGAGATACATAACTAGATTATCTTTGTCATAGCTGAATGGGTACTTAACCCTCCCTCGAGTCCTAGCGTCAACGGCCGTGATACCAGAACAAGCTGCGTCGTTCCAGTTACACCCCCCCTCCCTGCAGAACCAAAAGTCCCACGCGCATTTCATGGAAGGAATTTGAGCGGCATGAGAATTCTCTCCAATGAGAACTTGCTCTGTGAGTATTCTTGAGTGTTTGTGCCGTGCATATGACCACATGAGCCTCGGTTGTGACCCACGTCTCTCCAAGCGACGTAGTTAGGCTCCCAAATTTCGATTATCACCAACTGACTTTCACTTGTGAAAGCCAAGCCCACGCCTACCTAATGCGAGCTCCGCATTCTTTGTATAGTTTTCGATTAGTGTGTCATGGTTTTGAATCCTGGTCCCTGTCTTCTGTGTTGTAGAGGCTATCTGAGGTGGCGACAGAGTGTCATATTCTTTCCGTCCAGCTGCTCGAATCTTCCTCTCACGTCACCATTATCCTTTGTGTTAAAGCACTGTCCAATAATAGACGATTCAACACCATATCACCAACTCATGGCATTTGAAAGACCCAGCGTCGGCAGGACCGGAGCTAATTTAACTACATATAGGTGTCAGCCGCTTTCAACCGGCAGTTGAAACTTGGAACTTGGCGTTTCACCGCTCCAATAATTCCCTCGCTTCCACTGACTGCATCATTTTGGATCAAGCTGAGGTCACGCGGGTGGTGGAACTAGTTCTATCAGCCGCGTAAAGACGAGACAGGATTTCGATAGTCGTGTAGAGCTGAAAGAGATCTCATAGTCTCCACTTCACTAATATATGGAATGAATCGTACTGAACTCTAACGAAGTATCTTTTTATCATTTATCATTTAGAGCCTGGGTGTTGTGGTAAGAAGACCTTGCCTGAGCCAGTCAGGTTTATAGCGGTCTGCCTAAGCTGTAGTCCACTGGCGACACGAAAAGGCAAGTGCAAGATATTAGTCGTCTTGTCTAGCAATTTGTTTTAATAATGCGAGTCAGAGTAAGTAGACTAGTAACTTGTCTTCTATCCGAACTGAAATCTATGAAATGTGCCGTGAAGACCAAGTTGGCCACTTTTGTGAAAGGGGCACTAGGCCCTGGTTTATGAGTTTCAATGCTAGGTCTCTTTTCACACAGACCACCGCTGCTCTAACAAACTCTCGTTTAAGATAATTTCCTTCCGGAAAGATGCTGTGTAGGAATTCAACTGCTTAGATCAATACTCGCGTCATAATCTGCGTCTTAACTCTCATACAGGTAGCTAGGGAGGGGATAAATACTTCACAAGAATGAGATATTAGGCTACCAAGCGGAGTAGATTGCCAAGGTTTTATTCTCTGACAAAATCCCTCATCATTCAGTGCATATGTCGTAAGGGTGCTATGGTCTTTAGTTCTTAATTCATCACAGTTATTATCAAATACATCTCACGTATTCCCTCGGGCCATTTGAAGATCATATTAGTGTGGATTTTCATCCACGAAGTCTATTGGTAGGTATTTTTCTTTTCTCTTTCCATTGCCACTATCAAGGGTGAATACTATTACACGTAACCAAGCCATGCCTCATCCTCCACTAATCTTAGGCTTCCATATCCAAAACACAGCGGATACAGTCACCGCTCTTCATGTGTTGGAAAGCTGTATTGATGGTAGCCAATGATTCGCGGTGGGTAATGTAATCGTCAACCTTGAGGTAGCCTTGGAGGTAGTCCTCAACGAGATTTGGAAGCTGGGAGCGACCCTTGATGCCACCAAACGCGCAGCCTCTCCAGACGCGTCCCGTCACCAGCTGGAACGCTATGTATCAGGTTAGAAGCGGGTTCACCTAGGTAGCCAACAAATGCGGGAGTGAACTTACGCCTAGTAGAAATTTCCTGGCCGGCCGCGGCCACACCAATGATGATGCTCTGACCCCAGCCCTTGTGGCAAGCTTCGAGGGCAGCACGCATTACGCCGACATTTCCCGTGCAGTCAAAAGTGTAGTCACATCCACCGTCTGTCATCTCGACCAATTTCTCCTGTATGGTCTGTCCACCCAACTTTGTGGGGTTGACAAAGTCAGTGGCACCAAACTTGCGAGCCCAAGCCTCCTTATCGTCGTTCACGTCGACAACAATGATTTTGCCGGCATTGTTCTTGACTGCACCCTCAATGACAGACAAGCCAATGCATCCAGCACCGAAAACAGCAATGTTGGATCCCTCCTCAACCTTGGCAGTAACAGTTGCAGCGCCATAGCCTGTAGTAATTCCACAGCCCAACAAGCATGCACGGTCGGTGGGTGCTTTAGGATTAACAGCCACAACTGAGATGTCGGCAACAACGGTATACTGTGTAAAGGTCGAGGTACCCATATAGTGCAGAATATCCTTACCGCGTGCCCTGAAGCGAGTGGTGCCGTCGGGCATCAAACCCTTCCCTTGTGTAGCGCGGATCTTTTGACACAAATTGGTCTTCCCAGACTTGCAGAATTTGCACTCGCCGCACTCCGGAGTGCTTGTAGTAATCAGTAAAGATTCACACCAGCCAATTCAAAAGAGCAACCTACTAGAGAGCGATCACTCGGTCACCAGGCTTGACATTAGTCACGCCTTCACCAACCGATTCAACAATGCCTGCACCCTCGTGACCAAGGATGACAGGGAAGTCTCCCTCGGGATCCTTGCCGGAAAGAGTATAGGCATCTGTGTTGTGACCACCAATGTCAGCCAATTTGAATCCAATTCACATCAAGAAACATGAGTCAAGGAACCAAGTCGACCAATAAGGATGACAAACTCACCTGTATGACAGACACCGGTATTGAGAATCTGGATGCGAACCTCGTGGGCTTTAGGGGGGGCAACCTCGATATCCTCAATAGACAATGGCTCTCCGGCAGCCCAAGCAACAGCAGCCTACTACAGATCAGCAAAACAAGCTCCGAGTGAGGCCAAAACAATCTCAAAAACAGGTTATAGACGCAATTACCTTGCAGGTGATAGTCTTAATATGTACGTTAGCCATGATTCTATAAAAAAAACATACAGTGTTGCACTGAACCGTTGCCAGAGTCAGGAGATGTGATGCTCCTCATCCACTGACGTAGGTCGAAGTCTCGATGATATTTGGGGATACAATGGGAAATCTTACCTTGCCAACAGTGCTAGCCATAATCTCGATATTGAGAAAGACGATTTCTCTGTAGTTGATGAAGTAATGCAATAGTGTGCTAACTGTACTAGTATCCGAGAGTGAAGAACAACCCCGATATTTGGATCGAGATAATCGAAGCTATATAGCACAATCTCCCACAACTTTGTGCGGTTCAACCATTTACCGACGTGGAAAAGCATTGTAAAAGAAATAACGTCATTATTTGCAACACCAGGCGCTGATGTTTGAGGGTGGAATAAGGCAGTCTTTGAAAAAGGAATAGGCCGGATGATTAGTTGCATGTCAGATATATGGGGGGTAAACAGTGGTTGAACTACCCTTGACCTGGATCCCGCCACCTCTCACTAAGGTTCACAGACAGCTGAAAAGCAGGCAACCAGTTTAAGAAAAAGAATTATACGGAGATTGGGAATAAGCAGTGCACAGCTCCAGAAGATAGGTACACGAGTAAGAATACCTACTCACTGATCATTCACACTCGTCTGCGGTTCCGTCAATTGAACCAATACAATGCGTCCTCATCTCATGCGCTTTATGTCTTTTATGCCCGCCTGCTAAAGCTTGGTCTTCTTTGACAATTGCATTAACTCAACGGTAAGTTTTCGAGGCTGCAAGTACTAGAGCTGAGAGCTCATATCTTTACTTCAGCGCGTGTTCATCAAGCAATTACAGCTACTGGCCCAATTTTAGGAGATACAGTCCAGTGCTACTCCATACATTCAGCTACATTCCAAAAACACATAGATCAGCGTCGCAGCTCCAAGCAAACTTAATTTGTATGGAACCCTTTCATCTCCTCGTACTCTGTAGGTTCCGTTATTTGGATTGAGGTAATTGCCATCTTTGGGGTAGCGGCCAATAGTGACTCATGGTGCGCGGTACTCGTATTCTAGCCCACGACGGCATTGTTTAGAGTTCCCCCACCCAGCCTGGGCATGGCTCTGCCGTCCTTGATGCCTGCTAGATACATTAGTTTGCAACGGCGCGGCGGTAATTGCTCGGTCTTCGGGAGGTTGACTAGGAGTCTGTTACTAAGCTCTCTCCATCATGAGCAAACTTCTCGAATGCCTGTGTTTTGGATTGACAAACATCTGCATCAATCAAGATGATTAACATGAAGAGAGCAAGAAAGATTAACCGATGTACTTCATCTTCTGCAAAGCCTCTGGAGTTTCGGGATGCATCCGAGATCCCGAAAACACACAGATCCTGATTTCTGCTTTTTTGCCCCTGAGAGTAAATTCGAAGTGTTAAGCGTGACAGAATTACAAAGCCACTCCAGCAAGAGCCTGATCATTGCATGAAGATTTTTACCGTTGAAAAAATCGTCAAAGGATGGCCCCGATGAAGATACGAATCTCTCCATAGTTGGTAACCTACTGACCCTCCATAGGTTTACTGGTTTTCAGCACTCCAACCCTCCCTTGCCTCAGCAAGTGCGGCATAGTTTTCTGTGCATTGTCTTACATGGAAGGATCAGCCAGGTCAATCTACGATTTTTAGATCTTCCTGGTGAAGGCGTAAAAAATATTTTCCTCATTTCTTGTCTCTGTCAATTGTTTTTAAAGTTCTTTTTTTGGTTCAGTTTACCTTAAAACTGACTGTACAATTACATTGATACACTAAGAGAATATAATAATTATAATATCGTAATGACTTGCGTGCCGCGTCCTGAGCTATCCGCCAACTTGTTTTGTTTGTTTGTTTGTTTTATTATTAACGTCCACTAAGTAAGCTAGTTACATAAGTCCTCATCTGGGCACTAGGACGGTAGGAGCCGCCGAGTTCAGATCGGGCGTTCGCTACGTTTCAATGTGACAAAGGAAAAGGGGAAGTGTCAATCTTGTTTTACGTGTCTGTTTCTGTAGGGGGGGGGGCCGTATGGGCTTGTCTCCTCCACTAGTTTCTGGAAGTCCTTGTACCCCCCGTCACCGAGGAGGTATTGGATGTGGGTGGAACTATCCGCCAACACGAGTCGACTCTCGATAATATTTTGCCCCATTCTTCGCCCTCGATGAGATGTCGCTCGAAGAGGTCTCCCCAAAGGTGGCTGGTGGATTCTTTGGTGCTCAAATCTTTGAGCAGCTACTAACAGCAGTGGTATTAACCCATAGGAAGTGGTTCGTCCGGTTCGGTTATATAAAACCTTTGGCCTGCATCTCTTTGTCTGTCCACTCCCACAACTTGGTTGCCAGCTCGGAGTCCTCTGCAAACTTGCTAGGTTTCTCAACTTTTGCCACTGGGACAAAGTATTTCCCATTGAGTTCAACAGAAAAATCAGGGCTCGCAATCGTATATAGAGAGTTGTAAGACCCGACATCAACTGAAGGTGTTACCTTAAGACACTTCAAGATCGGCCCTAAGACCGCTGCTGCAGTTGCGAGCCCTTTTGCATTTTCGTTTAGTTGCCTGCAATACGTTAGACAGTGAATCACGGATAAAAGCTGAGCATTTGTAAAGAGCTTACGTGTCATAATTACCGGGGTGAACACTTGCTGTCCAAATTGGGGCGTCGCTGGTGGAAAGTTCTGTTCCTTCAGGCCCATACCGGCGAAATAACTCCTTGCTGTGTAGGACATTTGCTAGCTTGGATTGGCCATAGCGAGACCAAGGACCACCTTTAACCTGATTGATATCTTCAAAGTCAATACCGGTAGACGGTGTGTAGTATTTGTGGCCGATTGAGGAAACATTCGTCACCCGAACCGTCCCTTCTGCGCATAATGCCGCGGTTGACACTAGGAGCGGTAAGAGGTGCTTCGTCAACAACCAGTGGGACATGTAGTTGGTCTTTTGGGGAAAAGGTCAGTTCAGCTTCTTATCTGCAGCCAGATAGGGCGTATTAACCATACCTGCCATTGAGATTCGTAACCATCCTTTGATGTCTGCTGGGGCACAGCCATGATTCCTGCGTTATTCACAATTCCGTGTAATCTCGACTCTTTCTGTAGAATGCCCTTTGCTGCTGCTACCACAGAGCTGAGATCCATCATATCCATAAGCAAGAACTCAATTTCAGCGTAAGGAATGTCCTCTCTGATGCTTTCGATAGCAGAACGGGCTTTGTCCTCATTTCGTGCTCCCATATACACTTTTGCATTATGCTTTGCTAAGTGAACCACTGTGGATTTGCCACTGATGATACATCGATTAGCAGCAGTACATTGTCAATAGGGGTGACCAAGACCCAAGAAGAAGTCCAAGTTACCACTTGGCCGTTGCGAATTGTTAACAGACTTACATGCCAGTGTTTCCTCCGGTTACAATGTAAACTCTTCCCGCAAGATCCGGAAGTGTGTCAGGATGGAAAGCCATGGTGTCCTTGAATCCGAATCAATATAGACAAGAGAGATTGTTGTTGTATGAAACTGAAGCATTTGATGGTATTTTTGAGAAACAGCAGATACATTGCCTTTTGTATACGTTGACTCCTCAACTTGCTATTTCTTATTATTGCTTACTGAAACTCCGATCAGTACATCCACCCAGTGGACGAAGCCCCACTGCGGACGTTGCGGCCGCTGCGGTTAAGCTGAGTCGAGTTCTAAACCTTGGCCGTTTGCAAAAACAAAAAGATCGGCCGCACATTCCCGCATTACCCACAGCATACCACATGTACCTTCCATGCCCCCTATTTACGATACATAAAATGGCTATGACTTGAGTCGTTTATAGTAAACTGATCCGTAGCCAACTGAATCGTACTACAACTGCGACGGCTGCCGCTACCCAGTTAAGTTTTAACATGGCCTTAGGTACATGTCCCTATTCCGCCTTTGCCTTAATTTCTTGCAATGCAACAAAAGCCGAACGCTTCAAACGGCCGATAGTCATGGCCCCATCAACATCAGCTTCGGCTACTTCTTTCTGTCTACATGATATCAGATATAATGGACCCGTTGAGGGCCCTGGTATCGGTAATGATCCCGCGTGACTTAACAACGGCGCGAGGATGAGGGTGGATGTATGTGCCTGAGTTGCTGAGGAATAGGGGATCGGTATCATACAGCCTATGGTACCCTGTTTTCGTGGAGCTTGTCGAGTTGGAGGAACTGCATTACTTTGCTCTCTTAGAAAGTCTCTTGTCCCATTTCCCGCTCTGCTACATTTAAAAGCTCGAGGTAGGCTCCTACACGTCTGTTAGAGTTGAAACTTGAAACAATAGGGTTACCATTGATAGACACAATACCTGCAGCTTTCCATCTGGTATCCATCATCTGAAGAGCGGTTACACAAATAGTCTTCCCAATGAGATATTGCTCATTGCTTGTTTCCATAGCCATCCACGAAAGAGCAACGGATGTACGATACAGACAATGCAACACTAGAGGGGAGAGGCACACCAAGTGAGAGTCTTGCGTCAGTTTCATCAGCACCTGGGCAAAGGACACGACTCGAGAGCAGTTCTCCTTCATCTTGGCAATGGAACGATCCATGCATTCACGAAGAAGTGCCGCTGTTTCTATATCAATTGGCATGTTTTCGCTGAATGAGTCACAACTGTGGTGATCGCTGAGCTTCATCTGGGCACTGACATCGTTAAAATTCGCTTGCACGAAGCACATGAAAGGGTATAGTTACCTCAAACAAAGAGACTGTGCGAGATAGAAAGCTCCTGCGACGGCAGAGTTTTCAGTTAACAGAGACAAAATTGAGGATGTAGTTTGGTGTAATAACTCCATGTCCTCGAGCATAAATGCAGGCGCGCTAGCTTGATCATTGCAGTGCTTAATCACTCTTCCTAATAAATGTGACGCTTGAGCCACGCGTGCAAATGGGCTGATCTGCATGCTTGTAGCAGATGCTAAAGACAGTCTTTCGGGAGGCACGATTTCCTACTCCGACACGTTATTAGTTGAATATTGTGGTCTGTAACGAGCTGACCATCATACCCCGTTTTTCCAAGCCTCATCATCCACGGGAATGGGTGTGTCAATAGTTGGGTCTTCCGTGAATAATGAGCGCTGGTCGCTTCCCGCTGCGACATATCTATCACGACGTTAACACCAAAGCTATCCAAGGAGAGAGTGTCTACAGACCTGTCGAGTATAACCACGTACCACCATGCTCTTTGTCTTTCTTCCCAATCCACCCAGCTCCGTGGTGTTTGTAGCATTTGCGGAGCCAGCTTATTATGCAAGCCGAGGGTAATACCAAGACTAGCACATGTACCGATAGACGTATAAGCCGCCGGAAATATGGCGTGACCCAGTTCATACACCGCAATGATCAAAGTAGCTTGCAGTTTCGTCAAAGTATACAATCCGTCCAGTGTATGGCAGAACTGTTTTGCAATCACGTAGAGGCCTGAGCGTTCTGCATCATTGTTTGTTGGCACTTCGAGAATGAGTTTCATAGACAGTAATAGCAGCGCGGTATCCGGTCTAAGCCCATTCTGGCTCCGATGATTGATCAGTCTGTTAAACTTGGCTTCGTTCAAAATAGGCATCCAAGTATTCATCAATCGAAAATACTGAGTTTTTATATGATCAACGGCTAATTGATCCCCAATGGCGGTAAATACTTCTTGGGGAATAGAAACATTAACCGCAATATTAGGTTTGATGCAATATTCCGAGAGCCCTGAATCCAGGAAAAGGGAATTCAAATATGTCTTGGATGAAGCATCGTGGAGCATTGGCGCAGCCGTTGTATCTTCGAGACTTGACAATCTCGATGGCGTCTGGTTTGACAACCGAGCAACCTGCTGTTCCAGTTCAAAGATTCTAGAGCGTAGACTGGCCGAGTCATCGGTACCATTTGTCGGCCCCGAGTAATCGCAAGGGCGGCGCAACCTATGCAGGCATTAACATTTACTGATACGATTTAAAACATGAATTTACCTTTTACATGACGAACAACTCGGGACATTCTTATCGCAGCGACGCTTGTTCTTCTGGCATGCAGCACAAGCACGAGCGGCCGTTTCGACCGCAACTGAGCTTTCAGCCATGAAGCTCGCCCGTAGATGGATACTTTCCAGGAAGAGAATGGTCACTTTGGTATAATAAGTGAGAGGGATGTTATATCCCTGAACTAGTGTGCGGCCGCACGCTAAAAGTGTCCATGCAATCAGCTGACTGAAAGTTCAGATGTTCTTTACCAATCCTGCGGAGTATATTAGGAGTGGCCGGGTTGCTCTTGTGGGGTAGCTATTAAAAACAAATTTATACATTTCCATACATCTTTTTTTCTTATTTTACTCATAACTCTTTTGACTCCTATGTCAGTCTAGCTAATACTCCTAATCAACGTGGTTATTTACTTGACGGTTATGTCATTTTGTTTCTTTGAATGTAGTTATTTTTGTCATTGTAATAGCTAGATTGTAGAATATTTGTACATTATTTTAGAATCTTTTCATCCTTTCATATCACCTAGCCTGATGGGGTTTCAGAATACAAATTGTAAAGAAACGGGACTGCAACATTTGCATCTACCTATGACTCTTCGCTTTCATGTTAATTAAAAAGATGGAACCAACGGCTAGAGAACTCGGCAACCGAAAGCTAAATCATGGCCTCGCGAGGGACGTATTCAACCGGACTAACAAAATGCTATCGGAACTCGGAGTGATACTCTCGACCGTAAAGTGCGGTAAAGCGGGACATGGCGGAGTTGCAATTGCTACTCCTTAAAGCCCGCCTTTTCGACGATTTATACTAATTTGGGGATACACGGACATATAAATACTCACTTGATCTCTAGTCAGGAGCTCTTCCATCAGCCATCATACATAGGATCATCTACGGTTGACATATTGAACCATGAATACAGCTGTCGAATTCCTCCTTGGTTCGTTGGCACTTGCCAACAGTATCCTAAGCAATGATTCAAGTCTCCCGACAGTGGACCTAGGCTACCAGATTCACCGCGCCATCTCCCTGGATGTGAGCACTTCCCACTCCTAAGCAATCCAGGTCCTGTTTATTAACCATCAGGTACAGGAAACATTCAACACTTACAACTTCACCAACATACCATATGCGGAGCCTCCTTTGGGTCCTCTGAGATTTAAAGCACCTATTCCACCTAGAGGTCGGAAGTCTGAGATTCAAGATGGTAATATTGGAAAGATCTGTCCTCAATCTAACGGTAAATGGAATGGAATGGCGGGTCTGTTTGCCGCCGATTACGCAGCAGACAGGCTCCCATTCAACTACACGCAAGCTGAGGAGACTTTGGCCAACTCGCCGCCTCCAGCAATTGATCCTCGGACCACTGAGGATTGTCTCGTTTTGGATGTGCTAGTTCCAAAAGTAGTCTTTCATGAACATTCCAAGTCAAAGGGAGCTCCTGTCTTGGTGTGGATTCATGTAAGTCCGCTGTCTGGCTTGTTTCTTCAGCACAGTGGCTTATTCTAATGCGCTTCAGGGAGGCGGCTATGTCCTTGGGGATAAGACTATGTTTGGAAGCCCCCAAGGTCTTATTGCGGCCTCTCAGCAAGGTGAAAACCAAGGTGCTATCTGGGTAGCTATGAACTATCGCCTTGGAGCCTTCGGGTTCCTCTCAGGCCCTACCTTGCAAGAGACTGGTACAGCGAATGCAGGTCTTCATGACCAGAGACTCGCTCTCGAATGGGTGCAAGAGAACATTCACAGGTTCGGCGGAGACCCTGATAACGTCACCGTCATGGGTATTTCAGCGGGTGGCGGGTCAATTATGCACCAGATTACGGCATACGGCGGCGTGAAACCTTCACCATTCCGCCAAGCTATCACGCAGTCATCAGCCTTTATTCCCAATCCAGGGACTCAATTGCAGGAGGACGTATTTCACGACTTTCTCTCGCTTCTCAACGTCAGCTCTCTTGAAGAGGCTCGAGCTCTGGACTCCGCCACTCTGATTGAAGCAAATGCTAAACAGATCGCCGAGGCACCATACGGCACATTTATCTTTGGCCCAACTGTTGACGGCGATTTTGTCCCTGCTATGCCAACGAAACTGCTCCTTCAGGGTTCCTATTCAAAGGGCATCTCTATTCTATCTTCTCATATGAGCCATGAAGGAATTTTCTTCATAGATCCAAGAGCCGTTGGCAACAAAACGCTGTTGCGTCAGCAGCTTCGGGATATGTTTCCGCAAATGTCGGAAAGAAACCTCAATTTTGTGTTCGACACACTATATTCGCCGACTTATGATGGGTCGTATCCTTACAAAACCCCTCTTGAACGAGCGCAACTTATTATTGCTGAAACAATCTTCATCTGCAACCAGAACTCCTTGTTAAACAGTGCAATGCAACAAGGCACGGCGGCGTTCGGGTACCAGTTCTCGATCCCACCAGCGCTTCATGGTGGCGACCAGGCCTATATTTTCCCCAATGGTCCATTCCCCGACGTCGATCCTGTCATTTCCCAGTTCGTTCAACAAACCATCGCTAGTTTCGTTAACAATGGTGCGCCGTCCGAACACATTGCTAGAGTTTCGATCCCTCCGTACGCGACCAACAAATCTGTTCTTAATCTGGTCCCGAACTCCCCAATAATTATTCCTGATCCAACAGCTAACGAGAGATGTGATTGGTGGCATAAAGCTTTATATAGTTAAATCATCGAGTTCTATACAATAGTTTGTTGGTGATAGATAAATCCATTTTTAAGAACTTATGAGCTCTGAGCTGTAGCTTACCGTATGTAGAAATAGTGTATTCGAACCCAATCTACGCCTGGGACTAAAGATGGTAGCTGAAAGCTTTATGTTGTAAAGCGATCATGTTAGTATTCGCGAGACTAAAGATAACATCCAGAGATATGATTTTTCTAGTTTAAATAGTCTAGAATATATTTAAAAAGATAAATAGAATCCTCTACTCTGGGAAACCAATGTAACCCATAGTATTCACAAACCACAGGTATCATACTCGTCGAAGACCGATGCCCTTCACCAGAGAAGTCGCAGCTCTGCTCAAGTTTTCACCATTAATATAATTTATTACACGAGCTGTAGCCTTACTATTCTTCCTATGCCATGCATCTTTGATATATATGAATACTCGTGATATGGCCTTTGCATTTTTTGATCCGATCGACATACAGGTACAGCTCTGTTTAAACTATTTCAATATCTTATAGGGTATATAGTATTTAAAACTGGCGTTTGTATTGACTTTGTATTGCTTTATACTGATTGGCTGTTCGGTTTATATTTGTTCCATGGTAAGTGTCTTCGTGCAGCTTGCAGGCTGTGCGAGGCGTCGGGCTGTGCAAGGCGTCGGGCTGTGCAAGGCGTCGGGCTGTGCAAGGCGTCGGGCTGTAAAACTTGAGCCTTGGGCCGCTACAGCATCAACTACATGTTATCTAAAGTCTTCCACGTGCTTAACAATCGTCCATACTGTCGATAATCTCAATGTCGTTACCGTTCTCACTCTCGGTTAGTGACTTCTTCACTGTTGGACAGCTCATTGGGAAAGTGGCAGTCGAGCTTCGCGGGGTATGTATTGAGGCAAATATCTAGGGTTCTTATAACTCCGTTGGGCATCGTTTCGTCACTGCATACTGAGCTCTACTAACGGGAAACAACGAACAGAATGGAGAAGCAGCACCTGAATACCAATCCCTCTTAATCGAACTTGAGGCACTCGAACGAGCTCTGCGCCACCTCCAGACTCTGAAGCCTGCAAAACATGAGCTCCTCCAACTTACGTCCATTCGAGCCACCGCCCTCGCGTGCGAAAGGCCGCTCCGAAACTTCCTAGACAAGGTCTCCAAGTTTGAGAGACGTCTTGGATCATTCGACATCGCGAATAATACATTGAAGGGTCTCCCCCGCAAGATGCAATTTAACATCATGCTGAAAGAGGACATAAAAGAGCTGCGATCGGCTTTAGCAAGCCATGTTGCGACAATCAACCTTCTTTTGATGACCCAAGCTGTTACTTCAATATCAGTTGCCGAAAACGATAGGAGCCATCTCGCATTGAGCCTGGAGAGCAAGATATTGGCTCACAGTCGAGTCCTACAGGCTATCAATGGTCGTGTTGATACTTCTCTAGTACAGCAGCGAGAGATCAAAATGGAATTAGAAACTCAATCTTCCGCTGTTGCTGAATTGGGGGGCAAAGTAGACGAAGCTCGTCAATCCATACAGAAAATCGAGACCATGGCGAACCATACTCGAGTTGAGACAAAAAGCACTCTAGAAATGGTAACCGAGACGTTGTCTCTTTTAACATCAGGGGTGATGCACCTACACCAAATCACCAAGCAGCTGCGCAAAATGATTCGAATTTGTGCCACATTTACAGAAGAGATGCGAACAGCTCTATCCAAGTTGATGGATCTCTTCATTAGTCTTCAGAAAACGCTTCAGCGAATCGATCATAACATACCAATGCGCGTGTATCTCCCAACTGTACAATTTACCACAGCATTGGGTGAAACGATGTCATTGCCCTACCAGCTCTGCCAGCAGTGGACGAGCTTCAAAGAATTGCTGAGAGTAATCTTCTTGGATAAGCCTGGAAAATTTCGCGTTGATATGGGGAAGTACCTGATTATGAATGCCCGTGGGGGCAGGATACTGGCAGAGGCCTCATGGCAGCATGCAGTAAGGCAAGACGATCATTTGTCCATGTCTATTGTTCTTGATGAGCTATCGGCAAGGTCTGGGCGTTGTCCATTTCCGTCTTGCCATGCTTCTACAGAGAGTGTGGAGGCCGAAAATGGTGGTCGCACATGTCCTAAATGCGGTCGGTGGTCTCTACTCACTCTAACTAATGCATCGAGTAGCCATATCAGGCTGGGGCGCACAACACTGACCGGTAAAGAATATAATTACAGCATCTCAAACTCAAAGTTTTCCTCTGATACCAGCAACGGCTTGAAGGAGGAGACGCAACTCATTGAGGACAAGGAAGACATTGAGCTCTACAGGCAGATCCAGGTTCAGGTTCAGCAGAGCTCGACCTTTCAACCTTCTTTGAAGAAAAGAGGGCATAGCAGCCTGTTAAAATGGATCAAGAGGAGAATGAAGAGGGGAGCGAAGGCAAACAAAGAGGTCACAGTGTTATGGTAGAGCTGGAGGAAAGAACTAAATCAATTGTAACTGCAATACTTACACCAATTGACCCTCACAATATATATTACCAATGACCCTTCTCTAGCTGATTCACAAGTGGCATACTCTGGCCATTAATAGACTGAGTGACTGGAATATTTATGGTGCTTATAACGAGAGCGGACTTGCGTGGTGTAACAACCTGTAACACCTTTTACACAGGTATCTTCTCCAGCCATGATCTTGTACAAGGAATTCAGTTGAGTTAGAAACTTAGTGTCAACGGCTTCGCTCCATGTTGCAAGTACTTAAATCCTTCTAGAGCAAATGAACAGCGTTTCTATCGGCAATGACCGGGTTACGCACCGCATTGGGCTCTTGGTTTATCTTGTGTCGACACCTAAATAACTGTGTCGGCTCCGTCAATTTAATTGTAGCTATCCTATTTCCTATTGCCTTCTCTCCTGCGCCTGCCTCATTTGTTGAAATCACAACTCTTTACGCAATCGGCCAAACATTTAACAAATAAACACGTCCAGTAGATGTTTAGGATTTAAACCACTAAATCTAAATTATTCAGAAGCTCTCGTATACTCAGCAGGATGGTTTCTATTGGGCCGTTCAAGTACGAATAAACTATTACAAAACTGCCACTACAATTATTGACAGAAGCATTTCATTTTTGTGACCGCACTTAGTGCCAAAACATCATCGAGCGTTCAAGACAAGTGCTTCTTCATAAACTCGGCAACATCCAGCACTGCAGGACCCACGTAGACTTCGTTATCGTAAAAATCCACGTGCGCTCCCTTTGGAACAATGACTTTCTTAGTCGCACCGCCAATGAGCTTGTCCAATTTCTCGGTATGCCACAGCGATCCAGCATCCGAACCAGCAATGAGAACAGTTGGCTGCTTGAGGAAGACATCGGCTAGGTGGAATGCATCAAAGGTGAGAACACGAGGGAAGCTGAGATACAGCATTTTGTTTTCGGCACGGGGATGCTGTGCCTACGGCGTAAAGTAGTAGTCGCTGGCCTCCCTCATATCTCGAGGAGTCTTGTCGTCAGGCTGGGGAGGCACATATGGCGCAGCTGCACGCTCAGCACCCTTCGCCTCAGCCGTGATCTGAGCTGCTGTCGCCTTCAAGTTGTCGAGTTTCTCCAAGGGATCCTCATCCCCATCCCATCCAAGTCGCGCTGAGTCTCCAATGTTCACCATACTGACGGTTGCCACGGCCTTCAATCGCTGGTCTCCCTTGGCGGCAGCAACTGCGTAACCACCTCCAGCACAGATTCCCAGTACACCAATCCTCTCCGAGTCTACAGAGTCAGGATTTTAGAGGTAATCGATGACGGCATAGACATCGCTCACACGTTCATTTGGATCTTCGAGGAAGTGAGGTTCTCCTCCGCTGGCGCCGTGAAAGGATGCATCATAGGCGATTGTTGTAAAACCTGCCTCGGCAAGCTTTTTCGCATATGTTCCCGCAGTCTGTTCTTTAACACCACCACCTGGATGGACAATAACGAAAGCTGGTGTCTTCTTGGACGACTCAGTGGGTTTAAAGAGAAGGCCGGCGAGGCTGATGGGGCCTTTCTTGATCGAAATTTGGGACATGGTGCAAATAGGTTTAACTTGTATTGATGATCAGATAAAGTATTATAATACAGATGAGAATTCAGTTCACCTCTTCTGTTCCCACTGCTGCTTTTTATCTTTTTGAACTTCTTAGAGGAAAGTTGAACTTTAAAGCAGTTCGGCCGAAAATTCATCGGCCGATAGACGCTCATAGCGACGAGTTGGCATGAGAGGAGTACTAAAGCCGAAATCTTTCGGCCGAGCTCTTAACTCCAGTAACTCCAACCTCATAGGTACAATTAGTCAGAACTTATAAAGTTTCAATTTGTTAGCTATGCTTCTAGGAGTAACAATGACGTTGCGTATGAGATGCATAAGGTGGACCAGGCAATCGACAATTGTTAATATCTCCGATAGATGAGACTGTTTCGAGAATCTCCCATGGCGGACGCTACGTATTAACCTGCGATGGATGCCCACGCTACCTGCACTCAAATTACAAGTATCCACCCTTTGAGTTTTGATAATAATGCTCATTGCTGATCCATGATATACAATAGTGTGAAACCTGAAAGTGAATGAAGTAATGCAATGCTTTCCCGCACCCCAGCTACAGGAAAGAAAGGAAAGCAGCAGTTGGTACTGGACGCCAAGTCTCTAAAGTCAAAGGTAGAAAGAGAATTATGCTAACAGCTAATTATGTGATCAGTCAAAATAAATCTTCTCCCACAGATTGCCAGAATCTTAGTCATAGATGAGTAGATCAATAACACTCAGCTGATCCAACCAATACGTTTAACTGAAGTCATCTGGATTCGGTTGAGAGAGAGAAGTTGAAGAAGCAAGTCCCGAAATTCTATCCGACTGGGAAATGTTAGTTTGCGGACCTCTAAGTGGGTTAAAGTCCTGTTGGCCGAGGTCCTTCATCAGATTATGAAGTCCATCCACTGGGGTGTTATAGAAGGGCGTCCTCGCGTCAGATATGTTACCAGATGATTCAAGAGTACTCTTCAGCTTTTGATAACAACGCTGGATAATATCCAAGCCTGAAGCCGCTATCACATTGGAAGTCTGCATAATAGTGAGACTCTCAATCGCTTGTTGAAGGCTGTGGCTGATTCTTTGTCTGGTCTCATTATTCTGCGGCGGAAATAGAATCGTGATGATGGAGACTAGAAATGAGGCATCAACAGTGTAGAAAGCAAACGCAAACAGCTGGTAATGATGCGGCTTGGCATGCGCAAAGAAAGATTGCTGGCAATCAAGGGTTTCAAGTGCGGCCTGTAAAGCAGCTCTTCGACTCTCGAGATTAGAAATGATATGCGGCCGGTGTAACGTCATTAGAAACAAACTCGTCATGACTTGCACTTGGTGGTAGTAAGTTAATAACAAGACGTTCACGACCTTGAGCTTCAATAGTACGCTGCTTAGCCATCTTTTCGAGAGCGTCAACCGGGTCGTAATTGCTAAACGCCTCGCGGGAGAGACGACCAAAGTTGACAGGCGTGATGCCAACGCAGCATTTTAAACGATGAACCGTCATGGTTGCGTTGATGGCATAGCCGCCTCCACCGCAAATTCCAAGAACTCCAATTCGATCAGCATCGACATGAGGGAGCGTCTGAATGTAGTCGACGACGAAGCGGAAGTCGGAGACGCGGAACTATGGGTCCTCAATAAAGCGAGGCTCACCGCCAGAGGCGCCTTGGAAGGACGCGTCAAAAGCGACAACCACAAAGCCCGCTTCGGCTAATGCTTTCCCGTAGATATTGCCCGAGGTTTGCTCCTTGCATAAACCAATGGGGTGAGCGCTCACGACAGCAGGATACTTTTTGTTGTTGTCAAAATTGGGCGGAAATTGAATATCGGCCGCAGTCGCCCACGCAATGTTGGGAATACTGACAGTCTTGATTGTTTGAGACATTGAAACTAGTTTTGACGATTGGACGATGGTTTAGAGCTATGTGTTGTGAAAGCCGACATAGCATGCCTTAATCACTGTTTATATACTCAAGGGGTCCTACAATAATGACCCGATCACGACATGGCCAAGTCCGAAACTTTATCAGAGCCAAATGAATTCGGCCGCAAGCACAGTGCTCCGAAGCTTCGAATGCCGCGAAATGTCGTACTGTGAAGGCATATAAGAGCTGAGTCTAGTTTCGGCAGAAGACCCCCAACTAGCCCCGAAATCATGTCGTCAGTGGCGAGTGAGGACCGCATCAAGACATCTAGATATTACCGGAAGAACAAATAAAGCATTCTCGTGATTATATATATCTTCAGATACATGAGATTTTAGTATAGAAGTAATATTCTAAACACGGTATGATTTATCTCCATTTTCTATTAGCAGATAAGCTCATCAAGAGCAGTCCATGGCTGTGGAATGAACGAATGCCAATTGGACATGTGGTCTAGTCATATCAAGCTTTAACTCGATTGGAGGATCTTCCAAATCTCCGGACCATATTCCGAATGCAACCCTCTTAGTCATACATGACAAGTGACGGTTTCATGTCGCGATAGGTTGCCAAGATAGAAAGAAAGGTGAATCAGATGTTAATAGGTTTTATCCAACCCCACGTCAGTCAGCACTAAAATCCAGTGATTCCAGTGATTCCAAAGGTAGATATGGCATCGCAACAGAGATAAATACTATCAATGCTGCCTGCTTTGGCAATCTACCTACTGAGGCACCTCACAATCAGTTGACACTCTTCTTTTTTTTACAACGACACCACACTTGGCTCACAATGGCGTCCCAGCAACTATCTCCTGTATCGGTCTCGGCCTCGCTGCGCGAAGACCCGGAAACGATGCGCAAGGTGATGAACATCCATATCGAACAAGTCTTTGGGGAACCGGATCAAGCAATTCGCGGCAAGACAATGGAGCCGATCTATCACGAAGATGTCACCTGGTTTCAACCTCGCGAACATTCCGGCGACAATTCCATCATTCGCGGCCGGGATAATGTAAATGCGACAATTCAAAAGGAACGGGCTGCACTCCCCGGGTTTTACATGTTGCATGACGAGGAAGGATATATTGCTGTCACACAAAACCTGGGTATCCTTCACTGGAAGTTGGGGCCTCCCGAGCAGCCCGACATGATCAAGGCCTGTCATTATATCATCTTTGAAGAAGGGAAGATTAAGGTTTTTTGGACTGCGCATCTGAAAACGCCTGCTGCGCCTCCGTCTTAATTCGTAGAAAACATTCCGATTTTGTATCTCTTGCGAACATCTATGGAGGGCTTCAGCGTACCCATTACAAACTATTACCCGTTGTGCCATCACGGGGCAACATGGGACAGTCGTGGATAAAACACTCTAGATCTAATTAAGAATACTGAAATGGTTTTACCATCGACTTCATCTATGAGAATATGTGCTTGCTTTGTATAACTACCATGTACTAGTTGTTTGAATGCTGACAAGCATTAAAGTTGAGCGAGTATAACTACTATGTAGTTTGAATGCTAACATACATTAAAGTTGAGCGTTATGTACTAGGTAGGTAGTTGTTTGAATGCTGACATGCATTAAAGTTGAGCGACTTCCTAGGAAGTCGGACATTGACAGCCGACAAGAACGTGCCGTCCTTAAGAAACAAAATGGCCGCCCAGTCACTCATAGCTACAGTTAATAGATCAATTACCGCATATATGCATATAAAAACCATTGTCTGTTTCTATATCGAGGAATATACAATGCTTCAACAAAGTTGTAATAAATGTTGCTCACAGAAGACATTTTGCAAAGCGCAAAGACAATACCAATCGTTTCATATAGCATAGCTGAAAAATTAAAGTCAGAGTCTAGGCCTCATAATCTAACTTCACGAATAGGTATTCTTTCAAGGTTGTATTCTCTTTTCTACTATAAATTAGGCGCTCTTGTGCGAAGAGAATTCGATCAGTTCCGTCAATTTGGCCTACCCTGCAATAAGCAAAATAAAATATTGCCCTCTGCCCAACAACTATGAGGCGGGAAATGGAGACGAGACGGATCAAAGTAAATACACCGTCTTTAATTATACTCAAAAGCGTGAACTGGGTGTGTGGAGGGCAAATTGATTCATGGAAAGTCCTTCTTATATTGTAACTACAGAATAATGCCTCGTTGCTTGGGCATAAGAATCAAGCATTTGCCTCCACATAAGCTGGTGCCCTGGACTTGAGCGACCTAAAAATGGCATCTCGCCATAATTAGCCTCTCAATAATATCGACATAGCCTGTGTCGGTATGGATCTTGCTGTTGCTTGGCCTTGGGATCACTATTCATGTAAAGCCTGGTGCACGTCCATGTGCTCCGTACGAAGTATGCCCTGTCTCCAATGGATTGTGTTAGCTTACACTTGCGCTCCGCCTCCGGTCTTGTGAACACCATCGCAAAAGTCGTAATCCGGCCGTATGGAGCGGCGCAATACATGTCAGTGCTCGGGATGAGTGGAGAGAAGCGGGCATCTGGCTGTTAGTATAAGTAAGTAAGATGGGTCGTCATTGTGTAGCTCAAGCAACAAAGGGTGGCTTAGTATTATTTGGATTCTATTTTCGTGAAGGATTTCGAGATCATGAGCGGAACAATCCATGCATATTCCATCTTAAGTATGGAGCATGGATCAAATAGATGCATGCAAAGACAAAAGAATCAAGGATGAATCTACTGGGCTCGGGCTTTTTTTTGGTGCACAAACGTGCTGCGGATCTTGCCGTATTCCTTCTACATGCACCTAGTTTCGTCTCTGTCCGTGCCTATCGTGAGCTGAGCTGAGACGAGCGGAGCGGAGCTTGAGGCAGCGCCCGCGATAACGAGGCTGAGAGAGAGAAAATGAGAGAGAAAGAGAAGCACCCAAGCGGTGAGGATCAGATCCCAACATGGACAGGAGCTGAATATCTTAGTGCCGTGAGCATGCCATGTGTGGAATGGGGTTGATCGAGGGATGGCCCGAACAGGAGCATCAGAGCCCCGACTCACAGACGGTGAGCACACTGTCGAAATCTCACGACAGCCGACTCTAGGGCCACTTTCACGGCCGATTCCCTGTTTCAAACATGTGCTAGCCGCCTGAGAAATGCTAGCAGCTCGCTATTGCATGGCTGTCTGGTCGCGTGCCGTCAGGGTCGGTAGCCGGCGCCACTCACAGAGATCACGATACGACACGATGGAGCGGGCAGACGGCGTTTTGTGAGCGCAAAGCCGAAGCCCAGACTAGCTCTGCCCTTGACAGAATCTTGCATTGGAGCTGTGCATTGACGCATGAGGCATGAAGGGGGATCCATCGCGGCGTAAAGCATCTGCAATCTCAGCGGCTTGCCTCCTTTTCTCCACCCAATCTGGCCAGGGAAATGCGGCTTGCCGGGGTTGCTTTTGGTCAGCTCTTTATGAATGCCCTGCGCCTCAATGGCTATGGGATCAGTATGTGATTTCGCTGGGCGGCTCAGCAAGATTGCGGTTATTAATAGAGTAAATGAGGCAAACTCCACCTGCAAGAGAGGGGGGGTTGTGGGTTCATGTTTTTTTTCTTTCTCTTTTTTTTTCTTGACTGCGATTGTTAGTGGCACAGTGGCACAGTGTCGATGAGAGGCTACATGTACTTTTGTGTACAGGCATGTGTGTGTGTGTGCATTGATGGGTTCGTTTGTCTGGCTTAGAGTTTCTCAAAATATTAAGAGGCGGTACTACCTCCCTGGCAGAGGAAGTTGCATACATGTAGCATATATATAGGCCACATACATCCATCTACATACTTTTACACTCTTCAGCCAGCCCCTCATAATTAACTCTTCTCATCACATGGGCAGTCCATTCTTCAGCTGCTCTAGAGATTCCTGGTCCGTGAAACGGGAGCGTAAACTTTCTGTATTACCGCCTCATTAAAAACCCACCACTTTAGACGGTCTGAAACCCCTCGCTAGATTTACGGGACCCTTTTCTTCCCCTGCCGGCCTGCTTGAAGCCGTTCAACTCATTCGCTCCTTTCAAGTCATTCAAATCTCCAGCCGCCTGGGGTCAGGCGGTTTGGCGCCAGGCCGTCAAACAACGCAGCAGATACTCGTAACATAAAACACACATGCGTCCCTCTCCCCCTTTTGACGCGGCGTGAACATCACGACGATACCTACTGATAGCAGCCGTCAAATCTCACAACACCAAGCACTCCATACGAGCACGCGGAGCCCCGGAAATGCACCATGGCTGACCACCTGGACCCCGGAGCATCTGCCGGTGCTGCTGACCAGCCCTCGCCGGGGCGTCGCCGGTCAAAGAACCCCCTGCGAAACATGATCCAGCATCTGACCGTCGACTCGTCGCCAGGAGCCAGCGACGGCTCCGGGTCACGGCGCTCATCGCTCATCCGCCGTTTGAGCGGGCAAAAGAGCCGCAGTCCGTCGGCGCATTCTGACGCGGCCTCGGGCTCGCGGCCCAACTCACGGCCTCCGTCGTCGCTGGGTGTAAATCGAGACCCGGCGCTTTGTGAATCATGTGCACGTCTGGCGGCGGAGATTGAAGAAACCATGGACGAAGTCGACGCCACTTTCGCCAGGCCGGCAGATGGCGCAGGAGCTGCGGGAGATTTCGAGACAAGAGAGCATTTTGTATCTCGGCTTCGGTACTTGGAGGAGAACCGCTGGGCCGCGACTTGTCCCATGTGCAAGCTCTTTTGGGAGATTCATGTGCCCAGCCAGGAACCAGGAGAGTATAACCTAGTGGCACTATCGACACGCGACACGAGTTACTTCATCGACTCGGCCAAGATGTACAGCCAGGACCATCCGGCCAAGGGGCGATCCAAGGGCCTCAGCCCAGCGTTTTTCTCCGTCATCTCCAAGGCCAAGGGCGGCGGCCGGGATCCCGATGTGGACCCCGAATGGTTCCGAGAATCGGGCATGCTGCTCCGGACACGACCCGAGATGCTGATAGACATGGCTAGGGGGAGGACGGGCTCAGAGAAGTTGGCAGTCCCTGATGGAACGGCATCTCCGCTGCCATCACCATCATTCCGCCTACCTGACGATGCCTCTTGGACGCAGAGAGGGATCTGGGGGCGGGAGATTGACAAAAGTGCAGACATGAACATTGTGCGAGAGTGGCTTCATTTTTGCGACACCCATCACGAGGGACGATGTTCACGGAGGCCGGTGAGGAAGGAAATCCAGGGATTCCGGCTCATAGACTGTGCACAGTCACGCCCACAGGTGGTTGAAAGATCACTGCGTGATGACTATGTGGCACTGAGCTATGTCTGGGGCGATGCAAACGTTGATGGCAGCTGGCCACAAGTTGTACGAGATGCAGCCGCCGTGGTGACTGAGCTTGGCTTTCGATATCTGTGGGTGGATCGCTTCTGTACGAGTGATGACAGGCCACAGGAGAAAAGGGAGCATATTCAGCGGATGGACGAGATATACGGAGGAGCCGCCTTTACCATCATTGCCGCCGCTGGGGAGAATGCCATGCACGGCCTTCCTGGCATTGGATCGACATCAAGGCCTGCTCAGCCAAAGTACAAATTCACCACTTCCAACATGACCCTTGTTTCCAGCCTTCAGGATCCACGCCTCCTCATCGAGCGATCAGCGTGGTACACTAGAGGATGGACCTATCAGGAAGGACTCCTTTCTCGACGACGCCTCGTCTTCACAGAACAGCAGATGTACTGGGAGTGCGATGGCATGACCTGCCCCGAGGCACTGGACTTGCCGTTTGAGTTCTATCACGACGCCGAAGAGAAGCGTATGTACGATTTTGTTCGTCCAGGCTTGTTCAACGGGGTGTCATATATGGACGGCAGCTGGGAACAGTGGAAGAAGCTGCCTCAAAAGATGGGCGAGGCGAGCACTCTGAGTGTGTTCCGAGAAGTCGATCAACATATCGTGAAATATACGAGGAGGAACCTCAGCCGGGACGAAGATTCGCTAGATGCGAGCTTGGGAATATGGCGAGATCTAGAGAGCACCCTTGGAAGGGGGAAACTGAGCAATTTGGTGGGAATCCCCATATGGGCGCCTCTGGCCTCTGAACCGACGGAAGAAAACAATGGAATGCCGAGAACGAGACATTTATTCGCCTTATCGACATGCTTCTGGCATCACAAAGTTGGCATGCAGGCCACGCGGAGGACTCATTTGCCAAGCTGGTCGTGGGCAGGATGGTCCGGTCCCGTGGAACTCTTCTCGTCTATCACACTCGCTTCGCCCGATCCTGAGATGAAGCTGAAGGGCAAAAAGATACTCACCCATCATTACGTTGCGGCCACACAACTGACGAGAAACGAACCATCATCTGTGAGGTGGACATACTCGCCTGAGATGGCAGTATTGGCGCCTGATGGCTCCGTCATATACGACTTTGGAGGACAAATGAGCGCTACCGCCGGCCCTCCAAGATTCCGACCCGGAAAATATGCCCTCCATGTCAAGGATCCGTTGGTGCTGGACAAGGTCAAGGCGAAGCCACACTCTGACGGCTGGCAATTCAGCGGCCTCAGCGTCGACGTACGAATGAGCCGTGGGAGTGGCACGGAAACCGCTTGTCTTGGGGGCGAAGAGTGCATAGGAAGCCTCAAAAGTTACCTGATGCGACATGGACAAGGAGAGCAAATGAGTGTACTGTGGTTTGTTGAAGAGACGACGGTGATGCTGTTGGTGGTAGAGAAAACCGGAAGAGGGACATGGGAACGCGTGGGGAGGGTGAGGATGGCTTTTGCCGAAGATGCAAAGGATGTGATGAGAGCTTCTGGTGGGCTCCAAGGGTTGGTGGGGAGATTACCGATGAGAAGCTTAGGCCAGAATATTGTGATTGAGTAGGAGGTTGTGAAGATGCTTCATGTTAACATTATTATACCAATGATACTCGACTCCAGCTTAGAATTTTAATATCGACAGGAAAGACGCTCATCATGTTTGATGAACGAATTAGAGGAAGAGTGACGATGCTCAATAGTGACTGTCCGAAAAGATTTGTGAAAATTCTTTCATTCTACCAACACGGGTGTGGAAACTAAAACTTGCTCATCTTCTAATTCTAGATGTCTAGATCCAGGCTGGGTGGCAGACTGGCAGAGCCTGTTCCCCAGCTACTCTCGTTCTTACCCAGCGTCAGCTCCAGCACGCCTCCATTAGCAAAGAAATCGTGCGTGATCCAGTTCTTGGTATACGGCTTCCCGTTGAGCTTAGCGCTCTGGATATAGATATTTTCATATCCTCCATCAAAGTTGATGTTCTTCACCGTCGCCGTCTTGCCCGTCAGTCCATTCTTGATGCTAATCTCAGGGAAGAACGGTGGCAGGATGAGGTAGACGTTCTGTCCGCCCATTGGCCACAAGCCCATCATGGTCAGAGTGCTAAACGCACCCATGGCACCGGAATCGTCGTTACCGGGGATACCGTTGATACCGGAGTTAAACTGTGAGGGGATGTAGTGGTGGGCAAAGTACGAAGACAAGCCCGGACGACCAGCATAGTGGAACAGGAAGACGAGAAGGAAGGCTTGTTCGTCACCAAAGTAGAGCAGGTTGGGGGTGTTGTGAAGGAACTGGAGACGCTTGACGAAAGTGTCTGGGCCACCAAGAGTGGTGATGAGGTCGGCCATGTCGTGGGGGGCGAAGAAAGTGTAGAGCCAGCTGCTTCCCTCGTAGGTCTGTGATGGAAACGTTAGGTTAGTAATAGGGAAGAAAATACAGTCTTGAAGCCACCTTATTCATCATCATAGAAGAAATGTAGTATAAGTCTTACCTCGTGGCCAGTAGGCACCAGATAACAATCGTCGAATCGGAACATGGGAGTGCACATCATGGCATCTTGATAGCCAAACGTGCCGTTCAGATATCTGGGCTGTAGGAAGCCGTAAAACCCACTGTCCACATACCCGGTAGAACCATCGGGATTGGTGACGTAGATGTACGAGTTTTGATTCGGGTTCCACATGTTCTTCCAGTTCTTGGAGCGCTTGAGATACTTCTCGGCATCAGCCTTCTTGTGCAGGGACTCGGCCATCTCGGCAATGCAAAAGTCGTTGTAGGCATATTCGACTGTTCGAGAGATGGATCGCGAGAATGTACCAACACCTAATGATATGTGAGTACTCCCTCATACAAACGTAGATATTACAATGCTAAGAGAGTCTTACCGTTGGGGTCAAAGTCGTCAGTGGGAATATAGCCAAGCGTCTTCCAGCTGGTCAATCCACCACGTCCCTCGATACCCCAGTTCACTGGTTCATCTAACAGAACGTCAGCATCATACTTGTAGATTTAGTGGAAAGGAGACAGCTGTGAAGCATACCTTCGGCATCCGAGATCAGAGCTTCGTATCCAGTCTGCCAATCAACACCCTTGTGAAGGCCCTTTAAGTATGCGTCCACAAGCACAATATCAGCATTGCTACCACCTTGCGTCCAGCCCTTGCAGAATGTCATGCGGCAATCCGGAAGCTTTCCTTCGTGGCGGTATATGTCAATGAGCGCGCGAACCATCTGCGTTTGGCTGTACGGGTCGACGATAGTAAGCAGCGGGTGGATGCTGCGGAATGAATCCCAGATGCAGTAGAAGGAGTCATAGTCTATTACAGTCAGCTCCAATCGATTTCATGAATCAGCCTTGAAAAAGAAATTGTCTTGAAAATAAAACCTACAAGGTTCGTTGCTCTTCCACAGAGGATTCTCTCCCGTGTAGTCCTGAGGTGAGATCATGGAGCGATACAGTCCCGAATAGAAGGTGGTCAGAATGTCTGTGTTCACTCCCGTGGTGTCAACCTTGACAACTCCCAGCTTCTGTCGCCATGCGTCCTCAGCAGTGGCCTGAGTTCCCTGGAAGTCAAACCTCGGGATCTCAGACTGGGCATTGCTGCATGCCTGGTTCACACTAATGAATGACAGGCCAACTCTAGCCAAAATCTGGTTATTTCCAGGCTTGTTAAACTGGACAAATGCGCCACCGGGCACGGGAGGGCCAGTAACGGTGGCAGTTTCGGTGTTGAGCTGCTTGAAGTTGGTACCGGCTCTGTTGTTCTGGAAGACGCCGGTGTTCTTGATACTGGCCCCTTGGAAATCGGTACAGAAGTACAAAGTGTACGTGCCAACTCCGAAAGACGGATTAAATGTTCCTGAGCCGGTAATTCTTCCGCTGTGAGGGTCGACAGAAACGCTTCCCTTGCTCCGAGAGTCGGAGAGATCCGTTAAGTCAGCCAAGATTACAGGCTCATATGGGATCGCGTTGTCCCCAGTTGCGTCGCCACCTTTCATAGGCACAGGCTGGTCAGGAAAGGTGAAGCGATACAATGCCGTCTTGTTCGATACGGTCATTTCCGCCTTGATGGAGGTATTGAGAGTAACCGAAAAGTATCCGGGATGCGCTTCAATGGAGCTGTTAATTGGCAGAGACTGTCGGTCTGACTTGGTGAAATAGCAGTTGTCAAGGTTGCCACCAGAGCAGCCGCTCTGAGGGAACAATGGGAAGTTTCCAAGAGAAGCGCCCTTGGACGTGTTAGCATCTGTATCTACCTCATTCTCCATTGGGGATATCGCTTACACCACCCGTTCCGCTGTCATGCATGTGAGAGAAGCCAGTGACTACAGAGTCATTGTTAGTCACGATATTCCAGAAATGCGATGATTGCATTTTTGGAGGATAATGAACTGACTGGGACCGCCATCTGAGGCATAACCACCAGCATTGTCATTCACAGAGTCAGCTACCGCTTTGGCAAGACCGAATGGAAGAGTTGCGCCGGCAAAGACGTGTCCTATGTGTATTGTTAGTTCTTCTCTTCTCTTTGCGCGTGAATGACACTAAGTCGTGCAGAGATTTTTACCTCCATTGCTGGTTCCAATTAGAGGATCTACATAGTCAAAGACATCGTAGGCAGCGTGAACGATTGACCCGTAGGCGAGTGCCGCAACCAAAGCTCGAGGGAGGCCCATTGTGAAGAACCTGTTCCTTTGCCGAGGAACAAGCTGAGCTGCTATGGGGGCTCGAGGAAAAGCTGCGTTCTCCAGACAAGTTGGTGATTCTTGTGTTACATTTTCTTCTGTATTTATATTCCAGGCTATGAGGCTATAAGCCCGTCGGTTATCACGCGGAACACATCACGCCCAGGCAGTTAACCGCTGAAAGGCAAGTTTGACGATTGTAAACATCACTCCGAACATCTCTCCCCGGACTAAACTCCACAACACTACCGGATCCTGACTTTCATAATGGAGTTTCGACGCGGGGAATCCCTGACATTGCCCATGATGGTCGTTTAATCAGTTTAGGATCACAAGCACAAAGTACCAATAGCCACAAGACGGGAAAGGCGGCCGCTATATGAATCCACCCCCAAGTTAGTCTTGTACGTATTTGGTATGTTGAAGGACGCTCGTCCAATCAACACATCTCGCCCTCGGCTCATGATTCCTGAAGATTAGATCATCCAGATCTCTCTTTGACGCTGGAAAATTGCCCGTCGGGCATATTTGTGTTCCTTACAAAGACTGGTTTTGCCAAATTGAGCCTATCACCATTCACCTATCCCGCACACTAGCCGTGTCTATATCGGCAAAATCGGCTCCGCAGACAGAGTGTTGTAGCTTCACAAACAATCGCTTTCATACGAGGAAGAATTCCCCGGCAAGTCACGCTAACCATGCTGATGTCGCAGCGTAAATGGAGAAGCCGTCGATAATGGTTGGAGGAAATATTACCAATCCCCGCCATTCCAACACCGGCCTTCCACTATTATCTCGGCATTTTACAAACGTCTGGGCAAATCTGCTGGGCAAAGAAAAAAGCATCTGTTGTTATGAGAGAGCCGTCGGAAGCATTTTCCTGAGATGGGCTTCTATTTAGTTGCCCACAGAATAGTACCAACTATTCGCATTTAATTTCGGGCATAAAATCGGAAATGGAAGAAGGATGCAATTACCGAGCTTTCAAACTTGTAAGTCGTCGTCGGTTTCGGTTTGCCTTGAGATCCAGAATGATGCCACAATGCGCCCTGGACGTCGTCTAATGACGAATCTCCGCCGTTATTTTCCGTAGGGAAAAAAAGAAGGTAGGCTGATTCCTATCAGTCTTTAATCTAGTTAGTTATTTGAACTTCCTGATTTAAACTGGCATTTATATCCGCATGCAGCGAACGGGTGTAGCTATATCTTACTGAACGATTCCGTACTTATGGCGTTATAAATAGTAGTAGGGCTGCTCGCTCCAACCAACATTGACTTTTTTTCGCACTTTATTGCGATGTGTTAATTGCAGTGAAGAATCGATATATGGGGATCTAGTGTTAGAAAGCTCTACGGAGTAAAATTGCACTATATTGTCATGAATGTGGTAGATCCTCAGAGCCGAGCGGTGCTTAAGGTTAGGCAGGTAAGGCATCAGACTTGCTGTTCAGCATACACGACACAAGACAATGAACTCTGGATAGGTGTTTCATGTAACATCGGTCACCATCCGGGGCAAGCCATTCACTTGACTGTATTCCGAGTTCCGAATTATTTATTTATGCTTATCGTAAAACCCCACCAACTTCGTGTTCAAAGGAAGATCATGATCTGACTTGTTTGATGGCGGATGACAATTTTAGGGGGGCGTATCGACTGAACGTGCAGCATCAAACACTGCAAACAGAGGACGCATTTATCTCGATTGAAGCAATTTTCCGTACCTAATGTGCTAAATCAGGGAAATGCCGATTTCCCCTTACATGCGAACAGCTCTCATCATCTTCTTCTTTTAATACTCCGTACCCTAGCCTATTTCAGTATTTTTGCCGGCATTTGCGTCATCATTTGACTGTAACATATAGCCGATAAATATTACCACAAGACTTAGTTCCATCATAAAGGCCAAGATTTCCAGCCCACAAAACAGAATCAACCTACTTTTCGGGATTTTACTTAGCCCGCAAATGCCGATAACTTGGGTCGCAAATTAATGAAACTTTTGATGGCACAGACCAGCATTTTACATGCTCACGTGTGATGTAAAGCCCAGACTGACTCTATTGTTTCACACATTTCGTTTTACTGTACGGCTCTTTAACGCATACGAGTGTGCCCAAAACCTTGGAACAAAATATATTGGTGTATGGCGTTGTCGGAGACAAGGTTTATTATAGCCGGTCTGTATTTTGATCGGGCTAGGAGCCTGTAAACGGATCGCGGCAATTCGCGGATGGTTGCCGGCTTCAGCATCTATTCCAATCCAGAGCGTTGTAACGTGGCGCATTATCCTGCACAAGAGCTCGTCTCTTAGATCTAAGAGGTTTGAGTTGTAGAATCAACGATGTGAATAAGTCTTCCATAATAAGACTTGTACTCCGTTTATTTTAGCTACTTACACCAAGATCACCTATTTCGGAAATCTCTTCTTTTACAACAGTAGCAGCACAACCCAATTCTAGTAATGACTTGAGAGTCGCTATCGCCTCAATAGCGGCTGTTTTGAGATCGCCATTACTTCAAGACTCTTTGAAGCCATTCATCTTTACAAATGATCTCTCGAGGAAGCTCGATGCTTGGAATAAATAGTTGCGTTGAGATCGAGCTGGATTGAATAGCACTTGGATTTGCAAAAGCGTAGAGTTCATATACTGTAAAAGCCAATTGTCTGCTATAAATAGCTCGACGCCCGCTTGGCTAAGCGGTATAGCGTGTCACTAGTAAATACTTGACATGACAAGGTGATCAGTTCGACTCTGATAGTGGGCATCTCTTTTTGCACTTTGCTTTTGTCCTTTCTTTTGTACGAAATCATACACTCATCATCACACCCCTCAAGGCGGGTCTGTTTCTTTTGATGTCTCTTTTACCAAAGGCAGAAGCAATGCCAAAACCCGTGCCTCCTTCATGCCTAACTCAGCTGTATGCATGGAGCACCAACTGGTCCAACCCTCTTCTGTCTGCACTTCTGCATGACATGCATCTGTCGGACATTATTGCATAGAAAGGCATATCAACACGGGCCATCGGCCCACAGGCAACTCATTCAACAGGCACAAAAATCACAAGCAAATTGTATGTATGTTAAGGCAAAATCTTCAAATTCCTATTCTGCTATATCCCACATGATGGAGGTCCATTTGCCCCAATGCCTTGCCCTTCCCATGGCATCTTCTTAAGCACATCCGAGCCCTCAAGCTATCATTCCGTGAGAGTATAGATCCAGCGAACGAAAAAGAATACAGTGCTCTAGTGCTACATGCCCCCATGTGTTAGCTTTTCGGTCGAAAAGTGTCTCAATGCCCAAAGCAGTGAGAGAATCAGGGCTTACGCTGCAGCCGGTGCATGAGCAGCTGGAGCAGTTGTCCTTGCATCCGCAGGAGCTGCACTGGCTATTGAGAAAAAGTTGTTAGTGACATGTCTAATGAGTGCCTTGCTTGGTAACGAGAAAGAAGGTATCATAGATCCGGTAGTCGAGTGCTGAAGGTAAAATAAGGAGGAAATTCCGAGCAAGTGTTGAAACAATGGTCCTCAGTAGACTCACCAGGGAGACATTTTGAAAGTGTAGGTTGGTTTGAGAGACTGAAAGTCTTTGAAGGTAGACAATGGTTGTTCTGGTCGCTTGAGTGTGGTTGATGTTATTGATGGATGAGACAAGAACAAAAAGCAGGCGACACCCGATGCTTTTATATCCAAACGGATGCTCTTTTTACTGTCATATAGTATCCACTTGTGAATCCTCATGCACCATATCATGCACTGAACAGCTTCATCAACGAAGCCCCCATGCGGTGACATCTAGGCGCCTGCAAGCTAAGAGTAGATCCTTGGAAACTTCGGCCAACAATCAACATGAGTTCTTGACGGACATTCGCCAAAACCCCTCTTTAACTTGTCCAGCTGAAATACCGTTAATAATGCTTCATAGTCATGCGTCAGCTTCATTGGCTGGGGGTGGAATGGAGGTTACCCGAGGCCAGAAAGAGAAGTCATCACCGGACGTTAACCACATGTCCCACGAATACTAACTGCAGGGGTACTCCCACGCTATACTGTAAAGCATATACTGTAACAGTTGGTGTGGATGGGTGTCGATTATGAAGCAGTATGTATGGCTGTTAAGTCAGGGATGTAATGCTGGCGCCGGTTATTGTGGCTTCAGGGAAATAATGAATACTCGCTCCTACGTCGTATCAAAAATTACATATCTTTCACTCTTACTTTCAATAAAGCTTGGTTTCAAATACTAACATAGAATATCATCTTGAGGATATCGCGTAGTACATGGACATGGATATCATAAGCAGGTACAGTAACTGACGATGAAAACCAAAAAGAAAAGCCTGAAGAAAAATCAGTGCATTTGAAATGGTGCCCGACTATAGCTTCCCTGCTGCAAATTGTGGAGAAAACTGTCACTTGGGGGAAGAAATGGTGAGGGAAATATGCAGCTGAGAAAAGCTTTGGCCGTATGGTAGTCACTGTATTATCACGAGGACGAACGCCCTCCCGAGAAGGAAGAAGATAACACTGTGTTACCAACGTATCTATGAAGAATCAGCTGATAATGGATGCAGCGTCTCCCTATCAGTACGTGACATGTACGCAGAATCGTCATGCGTTGTGGTAGCTACGTGTAGTAAAAGGCACATATTGATCCAGGCGTTGGGATCACAGGCATACCTCTGCACTCTGCTGTCGTAAAAGCACGCATGAAGCCGTGACATGTGGCGAAAATAGTCCAACATGTGGTCTTGGCTAGGCAATGATACTGCATATTCAGCGGCCACGGCGGGAAAAAAAGAAAATAATGTGACTGATCAAGGGGCGGAGATGATGGGTTGCCTCTCCCCCACGCGCTGGCCGGTGAATGTCGGATGTCAGCAGCCACAAGCGACGGGAAAGGAGCCCAGGGAGACTAAGATGGAGGAAAAGGATCCTGCTTCCGGGATGGCTCCCGGCTGAAAAGTCATGCGGCCACGGAGTGTTAC